TCGCGCCGGCGAAGATCTGCCACGCGATCGGCAGATCGGCCATCAAGGCTTGCCGAAAGGGGCGATATATCCAAGCCAAAAATATATTGTACCGGTAACGTTACCAGCCTTTTTGCCTCCGTTACCCACCCGTTACCGAGACACTGAAACGGGTCGTGCTATAATGTGTATAGTCCGGATGCCTCTACCGCTATGCTTCCGCCTTCCCCTTCCGAGGCCCGCGGAGAAGTCACTCGCCATGCCATACCAAACCAGCGAAGCATAGCTCTGTAGCAGCGACGGCGATACGTGGCTTTGTTCGTCCCCGCACTTCAAATGTCATGTGTCTTCTGCCAACCATCTTTGAGTATAGTCGAGTTCTACGGACTTGCACGAGCCTCCGCACCTTGACCCCCTTGAAGTTGAAATCAAGCTGTGACACCGCACCCGGAGCGCCCCGTCTCACCAAATACGGGCTAGTCACATCTGCGTGCGATGCATGCCCAACACTTGTTGTGTGTCTTCAGACAGCTGTGAGCTGGATGCCCACCCTGTAGCCGGCGGTAAGTCAGCTCTCCTTAGATATCCAAGCTCTCGAGTCTAGCCAGTCCTTCAGCATGTGTTCGCACGATATCATACATCGCCGCCGGATGCGGAAAACCGAGCATTGGCGACGAATCATATATCCTACGTACCCGACTCGGAGTTGGACCTTCGGTTCAGCAAGTGTGTGCCCGAGGTCCACTAGCTCACGAGGACCAGACGAGGACGGAGTTCCGCTCGCTGTGGCGCACCCAGACAATTGACCGGAGTGACGGATGCAGATATTATTCACCGGGGTCGTGTCCGTTATTCAGCGCTCAGCGTGATGTCTCAGCTCACCATGACTATCGTACATGCCGGCAACTAGCCAGTAAACGTTGTCTTTGGTCACCGGTCGCACAAAACCAGTCCTGATATGAATCAACAGTGGCACGTTTGTGCCGTACAGGTCCATACAGCAAACGTCTCATAGCAAATCATTGCTGATGATGGCACTGTGCGACCCTTTACAGGCAATATAGGCAAAGCTTGAGTCATTTCTATGTATCAGCATCGTCTTCTGTAGAGAGTCTTCTCGTACATAGTCAGCTTCGTGCATCATCTCAGTCATTGCCGGACAGGGGGCTGGCATTGGGAAGCACCTTGTCAAGCCTCACGGCCACACGCGCACGAGCCATCTCTTTCGGCTACTTCCGATGAACGGGTGATCAGCGCCGTCAGCGCCACATGCGGCCCATATATGCTCCTGCATACACATCACAGCCCGTCTAACGCATGCATGTTTGTGGCTCACCTGAACCTTCTTCTTCCCTAGATGGTCTTCTGGTTCTGACCTGATCACTAGACGGCCACGAAGACGACTTCGCGAGCCCGTGTACCCCGAGGAGTTCCCGTGTCAGAAGTAGGGCCACCCGCGCTTGAACGCCAGGCACTTTTCACAAAGCCTCTTCCTACCGTCAGTTCAAGTAAGTACCGAGAAGTCGAAGGCGGGAGTTGTATCGCGTCAGACTTCCTGCGCAGTAGCGCTTCTAGTACTATTCATCGAGGCATGGTATTACCTTTACCCCGCTCAGCGTTCTCTTCCCGCGAGACGGATCCCGGCGCAAACACCAGTGTGTGAGCGACGATCGACCCCTTCTGCATACGTTGAGGGTGTATAGAGACGATCCGAGTCGGTCATTCATAGGTGATGCGGAGCGGTAAGCTGCATGCGGAAATGGACTGTCTCGATACAGGCCATTCATGATGGTTCAGTCCAGGCATCCCCCCATTGCTCGATGCTCCAAAGTCCAGCACAGGCGCGGATACGTATTGAGTGAGCGCTCTCTCGTATCTGTCTTCAATACGGAATGGACACTAAAGAGATGATCGGCGTCAATTTGATCTTGTGCAGCGCCTACCGCAGTATGGGGACTGAAGTGGGTCTCTGGGAGACTTCCAGACATGCGAGATCGATGATGGACATATGGGTGATATTACATTAATGGGTACATTGCAAGCGATCACGCGCCGCGTCTTATTCGGTCGAAGTGAAGACCAGCTAAGTATGGCAATCGTTGCGGTCATCCGTCTATTGACGTCTCCCGCGGCCATCGTGGATAACGAGTGTGTGCTGAGTGGTTTCGAAATTGCGAGTAGAAGCTACGGAGGAAGCTGATGCAAGTACGACCACGAGAATCTATCTTTGAGTCGCTCGAGGAGGTTGCGGGGGGATTGTTGCCAACAACAGAGTTGAGAGTAAACGAAGGGATGAGCGTTTGGGACAAGGCGCGCCTTTGAGTTCGCGATTGTGTATTTTTTTTATCTGAGTCAAAAGGGTCGCGCCGCAGGCGCCGGCCACCAGTTTAGAGTACCTACTAGCACAGGGCTCGAAACTGGTCTTTACTGCTAATTAAAAGAGAGTCCATCTGGTTGCGTGAGCAGTTGTCGTCGTAAATTCCTCGCGTGCCGCCGAAGCGGGCTTGCGATTATGTATTAGATCCTTAATCAATCCCGATGCTGAGCCCGCTGGGCCATGTGACTAGTACTTCAACTAGCAGGCGGTTCGAACGATGTAAGCGTAGTACTACGTAGTCTCATCATACTCTGTTCTCTGACGGAGAGGATGCTATGGTATACTCTATACCGGACCCGCGACAGGATTGGATTCAAATCAACTGGAAGTGCAATGTGTATAGCTAGAGCATGATATTATTGTGGTGTACCGCTATCTCCCTCCATCTCCCACCTCCCGCTCTTCTCTCCGGCCCCAGCCTGAGCCACATCCTCCACCATAACCCGCATCCTTTCCAACCGACCAGTCCACCTGCCCCCTCCACCGAACCTCGCCTGCAACTTCTCGACAGCATCCAACACTACGTCCGCGTCCCGTCCACTAGTCCGCCACAATGCCGACAGGATCCAAAACATCAGGGTGCGTTTGGGCTTCGCGTCCGGCGGTAGGTCCAGAAAACGGTGAAAGATAGGTAGCAGGCGTTGGAGAGTCCACACAGCATCAGGTGTCATGGACGCATCGCCATGCCGATAAAAGCCCAAGAATATCGCACGATACGCCGTCATGGTCGGCTCAAATGTGGAGGATCCGGTGTCAGATACCAGTGTTCCGTCAACGAGCATGTCTTGAAACGTTCTCAGACAGCGCGCAAGGTCTCCGTGGTAGGCGTAAGCCTGGATAAGCGCATGGTACACCGCGGCATTCGGCCGCACAACCTTCGTCACCAGCATATGCTCGCTGTCCACCAGCTCTTGATGCAACCGCTTTCTCTCCTGACCTCTTGCCCGGCAGACCATATACATGCGCTCCGCAACGTCAGTTCGCCCTGCGCTGGCAAACGCCCACAATGTCGTGCCAAAAGCCTTCTGTGTGAGTGGACCGATCCGCCGCAGTGCGCCGCGTACAGCAGACCAGTCCTGACGTTTGGCGAATAATGATAAGAGCACGAGATGCGTGACATGGGTAGATGGGGTCGTGGAGTGTAAGGCCGACGCCCGACGAAGAGCACGGCGATCACGCGTGCGCGCTGCAAGAGCGAGAAGCGTGGTGTGCGTCCAATGGTCGGGTTGGCGTTCCGGGTCCACATGTTGAGTGCGCTCGCCTTGTTGCAACACGTCGTCTTCGAGGTGATCCAAGTCGTCGTGGTCGTCGGGAGAAAAGGTGAGGTTGTCGACACGTCCGGCGCGGCCGGCAGAGAGGAAAGTCTCCCCGGGCGCTCTCCCGCCACGCATGTCGTCCAGGATGTCCAGGGCCGTGCGGAAGTCCTCTAGGTGGACCTTTCGCGTACCCTCGCCTGCAGCATCTAGGAGGAGGTTCCACTGCCATCTCCTTACAATCCCTCCCGCGGCGTGGATCGCCCGTAACACAGAGAGGATGCGAAGAAAGACCCGTCGCGTGCGTGGCTGCTGCTTCGCAAGAAGGCGCGACAGTCGATGCAGGTGTTCGATGGGAACGCCGTCTCGGTGCGGGAGAAGGGTGAGAAGATGGTAGGAGTCCCAGGCCATCGTCGGCGAGTTTGTTAGGGCGATTTGAGACAGAAGAGTCATGCGTAGACTGTGCGCTCTGTATGTGTCGGGTATCATGTCTGCTGGTAGACTCTCGAGGTAGTTTATCATCGCAGGCACGTTGAGCGCAGGGTAATTGAGGAGTGTAGTCTTGTTTTCGCCGTCTTCTAACAACTTCTCCTCTAACGAGGCCAGACTCTTGAGATAGGCGTGAGCGTGAAGGTGTTGGCGCAAGACTCGAGCACCCCGTAATGGTGCTACCCATGTGGTCGGGTCCTTGCCCTTGTGGCGCTCGGCTAGCGAGCGAGCGCGAAACCTCCCATGCCAGTGCAGAGGGTCGAAGTCGGGAGCCGGGACGTCCTGTGAAGTGGCTGGTTCGGCTGTGTCCACTTCGTCCTGGGTCACGCTCTCTTGCGAGGGAGCAGTGGGTTTCTTCCGTTGCATGAGTTTGGACGCCAACGAAACCTCGCCCGACTCCTCCACTGGCACATCCGGCCCGGGAATCTCGCGCGGCGGCTGCATGTCTTTTTCTGCGCTTCTGAACGTCGCTTCGTATTCGCTCAGCGCCAGTTTCGGGGTCGGAGGAGCAGCAGGCGTGTCCGGGACTTGGCGACCAGTCCCAATATTCGAATGGGGCGGTGATTCGCGTTGGCGGAGAAGGTGCGCGACGGCGTGTGCGTGTGCGTGTCTGCGAGCTACCGGAGGCGGAGGGGTCGCACATAGCAGCAGTCGAGTGAGGCCCTGCGGGGACACTCTTAGCATCAAGAGACCGCGAGAGCATACACTGTCTTATAATCATATATTTCAGTAATATTTCAAGACTGAACATGAGCTAATGCGCACCAAACGCGTCAAACAAAGCCTAGACGGGGCCCTTGGTCCATCCAGCCTGGCCAGAACGCGCACGACACGTCGAGGGAGAAGAAGCGCGTCTCCCGCTGGCGCGCGCGAAACTGCAAAGCGCGCCTCCCAATTGGTTCTCCCACACTCCTGATCGCCGGGCTCGGCCTCTACAACTTGCCTCTCGCCATGGTCATCCTCAATACCATTTGGACATAACGGCTCATACATGGAGCGCATCTGTACCCATGCTTCGGTCGCATGAATTATTCTCGTATATCAGAAGGAACCTCGAACATCCCGATGGGGTATAGTATCTTGCTCGCCCAGAAGAACACCAGAGGGTGGCCACTATCGTTCTGACTATCAGCACTAACCGATACTGTGTGAGCGCTGAAGCTGGTTGTATAGCCTTCTAAGAGCTTGGCGAGGGGTAGCCGGACATCGCTGCTCGCACCAGTGGCTGTTTCAGTTATCTCTATCCCGACGAGTCGACGCTGCGTGTACGATGTACTACGGTTGCGTGCGGCACCCACGCCGGACTTAGATCTATACCTTGATCTGCGCATCCGATATCTCAATGTTCAAACGTGCGTCATAGAGTTCCACGGGTTCGTCGCGTGATACTGACGCCGTGGATTCCAGCAAATCTGTACGTTCGATTAAGGCGGAATAGCACAGGACGTCTTCACACGCGCGCGCGACTTGGCATCGTGGCACAGCCCTGAAACCATCCGCCTTGTATATAGGTGGCCCAGTAGTTCCGATCTCGATGACATACCGCCACTCCTCACACTTGGCCAACTCAGTGCACTTGTGATACATCATTTCGATCGCCTCGTGGACGGTTTGGTACGGTTATCACTAACAGGCAACGCGCTCATGGCGAAGGTAAACTTGACTCATCGTGATCCTCCTTTTTGCTCGTCTTAACCATTTTGAATAGTATCAGAGTCAGAATGAAGACCCTCGACCTCTTCGGCAGCTGTCATCGAAGGAAGTCTCGGCCGAGCAAGCGTACCGTCGATATCAAGAGTCATGGGACCTGGCACATCTCAGTACTGCTATCGATCTCTACCAACAAGCAGTCGACGACGCTGCCCCGGCCAACGCAGGGTTACTCAGCGATCTGGGTTCTCACCTATCTGTATACTACGACAGGGTGGGCGATGTTAACGCTTTGGAGCGCGCTATCAAAGCACAACGCGAAGCCCTCAAACTAGCATCGGACGCTAGTTACCGTGATCATGCTCGGTGTTTGCACAATCTTGCAACATCTTACCAGGATCGCTTCATGCGCAATGGCGATGCTGACGACCTGGAGCGTGCCATCAAGATGCAGCAACGTGCGGTCGAGATTATCCCGGACGATCATCCTAGTATGCCAATCTATCTGGACACACTCGGTCTCTCACAGAGCTTGCGTTATCGGCGCTTCGGTCACCTCGATGATCTTGAGCATGCCATCCGGGATCAGCGGCGCGCGTTTGAGCTTTCCGAAGGCCATCCCAATGAATCCATCCGGCTAAATAACCTCGGATGGTCTCTGCGTATTCGCTTCCAGCGCCTTGGCGAACTGAGTGACCTTGACCTGGCTATCAGTATGCAATCCCGCGCTGTGGAACTGACGCCGCCGGGACACCCTGATCTGGCATCGTACCTAGAAAACCTCAGTTTCTCGCAGGACCTGCGTTATGAACATCGCGGTGACCTGAAGGATCTCGAGGATGCGATCACGGGGCTAGATAGAGCGTTAGAGCTCACCCCCGATGGGTATCCGGCAAAAGTAGTCCGATTGAACAACCTAGGAACATCCTTACACAAACGCTTCGAGCGCCTCGACGAAGCCAGCGACTTTGAACGTGCCATCGCGATGGTGCGGAGAGCTGTAGAGCTTACATCAAGCGATCAACCTGCTGCGCCAGAGAGGATGGGCAACCTCGGCGCGTTGTACTATCTGCGCTATAGAAAGTTTGGCAATGCCGATGACTTGGAGCATGCCATTACTATGCAGAGCCAGGCCCTCGAACTGCTTCCCGATGGACACCCAGACAAACCCATGTGGCTGAAGAATCTAAGTCACTCTCTTGCGGTTCGGTTTCGACTCACAAAGGCAAAGACAGACTTCAATGAAGCTGTGTCTTCTTTCATGACTGTGACCTCCCAAACTCTGGGCCCACCCATCACACGCATCAATGCGGCTGACTTCCTTGTGAAGTTCATGGAAGAGCATCCAGACTACTGCACGCAAGAGACTTTGCTCGCAGCGCACTCCCGAACACTTGACATGATCCCTGAACTAGTATGGCTAGGACACAACATATCGCGCCGCTTCGAAGAGTCGCGCCGCTTCGGCTCGCTCGTCACTGCAGCCGTTCGTGCATCGGTCACGGCTGGGGCCTTGACTCAGGCCATTGAATGGCTGGAGGCTGGCAGGTCATTCATGTGGTCGCAAATCCTGTCACTGCGCACATCGGCAGATGAACTGAGGGACCATGACCCGGAGCTTGCCCGCTCTCTCAAACGCATACATTCGCAACTACAAGCCTCTATTCACACTGCACCCCGTGTCGAATCTGCGAGCACTAGTGACGACGCCATCAGAATCTCCAATCCAGAAGCGGATCGCCATCGCATGTTAGTGCTTGAGTATGAAGATGTGCTCAAGGAGGCACGCCGCCGACCTGGGCTAGAGGACTTCATGCGGCCGATGAAGCTCGCGGCCATAGTACCGCCTTCTGTGTCTCTGCACGGCCCTGTTGTCTTCATCAATGTAGATCAGGTGCGCTGCGATGCAATCATATTCGCCGCAGATAGGAGCATCTCTATCGTCGCTCTTCCGGAGCTCTCGCTGGAGAAGACTGAGAAGCTCCGCTCCCTCTGGCAGTCCTACCTCCATCAGCAGCACGTCCGTGAGCGCGCCGCAGTACCGCGTACACAGCACCGCACAGCGAATGTTTCTGCTCTGCGCGTCTTGAGTTATCTTTGGGGATGGGCCATGCATCCTATCTTAGATGCGCTCGGTTTCGCAGTTGTGGTGAGCTTCGAGCATCCTGTCAAGTTGGTTAAAGGCCTAATAGGTGTTTCTTCTAGCAACAAGATGGTGGACGTCTTCCCCATGTCACTTGGTGTCCGACCGGGGCGCTCACACAGTTACCCTTGCACGCAGCGGGTGTCTATGATCAAGACTCAGGGCCGCACGTTTATGACTTCGTGGTCTCGTCGTACACTCCGTCCCTTGCCGCACTTGCGCGTAGTAGCAAGGGGATGTCACAGCGGAGCACGAGCGCCAGCGGTAACAGCGTTCTCGTTGTGACACAGCCAGACACCCCAGGCTTGTCTCCATTACCAGGGGCCTTGATCGAAGAACAATGTTTGCGCGACGTTTTTTCCGCAACACCGGATTCTCTTTCCGTCTTCGCCGGAGCTCAAGCGTTGACGAGTACGGTGGGGGCGGTTCTGAAACAGCATCCCTGGATACACTTAGCATGCCACGGATCACAGAATCTTGCTGATCCCATGAAGAGTGCCTTCGCACTTTACGACGGGCAGCTGTCTCTGGCAGACCTCATGGGGACGACAGCCGAGACCGCGGAGCTCGCGTTCTTGTCAGCGTGTCAGACGGCTGTTGGGGATGAGACGAGCCCAGAGGAGTCGATGCATCTCGCAGCAGGAATGCTGGCCGCGGGGTTCAAGGGCGTCGTTGCCACGATGTGGTCGATCCGAGACGATGATGCGCCTTTCATCGTCGAGGCGTACTACAAGAAGCTACTTGTGCTTCGCGCGAATGGGAGTCTCAGTGAGGGAGAGACGGGAGCAGCGTATACTCTTCATGAGGCAACGCAGCAATTGAGGAAGAAAGTTGGCGAGCAAGAGTTTTCACGATGGGCCCCGTTTGTCCATTTCGGCGCTTGAGATGATCCTAGCGAATCGCTTTATGGGCATACAAATGCCATGCAGTCTGCCCGGCTGAGACGAGCACCTCATGTTTTCCGGAATGTAAACGTACTATGTCCTTGACAAAGAGTATCTGGTGGACGAACGATGGAAAGAAGCCTTGCAATTGAGGAGCCGTTGCCGCGTCTACGTGCTGACCGCGTCTAATCCTGTCCAATCGCGAGCAGTCAACATGATCACGTGCAACCTTCTTCGAGCGACGCGTCGGCTCTTGTTCTTGAGCACCACGACCAACCACCGCGACATGGACCGCGTATGTTCGCTCAAGAGTTGGGAGGCAATGTCACGTCTGACAGGACGCAGTGTCAATATACTGCAAGAGATACTCGTACAAGATTGTCATCATGAAGTTCCAGATCGCTGCCGCGAGGACAACATCTGGACGTGGGGTTATATGGAAATAGGGAAGGCGATGACTTTGCACCACGAGAATATACGTGACCGTGGTAATCAAGACTCGTGTGGCTATCTGAGACGAGTGGATGGGTTCAACAAGTTCATAGGTAAAGGATACCGTGAACGCCAACCTAAGAGCAGTGATGGTCGCCGAGGTCGTTGCCGACCGTCGGGTGGCCAGACACGCAAGTGCTGCCCATGACGCACTGGTCGGCTCCAACGACGCAGTATACGCCCATCTTTTCTGTTGACGATATCAGAACGTACCGCAGCGGCGAGCCCAGCTTGCTAAGAACGTACCCTTGCACATGCCGTTCTGGCACATGAAACCAGCGCTGCCACAGAGGCCGACTAGCGAAGGCAGCATGAGCGTGTTGCACGGGAAAGAGGGTGCAAAGTAGAAGCACTTACGAGCATTGTCGCCGCAATCACCCGCGACTTGGCAGGATCCGTTGGGGCCAGACATGCCGGAGCCTAAGCATGTCGTTAGCCCAATCGTACCACCTCATGACGTAGAACAGCGCGGATCTAGACGCACACTGAGTAGCAGCACCTGCGACGCTAGTGGCGACAGCGACGAGAGTGAAGAAGATGGTGGAGGTGAACTTCATGTTGAGTGTTGTGTTGGATGAGTGATGCTTGAGAATGAGGAAGACTGGTGATAGCGGAGAGAGGCCAGACGCAGCTGGTATTTATGTGCTTTGAGAGGCGCTCGATGTTGGAGTATATCTTGTTGTCGCAAACAATGGAACAAGATACAGTACAAGATATTGCACGGCTCGGAATGTTGCTTCCGGGAGAGTGACGCTTCCATTGAGACATGGAGTACGTTCGTACAGCTGTCCGTCTGGGTCATCTGAGTGCATGTGACTGTCAGATATGTTAGACGGCATGCCAGATTCTGAAGAAGCGGTTAGAGTGAATACCGGAGTAGCGCGCACATATACTATGCCCATTATACCGTCGATGGGACTCTAGCTCCATCTAGTAACTGACTAGCCACACGGCGAGAGTTCAATAGCAAATAAACTCACTTGACGCGAGACGGCCCTGCTCGCCGCGAACTCGCACATCTTCTATTGATATGGCAATTGAGGTGAGGTATTGCTGCTTATGCCGAGGTGGATTGCGTCATACGGATAAGTCTACGCGGGAGTCTTACCTAGGCGCGTTCCCGACGTTCCCGAAAGGCAGCATGTGCCGACAACTCGTGAACCACATTTACGAACGAGACGCCGCGTGAATTACTTCAGCGCTCAGTTGCTGGCTGGTGTGGTAGTCTCTGTACCAAGTTGGTAGTTGAGCGGGGAGCACATTGTGTAATCAGAATATGGGGTTCGCGCGGGAACTCGGGCCGGGAGACCTTTCGGTGTAGCGATGCATTGCCGGATAGTAGCAGATGAAACAAGGGGACGCGCATTTCAGGTGACTACATTGGCCATTTGGTTCAGTCAGGAGTTCCAGTCGACATCTCGTCCCGCTATAGGACATCAAGAGTGCCCACATGGGGCGGAGACCAACGACGACGCTCCGACCGAGTCTGACTTATGACGATTGGGTCGACCGAGTGACACAGAAGCATGACTATGGCCATTTAGTATACGCATCAGCAGCTGGACTTAGTACGGAGGGTGACTCCAGTGGCCGGAAGTGATGCCAGCAAGCCTTGTGACTGCTTAGCGCGCCTAGTTATGACTTTTTCTCGAGCGCGCGGCAATGCCGTGGCCTCAGAATAACCACTAGTCCAGTGGTGCGGTCCCCCCCATAGACAGCTTTGCAGCTTTTGGCATAACGCAGCACATTGCTCGCTAAGGTAGGATTATCGCAGAGGAGAACGAGCCATGGTGGGTTGGGACCAAGACGCGACTCTTCGACGCGACCTGTTACAAACGCGTGGCGTCACGTTTAGTTTGGATTCACGTCACACCACGCGCTGAATGCCGGGTGCGTCCCAACTCGGGTTCACACAGCACCGTGAGGTTGCTGCTACGCTCTATCCTCGACTCGGCTATCCACGACCATCATGGCTTCACCCTCTCCGGAGAGACCAATCAGAAGGGCTAAAGTGACTTATGGGAAGCGCAAGCCCGTGGTGGACCCTGATGCGACGTTGGTGTCCTCTGCGCCGGCGACCGTGGCGAGGAAGGACTCTATGGACGAGGATATTGTGCCGGACTCGGAGCCGAACCACCACGCTTCGTCCGATGAGTCTGGCGCTGAGGACGGACCCAAAGTCACGAAGTGGGGCTGGAGGGAGCAGCTCAAGGCGATTGACAAGGGGGAGAAGGTCGAGGCTGGGAAGGACGAGGATGCGACGATGGTCGACGTCGAGGAGCGGGCCGCGACGCCGCCGCTGTCTGATCACGAGCAGCCTACCGCATTCGGGACGTCTCTGACTGCGCTGGCCGGCTCACCACTCGTGCGAGACAAAGGGAGTTCTGCCTCCGCCAATAACTCGCCCCACCCACGCCTCTACCGCTCAGCACCCGACTCTTCTCCCGCCACCGCCCCACCGGCAACTCCCGGAGAGGACAGCCAGGACCAGACCCTCAGCGGCTCGTCCCCCGCTCTGTTCCCAATCTCTACGCCCCAGGACGCTTCTCCCGGGAGTCCACCGAGCTCGCCGCCGGCAGAAGACGACCACGAGCTTCCGATGGCGATATCAAAGTCTGCTTCCACTAAAGCAAAGGGTAGATCCAGCGTCCCGCCTCTCTCATTCGAGGATTCAGGTCGTGCCACCACTTCACACTCGCGTAAGAACTCGCAAGTAAAGGATGCACATTCACGGCGTCCATCCAAGGAGAAGCCGAAGAAAGTCAAGGTTCGTGCTGCCTGTCTATATGGCACACTGTCATCTGAATCCGTTTGTGTCACTTAGGCTCCGACCAAGAAGGACTTGGACGAAAGTAGGCGCGAGTCTGCACGCTTGAAATCGGACCAGAGAGCCTCGCTCCCCTCTACGACCATACCGTTCGGACTGCCAGAGTTCCTCACTAGGGTGTAAGTCTCATAGCCCGTCACGCCACACGAATCGGCACTCATTCAAGATCTACAGAACAAGCGAATCCAAACCTACGATCCATCCACCTGTCGCCCGACAGCCTCTGCGTCAACCACAACCATTGAAAGCGACGCGCAGCGCGCATTCGGCTGCGTCCGACCCGATTGACGAGTTCTCATCTTCGCCCGGCCCTCTCGGCGTCGAAGTCTCCTTCACGAGAGAAGACTCTGCATCTCCGCTTGATCGCCTCAGCTCGCCAGCCAAACCTCCTGGCTCACCTCTCCAATCCAATGGCTTGCTTAGCATGAACCTTTTCGCGAACAAGTCCAAATCTCAGCCTATGCCCTACGTCAAGCCCGCAATGGTACCACCATTATCCGCACCCAACTTCATCTCGGGGCCATCGAAACTACTCTCCCTCGGCGCGTTACCCGACGACGACGACAGGACCTTCCTCAGAGCGAACTCCGACAGCGACGACGAATTGTCATTCCCAGATACGCGAGCCATTCTCGAGAGCGCCTCGCGAAAGCGGCAAACCGAGGATCTCAAGGCGAAGAAGTTGCGCGCGTTGGAGGAAGCTGCAAAGTTGAAGCAGCTGAGCGCTCACCAGGCTGAGCCTGAGTCCGATGACGACTTGGACATCCTCGACGATCCGAGGACGCGGATCAAAGAGGCTGGGGAGGAGAGGAGATTACATCCCGTGCGACCAAATACTGCGCAACAAATCCAGCGACAGTATGCGTTGGCCGGGAAGTCACCATCGAAGGCGCGAAAGCACCATCTGACGAGCAGTCAACTTGAACGTGCTGCGAAGCCGCGCTTCTCGATGCCTGGGGAGGGAAAGAAAGGAAAGGAGGCGGAGGAAGGCGTCGGGAGGGATGAGCTTATGGCGGATCTCCTCAATAAACATAACGCGCAGGCGGAGAGGGGGAGGAAGGAGAAGGAGGAAGATTGGAAGAACAAGGGCGGAACTACCCAAACTGTGACCGAGAAGAAGGAACTGGACGTCAAGCTTCTACTGGAACAGGTTCAGAAGAGGCAGAGTGAGGGACCCGTGGATGACGAGGACGACGAAGAGGAGGAAGGCAACGAGGAGTTCATACCGGGCCAGGAGGGGAGTGGTGATGAGGAGGCGGAGGGGGACGATGACGGGAGTGCGCGAGGGGACGAGATGGAGGTCGAGTTCGACGAGAACGAGCAGCCTATTCTTCCCGCGAGCGAGAACGACGTTCCACTGTCCACCTCTTCGACTGCTGTAGACGCAGACTCGGATGAGGAGCCCCAACCTGCGTCCCACGCGAAACCTCGACCACGACCAAGGCGACCCGCTCGCAAATCTGCGGTCCTGTCTGATTCCGAGGACGAGCCGGAAAACAAGGAGAATGTGAAAGACGCAGATATGTTTGAACCCGGCGAGGACAAGGAGAATTCGGTATCCGCCTCTCCTTCACGTAGTCAAGGTCCGCGCCCGCTCTTTGGCGAGTTCATGAGCGGAGGAAGCGGCATGGGCACACCACGCGGAGATGGCGCGAGGAGTCCGTTCAAGGAGCTCCGGACGCCGAGTCCTATGAAAGTCGGCGGGCTGGGAGACGCATTTGGAGACGCTACTCAAGGGCCTAAAGGCGTCGCGTTCGGTGGACTGGATGACGCGTTTGCCGATGCGACACAACCTGCCACTCAGGCGCCGAAGGGCGTTGCATTAGGCGGCTTGGACGACGCTTTTGCAGACGCCACGCAGCCCACTTCGGCAGGGACACAACCTCCGAAGGGCGTTACCTTTGGTGGACTGGACGACGCATTCGGTGATGCAACGCAGCCTGCGCCGGCAGCTTCACAAGCGCCTCAGGGCGTCAAGTTTGGCGGGCTCGCAGACGGGTTCGATGATGCCACGCAGCCATTGGCTGCTGGTACGCAGGCGCCGCAGGGCGTCAAGTTCGGAGGGCTTGCGGATGGGTTTGATGATGCGACGCAACCCTTGCCGACCTCGCCTCAGGGTGTTCAATTGGGTGGTCTTGAGGATGAGTTCATGGATGCTACGCAAGCGGATGGACCGGCCCCAGCGGCAGTACAGGTCAGCACCGAGCTTTCGCTCGCGTAGTAAAAGCACGACTGACGCTCCTTTCTTTAGGCGCCCGAACTACAAGGTTTCACAGCCTTGCGCGCTAAACGCGACGCGCCCGTGGTGCTCCAAGAAGATCGCCTGCGGGCCGTGATGCCGGCGCTTGATATCACAGCCACCCAGAAGGCGCGCTACGACCGGATATTCGAGCAAGAACAGGAGGACATCGTCGCTGCCGCGCGACCTAAACCGAGCAAACCGGTGATCTACGTCAACGAGAGCGGGTTCCTCACGCAGACGAGGCCGGAGGGTGACGATGTCGAGATCTGGCAGCCGTCGCCGACACAACGTCCTGGGCCTTCGTCGACGCAGTTACCTGATCTTGGCCCTACTCCGACACAGCTGCGAAGGATAGAGCTTTCGCCGACGCAGCCTACGCCGTCACGACCAGCGCTGCAGCGTGCGGGATCGAGCGCGCGAAGGACACCGCTTGGGACGTTGTCCGTCTCTACGCCTGGCTCGGGCGCGATGACGGGCGACGAAGAGGACGGGACGCCGTTAGCGCCGCGTAGGCTGTTCAGGAAGGGCGAGATGCCCATGGTCAGGCCCGAGTCACCTACTCAGCCTCAGAAGGCAAAGAAAGTACCCAATGTGCACGACGTGTTGAAGGAGGCACAGAGGCGCGAGCTAAGGCGGAAGCAGCGAAAGGAGCTCGGGGAGTTTATGGGTGATCAGGCGGAGGAGAGCGACGATGAGATGGCGTTTGGTTGGGGTGGGGCAAAGAAGAGCGACGATGAGGAGGATAGTGATGATGACGACGACGCGGAACTCAATGGGCTCATGGATCACAGAGACATCGGGGAGGAGGAGCTCGCGAGGGAGCGGGTGCAGGAGAAAGTCGCGTATGTATTTTCCCCGCTGTTTCTATGCTCGATGCTAACGTTCGACGCAGAGAGCAAGAGGCGGCGGACGATGCAAGGTTGGACAAACGTGTGCGGGATATCGCTACGGGCAAAGAACGCCAGAAGCGGCGGCGCGCCGGCTTGGACTTGAGCGATAGCGACGACGAAGACGTGGACAAGGAGGAGAGAGATCGTCTTCGTCGAGAGAAGTTAGCTCGCAAGAGGCGTAAGACCGGCGGCGACACCCTTGATGCGATGAGTACGTCTTTTCGCTCTTCTTTTCGTGTCTGCAAATCAATGCTGACGTCGCGCAGGTAAGGATGAGAAACAAGCGGCATTCGCCAGGGCATACTATGAGCATATCGATGACAACGAAACTTTCATTGAGCCTCTGCCGGACGACGATGAAGAAATGCCTATGGATGGGGACGATGGTATGGACGGGGACGAGGATGAGGATGGAGAAGAACGCGAGGTTGTTGCCGCCAGCGATCTACAGGCGCAGCTGCGTGAGGTTGCGAGAAGTGGCAGGGGAAAGGTGCGCTTGAGGTTCGCCCAACTTTCGATGTATCATCTAACGCGGTCCTGCAGAACACGGTCTTTGACCCGAACGATATATCCGGGTTTGAATATCCAGGCTCCGATGATGAGCAGCCGGTCAACGTACGCATCGTTGAGACAGCTCCTCGGGCTCAACTGTTACGTCGTCCGCAAGGAGAAGACGAAGACGAAGACGACTTCGGCTATCCACGACACGTATGTCTTCATTGGTGTTTCTGCTTCAGCATGTACTGACATACCCCTCCTAGCGCGCGACACAAGATGTGGATCCAACGCGCAAGGTCAAGGAGAAGCAGTGGGCAACCGAGGCTGGCGCTGCTGCACTTGGCACCGCCCGGAGTACCGCTAGCTCCTCTGTTCTGAGGAAGAAGTCGAGCAAGATGGCCCCGCCAGCTGTACCGAAGGCGAAGCCGATGCGCAAGACGGAAAGTTTACTCAAGGGCGCGATGGCGCAACGCAAGCCTGCGTTGACGCGCACGGGAAGCTAGCTACTATGATATTTATCTCATGCAGTCTATCATGTTTTGATTCTATCGCTCTCATGTTTTGTATGTGCCTACATCTATGAATTTTGCATACAGTGATTCGGGTAGTGACGAGCCCGTGTGGTCAAAGTGGCGCCGAGAGAGGGGAAGAGCCAAGGGGCGGGCGTCTCCTGTTTTGGGGTAGAAGATTGATGACATCAATAATCAGCGGGCCGTGCTAGTTCGTTGGGTTCGCAACAGAGTTTGGTTCCCTGCCGCGACGACGACGGGCAGGAAGACGACATTCACGACGCAGTGACCCACGACCACACGAGCCCCGTCGGCGGTGTCGTACCATAGGCCTCGGACAATATGTTCCTTCTTTTCTTTGCCGCCACCGCCGCCGCCGCGGTCTTGTTCCTCCTCCGCATTCCCTCGGTATGGCAGTCGCTCATGGCACTCGACGACGCCGGCGACATGCACGAACTCGGCATGGCATTGGTGGCTGCACGTATGTATATTTGTCTGAATTATAACTGATCATGTCAACTGATCGTTGTCGTGTGCAGGTAATCCGTTTAGGGAGCAGGGCCCTCCAGTGTGCATGGCAAAGCTCATCATGCTCCGCCACAAGGTTTGTGCCCGGAATGTCATTAAATATACAATATACTCATAGCCTACAGTTGAACCAGGTCAACTCGCGAAAACAGCGCCGGTCACCGTCACCCGCGCGTCAGGCGCGCGCGTGCCCGCCTCCACGCCAGCGCTCGCCCGCCCTGCCGTGGGTCCGGATGCAGCACCGCGGCAGCCTGTCGCACAATTGAGAGAGCACCCCGTCTTCGTCCGCCGCGCCACCACCCTCCACCAGTCCTCGTTGACAAAGACTCCAGCTCACGCATCACCGCCGTTCCCGAGCCCGAGTCTTCTTCCTCCACGCCATTCATCCGCCGAATTCCGTTACATTCACAGCGACTTTTGGCTTCTTTCTACTACACGATACCCCAGCTTTACTCTACCACACGCTGGTCCCTCTCCCCTATTCCCCTGTGGCCTGCCCCTCCCCGTTTCATTGTTCTATCGGTTCAGGTCCGAACATTTTGTTCCGCTTAATCCCTATGAGACTCCCTGTTGTTTATTAGCCCCCCTCCGCGCCAGCGGCTATCCCAGGACCTAGACTCATATTTCTTCGCGCGTTATTTCACCCCGGACCGCGGCGGGGTCTGTCAGTGGAGAGGCGTGGTTGAGGTTCGGTTGGATATTTTGGTTGGATTTGGGCGGTCGGAGCGTTCAATCGCGCTTTGTGTGGTCGATTTAGTTCGTTCTTCTTCGAGGACCCTTTCATACCCTTACTTTGGAGGCTGAACGATACGGCGGAGAGAAGACTACATAAAATCTTGTATAGACATCGATAGGATCGGGCTTTGTCACTTCTTAAACCTTATCGGGAGCTCTAGGAAGCCCGAGGCCGACCACGGGCGATTCTCGTGGCAGAACCTACTTTACAACATCCTTGGCGCTTCTGGCCTCTCTACGCCCATCATGGATTCGGTCAGTTTCGGGTGGGATCAAATTAACTCGGGCGTCGCGTCAACGATGCCGCCTCTGTCGCGCTCGAGCGCGGTGGAACTGGCCAACATCCTCGCCGGCGATGCGCGCCTGTACGAGCCCAGGCGGCTTCCGGTCGGCACCGATTTGTCAGAGATGGACTTGATGGGTCTGCGATCCCAGGTGCGCGTACATGCCATAGCTCCGGACGATGACCTAACTCTAATGTCTGGGACAGCTTCGCGCGGTAGACGACTTGTTGCCCTCGCGCGCAGCAGAGCACGACGCGGTTTACTTCGCATACTCAGCCAAACACCTTCCTGCGACCGTCGCCGCGCTGAAAGCGATCAATATCAACACACAACCACGTTACGCAGCAGGACTCGTCAACATTCTCGCCGTCCTTCCCGATCCGAAAGAGAACCCGTACTTGCGCACCGTTCTTGCATCCGAAGAGGCGCGGGGGCTCGGAACTCTGATCACACGTGCCTGGTGCGATGGCAAGATCGAGCCGCTGCTACCCAGCGGATTGGGCTATATCTTGACGTTCATCATCCATACACTATTCTGGAGTCCATACCAGTGGGGAGACGACGGTAAAGGCTCGATCGATGCTGCCGAACGAGCGCGTCTACACGAGAAACTACAGCCGCTCGAGGACGCGGTTCCTCCACGTTCACCTCCCGCCACGCGACGCGGCGAATTGGATACGTGGATAGAGATCAAGAGACTCAACGGCCTACTACAGCCTTTGGAGCATATGGAGGGGCCACCTGGGTGGTACATAATGCATACACAGCGGCATCTGCAAGGGCAGGTCACGCCAGTGGACATATGTGATGTGTGCATGGATGAGGGCGAGAAGGTGGCGCGGTGCTCGCGGTGTAAGGCGGTCGGATACTGTGGCGCCAAGTGTCAGAAGAAGGCATGGAAGACGCATAAGTTACGATGTTTCACGCCGCCGCTGTAAGCCTGCGCTGTGCCCATAGCTTTCAAGTTCAAGCGTCTTCGGGAACTCCATGATTGCATTCGTAGTACCAAATCCTGGAATACAGTCACGGTAGGACTTCTATCCACCATGACATCAATTGCACTGTGCGAAGTCTATCCACCCCGATGATGCTCTCCCGGAATATCTGCTTCTGACATCTCGTTCACCCTTTTGCTCCTAGACTGGGCGATGCCTAACATCTCGTATCATAGCCAACGAATCTACGCCTTCTCATGTCTGCCGCGGAAGGTCACCGTGACAGCACGCGACCGTAACGCTATCATATCGGATCTGTCCATCAAAGCGTCAGCGCTTCAGCCTGCGCTCCGACCAGTCGGGAAACACTCAGCTCGCTCGATTATGTCCGGCGCCAAACGGATATCCGACCTACTTATCGGCGTCCAACTCCTGCTCATCTCATCAGCTCCTGTGGTTATTCAAGCCCTTCCGGCCGGAGAATAAGGCTTAGGCATGCACTACGCGTTACCTCTGACAGCATCTTCTGCAGGGTATAAAACCCGCATTGGTCGAGTGGTTACTTCAGTCCACAGGCGTCCTACTCGAATCTCGTTGTGTTCACTATGTCCACTCGACTCGTCTGGCTTATAACCGGAACATCCTCCGGCCTAGGCCGTGACTTCGCTCTTGCCGCTCTTAAGCGCGGTGACAAGGTCATCGCGACGGCTCGCGGGCGGTCCATGGCAAAGCTCAAGGACCTTGAGGAGCGAGGCGCGGACGTAATGGAGCTCGATGTCACTGCTCCTTTTCCCGATCTTCAAGCGATCGCTACCAAGGCGCTCGCCATACATGGCACTGTCGACGTTGTGGTAAACAACGCTGGTTACGTCGAGTTCGGATCAATTGAAGAGTCCACGTACGCAGAAAGACTATTTCTACGAGAGCGCATGATGATTGACTTCATTGAACGCAGGCCAGAAGAGACACTCGCTCAGTTCAATACAAATGTCTTCGGTTTACTGAACGTCACTCGGGTGTTTCTACCTCATATGCGGTCGCGCAAGGCTGGTACTGTCGTATTCATTGGGTCCATGCGTGGCTGGATGTGAGTTCATAACAGGTATAGTGGGTTTCAGTCAGCTCAACACCATCCTAGCACATCCGCTGGTAATGGGCTGTACGCTGCTAGCAAGCACGCTGTTCGCGCTCTTGCCGACTCGCTCGCCGAAGAAGTTTCGCCCTTTGGTATAAGAGTGTTGAACATAGAGCCCGGATACTTTCGCACACCAATCCTGCAGCCCGGCACGCACCCAGCATACGAAGCGCGTATTCCTGCGTACCGGCCCATCATCGGTCCCATCAGCGACTTCTTACAAGGTATGCGCTATGGCCTTAAACCAGAATGACAATGGCTTATGCTTTTCTAGCTGCTGATGGGCACCAAGCTGGCGATCCTGCCAGGGCGGCCCAGGTTCTTGTGGAGCTCGTGCACGGGGAAGGCGTTGCAGAAGGAAAGGCATTGCCCGTCACCATCGGGTTAGGAACGGATTACTACGAAGAAGTCAAAGCATTCGCAGAGCAGTCGCTCAAGCGCATAGAGAATTGGGGGGCAGTATCGAAAAGCACTGACTTCCCACAAACATCTAGGCAATTGGAAGGCTGAAAGGCTGAGTTTGATGCGTGATACATTGGTACTGTAATGTCTGTACAAAAGGAATGTTTATCAGAGGACTCAATAAGTCGATGCGCATCACAAACCAAGAGATCAGGTCGCTAAATGAGCTACACCGTCAACTATCACCGCACTCGTCACTAAACCCAGCATAGTATCCAGCCGAAGAATCCCATCCTGCCCCTCCAAGACGTCCGCATGCAGAACCTCGACATTAGCCAAAGCCTTCCTCACCGCCTTCAGCTCTCGCAAGTACGCACAGAGACTGTCGAATGTCTCTGAGACGTACTCCGCGTCGAATTCCTTGCCGCGCAATCTCGCCAAGTCGATACAGATGCCAGTGACGCGTGTGCGCACATCGGAGGCAAGAAGGAGGGCGCGAAGGATGTCTAGTACGAGGTGCGCAGGGTTCCCGGGTTCGATGACGAGAACCGCGTTGTCGATGGCGAATGGTATTGAAGGCATGGTCGGTTGTTCGTCGATGAATCTCGAGACCCTTCTATGCACACTCTTGAATCTCGTATCGATGCACGCCAATGGAGCAGCTGAGAGTATCACTGGCAAGAGTATGCCCGCCATGTCGTCCAAATCCAGCTCGGGATTGACATGCTGGTCTCCAGCGACGATGACTGCGACATCTGCCTGAACTCCATCGCGACGAGAGGAAATGTAGAATCGATTGGCATAGGTGTATAATGTCCAGTCTCCAGCAATTGCCGGGGGCGAAGAGAGGAAGTAGGTTCTGAGATTAGAGGCGAGCTGCGTGGGTCCTGTGGCAGGCTCCATGCCAACAAGGTTGAGGGAAAGATGCTCGGATGATGAAAGAGTGCAGCAGTCGAGCAGCGCGTTGAGCACGGTAACATCACCGTGATAGCTGATGCTGCGAAGATTGGGCAGTGCAATTTTGAGCGGCGGGTAGGGAAGATCGCGGGTGTGTCGGTAAAATCCGTTCACCTCGATCACCCTCAGCGTAACAAGTGCCGGACAGAGCTTGAGAAGGTCTGACAGTGCGACAACGATGTCATCCAGAGAGGGTAACGACAGGGTGAGGTCGGTGAGGAATGGGAGGTCCATCGCGACCTTACGGGGAATAAGGCCCAGGCTGAGTGTACGCATAGTCGAGCCAGACAGGATGCGCGACACTTCGTGATCGTATGCTTGTGCATTTTTTGTGGCCTGCAGGTGGAGATCCTGCAGGCCAGAGTGCTTGACGACTGCGAAGCGGTCGAGGAAGGCGTGCACAGCGCTCTGCGAGTCCCAATTGGTGCCACCAATAACTCGCGCCCGAGTTCGCGGCAATTCAACGGACAGAGCTTTGAGGTTCCCCGTGAGTGCATCCCAAAATGGGCTGCCTGGGCTTTGTAAGAGCTCCGCTGTCTTTCGGTCGTATTGGAGTCTGACGCTGAGCGGCCAACCCTTGGCTCGTTCTACGCGGGCCATATAGAACCCCAGAGCGGATTGAGGGGGTAGAGTCCGAGCTGCAGGATTGGGTATCGCATGATAGCTCCAGAGCTCGCAATGTGCGACACCGACTTCTCGGAAGTAGCGACAAACGAGCATCAACCGGACCCAACCGAGATCATACAACGCGTGTTCCTCGTCGGCGACAGCTTTGAAAATACGCGATAGGAGCTCAGGGGCAAGAGCACCAAGCAATGATGAGCCCTTGTTGGGAGTGTCCTTGATCTCCGCATTACTGCCCCGGAGTCAGTATGAGGAGGGGCAGTAGTAACGGGTCGGGCGTACCCAATGGCGCTGACCACGTCGGCAGTATGAAGGACAGTGTGCCCTTCCATGAGTGTACGTGTACCAGAAGCTATGACACAGTAGTTGATTGGCGGTGCAGCGGCTATTGAACGCTGCAAGATATATGCCGGGAGCAAGGGAAGAAGCTGGAGTAAGGCGACGCAAGCAGGTCTTATAGCTTCATACGCATGCTCATCGCAGATCTGCGTCGAGCGCATGACATGATGGCTTATCTCCGAGCACCGCCGACTCCAAGTAGTTGGCTGAGGGCTACGTTCAACTCAGCCTGGAGGGTGAACCAAGTGTTGCGGTCAGGTCCTGGCGGCGCCACAATAGATGCACGACTTCTTGGTTGGCAGTACAACGCAGACGGAGGTGAGATACACAGTACGTGCTAGAGAGCTTCTCACAGTCGAGTTAAGGCTATATGACATTACTACTCGGCGAGTCCGGTAGAAGATAAGAGATCGTGCGTGAGGGATTCAGGTGGTGGAGGTTTGAGCACAGGCGCGGCACTCCGGGGAATCGCCACGAGGCTGCCGGCGGCGAAGTGGGACACCGATCACCGTGACCGTCAAATCCTTTGAAAATCATTCATGGGATAGACTGAATCCGCACGGGCTACACTTCAGGTACTGTGTAAGACTGAAATAGACCTATGAATCAACCCAAACGATTCTGCATCGTGATCACAATTCCCCCAGTTTCCAAACGCCGGGTCACTAGACAATCATACCGCCTACCCTTCGTCGGTCCACAAATTTCAAGTCGATCGACATTCGTATACTTAGTAGACTTGCAGTCGGGTCTTTCATCTTAGAAGGTCTATCTCAATGAAGCAAAACGTAGGTACATCGACTAAAAGGACAGCCAGTGGTTGATACAATGCGATGCAATACAGTATTTATTCCGAGAATGTCACCAACTCAACGCGTCTTGATGATTCCAGCGTTCACGAGCTTCATGATCTTCTGACGGATAGAGGGGTTCTTCATATGGTCCTGCAGTGCCTGTGGGTTGGACTGTGCCTGTTGGAGAATACTCTGCATGATCGGGTCGCTCATGATGTTCTACGCCGTGGTCAGTACGGCGCCGGTGATGACTATGAGCAAGATGAGTACTCACCGCAACCTCGGGATCCTTCATCGCACGCTGCAAGGCCTCCTCCTCCGTCTCACCTTGGCGTTGCTGGCTGATGGCAGCGTTGATCTTGTACATTTGATCCTGGATCTCGCGCGTATGCTTCCCTGCATCGTCGTGCTCCGTGGCGTCCTGTACGGCCTCAAGCGCCTTGGTGTAGTCGCGCATCGCAAAGAGCACCGCGCTCTTCCGGATGTACGCCTTGACGAAAGTTGGGTCGATCTTGATTGCCTCTTCGGCATCCTTAAGCGCCTCGGAGAGCGCCATGAGCTTCGTGTAGGCGTTCGAGCGATTGTTATACCCGCGTGGGTCAGACGGGTTCCGCTTGATTGCCTCGGTATAGTGCTTCACGGCGCCGGGCCAGTCTCCTGCCTTGAACGCCGCGTTGCCCTCCTCGCGCGCCTTCTCGCTCAACGCCGGGTCAACGTACGCAGCCTTCTCCGCCTCGGCCTGGGCCTTCTCTGCCTCGCGCAGCTTAGCCAGGATGTCGGGCGTACGGTGCTCCGTCAAAGACTTCTGGTAGTACTTGACCGCGTTGACGAGGTCGTTCTGTTTGCTGTACGATGTACCAATGCGACCGTATGCTTTGGCGATCAGCTTGTAGTCCGCGCGGAGCTCACGTCCCTCCTCGATGGCCTTCTCGGCAATCTCAATCGCCTTTTGGTAGTCGCCCTTCTCGAAGTACACGGCTGGAGAGGGTATGGGCATTCAAGTGAAGGAGATAGGCGGGAATTACACGTACCGCTTAGGTTGGTAAGGAATGTAACGTCCTTTGGCCACACCTCCCACGCGCGCGAGAAGTGCGTCTCGGCCACATCAAGCTCGCGCTTCTTGTACGCCTCCGCACCCTTCTTCTTCTCAGCCTCGGCCTCACGTTTTGCGGCGGCCTCGTCGTCATCAACCTCTGGCTCTGGCTCCTTCATCTGCACGTCTTCCGTCTTGGACGAGGATGCCGTTGGCTGGGGAGGTGGCGGGGAGGTCGGCTTTGACTGTGTGGGTGGCGGAGAAGCGGGGGAGGGAGAGGACGCGTTGAAGCCCGGCGGCATCTCTTCAGAGCCCTCGGGGCGAGAGAAGCCTTGCATGTCGATCCCCATGAGCACACCGAGGACATCGATCATGCGCGGGTCACTGCCGAGCAACTGGTTCCCGAGGGTGGGGTTCTTTTGCACCATCATCAACTGTACAAACGTATGAGCGTCATTATGATATGGAAGAGAGAGAAGTCAAAGGGGACGCACCATGTTCATGAAGCTGGGGTCGGCGAGGTGCTTCGATGTCCGCGGGTTACCGGCCAACTTCGCGATGAGGTTGGGGTCGCTGAACATCTTGCCGAGACCAGCCGCCTCGGCACCGTCGCCACGCTCATCGGAGGCTGCAGCATTATGATGAGCGCCTATGAAAGAGCAACCAGAAAATGCCAGACTACATACCCTGTGCGGCCTTGACCTCCTCGAGGCCCTTGCGAAGTGGTGCGCTGTCCTCGATCTTCAAGCCAGTCTCATACGCCTCGATCGCGTCGGCATAACGCCTCTCGCCGTGCAGCGCCGCGCCCTTGCGCAAATATCCCTTTGCCCACGTAGGGTTTACCTTCACGCACTGTACATTTCGTCAGCATGAATGGTCTCTGTCAAGATAGACGCCAGATAAGGTGCACAATACATGATGCGCGCATCGAGGATCGCTGCACGCCACAGCGCCCAACAACTTCCGGCCCGAAAAGTCAAAGTACATACCTGCTCAGCATCCTCGAGTCCACCGGCATAGTCGCGTTTGCTGATCTTGGCTGCCGAGCGGTTACTCCAGAGCACATGGTTATTCGGGTCGAGCTCGAGAGCCTTTGAGAAGAGGGTGATCGCGCTGTCGTAGTCCTTGGCTGAGAACGCCTTGTTGCCCTGAGCCTTGAGCTCATCCACAGAAGCCATCACGTTCACGATCTATGTAGCGCAAAGGAGATGGAGAGAGGTGTCAAAGATGGTCGTGGTCTGAGTACAAGTACGTGTATACTTATGTCTCGGCCCAGGCGCTTGCCGCTGTGCTCAACGGCCAGAAAGGGCTTTTCGAGGGCTTTCGAGAAGGGCGCGTCTGCACGGGCCGGGGGTCCGGATACGCGCGCCTCGCTTTCCGCGACGTCCGAGTGTGTTCTTCGTTCTTCCTCCCAGGACACCAGTCCTTGGGCTATGGGCGAACCGAAATGGTCCACTTTGTCCGTTTGTACCAACTGTCCGCATGGATGGCGTGCACATGTCCTGTGGGCGCAAGTCGGACGCATGCAATATCACAATATTTCCAGTGACGCCCAACAGTATACCCCCCCTTTATGCTCATGGCAAAGGGGAGGAACCTCGCACAGTAAACAAAGTCACGAGTCTTCATCAAATATAACGTGCTCTATAGAGAATAGAGTATCGAAGGAAAAATAAACGTGAACCGCTCTCCGCTGCTCGATTACAGTTCCACCCGAGCCTTTCCACCGCGTTTCGCGGCATGCGCTGGTGCACTATTCACGGTGGTACCAGCGATGGTGGCTTGCAAGAGCGTCTGTATCCCGTCCATACGGAAAGTGTCGTTCGTGATGGATTGCGTGGTATTCCCATCGAGCAGCGTGAGCAGCGCTGGCGCATCGGCAGTGTAGACTGGCCATTCAATCAGCGATGCGCCATTCGGATCCAGCCTATTCACGAAGTTGATCAGAGCATCCATGAGATCTCCGGGTGCATAGATGGTGAGGTCAGCACCATGGAACTATCCCCGGATGTACACATTGAGCGTCCAACCTCCTGCGAGACCGGATCATAAACGTACCGTTCCGAGGACGGGCGTCTGTTTGCCTCGTTTGTTCACTGCGAAACGTGTCAGTCCGACGCAAATGTTCCTTTGAACAACGATACTTACAGAAGGAGTAGGCGTTGGCGCTTCCCGCCCGCTTCGTCAGAAGGAGTCGGCGCGGCCCTTGAAAGAGGTAGTCGCCGATGATCGCTGCGATTCGCTTGAACTCCGGCGTGATGGTGTTGTTCGAGCCTGTGTCGAACGGCGAACCTAGCGCCGGGTCGTCCGAGTACGCCGCCAGAACTCCGTCCAGCGTCGAAGCATCCGCATTCGGGAAGTAGTACTCCTGGAGGTATTGCCGAAGCTCGCCCTCGTTTCTAAATTGATCAGTCTCATGTCAAGTAGGCAAAGACTCATGAAGACACACGTTATGTTGCTGTTAACTAGGCCGAATATTGTACCTTCATCATCATCATCGCCTACCATCATGCGTCAGTATGTTGCACGTTCGGCTTGACGTTATCCACGCCCACCGTTCACGAAGGGCACGTCCGCAACGAATCCGTCGAGAACAAGCTGAGGGGCATTCTCGGTCAGGAATGTGCCGTCCGCCCAAGGCTGCCATGCCAGAGATAGGCCCGGGTATTGCCAGAGATTCTGTGAGGTTGCAATGGCTGATCGGATGTTGGCCACGGAGACGTTGCGCAGACATTCAAACACCGCGATAGATCCCAAGAAGTCGGCGCAGCCCGCGTCCGCCGCAAACTTGTCGAAGTAGCCTTGACCTTCAATAGACGTGTATGGGTCACAAAGAAGCTGTGGACATGATCCCACTACTCACCCTGCTCTACAGTGCCTAATCCTCGAGTCATAGGGCCTCCTGATTGCATGAAAGCGCCGCGGAATAGACCCTCGCTGTTACCATTGTACGCAAGCATCTGCATACATACGGAAGTCGATCCCGCACTCTCACCCCAACTGTTCAGAGAGTCAGATAATAGATGACTGAAAAGGTGTACACGCACATGGTAACTTTGGAGGGGTCCCCTCCGAACGCAGATATGTACTTCTGGACCCAGCGCAGGCCCATTCGTTCTGTGAGGCAAGGAGTGAGGACAAATCCAAGGCGATTTGAAGTGCACGTACGGTCTTGAAGTCCAAGATTACCGATGCCTGCCTCGCGCACCTCGGCACCTCCAGGAAACCCGAGCGCTGCATAGCTGGTTGTCAGTCCGTAGTGTAGGTATACTAACGACCGTTCCAAGCGCACCCGATAGTCTTGAGATTCGTCAATAACGTCAAAGCGTACGGACGGCGCGTTCTTACCTGTAGTTTACCGAGACGTAGATCAAAGGTTGGTCCTGTTGCAAAGATGTTGCGACGAGAGCGGTTCCGTTGTTAGCAGATGTGGAGCCAGTCTGGAAGCCACCTGTCCGAGGAGGTGAGTTGAAAGCACTGTCGCTAGGAATGACCTGACGGACCGCCATAAACCCACTACGATTGCGGTTGAGATGCGGATTAGACACTTCCAAGAAAGGAACGTACGAATACCACAGGTAGTTTTGAGTCTTCGATTGTGTTTGCAGGAGTGTATACATCAAGCGTCAAACCTGTCCAGGCGACCTGCCGTGAGCCAGACGCAGTGTTTGAGCTTAGTGATGGAACCCACAGTCCTCGTCGTCAGGCATTGCCACAATAGGTCCACTCAAGGGATTATTGAGGATTGCAGCAGCGGCGGGGGCCAGATCACTCGTATCCGTGATGTTTACCACTTGTTGGATACATGCTACGCCGGAGGACGTAGCGTTGTATGTAGTACCAGAGTATGGCTCATTCAGCAAAGGGGGCCGGAAGCGAAGATTTCCCACACTATGGATGGCTGTCAGTTCAGTGGCGCACGCCTGCTACGAGTCTAACGCACGGTGGTTGAGCGTAAGGGATACCGCGAAAGATTGACACATCTCCCTCCGACGTGCCGACAAAGGTTCCCTTGTCAAGCGTAATCGAGGGGGCTGTATCATTATCTTGGCGGTCGAGAAGAGACTTGGCGAGTGAGATATGAACGAAGCTTAGCAAGAGTTTGAATGCGGATGCCTTGAAAACCATCCTGAAGGCGACAAAGGATGGAATGGTTTGGATGACCCCGGAATCGACGTCTTTTATGCAAGAACTTGAGTCAAGCGGTGCCGCTCGGTGCCAAACGTGCAGGTAAATGATGTATGCATCTAGTGAACTTCGGCGTGGGGTTTCCGTTGGCAGCGCGGAGACAGCCAGCTATTGGGAACAGACCGACGGGTCGGTCGGGGCCGATCCCTCAGAGGCGATACCTGACAACGGTCCTAGTCACTCTCGTCCTGCGGTTCCGTTGAGTATACTGTCGATGATCTTTTATTCACAGTTAACACCAAAGAATGCGGCCAGCCTCGTTCTCATTTGAATGCGTTCGGAACTTTCTCGGAATTTTGCGCAGTGCGTGCAAAGCGCCGGCCGTGCAAGCGAGTCGAGCTTCGACGAGATGGTTTCTCGATTGGTGAGCGCTGAGACCCCAAAGTCTGCGCGTTCATCGTGCCTATTGAGCAATACATTATCAGTTCATCAAGCTATACTTGAAGAGAAGTGACTCGACATGAGTGTGACGCAGAAAGACGTACTGGATGGGGAAAAGTCTTCGGGTTTTGCAAATGATGGGTGATTGATGCGCCAAGGCCACTTCAGCGCTGGGGCTGAGCGCTGACGGATTGCGATTTGGGGAGCAGCATTCACTGGCTATTCATGGTTCGACTGGTATATACAAATAGAGGATAAATTTCAGAGAGGCGGCACTCGTTGTTTGAATAACTTGATCCTTGGATATGGCGGTGCAATCCGGGACGTTGTATCCACATATATCACTCCCTACGGTTGGCGGATACCGGCGACGGTGGCCTGTGAGATTGCTTGTATGCCCTCTACGCGGAATGTGTCGTCGGTGATCACTTGAGTGATATTACCCTCAAGGAATGTGAGCAATGCTGGCGCCTCAGCGGTGTATGCGGGCCAGTCAATGAGCGAAGCGCCGTTCGGGTCCAGGTTGTTCACGAAGTGGATCAGAGCATCCGTAAGGTCAGTACCTTGAAATATATCGAGGTCGGTACCATGAGCCTAAGAAGCCAATCATGAGCTAGCGGGCGAAGAAGCTCGGCTGCGGACATACCGATCCTATCACGGGCGTATCTTTGCCTCGCTTGTCCACTGCAAAAAACAAGTGAGCCTCGATCCAAAGTACAGGGTAGCGTTGCATACAGAAGGAATAGGCACTGGCGTTTCCCGAGCGCTCCGTGAGGAGGAGCCGGCGCGGCGCATGGAAAATATAGTCGCCAATGATTGCTGACATGCGCTTATACTCTGGAGTGATAGAGTTATTCGAACCGGTGTCAAAGGGCGAGCCCAGTGTTGGATCGTCTGGATAAGCCGCCAGCACGCCATCTAGCACAGTATCATTCACGGTGGGGAAAATGTATTCCTGAAGGTACTGGCGAAGCTCGGCAGCAGTTCTGTACAGAGTGAGTACAGCCGTCGACGTCGGGGGTCAATGTGACGTACGTTATGTTGCTGTTTCCCAAGCTGAATAACGTGCCTTCGTCGTCGTCGTCACCTAAAATCGCACTGCTTAGCCACGTATACAAAATTATGACAGCAAGTCTTACCGATCACGAACGGTACGTCCGCTACTGCGCCATTGAATACGAGCAGTTGCGCGTTCTCTGTCAAAAACGTCCCATCCGCCCAAGGCTGCCAAGGTAAAGCCACACTCCCGTAGTCAAATATCTTCTGTGAGGCTTTCATCGCTGTGCGTACATCATCCACGGACGCGTTGCGTAAGCAGTCGAACACAGTGATGGATCCCGATGAAGCACCACATCCAACATCGCCAACGAACTTGTCAAAGGCCGGCTGGCCTGGAACGCGTATATGTTCAAGTACTGGCAACTCCACGAGGAGGCTACATACCTTCCTCCAGCGTCCCTGTCTTCCAGCTGATGGTCTCCACCGAATGTAGATATATATTGCTGGACCCAGCGCAGGCCCAGCCGTTCTACAGGGGATTAGGCAATGTCTCATATCAGACAACTGTAGATGGCTAATACGCACGGTCATGGAGTCCAATGTTGCCAATGCCTGCCTCGCGCACTTCCGCACTACCAGCGAACCCGAGCGCTTGGAGGTATTCGTCAGTCATGGATATGGTCACATCAAGGCGAATCACGTGTACCCGACAATCTTGCGTGACATGAGTGCGAGAACTCCTTCAACTCAGTAGTATGCATCCACTTACCTGTAGTTCACCGCAACGTATATCACTGGCTCGTCGATCTGCAAGGATCTCGCCACCAGAGCAGTCCCATTATACCAAGACGCTGCACCGTTTTGGAAGCCGCCTGCCGAACGGTGAGTGAGTCGACCGCCTTCTCATTGGACATGATTCAAACCGCCATAAATCCACTGGTACCGGATGTGTCAGCTACATGCTTCACAGTTGATATGGATGGCCACGCACGTAAGCAACGGGCAATCTGGAATCCTGGGTCGCATTCGCAGGCGCGTAAACATCGATCGTGAGACCTGGGTCACTTGCTAAGCGCGTACACAAGTCGAGCGCTGTTACGTACTCACAATCTTCATCTTCGACCGACTGTTGCGAGCTATCTATAATTTGTTGCAGTAGTTCCGCGGCGATCGGGTTCAAGGCGGTTGCGTTCGTCACATTTGCTGTCTGTTGAATACAAGCGGCGCTGAAGACCGTAGCATTGTAGATGCCATTGTATGGGTCGTTCGCAACGGGGAGCCGGAAGCGAAGGTCGCCTACACTGCGGGTGGTTGTCAGCAAGTTCAAAACAATGAATAGCAACGCGTCCTACGGGGGTTGGGCGTATGGTAAGCCGCGGAAGGCGGAGACGTCTCCTTCTGACGTGCCGACAAATGTTCCGTTGTCGAGAATAACCTCGGGGCCCGCCGGCTCATCAGGAGTCGCAGTCCATGCGGCAACTAAGGAACATTGGACAAGTGTCAGAATCCCAAGCAGTGTATGCGCCATTCTCAAGGGAAGAGGGAGGAAACCAACGCCAGCGTTCGTCCTCTATATACCAATCAGATGGCCAGGCGCACATTCGGCCTCGTTGCTGAAGATGTATGAGGATCCTGACGTTGCCTGCTGGCCGTGTAGACGCGTAGACGCCAGTGCCGGCCCGTCAATAGTGGCGCGTTCACGTTGCGCTTACGGTCCTGACCCACATTGGCACGGTTGAATTGGCATGGGGTCACCGTCAGAGAGTAAGCATATGATGCTTGATGGACAGGCCCGGGGCAGGATAGCGGGTAGTATGCGAAGGTGGCTGCGCGATTTGAGGCGCCCAATCACTCGCAGCTCGTCGCGTACTTGTCAATAAGCGTTCACAGTCACAGGCGTCTTGTCAGCGTGTTCTGGAGCGTGGTCAAGAGCGCCGGCATGCAGAAGCAGAAGCAATGAATTTCTGGGAGACACACATGAGCGAAGCTTCTGCGGCACAGAACGATTGGTACGCACCTGGTACTATGTACGTGTAGGTGCGATATATTCCTTCAATAATGCGTCGAAAGACTACCGCCGCCGAGCCTCATGCACGCGGTCTCAGATGTCCGACCTTCCCATAGCCATGTATCGAAATACATGCCGTCTTGGTGATGTGTCGGGATGAGGCTGGTAGGCAAAACCCTGCGTGTTGACTCGCGCCACCGAGGGCTCTGGCCCGATGTTGGAGGATGTTGGTGGTGCAAGGCCTGTCGGATGCATGATGGGCGTCCCGGACAATTGACGCGTTCGCTCGGCGCTCACTTACGTTGCCAGAGGCCACCACGATGCATGATGGCCCTATCACTGTCTTGCACCGATACGACAATACATAATGTCCACAAGACCAAGGAAGGACCCATCTCTCGACGAAAGCTCAAGTCAGCATCGAGTCACCAGTCCGGCCCGTGCGGACCAGAGTCATCGGACGACCCATACTTATATCTTGACTGCGAACCTACGCTCCTAGACTCTGCGCAACGCTCAATCGCCTTCCTTTGTATACGCTATGTCCGCAGACTTGAAGAGTCCTGGTTCGTCGATGTCTTCATATCTGGAAAATCCATCTGACCTTGCCCGCCGCCACAGTCAAGCACTTTGGCGTGCTCGTCTTCACTGGGTTTCAGTATGCCGCGTCATCGTCCACGACTGTTCGTACTCATATGCATTGGCTTTGGTAGAGCGCTAGACGCCTTTGGCCCCCTCGATATCCTCAATACACTCGCTGAAACGCAAGGCATCACGCTTTCCGTGATTGCATACACACTTGATCCAGTCACCACCAAGCCGCCTTCAAGTTTCTTGAAACTACCCGCGGGCTCTAACTTTGCAGAGTCGATCGTGCCTACACACACGTTCGCCAATCCGCCGAAAGATCTCGACGTTCTAATTGTCCCCGGCGGTTGGGGCACACGAGAGTCGACGCCAGAATTACTGAGCGCGCTCGACTTCATCAGGAGCACATTCACGAACCTTGGTCATCTTTTCACTGTTTGTACGGGCTCGTTACTGGCTGCTCGCGCTGGCGTATTGGACGGGCGGAACGCCACCACCAACAAGGTGCGGCCGTTGGACATGCTATGGTCTTTCACTGGCTCTATCCTAACGTTGACGTCTGCATCCTGTTGCTCATGCTTGTTTACAGAACGCGTTCGAGAGAGTCAAGGCCGGCCATCCGAACGTCAAATGGGTGCAGCGAGCGCGCTGGGTCCGCGATGGAAACGTCTGGACGTCGTCTGGCGTCTCGGCAGGGCTAGACGGAATGTTCGCATTTGTTGCTGTCCACTGGGGCGAAGAGGTTGCGAAGGGTCTTGCGAACTCTCTAGAGTACGAACGGCATACCGATCCCAGCTGGGACCCGTTCGCAGAGATATTTGCGGGCCTCGTGGACTAAAGAATACGAGCACTGTATGAACACTCACCCGATCCCGACAAATTGATGTGGTTGTACAGCATATACTTGTGAGAACTGAGTGCATGACACTACGACGACTTTGATTCCCACTCACAAAGTGGCCCAACTACTAGTAGAGGAACGAATGCGCATAGTACACCCTCTATCACAAGGTTGCGGCGGCCCTGGGATGTTGGTTAGCTTCGCACGGATTCTCTTGATGTAAAAATGTGCTTCACCATCGCTACACTAGGTGGCTCCACTGACCGGAAGGCGGCGATCAAGTACAGGCGGCGGATGATCGTGAGAGTCGTCATCGGTACGACGACGCAGGTGGCGAGCTGGATGTGGGATGCTATTTATGCGATTTGTGATTAGCGGATATTGAAGAAGATGAAACCATCGCGAAGTACAAATGTCACAGTAGACGCGGTACTTGATGTCGGCATTGTCAGCCCATATAATGGCGTTGATGCCGAGGGTGAGACTTTCGAGGCATAGCCAAACGCAGAGAAAAGTAACGCTGAAGTTCCAACTACGTCGGACGACGTTGGTCAGAAGAACAAGCACCAAAAGAGATACAGAGATGAAGCATGCCACCGGGAAGAGTGGGTATGTCGGGACCACGGCAGCCATGCTGTAGGGAACTGGCACGCGGGTGTGCGTCGATATCTTAAATATATCGCAATACGTAGGTGGTAGAGCTTAGGTGATGAGCACCGCCTTCTTAGTGTATCAGCATTTCTGAGTAGGAGCAGCGACTGATCGGGTGGTCCGCGTGGGCGCGTATAGGAGGCGATGATATACATACACCTGGCATCACACAGGAGGACGGACGTAGCACGTAGGGTGAACTCCACAACATGATATGTGAGTAGTGTTACTGAGAGTATGTAGAGGATCGTAAGAATTGGCAAAGGCAGGCGCTGATAGTCATGATATGCAGATGCATCGAGTCGCTGCTGGTGGCCGCTGCGAGGAGAAACGCGCGCGCGTTCCTACGGAGCTCGGGACGCAAAGGCCGCTTCCCACGCCCTCCGGACTGGTGTGCGTTCTTGTTCTCGCGCGGACGGTGGCGAGCACGCTCTTGTGCTCTTGCCATATCCTCCCCACGTACAGTCTGCCTTCACTTTTGACCTTTACGACCTTTCAGACTGCTCGAGAGATACTGCTTATATCCTTCTGGCTGCACGTTCTTTGTGGTTGAGCTGCCGTCCGGCCTTACCGCCTCGTCATGAGCGACGTTGTCGCACGAACCTCCGAGTGCATCGCGAAATGGAGTGGGCCGGGACAGGAAGAATGGTGCGCCTTTGATAGATATACTCAAAACAGTATATCTAACTACGAGTAGTCGTAAGCTTCTTGCCGGACTGTCGCGCGTGGAGGGAGAAGACGAAGACGCTGCTGCGATGGTCTGGGAGATGCTCCATTTCGCGGCCTTGCCCATGCTGGCTGGCTCGGTGACGATCGAGGCGTCGACGCTCGTGGGGTTTGCCGAAGCTATGCTCCGCTCGCTGCCGTCGTCGTCACAAGACCCTTCGCCGTCGGCCGAGAGCGCGCGTGCGTTGAGTGACCACCTCATTGACGCCGTCTGGGCCACAGACGCCGCGCTCGACGAACAGATAACGGACATCACGGCCCGAACCACCGCATTGAATGCGGAGACTACGGAGAAGGAAGGGGAAGATGCAACGAACAAGGAGAAGGACGCCGGTCAGACCGAGTGGGAGATCAAGGCACAAGCTGTCAAGGCAAAGCTGGAGAAGGACAAGGAAACTCTAGTCGAGGTCGTCAAGGGTTATATGGTATGTTTTACTGTAAGACTATCTGCTGTTTCTCCTTACTTATTGGCGCCTTATAGCGGGTTGGCGCTGTGGACCCTATTCAAGCACGCGAACGCCTCGACCTCGCATTGATCATCAGCTCTGGCCTCATAGCCAACAAGGCAAACTACGATAGGCGAGAGATTCGCACCCGTACCGGTCTTTTGTGAGTCAAATGAAACAGCAATATCGACGTAACCACCGTGCTCATGCATCTGCAGCTACAAGCAGATCAAGTACAACCTCTCGCGCGAGCAGTCCGAAGGCTTCTCCAAGCTCCTGACCGAACTCACAAGTTCGCTGCCGCCCGCTCACTCAACGTCGACCGGTCGTCCGCTCGAGTCGACGGCTGTCGTACTTGAGCAGGCTGCCCCGGTGTGGGACCACATCTTCAGCGTCATCGGTTACTTCGAGATGGATCCTAACCGCGCCCTCGACATTATCCTCGATGTCTTCTCGACACATATCACCACCCATTGGTCCTTTTTCTTGGCATTACTTCGCCACTCACCGTGGAAAGGCAATAGCAGTCGCTTGCATTGGACTAGCGAGGCGGAGGCTCATGCGCAACCCGAGCCTGCTGCGGAAGGGCGCTACAAGGGGATTGGCTTAGATGAGATGCTGCTCGAGGCCGAGATCGCTCACGCACCCCCGCCTCCACCCGCAGAGAATGAAGTCGAGCCCCAAGCGCGGGTCATGGCGCAGATTCTGGGCTTCAAATTCCGTCATTATATAAACCCCGAAACGAAGGAGACGACGCCCAACACGCTCTACTCTATGACGGCGCTCCTCATTCGTGAGGGGTTTATCACCCCAGACGAGCTCTGGGCCCACCTATCCCCCAGCGACCAAGACCTGGAAGAGCAGGATCATCGAGCCTACAAGGAGTCGGTTGAGAAGCGCAAGTCGGCTGGGACGGTCAACAAGCTCGCCATGACCGGCGCACTCGAAGGCGGCGGCGGGTCCACACCCAAACCACGAGCGCCTGAGAAGAAAGGCCCGGAAGAGAAGAAGACGCCCACGTCCAACCAGAAGGTCGGCCTCGTCACGGCGCTTCTGGCCGTGGGCGCTCTACGCCCCGCGTTCGCCATCCTCTGCAAGTTTCCCTGGCTAAAAGACGCATATCCCGAGATCGCCGACGTGATCCTGCGCATCATGTCCTACCAACTCTCGGCGCTCTACGAGCTGCGCAACCCGCCCAAAGTCCCGAACAAGGCGTCCTATACGCAGCCGCGCGCACGCTACGGCGCCGCCGGCCCGCAAGCCGCGCCACCGCGGAGGAAGGTGCTGACGTTGGTCGCGCCCCCGCCTCCGTTCACGAACAACACTGATTTTGTGTTCTTCTTCCCCGGTTGGACGGAGCGGGTGCCCGTGTGCGCGAGCGAGGATGACTTTGAGGATGTTCTCGAGCCGTTTATGGCGTTCGTGGGCTTCCAGATCTCGAGGGACTTGATGTTCGTGACGAAGTTTACAAGGCTGGGCAAGAAGCAGTTGCAGGATGTTCTTGGGGACCCATTCGTCAAGAAGCCGACGGAGACGGACTACAGCAACCCCGTCGTCGCTTATTGGGTTCGGACCATCAGACTGCACCTGCTCCCTGCACTCTCCCTCGTCCGCGGCAACGCCGTCTGCTGCGTCGACGTCTGGGGCATCCTGCGCTTCTTCGATGCTGCGGAACGATGGCGCTTCTACGGCGAATGGAACACATCGATCTACCACTCCTCTGGCGAGCTCCAGGTTCGGCGGCGGCAGGTCGAGCGAGAGAGTAAAGGCATCATGCGCAGGCTCTCGCTCGACACCGTCGACTCGCTCCAGACGAGCGTGGCCAAGCTCGCGCATTCAAACCCGTGTATCATCTTCTCCATCGCCGTCAACCAAGCCATGGCTTACCCGAATATGGCCGAAGTCATCATGCGTTCGCTCAAGTTCGTCCTCAACATGGGCTTCGACGTCCTCGTTTTCACCGTCATCTCCATTCTTGCCAACCCTGCGGGACGAGAGCGATACAAGCCCGACGGCGTCAACGCATCGGACTGGCTGCAGAATTTGGCGAGGTTTATTGGGATGATGCTCGCGCGGTACAACGTCGACCCCAGCACGCTACTACAGTATGTCATGCACCAGTTCACGAATGACGTGATCTCGGAGGTCATTATCGTCCGCGAGCTCATCGAACGCATGTCGTACATCGAGCCACTCCCGAGTCTATCGGATACACAAGTCAGGATCATGTCGGGAGGCCCCCTCCTCCGCATCGAGGCTGTCGCCAGTCGCACTCGCGGCGCACGCTCCGACCCGCAAGACCAGACGAGCCGTGCACCTGCGCGACTGGTCCGGTACCTCCTCGAGTCGGGCATGGCGCGTCCGCTGCTTATCCAGGTTGCCAAGCTCCGACAAGAGGCGGCGAAGAATACGAAGAACACGCAGCTCAAGTCAGTCGCGAGTCTCTTCGATAATGTTCACGGCGTGTTCCTGCAATACCTCGAGCTTGTACAGTCAACGAGTCTCATCTCGGTGGATCAGTACGCGAAGGAGATCGCGCCACCGCTTGCGGAGCTCGGCGATTTGTATGATATCAGCGCGCCTATGTGCATGCAGATCTTCAGGCCCTTGTTGACGGCGGCTGTTAAGGTAAAGAACTCATTTCTCGTCCTGGCTTGGAAGAGGTGGCTGATGCAGAGGTGGCCAGGAAACGGCGCTGGAGTACCAGCGGCGGGAGAAGTGGGAGAACGAGCAGGCCGAGAGGAGGTTAGCCGAACGTCTCAAGGCGCGTGAGGAGAAGAAGAGCAAGGAGACGACTCCGTCACCCGCCACGACGTCCGACAACATCGCCGTGCAGGTCAAGACGAATGGTGATGCTGCTACTCCGACGCTCAAGCCCGCGGATAGCGATGTGGACATGACAGCTGTTCCGACGGGACCGGCGCCACCGCCGCCCAAATATGCTGGACCCTGGCTTCCACGTCTAGAAGCTTTCTTCAGCGACGTCGAGAAGGTCGTTCCGCAGACCGTCCTGGACACGCTCGGGTGCGTTCGCCCTCCCCATCCGCAAGTTCGCGGGCGTGCCTATATCAAAATTCTCATGCATTATTCTTCTATGATTCCTGCAGCCCGGGCTTCTACATCACGTTCTGGCAAATGACGACATCCGATCTCGGTGTGCCGGACGATAAGTACGCCGAGGAGATGAAGAATATCCAGGCCTACGTCGACGAGGAGCATAAAGAGTATCTGAGGACGGATAGGATCCGGTCGTTGAGGAGCGAGGCGAATGGACATTGGATGAGGGAGAAGAAGGCCAAAGAGTACCTGGACTTGCTCAAGCAAGAGATGAACGACCAAATCGATTCGAGGCAGTTCACGATCAAAAGACTGGCAAAGGAAGCGCCAGTCTGGTTCTCCCCCGGTACGTCAACTCTCCGAAGCTTGTGTGCTGAATGTGTGCTGAGGGCTTGTTAAGATAAGAAGCCGACTCTCATTGCGAGCATGGCTGTGGAACATTGTCTCCTCCCCCGCGCTCTTCTCTCGCCTATGGACGCCGAATACGCCGCTCAGATGATCAAGGCCATGCACGCGCTTGGGACACCAAACTGGCATACACTCAGGGTGTACGACTTGGTTAGCCGATATAATCTTATGGTGTCTATCATACGCTCAACATCGCCCAGCTCCTCGGCGAACAAATTCGTGCTATGACCTTCTCCTGCAGCGAATACGAGGCTCGGAACTACGGACGCTTCCTCTGCACCATTCTAAAGCACCTCAACGTCTGGTACGACGACAAAAACGAATACGCCAAGGCGCAAACTAGGACGGTTAATGGACGGATTGTCGCGCATCTGCACGGGATGTCCAGGACTTGCAAGCCCACACCTGCTGATCAAAGCGAGCATACACCCTGGACTGACTTCCAGAAGCTCGTGCGCAAGTGGCATCGGAATATCTCCATCGTACGCACTATCTCTCAAGTGGGCCCGTGATTGCATTGAGTTGACCGCTGTTCTGTAGTGTTTCAAAGATCTCATCGAGACGGACGAGTATATGCGCGTGTACAACGCCACGATCATTCTCAAGGAGATCTTACCCGTCTTCCCGCTTCTGACCGTGTCCGTTGAGCTCGGTCCGCGAGTCGAGCAACCGGTCAAGGCACTGTTGGACAAGGAAATGGCCATGCCTCCACAAGAGCGTCGCAATGACTTGATGACTGTCGCGCGCGCGTACCACTCAGCTCTGCACAAGCGCGAGTCGTACTGGATGCCGAAAACGCCGCCCAAGGTACGACTCCTCCCACGGCCTTTGATGCCTACGGATCATCTTATCTTATCTTCATTCAGCCTCGCGATGCTATGTCCCGTGCCGCTAGTTCTACCAAGCCATTACCTACTGCGCCAGCCAATGGGACCCCCAAGCCACAGCCCACGTCCACGCCCGGGCCTGGTACACCTCAGCCTCCGGCTGCCATGAATGGCGAGAAGGCGACTGCTACGCCGCCACCTGGACGACCCCTTGACGCGTTCGTCTCTCTGCAGTTGAATATCCCGTCGCATGCTCACAGGACTCTAGTGTGCCCAGACCCGAGGTTGTACGTCGCGTCAATCGTCCTGATACACCGACGCAACCCGCAGCCACCGGTAGCAGCCGCCCGCCCAGTGCGGTCAATACGGGACCGAACCCCATTCCACCTAGGCCACCCGCACAACTTCGCGAGCAGCCCATGTTAGCACCTCCGACACGACCATCCAGGGACGCAATCCGTCCCATGGCGCCGCCGCGTTTGGATATGCGTCCCGACATGCGTATGGACACCCGTCCCGACAGCCCCGCCGTTCCCCCTCCGATGCACCGTACTCCATCCGGAAACGGACGTGACCCTGGCCGCCCAATTCCCAATCTGGTTGCGCCACTACCTATTGCGCCTCACAGGCAGCAGCTGCAACAACAACAGCAGCCGATGTCCCCGTATCCTCGGACACAGGATCTGCGTCGGGATGGGCCTGGCATGCCACCACCAATGGTACCGAGCCAGACGCCTTCGGCGCAAGAGCTTCGGGAGACGGCCAGGCAGACGATGAATCGCAAGGAAGAACAGGCCAATGATGAACGGCAAGGCCGTGGTCCGCCGACCGAGCCCCGTCATGGCGGCTCTCGTGCTCCATCACCACCGACTCGTCGCCGCTCGCTATCTCCCCCCACGCAGCCGGGCACTCGCAATCATAGTGTGGACAGCCGCGGCAGCAGTGGACGCGCGCGTGAGGCGGAACGCGGTGAAGATCGTACCGGAGAACACGATACCCGTGCGGGAGATCGTCGTGATCGCCGCGAACGTACGAGTACACGCGAGTCAGACCGGGATAAGGAACGCGGGCGCGACCGGCACGGTGACCGCGACCGTAAGGATCGTGAGCGGGAGGTGAGGGACAAGGATCGAGATGTGCGCGACAAGGAGCGCGGCGGTGAACGGGAACGAGAAGGCCACCGTGGGGAGCGCCATCGTCGTGATGAGAAGGAACGTCCTGGGCCGCCAGATGCACCTCGCCGTGACCGTATTCCGACCGATCCTAGCACCAGCGATGATGCGCCAGGTGTGAAGCGTAGGCGCGCGGCTGATGAAGAGGTTCGTGGTTGTTCGTTCATCTCAAGTTTCTATAGCGTTCTGACGCATTTATTCTTACAGCCTGATCGAGTGACTAAGCGCACTAGGGAGAAGGAGAAGCGCGACCGTGATAGGACTAGGCGCACTGGCGCTGAGGACAAAGAGCACGACCGCGCTCGTCGCCGCGACCGCGAGACTGCGGAAGCCGATAAGGTAAGCCCACGTTTCTGTTACACGATTACTTTACCTGACGTTTCCAATTCATAGAATGGATTGCAATTGCCCTCATCTACTCCTTCAGCTCCGCGCGCCATGGCTACTGGCGAGTCCAACCGTCGTCCAAGCATTGAAACGTCTGGTCGCGATCGCGAGCGTATGCCGCGCGACATGCGAGATAATGGCGGGCCACCACCAAGCCCTCACCTCTCGGCAGAGCAGAGCTCCCTCCTTTCCCGAATCAGCACGAACCGTGGCGAAGGACAGCGTATACCGCAAGGCCCACGTAGTGGCGTTGAGCCTCCACGCGAATATAATCGTGGGGAGCCTCTTCAAGCTCGTCGAAACGAAGGACCCGGTCTTCGCGCTGATGGACCCGGTCTTCGCGTCGATGGGCCCGCCTTCCGGTCGGATGCTATGCCTCGACGCGAATCAGGTCGGCGAGAGCCTCCCGGTGGACCGCGGCTCAACGAGATTTTCGACTTACCTCCCCATCGGCAAGGCCCACCGCCTGATCGTGGACGTTTGGATGATCAAGACATGCGGCGTAAACGCACAATTGCTGACCGCGAGCGCGATTCGCCTGTGGCGGACCCCTCGATCAGCAGTCCGGAGCCTTCGCAGCAAAACAAGAAGTCTCGCGTGCGCATCGACAGGAATCGTGCGATGGGTCGGTAGTATTCCGCCTCGTTCCCAGTGTTCAGATTTTTTTCTTTGCATGTAATGTTTTCTCTTTTTCTCTTGTTTTGAGTGCATATAGCTCCTCGCATCGCATTTATAATGTACACGGCGTGATTACAATGGTTAGGGTAGGTATGTGTAGTTGTTGAAGCGTCCGCATTACCTGCTTTGAATTTCTGTACAATGGATCCGAGAACTGTGCGATGAGGTACAAACCCAAGGCGGGCAACGAGTTGAATCGCAGTGACTGCGAGTTGAATCGCGCGACAGAGGTCTACGAAATCATTACCGCTTGATGAGGGTCAAAAACTCCTCGCGCGTCTTCTGCTGCGTCCTGAAGCATCCCAGCATACAGGACGTAACCGTCATCGCGCCAGGCTTCTGCACACCACGCATAGTCATGCACATGTGCCTGTATAAGCTCCGTGAGCAAGCACTTTGAGCTTGAGGCCAGGAAATCGACCTACGTAGCCTCCATGACGACTGCGACACCGCGCGGCTTAATGGCTTCTTGTACGCATAGCGCAATCTGCTTCGTTAAACGCTCTTGTACTTGCAACCGGCGACTGAACGTCTCTGCTATTCGTGCAAGCTTGGAAATTCCCAAAACGAGCTTATTAGGAATGTATGCAATCGCGATCTATTGCGTAGGCCATCAGAAAGCTAGAAGTGAACAGTAATCATAGGCATTACCTTGCCAGTGAATGGCACAAGATGGTGTTCGCACAAGCTGGATATGTCAATGTCGCGCACAAGAACCATTTCGTCATGATCCTCGGCGAAGACGGCGTCGTTGATCACATCTGAGGCTCAGATCAGCGAACATTCTGCACACTCAGGGGGATGCTCCAACCGGCGAGGCGCTCTTCGTAGCCCTTCGTCATCCACATCAAAGCTTGTGCGTATCGAATCGGAGTTCGTTGTAAGCCCTCGCGGTCAGGGTCTTCTCCGATGCACTCAAGTACTGTGCGGACAGCCTCGGCAAGTCGCTGCTCTCGCGCAGCCTTCTCAGCTGGAGTGGCGTTCAACCTTGCTACAGTTGACTTCGCTGTGATTAGAGGAGGTAGTGTGAGATACAAGTGAATGACAGCGAACAATTTTACGCCATTACCTGGCCAACCCAGTCCGTTTGGGTCCGGAAGCGGGCTGTCAGTCTCCCGAGGGACAGCAGATGCCGGTGTCGAGAAGCCAGATGTTGGCCGGAATCCATACCCTTCACGGACGTGTGCAGATGAAGCAGCCCGTGAAGGAAGAATAGCGTATGGAACTCCTGGGATATTCAAGTCTTTCGTAACCCCGGCATCTTCATGTGTTGTATCAGGGGCAGCAGAAGTAGCGGCAACAGAGTCATTATGCAGTTCAAGCTTTCGTAATCCGTCTGTCAACATTTTGCCGTAGGCGTCCTCGTTGGAAAGTTCGGATGACATTAGTGAACTCTGCAAGCAGTGTTTAAGTATGGCGGGGAGAGAGGCTAAAGCTTTTGTTTGCGAGACGATCGGAGTCAAAGACAAGAAATTTAGGCGATCTAATCGGCCAAGTGATGTGCCTCACGGCAATTGCCGGGCGGGAGCAGATGTGAAATTCAAGATCCTAAGTACTAGGACTGGGTGTATCTGATTAATCAACAACTATAGATGAGAGTACGATAAATACAATAAGCGTGAAGATCGTCAAAGCCTCTCCTGCGCACTACCACCAGTGGTCTCATGCCTGCTCCCGGAACCACCACCATGCACCCAAGGACATCGAAACCCAGCCTACTGAAAGCGTAGACATGTACACCCAGAAGTAATGATTACTACAGAGTCCCATTTCCCGACACGTATAGAAGATGCAAATCATGGGCACGGCTATGCGAGGATCCTGCCACACGAGAAGCAGAATATCATATATGTCCCGCACATACCGATGCACGAGAGCCTCGTCCCGACCACGCAAGCGGCGAACTCTGGGCCGTGGTAAGAGACTGTATAGAGGATTCTGCGTGGTCGTTTGCCTCCAGAAAGAGCAAAGTCTGATCGCCGGTTTCCCGAATTTGAGATCTGTCTCGGTGATGAGTGGCGCCAAAAACGATACGTTCGTGTAGCGCTGCATACATAGTCAGGTCAGCGGCGGAAAGAGAAACAAGTATCGGAGACTAACCTCCGCGAAATCAGTGGTCAACATGGATCCAAGTGCTGCAACGTCCGCCGCGTACGCGACGCGACGATCAGTATTGATACTAGGACCAGCGTTGTCCCCGAGATGCACAGCTCGCGCGAAGTTGGTGATGCAGTAACGAATGTTGACCTGACCTTCGAGATCAGGTTCGCAGTGCACGCCAAAGTCATTTAAAGCGCAACCACCGAGAGCCATGCCCACTGGATCTTCGTGAAGGGTCACAAGAGCCTGTACCACCAGCTTTAGGGTCCTGCTCCTTTCGATGCGATCAATGGACTCACCGCTAGGGACTGCGCCACAAAGTCGGTGACATCCGAAACTGTCCGTATGTGCGCCGAAGGCTTGACTAGTCGCGGCATCACAACGAAGACACAGGCCCTGTCCGGGCCGCCAGCCTCGCTGCTACTGAGAACGTCAACGACAGGTGCTATATGGTTGCATATGTGATCCCAGGGCGCCCGCGCGTGGGTCGCGGCGTGCACATGCGCGGCTACAGCCCTCGCGGTTGTCGACCGGATGGAAACTGCGAGACCATCTGCGACTCGCGTTGCATCGATTAAGCCCAGCTCGGTAATCGGATTGGATATGTCGTCGCCAGCAGCTGGCGCTAGCGAAGGATGGAGTTCATAGCCGCGTGAGAAGAGAAAGCAGTATTGAGTACGCCAGAACTCATCGGAGACCAAAGCATTGCGTTCATGTGCAAGAAAGCTGTAAGAGGATAGATTCATGATAGGATGATAGGCGGGGTAGGTCGTGGTCGTAGTCGTAGTCAAAAGAGGCGCGTGGTATTTGGGAAGAAAAGACGGGTGCCCTGCCCTCCTGGTATAGAACCACGGACGCATGAGGAGCGGGTGAGGCTGTTCCTGACCGGGATGCTCGGCTTGGAGACTGTCGCGAGCCAAACCCGCTGCATCCACTGTTGTCTCCTTTCAGCTACACAACTCAGTCGCCATCCGTTTCGCCGACCACGCTAAACCTTAGAAAGGACGTTGCACCAAGCGCCATCCGCGGATAAGGCGCAGGTATATCCGCGTACCATGATCCCACAGTTGCCGGGGCGAATGAAGCGTTGGCAGCGAGGGATATTGGAGAAGTTCTTCGCTGTCATCACAGTCATGGTCAAACACGAAGGCGTTGCTAACTCAAATGATTGCCTCGGCGCGTGACGTCACGCGAATGATGTTCCCATCTCACTCGGACCCTCCCTTCCGGTTTCCGCACGAGTGGGCACGAGTATCGCTTGAATCGGATAGTAGATACAGCAATATACCCCTTCCTGAGTACATATACAATTGTAGATACGTCAAAAGCGAGTTCAGTTTCTGCGGCTCAAAGGCGGCCTAGAGGGTCGTGGAAATTGAGCACGCCATTGTGCACAACTGCGTCCGGTGTCGCATCGCCTTCGAGTGTTGGGAGGGCGCTGTAATCTGTACAGCAAGCGCCAACTAGCAACCCAGCCTCTCGGACAGCGTTAGCTAAGGAGGATGCCGTAGCCTGAATGATGATTAGTCAGCGGCGGTGAGTGGCTTAGGATGTCCAGATGTCACGCACCAGAAGCTCTCCTTGAACAAGCACTCCGAGAAGATTATTGCCCCGCGCGAATTCGACCGCTGCGTCGAGACTTGCGAGTCTCCGATCATCTCGTGGGCTTGGGCTAGGAGATCCTTTACACGAGACGTAGAGAACCGGATCTGTGTGGCTCGTCAGCTTCGGAGTCTTCGAGCGATACATGTGACAATGATATATACAATTGGGTTGTTTCCAGTTAATGGCCATGCATACATCAGGCACGGCAGAACCGAAGATGATCTTACGTCTCGCATCACTGGGCGTGTATGCGCGATACACAACACGCAGGATGGCATCGACAGCCTCGTTAAAGGCCGGTCCATTCGAACTTCCACTAAAGGCGAGGTCCAGGAAGAACCATATTGATCCGGGAAGCATCTAGGATAGAAATATGAGTACTGCCTCTTGATGCGTAACAAAAGTCGTCGAAACTGACGGCTAGCAGAGTGTCCAATGCGACCATTTTGCCTGAGAGCACTTTGTGCCATTCAACAGGGCTCGATCGACTGCCGCTCGGGACATCCGCGAGCGTACGTCCAGTTTTCGTAGCGAGCGCTTCAAACTGGGCACGGGTCACATCTTCAACCCTGAGATCGAATCCGGTGCCGGGAAGATATGCTTCGGTGCAGAACACAGGGTGCAGATCGCGCGTGACATGCACAACGAGCTGGAGATAACTGCCCATGACGCTTGTTACAGTGATCGTTTGCGATGGGCCTGTCGATGTAGGTTGTGGAACGAAGCCGCTTGGGGAAGCTTGTGCTGACGCCGGCATTCCACGAATGGGGCGATTTAGGCGAGCGGGCGCTGGACTGGGTGCCGGTCGTCTGTTGGGTGGTGGGGGCGACGGCTTGCTGCTGCCGAGCGACTTCCAGTAGGTCTCGACGGCGCCGCCTATCTCGAGGGTGACCTTCTGGAAGGGTGTGATAATGAGGATCTCGAAGGTGATCTGTGTCCCGCGTAAGCCTGACGTCCCTGAAGAAGAGCTAAGACGTACCTCGCCAATGATATGTAACCGAGTATCCAGGATAGGCAGCGTGACAACCTCTGTCTTGCGCACGGCGTTGACAAGCTCTGGCGGTACAATGGCCCGACCAATCGTCTTCGTTCCGAAGTTTGGATACAGGCTGAACTCCAGGGCCAGTTGTCCAATTGCCGTCGTTTGGAAAGCAAACACATGTACGTCGTCGGCACTCAATGGAAGCGCGACACTGTACGGAGCGCTCGCTGATGTGGGCGCGGCGGTCATCACGAGCTTCAGCAGTGGCGCAGAAAGCAGTGCGGACGTCTTATCGTCCGCACTTACACCACCCATAAGCTTGGGATGGAGGCGCACCGCGCTCGCGGGCTGCCCCGGAAGACTACTATGCGAAGCTTGCGCCCTCCCTATGGTGATCTGTACGAGTGTTTGCCTGTCAAGGTAGTTGTGCCCGTATACGCGGTGCGGCATCATTGGCGGGGGCAGCGTCAAACTTGGGATGAGATCCATGTCGCTCTCAGTGGCACGCAGTGCGCTTGACCCGGTTGAGCGCGCGTCAGGACTGTCGAGCACAGGTTGTGCTGGTTCGGAGACAGGCGTAAAGGCGCGCGCACGCAATAGCTCTACGCATGGGGTGTGACCGTACCAACACGCATAGTGTAGCGCATTGTGGCCCAGTTCATCTCGTGTATCCGTGCGGGCACCTGAGTCAAGTAATACGCGTACGCAGTCTGCGTGTCCGAACCGAGCTGCGTGGAAGAGTGGCGTCCATTCGTAGTACTTGTCGGGAACATCCCAGCCGTCATGGCTAGCGAGCAGGCGTACGATGTCCGTATGGCCTTGACGGGCGGCAAAGTGTATCGGATACTCGCCATTCGAGTTAGGGACACTCTTGGCACCACTCTCGAGCAATAGGAGCACGACGTCGAGATGACCCGCGAGACTAGCCAGCGCGAGAGGAATCAGATCGCCTGCGTCATCCGGCGGTGTGGGGTGTGCTTGGACGCCTCCCTCGACAAGGAGAACACGGACACAGTCGACAGAGCCACGCAGTGTCGCATAAACAAGCGGGCTGTAGCTCTCTACGTCTCGTGCATTGGCGGGGGATTTTGCTTGAAGTAGACGCAGCGCGACCTCCGAATGGCCATGCATGGCGGCATAGTGTAAGGCGGAGCGCCCGTAGGCATCGACTGCATCGGCTTTGAGCCCGCTTGAGATGCAAAGGTCTACCAAGCGTTGTGCACCAGCGATCGAAGCCTCATGTAGCAGGGTGCGTCCATTGATATCGTCAATGAAACGCCAGTCAAACGAGGTCGCCGTGGCGAGGATGAGGTCAGCGAGATGGGGAGGAGCGTCGACGACTGTCTTCCACAGGACGCGAGTTACATTCGCTGACGCGAGCGCCGGACCAGTATTGACTGCCGTTGGTGCAGCGGTGACGGGAGAGCGTTCGAGTGTATTGGAGTAAAGCACAAGCTGTCGTACTGTGTCGGTGTCGTTGGCAGCAACAGCCTTCCGCAAGTTATTCTCCAGGTCACGGAAAAGTGCCATTTGGATCCCGCCGTCCGCCGAGAACTGCTGCGAGAGCACGCGTTCATTGACGACATCGTCTCCTTGTCCAGCTCCGACAGAGAGGTCGGTGATGTCAACGAGGACAGCCGCGACGGTATCAGAAAGCTCTCCTATGAGCTATGAAACATGTGCGAGCGTAAGCTGAGGAAGATGAGAAGCGTGAAAGGAGCGGGCTACCTGACGGTTAAACACCGGCTGGACGTCGACTTGACGAGCAAGATAGAGCTCTTTGGTTGTGCTCTTACTCCGTTTATCCCACTTCTTGAGGATCTTGCGGAAGCCAGTTGCATTCATCTCGATGAAGCGCTATTGTGGCGCTTGTCAATCTGATGCAATGAGAGACAGTCGGGTGTGGCGCGGCGTACCTGCAACTTCGCGAGATCCCGCTCAAGCAAGCGAAAGCCCTCCTCCACGGCCTTCCATTCGACATAGTTTTGCGTCGTGTCGTCGACGCCGTCGGGCAGGACGCGCGAAGCCGCGGCGCGACGTTTCGACAGAAGGGTCTCGAGCCGCAGTTTGAGCTCGGCCTCTTTGCGAAGATAGAATGCGTTGATCTGTATACAGTCGCGTGAGATCTTCCGTGCATGGAATGAACGCCGTCTTAACGGCGGGTCCGTACGCACCTTCTCAAGCTCGCGCTCGAGCTTGAAGAAGAACGCCGCCTTGTGCGCCTGGAAGTCGGGGCCGCGGTAGTCGTCATCCTGATCCACGAGAGGCGGCTCGTCCACGGACATAAGCGCTACATTCTCCACCGATTGGTGCGGGGACGGCGCAGGCGTTGCAGTCTGCGCATCGCTCGTACTCTGCGCAAGCAAGTCCGCAGGGCGCACACGAATGCCCAGCGCAAGTGCTGCAGCCTCCGAAGCTGGACGGTTGCTGGCCAAGGAAGAGACGATCTTTTTGAGGAACTTGTAGTCGAGATAGTACTCGCTCCAGCCAGGGATCAGCTCAGCCTGCAGCTGCTTTCCGAACTGTATTCTCGCGGTCAGCACTCCAGCGAGGTTCTCACCTGTGCACATAACGCACCTTCATGGTCACTGAGACCTTTCCGTAGGCGATGGACGACGGGAGGAAGGAAAGGCATGGAGAGATCCCGAAAGCCCGGCTCGACCATCGCGCCGCTGAATGTCTCACCTCCGGAATAAACTCGCTCGTGACCGCGCTCAGCAAACAGATGTGGCTTCTGTGATCGCTTTTGTGGCACTAGGCTTTGCGAGACTCAAAGTCTGAGACTGCTCATTATGGATGTTTCGGTACAAGATCCATAGTCAGGATCAGCAATACGCCTGTTGTAGATAGCAGGATGCCCTATTAACACGCCCGGGGATTGCCTTGAAGCTCGAGAAGACTTTTGGTGTGGCCGATCACGACGAACGTGGGCGCGGAAAGCGGAGGTTGACAACGTGCCCAACCGAAGCTGCGTAGAACGTCTACTGGAAGAAGAGCGCGGTGCCGCGCCTTGCCGCGGGCTTCTGGGCCCCGTGTGCTCGTATTCCACATGCGTGAGGACGTATGCAAATGATAAATAAAGTAATGAGGTATTTTATTCGCCATGGTCTGTTAAGCTTAAGGATGGGGACGAGGATAGTAGACAGAACATTCTGGTGCTTTGCTACCTATAGAAACTCTGCATGTCTATCATCGTGATGGGAAGCACAGCAGCCTGGTCTCGCATTCCATCCTCGTCTTCGTGGTGGTGGCCCGGGTGTAGGTTGAGAGCAAGCGCGAAATTGAACGGCGAGGCCCGGCCGTTCAATACAAACACGCCTTCTGCCGGCGTAACAGGTGTCGCCGGCGATGGCAGATCCTCTTCATCCTCAGGCGCCTCAGCCGCGGCGTGAGCCCGCTTCTCGTCGAGCGCGAGGCGTACTTCCGCGGCGCGTATATGCAATAGCAGACGGTTGACACATACAGTGATGAGAGCCCAAGTTAGGCTTCAGATGTCATATCAGCATTGGCGCACGCGGAGCATCATGTCTATGACGTACAACACAGGGAGTGCAACAAGTCGAGGGTTCAGTGTGGCGGCGAAAGCCAGGTTCACAACTCGGAGGCATGTTACGCACTATGGTGTTGTGTAAATCAGCATCTTGTTGGCTTGAAGGTCTGCTACACGTACGAAAAAGAACAGGGCGCCGTCACGATGAAGGACGCCGGCCAATGGGATACCTGAAGCTCGCGGTCTGGCGAAGCCGTTGTATAAAGTAGCCAAGAATACTGTGATCTCGAATAACATCTAAAACGTCATGATGTTGGTGAGCTCTTGAGCAACTTTCTCAAACAACGACGTACTGGGCACGCCCAGACTGCGATCAATGTCGGTGAGGTCGTGGTGATTGCGCAGATTCTGGCAAGAGGATTGTACTCGATGCCGGCTATTTCGCGTGAGTAGATGAGCCACGCATTGCGAGAGGGACGTACGGGCTAAAATGACAACAGTGGCGGTCATCAACCCGATAGTGGCGCAGTAGCTCAGAAACCATGCCAGCGTGAGTGTGATTAGGACGACCTGCGTCGTCGAATCAGGTCGGCTTTCGTGCCCGATTGACACCATCAACGGCACTTACCCGCTCCTTGTCCCATAGCAGAAGCACGCGCACAAGAATGAGCAGGTTCGCTATTCCGATGGACACGACGGACGTGAAAGAAGACACGAAGAGGACACCACGACAGCTATGGGTTCATCTCTCAGCGAGAGGTATGGCTCGAAGGTAGCAGTAATATACCCCTGGTTATTGATGAGTCGAGTATGCTTCATATATACGGAGGCGACGTACTTGATTCGTAAAGGTCAAGCCCGACAATCCGGAGAATCCTGCGATGGGATGAGTAACTGGAGAGCTATGTACGCCGGACGAGATCCTGCGACGCACCGACGTTGACGTCTATAAGGGCCGCGAGTACGAGGTACCGGTTGCCCAAGTATGCGAACTTGGCAAAAGAGCGGGGAGCGCGCCAGACTAGGTTGACCTCATCCGATACTGTGAGGAGGTGGTCGTACAAAAGAACTACCAATCCGGCTGCTGCAATTGACTGTGAGTACCCTCCCAGCGCATAAGTTGGGTGTCAAGTGCATACCGCTAAGGTAACGCGTGACATTGGCGGCATTGAGCCCAGATATGAGCTGGTCGTAAAGAACTTGAAGGGTAGCCGAACTCATGACGCGAAGAATATTGCCTCGGATAAGAAAGAAAAGGGGAAGAGTAGAGAGAATGGCTCTGAGACCTGCTGCAGAGTCAATCGTCCACGGGTCATGGGTGACACGATGGCGAGAGAGAAAGGGCGGGTTGCTCGGCGAGGGCGTCGTTATATGACGAGCACAGGTTGTGCAGGCTCATGATCGCTCGCAGATCCGAAGTCTACCGCCATTTGTATAGGGCATCATCTCCGAAGCGCCACAGGTGACACAGGCATCACAGATTGGGGAGGGTCGCAATGAAGCAAGTATACGTGTTTGTATGTGCGCAAGTCCAGACTGTGGTGGGAGTGCAGGGTAGGGAGAGGGTGAGCGTTTGAGCGCGCGTCAATCCTTGCCCGCGTCCATCATGATCAAAACTTGTTCGCCCTACCTACGAAGCCGCGGCCGCCAGTGTACCCCATGCCTCCGTCCTCGTCGTGCCCTTCACTTCTCTCCTTGGACGGTTTGGATGCGATTTCCCCCCTCGCCTCCGTATGAGTCCGAAGAGACTCCCGCTCTCTCAACAATCATGTTCACGCTGCTAACCAGCACTTGTGCTCCTTGTCACCGTATTCCGTAAGCTCGCGAACTTAGCGACTGCATGACAGACTTGGCGTCGGCAACAGATAGTGCAACTTCGCCACTGCTTCTCTATTTTTACTATCCCGGGTAGTGGGTCGAAGTGGCAGAAGGCTAAGCACAGTGGTTATGGTTGCTCTGAAACTGGGCGGATGCGATTAAGAATGCACGCCAACGACGATCTTCTGAGCTCGCAGGTATCCATAATGTCGCGCGATGACGCGTCGATCTGTGCCAGGAGTTCTCGAGATCCTCGGCATATTGGGGCAACGCAAAGCGTCTTAAGCACCCGACTATAGGTCTTTTTCACCATACCGGCTTAGATCAAGGTCATAGTCGACCATCCGTATGTTACACACCGGCGGCATGGGCCTAGGTGAATGGTTGCCTTCACACGCGTACATCGACAATGTTTGAATTCGCCGTCACCGCCTTCTCAGCCATCGCACCTGGCGGGATCTCGATTGCCTGCATAAAAGCGTCGAGTGTTGGCAAGCTCTACTTCCATTCCTGCCACTCACCCTCATCACTACTACTCGCGCACTTCATCCCATCTCGCACAAGTTCTCAACCATGTTCTCCCGCGCCATCATCCTCGCTGCTGCCGTCGCACTCGTCGCCGCTCACTCGGACTCCGTTACCATCGCCAAGCGCCAGGAATCTTCCGTTCGTGTGCCTTTCACACTCTGGTCAGCTGTATACTGAACGTCTATCGTGAAGTGCAAGGACTTCTCTTGCTACCACGAGGACTACGTCCCCGCTCCCGTCAGCAACTGCAACACGGGCGACCTCATGTGCTGCAACCAGGTTCAGCCGGTGTGTTACAGTTAATAATGCATTATCTTACCACTGAGCCCTCCCCATCCAGGCGAAGACGTTCGATTTCTCGCAGTTCAAGGACAGCGATGTCTTTGAGTACATCCCCGACCAGCTCCGCGACTCGAACGCACCCGTCGGTACCGATTGCTCCCCCATCGTCTCCGACACTTCTGGCGCAGCGCAGTGCAACACGCAGCCGGTCTGCTGTGATGGCGGTCACTTCGTACGCATTCGCACCGCTAATCTCAGGGGAGCGTGAACTGATACTCATCACGTAGTCCGGCTTCTTCTCCGTTAACTGTAACGCTTTCAACGGCGGCACGCAGTCGACTGACATTACCGACCTCTAAGCGCCTGTGACAGCGTGGATTGGAACTCTGTCTTGACGATTCAGGAATCGTCTCGGATTGATGTGTGTGATACATACTAGCAGGAATTATGATTATGACAATATGAATCCAACTCTCTGAGGCCGAGAGCCTATGAATCCGAGACAATGCCGAAAGTAGTAAACGCAGAGTAGTCGTTTCGCGCAATAATAATACGTAACGTAGCGTAGATTCGGCAGCATATCTATGTCTAGCAAGTCCGATATACAAGCAACCCGCCAAGATCCCTGACGATGCGTCTAGAACTCCTCACTTGCTACCCGCGGTCTTGTACAGGACGAGACCACCGAGAGCAATCGAATAACCTGGGGAACATCATTAGCTTTGCAATAAAGATACATGAAAATATCTGAGCGCACCGATGACCTGCAACGGCGTGATGAGCGAGCCGAAGATGAGCACGCTGCCGGAGATGAGAAGGATGTCCTTGAAGACGCCGGCGAGGGTGAGGACGAGGCCGGAGCCGGCGCCAACAAGGAACACGGCAGCAACGTTCAGGCAGAACGCGACACTAGCGTTTGATAGCAGGATGAGAGGTCCGACGGATGCAAGCTCATAGAATGGCGCGAGACCCTCGGTGAAGGGCAGCACGAGCAAGTTGATCAGGGCGCAGACGGGTGCGTAGTAATGCAAGCTGACGAGGGGGTCCATCTTCAAGCCGTGCAGGAGGATCTCAATCATCACCAGGCGGGAAGCTTCGAACTGTGTCAAGAAGGCAACGTGTGAGCGTGTGGCGTTTATCTTGGCAAGAAGACGGAATACGCACGCCGACGGCCGCGGCTTGCATGAGGAAGCCGATGAGGTTGAAGTGCAGCTCTCCGTGCGATGCGAGGGCAACACCAGACGAGATCATGAAGACGATGACACCGAGGCGCATGTTTGGCTCCTTGATGCGGAAGGTCCATGAAATGAGCAGGATCGCGACGGGAACGAACGCCTACATCGTGTTAGCCGCGCGACGTAGATAGAGCGAGCTTTCGGGGAATTCACCTTGAGCATTTGGATGTACGCCACGGAAAGGTAGAGATACGCCGAGTTTGACGTGATAAGGCTGGCCGAGAAGAGGACGCCGATGGGCAGGATGGAACGCAGGAACATGTCCTTCGTCATAGGAACGTCCTTGACGCCGTCCAATAGATGCGTCGTGCGTTGCAAGATACGCGTTCCCATCGCCTGTGACCCCTCTCATTCAGCACAAAGGCCGAGTTTCACGGCGGAAGCAGAAACGCACCGCGAACCCGAGGTGGAATGTGACGAGGAAGACAGGGTACTTGAAGTTGAGGGTGTTGTAGAGGTAGTTGTTGTAGATGATGACCGAGCTGGAGATTGCGATCCAGACTGGGATGATGACCGCCGTCGAGAGCTTGGGCTTGGACTTTGGCGCTTGAGCGGAGACGGGGGACGGCAGCTGGGAGTTGTCACCCTCCTTGACCTCGAGGAACTGCGCCGTCTCCGCGGCCTTGTCGTCTTCGTGTGCAGACATGGTGGTAGAAAGAAACAGAAAGAAAGGACGAGAGCGAGAGAGCGACTAGGGTAGGTTTATACAACACACGGACGGTGGAAGTCAGAGACAAGCTGCCTCTAGCTCCCGACGGGCCCATTTACCCGCTTCGCCTTGGCCGGCGCCGCACGCTCCGGCCGCAGCTAATTGACCGCTATATCTTCTGATCAATCCCGTTTATGTGGAAATCATGATCTCAGAAGTCGGCGTGGGCGCTCGTGGGTGTCCGCGGCTCCGTTATCTCTCGCCTTGACCACCATGGCCACAGTACTCGACGCCGCCCAGGGCGCGGATACGGCTTTTTCTGAGATACCAGTCATGTCTGTGTCGTGTTCCATGCAGATGGAGTACAACACCGCTGAGACAGTGTCTTGTCTGAAGAGACCTCTCCGCTATACACAACGCAGATTCAGACCCGGCCGAGCGAACAAAGGTCGTCGATCAAGTCCGCGACGCGTGCATCAGAGCCGGGTTCTTCTACGGTGGGTGATTTGCCTCCAATTACCCCTCGGACAACTGTTGGAGCTGCGGATACAGTGAAGAACCACGGTATTCCGGAAGACAAGATCACGGCTGCGTTACATGCTATGAAGACATACTTCGCTCTTCCACTTGAAGAGAAGATGAAGGTAGGTAGCGTCTGTGCGACCCTATATATGCCTTGCACCGGGCGATGACACTCGGCATGTGAAGCTAGATAACAAGACCACACCCAACTTCAAGGGGTATAATGCTGTTCTCACGAGTCACAACGATCCATTAAGTCAAGGCGATATGCACGAGGGATTCGAGTTCGGTTACGAAGCCTTTAACGGCTCTAGTCACAGTCCTGAGAAGGATGGTGCTATGGCTGGCGCCAATGTATGGCCAGACTCTCCAGTTGGCTTCAGGGAGGCGCTGCTTGACTACTAGTGAGCATTGGCCGGAGGTCGTCTTTGCACTAGCATTTACATCTGCGCCAGCCACGCAGCTGTAAGCCTGGGCCACTTGATGTTTCCGCTGTTTGCGCAAGCGCTGGAACTGCCCGACAACTTCTTCAAGGCTAAGGTACGCTAAGATCGCGCATACAGTCCACGTAACTGACGATCACATTCACCCAAGACGCTGAATTCGGCCGCCCTCATGCGTGTGCTTCATTACCCCCCTCAAACCGGCCCAGTCGATGACAGAGTCGTGGGAATTGGTGCGCATACAGAGTAAGTCCGGTGCTAAAACCTCGACAATTGGATCTAACCATCATCGCAGCTGGGAGGTATGTGCCTAACATATTTTCGAGAGTCCGGCAAGGGACCTTGTTACCAGGTCTTTACCATCTTGTGGCAAGAACCTGGCATTCAAGCCCTGCAAGTCTTAAATAGCGACAAGAAATGGATCGAAGCGCCACCAATCCCAGGGACCTTAGTGATCAAGTACGTCCTTCGGTGTTTAGACGAGACGCTTGATTGTGCTCAAATCCGGCATAGTTTGGGAGACCAGTTGGAAAGGTGGACGAACGGCATCTTCAAGTCGACCGTGCATCGTGCGATCAACCGCAGCGGCGTGCGTCGCTACTCGATCCCGCTCTTCTTTGGCGTGGACTACGATGTCCGACTTGAGGTATGTATCCATGATTGGTGAATGTTGACCTCACTGACGGCCGCAGCCCATCGCGAGCTGCGTCAGCGAGGATCGGCCATCGAAGTACGAGGTTGTGACAGCCGGTGACTACGTCAAGCAGCGCTTTGAGGCCACCTACGGTCACAAGCACGACACAAAGTCCTACTGAGCAACTTCCACAGGAGCAGTCCCTTGTGGAGAACAATGACATGTGTTGGCTAAAGGATCCATAGAATATGCTGCGCCGATGAATGTCCAAGCTAGTGTATGAGCAGGTCGAGCAGTGTTCCCGAGCAGCATTCGATTATTTCGAGGCAGCATCGTCGTTGGTATGCGGTCGGTATCACTCAGGAACACGCTTCCATGTGCAGTTAGCATCGTGTTCGCGCGTGCGCGGGGCGTGCAGGGCGCGGCTTGATCAGCTAGCAGCGGTGACTGCTGCATCCCACCCTACGCTCGGAGCTATGACTTGATACAGAAAATATTCTACAGGACAGTATTCGCTATGCCATGGAGTTCAGGATCCAAGTCGAGATGTTCGACACCGAGGTCCCGCGTGATGTCCCGCGGTGACCGATGACCGGTGATGGTGAGAGCGATGCGCATATGGAATCTTAGTGCTTCGCTGGTTGCGTTCTGATTGAGGGTTGGTCATTGAATGTAAAGATATGAGGGGGAGGGAGGAGAGGAGGAAGTGGGACGTGCGCGGCTCCGGTATCTCTCTCGCCTTGACCACCATGACCACGGTACTTGACGCCGCCCAGGGCGCAGATACAGCTTTCTCTGAGATACCAATCATGTATGTGTCGTATTCTGTGAAGACGAGATACTACCCCGCTGAGACAGAGTCTTGTTTGAAGAGACCTCTCCGCCATCCACCATGCAGCCCCGGCCGAACGAACAAAGGTCGTCGATCAAGTTCGCGACGCGTGCATCAGAGCCGGATTCTTCTACGGTGTGCAATTGGCCTCTCATCAGTCCGTGGACTACTGCGGGAGCTGCGGATACAGTGAAGAACCATGGTATCCCGGAAGACAAGATAACCGCCGCACTGGATGCTATGAAGGCATACTTCGCTCTCCCTCTAGAGGAGAAGATGAAGGTAGGCGGCCTCGTTGTATGCCTCGTTTCAGGCGATGACATTGGACACGTGAAGTTAGATAACAAGACCACACCCAACTTCAAAGGGTATAACGCTGTTTTCAGCGGTCAACACGATCCCTTGAGTCAAAAGGATATGCACGAAGGGTTTGAGTTTGGTTACGAAGATCTGAATGGATCTGGTCACGTTCCAGAGAAGGACAGTGCTATGGCTGGTGCCAATGTATGGCCGGAGTCACCCGCTGGCTTCAGGGAGGCCCTACTCGACTACTAGTGAGCTTTGCCTAGAGGTCCTTTCTGCACCTGTATTCATATCCGCAACAGCCATGCAGCTGTAAACTTGGGCCGCTCGATGTTCCCGCTGTTTGCACAGGCGTTGGAGCTGCCCGAAGACTTCTTCGAGGCCAAGGTGCGCTGAGATCGCGTGTATAGCCCACGCGACTGACATGCACATTCGCTGAAGACACGGAACTCGGCCGCTCTTATGCGTGTACTCCATTACCCTCCTCAAACCGGACCAGTCGATGATGGAAGCGTGGGAATTGGTGCGCATACAGAGTGAGTCTAACGCCACCACCTCGACATTTGACTGACCATCATCACAGCTGGCAGGTATGTGCATGCTCTATAAAGGGCAAAGCGTCATAGAGAACCTGGCGGTTAGGTCTTCACCATCTTGTGGCAAGAACCTGGCATTCAAGCCCTGCAAGTCCTGAATGGCGACAAGAAGTGGATCGCAGCACCACCAATTCCGGGGACCTTGGTGATCAAGTACGTCCTTCGGTGTGTAGACGAGACACTTGAATGTGCTCACATGGTCGATAGCTTGGGAGATCAGCTAGAGAGGTGGACGAACGGCGTCTTCAAGTCGACCGTGCATCGTGCGATCAATCGCAGCGGCGTGCGTCGCTACTCAATTCCATTGTTCTTTGGTGTGGACTACGATGTCCGCCTCGAGGTTTGTATCCTTGTTGTAATACTTGGCGAATTGGCTGCTCACCAACGACCACAGCCGGTTGCAAGCTGCGTGAGCGAGGGCCGGCCACCGAAGTACGAGGTCGTGACAGCTGGAGACTACATCAAGCAGCGCTTCGAGGCCACGTACAAAAACGGCGGAAAATCCTATTGAGTAACCCAACGTCCACAGAAGCAGATCCCGCCCAAGATCAATGATGAATACGAGAGCGTTGAACGGTCGATAAGATAGTATGCTGTACCAATGAATATTCGAGATAGCGTATGAACAGGTCGAGAAGTGCGTGATTCGCCCCAGTCAGGGGCGATGAAGTATCATATGCCTATACCAACACCTTGCGTAGCTGCCACGTCCGTGCGGGCAAAAGCGTAACAGGACATTTCCCTTCCCTTTCAACCCACTCGAACGCGCACCGGTAACAGAACACGTATCCGCTAGGTAGTGCCGTCGCGTTTCGCCATGGGTCCTTGCAGATTGGACAAATGCCATATGCGTGCGGGTCGACGCGTAGCCCGCGCGGATGTGGCGGAAGCATGCGCGGTGGGGGTACACGCGGCGCGCTGTCGGGCGCGGATAGGGCTCGGGCGGGAGAGCCGGGCGAGTACCACCATTCGAGGAATTTGATGAAGAATATCGCGGTTGGAAGCAGAACGCGCAGGGAGCCGAGGAGGGTACCCGGAGCGGAACGGACAAGACGGGTGAAGGAGAAGCTCTTGGGTGGGACGACGGTGGCTGCCTGGGCAGCAATAGCTTCTGCGCGCTAACATGGGGTTGATCAGTATGGAGCAGCGGTAGTGCCAGAATAAGTGACGTACGTAGTCTCCTATGCTCAACCGTCGCAGATCGACACCAACCCATGCGAGCCAGGGTCTATAGAAAGGTGTTTTGTCGAATAGGTAGGCGATGTTGTATGACAACAACCAGCCTTCGAAGGCGAGGTTACAATATGGATATGCCGCCTTGTAAGCTCTTCGTAATCGTCCCTTTAGACCCTGAAATGGTGTCAAGGGAAGGGTTCATGGTGTAAACTGACGAGGCAACTCACATCGTCGGCCAGCGCGCGAACGGCTTGGTAACTGCCACCCTCGTCCAGGAGATCCGAGTCAATGCCGCCACCGAGCGATTCGTAATAGTCCTGCGCCTTCGCTCTTAGATATGGTACACCTATCTATACGTTATTAGCTTGCAACGAAGAGTATCAGGGGCCATTGATGTAACCTACCAAGAGCAGGAGGGATCTCGAGACTTCCCGTTGCCGTAGCTTCTCTTCAGGCAAGGGCATATCCCCAGTCGCCGCACGTGCACGCTCCGTCTCATAAACCGGTTTCCTTCTTCTTTTCAACCCATAGAAGTTCTCCGCGAATGACGCGTCTGTGCAGCCTGGTCAGTCTACCGAACTTGACACAATACAGCTAACATACGCACTGTGCTTTACAAGATAGTACCGCTCAACGAGCAGCATAAGCAGAGCATAGAACTCTTCATGCCGGTTCACAAGCCGTATCAAGTATCGTGGATGCCGCTGCGCAAAGACCTACGCGCCGGACAAGACAGAGTTGAGCACGGTGTGGCGCGGGTTTAGCCGAACCCGGCACTCACGGAAAGAACGTACTTGAGCGCGGGTTGAAGGAGGTCCCGGAGCTGCTCCTGTGCAACGAGCTCAAAGAGGGAAGGTCGGAGGGGGTCTGCGCCGCCGACGCTACTGAAGAACTCCATGGTCGTCGGAAGTGGGGGGCGTTCGGCCTCAGGTCGGCGTCCACGCGATGCACGCGCCGCGCGAATTCACATGGGCGCGTCGGGCGCTTCCCGCAGGGCGCACGCCGCGTCTTGCTTTCGCCCATGATGCATGATGTCTCCAGGCGCCATCCTACCTTCACAATAATATCCAGTGCCCCAACCTACATAGCTGTGATAGAAATGATTGTTCTCGCTGGCGCGACGCTGCAAGCCTGGAAACAATTGTGGTGTATCCCACGAGAACAAGGACGCCATTTTCGTTCGCCTAACCGTGAAGCCCGCAACTGTAGTGCTTCACATTGACAACCCTTGTCTGGGGACAGGCGCATTCCTTTCGGTTGTATCACAGCTGGGTGGCTCTTGTTGGAGGATGGTATATAAGGCCGGTGCGCGCGTAATAAGCTCATGGCCGCAGTGCACTATCGTCTCGCTTCCTCCTTGACCAGACGCGCCCGCACGACTATGGGATATCTTCCAAGGTTCTTTGTCTCACATGCGTGGCCTGCCAGATTCTGATGGGAATCTTTGATTAGCTGTCCTATTCATAATCTTCCGACCGAGATTATGGACGAGATCATGCGTCTCATCGCCGAGTCTGGAGAGAAGTACGATCAACGAGCAGTATTTGAACCACTCCTACATGTATGCGCTCGATGGAGACAATCTGCTTTGATGGAGCGCTCTGGACTCAGGAGTCTCTGGTCTCGCATACCATTGCTTTTCGGTGAAACGTGTACGATGGCTGCTGTTCGTCTGTCCAGATCGTTTCCCCTGACCATCGAGGCCACGAAGCGACTAAAGCCCGGCTCCGATTCTGCGGCGTATGTTCACAGCATCGTCAAATTCCTTGCAGATCACTCGCACAGTGTATGCTCGCTGAAGCTCTTCTTTGGAGTACAGCCGGAGTACGATGGGTTATGGACTGCTCTACGTCATCTGAGCATGCCGAAGCTCACAACCTTAGAGCTGACGGCGAACCATCACTCATACCTCCCGGTCCACATCCCAAACCGATCTTCGCTGCGTCAATCTGTGTCCGCCGAAGATGCGATGGGTGATGGCCTTCCTGCCTTGACACATTTTGCATCTAACATCGAGTACCCCTTCGACGTCGCGCTCTTCGTGTGCCCACGTGGGTTACCCGCGACTTTGACATCCTTGGAGCTGACAGCCTCTGAATTGTATCTTGGGGATCTTCTGTCGTCTTTGACAGCATTTCCAAACCTGCAGCGGCTTATCTGCGACGGGTCCCTGGCCAGGAGGGGCCATTTCGACGCATGCCAGCATGCCCCAGAACAGTTTCTAGCGCCTGGCAAGGCGATCCACTTCGCTCGCCTGCGGACTCTGGTCCTTTGCGAATACCATCCTGGCCTAATCGAGTGGTTCTTCCGGAGCGTGATCCTTCCACCGCAGACGGATATCACACTTCACATAATGATGACGCTCGACGCCGATATCCAAGGGTTGCCTAGTCTTTATTTGAGAGAGACTCTTGAGCGTCACTTACGAGGGGCCTTAGATGCACAATGGAAATATGGTCTGCTTGAGCATCAGGGGGGTCGAAGGGGGATGGACGTGTGGTCTCTCAAAGATCCTGCTAAGCCAGGAGCGATATCTTGCTCTGGTGAAAGTTTGGGTCGAATCGAGATCCTGGAGTATACCACCGGAGACGAATACGATTATCCCGTCGGATCTTCTCCTTCGACACAAGAGACCTTTAAGGATCTATTGGTGTACAACTATAAGTACCGTGGACCCTAATGTACAGGAATTCGAGCTGTTTGACTAGGAGACTAGGAGTACTAGAGTGCAAGACATCCATGACTAACGTCCGTCCATCGCGAGCGTTCCAGAACTACATCTAGGATACAAGTACTCGACCGCCTCGCGTGCTTGCGTGTCTGCCGTATGATGTCGTCGACATGCGCACGAGCAATCCCGATTCAAGCTCTGCCACTATCAAACAGCAGCTGATGCATCCTTCAACCTGCGGCACGCTTGCTTATGCCTTCCGACTTTCCAGTCCCTGCAAACATTGGGCGAGCATGAGTAAGGCGGATGTGCTACATACAAAGCGCAAGTGTACCAACTTCTGCTGGCAAACGCGAGAACAGTAGCGCTATTGGTCTTGCGTAAGTATGATGCACACAGTCACTCGAGCTCGGACAAGACACGCACAGCTTTTCCACAACCCTTGCAGAAGGATGTCGAGGTCTTCGAGAATGAGACGTGGTGCGGACAAGTCGTCCAAGAACATAGTTTATCGGCATGCTTCTCGAACTCTTTCTTTTCCCTGTCTTCGTCCAGCCCAGCCGCAAGTCCAAACCGTCGCCACATCAAGACGAGACCTTCTCGTGAAGTAGAATAATGATGTTGTTGCAGTTCGTGTAATGTAGCGAGAGTTCCATACCACACCCGGCGCAGCGAAGAGAGCAGAAGCTTATATGTTGCCTCATCACCATCCTGGCGCTTGAGTCGCTGGGCCATGGCCTGATAGGTGCGGACTATGTCCGTGACACTGGCTTGCAGCATATCAACACAACATACACATGTATATGCGAGAACTCAAACCGACGTACTCGTATTCTTCGCATTCAATCGTGCTGATGACAGTAAACCGGTCGATACCCAGAGCATGCTGTCATACTCGCGCAGGAGCTGCGCCACGAGAGGGTTAGCATCCGCAGGCTTTGACACACCACTACCGCATATGTGAGCGAACTATCAGACACATCTGGAGTGTAATCGGGTGCACGAACTTTATGAATGGTAGTATAGTCGGAAAGAGCGTGATGTGGGTGCTCATATCATCCGTATCCAGCGATGACGCGTCCAACACTTTCCTAAATTTGCGCATTACGATTTCCAATACTCCAGATGATACGAGATGAGCGCGGAATGCAGGGTGGATAAGTGCCCTTGAGATATCCCTGAACGTGGTCATCGTGCTCCCTTCGTCGTCGTCTGCTTCAAGCAACTCCAGAGTCACGCGTAAGCGAGCGAGGAAGCTCTCTGATCCGTACACGGGGATGACGTCCTTCTCAAAGAACTCGAGCACTTCGTCATCGGAGACACCGGATAACGGGCCAGTAGGAAGTTGATTGCCAGACCAGAGTATACATGCGTACTGCAATATTATATTTGCATGCGTCTCTTCGTCCGACCCATCTTGAGTCCCGGAGAACCAGGCGAGCAGTAATAGACTGCGAAGGTATTTAAGGCCCTTGATATGCAGGTCGTGTGCATTGACAATTCGCACCCTACAGAAATCTTAACGCATAGAAGAGGTAAACAAACAGGTAGCTTACTGTCTGACAGGACAGAACGCATGCAGAAGTACCCGCAAATTTTCGCGAAATTTGGATGCCGATCCAGGAAGACTGCGGTCGTAGAGGTCGCCATCAGTGAAAATATCCCGGCGTACGGATAACATGTGCCACAGCTTCGCTGGAAGCATGAGAACGTCCTCTCTGGATGGTACACAAGCCTTGAGGGAAGGGGGAATCGGCCCATCTACATTTTCCTGGTAGTACAAGCAAAATGTTGAGATGATACCGAGCATCCTCCAAACAAAAAACTGCAAAGAAGAGCGCCCTGTGTCAGTAGCATTGATGGCTCCTGAAGTGAGAGAACGACTTGCCGGATGCTCTTGCACGAAGGTGTCTTCTGTTATGATTCGTTGACAGTGCTTGAATATTCCGGCACGTAAGTGCACCAACAGTGGATGATGAGGATTTGAGAGGGAAACTGGTCGGGTTTTCCTGGCGAAGTCCATCACCGTGCCAAACGCATGGGTCAGACTCCAGAGTGTGGTGTTCATGCCAGTAGGTGTGCGAGCGTCGAATGCGGCTTTCCAGAGCTTCACGCCTTTGGAAGGTTCGAGCATGACGAGCTCTTGAGTCGCCCTTTGATCGTCCATAAAACGCTGCGCGTATGCGGCATTCACGTAGGTGCCGACCTTGCCTCCAGAATGATAATAATCGGCGCTGGCATGAACAACAAGGCTTATTGTTCCGTCATCTGCTCCCGCGACGCTCTTGAAGTCTTTCACAGGAAATCCCTTCGTCTCTCGTACCCATATCGGGGCAGAAGAGAGAGTAGACATCAATTATTGAAGGGAATGAAGTATAGGGAGTGGCACTGTAATGAGGCCTCGAAGGGAGGATGGTGGTGGGTGACAGGTAGGAGTCTGTCTCGGTCTAACTGCGTGCCGCGTGGTAGACGCGTGCACCGCTTGTCCCGTCGTGAAAGCAGTAGCTCAAGTGGAATCGGGCCGGCATGTCTCCTCTCCTCGTCCACCACTTCCAATCATATCCATGTGTATCACTTCTGAACTCATTTGGGCCATGACCGTCAGCAAGAGGTTGAAGCAGTGACGCGCCGCCTTCCAAGCGTTCCGCGTGCCGCGCGCACGGCACGTTGCAACAGCTTCTTGGACGTTCATTTGAACCTTTGCCAACCACCTTTCAGCCCACCGCAACTCCTCTCTTGACATCATTCTTCGACGAAGCGATATATAGCTGCTCTTTTTCACAATTCCTACTGCCAAACCCGCACTATCGACCCGACGCGCCCCATTCTTGTGCAGTGGTTGAAACAACATGAACTACTCATCGTACCGGAGTGAGCCTTCGTACTACGAAGAGCGTAGCCCTGGAGGCGCCTCGGCGCGCACGAGTATGGCGCTCGCTACGGGCGTGCCACAGAATTTACCGAGCTTTGACATGTATGCCCGCCTACCCGAGCTTGCCCTCTTAAACTCACGTGTGGCAGACCAACTGCACCCTCAGACTCTGTCCTTGCCGCCGCAGCTCTTGCAGACGAAGCCGCCCACCGATTCCCTTCTTTCAGAACCGACGATGCGGTCACTCTAGGTCTCTCCCTTCGTAAACGCTTCCGCGCGTCGCGACGCTCCCGTACCCGCTCTATGGTCCTCTCCATCACCGCCCTATCAGGTGCACCACTCTTTCAGTGCGCGGTGGGTGATGGCGTGGGCACGGAAGACTGGGGCGTCCTCGGTGGCATGATTGAAGTTGTACGGCGAACTGGCCATTGCAGCTGGTACGTGGAGAAGGGACTGCAGGCCGTAGGGGAACCGGAACGCTATCGTGTGCATGGCGGAGGTACGTGTTTCGTCCCTGCAAAACATGATGTGACGGTAACTCATCGATATCGATTTCATATAGCGTTCCCCATATTCTTGGAGGTACCAACCTTCTGACATCAATACACCCTCGCGCTTCCGCGGATGCTGATTGGCTCGTCAGAATGCACCTGTGGCACCTGTGGCAGTCGTCGCGGCATACTCCGGCTCGAGCGAGGATGACCACCGCGTAAGCCCTATCAATGCCACGATGCTTCAAAACTGACGCTCTATCTGTGATTGCGATAGATGGTTGTGAACGCCGTGCGCGATTATATCCGCAAGTTACACGAAGATGCGGCGCCAACGTTGCCTCCAGCTTCGATACCGACCATGTCACAACCCGCTACTTCAATCCCTCCATCCTCTCGCGCTCAGAGCATCGCACCCAGCTCGCGGCCGCAGTCTGTAGCAGGGAATCGTGACAGCGGCAACAGCAGCGCTGTACGTGGCGCACACTAGAGTCGTGCACGGCCATCATTGCTAAATGTATATCGATGTCGCAGGATTGGCTTGCAATGCATGCTGCAGGCGCGCTCCATCCCGACGAGCTTGAAGGCGAGGGAGGCGTCTCTTACACGGACGGGCGCTCTGTGACTGGTAGCGTCGTGAGTTCAAGCTCGACTGCTGAGCCTTTGCCTCTGCCGCACGGACAGAGTCTGATCAGCGCGCATGGCCAGAGCGTCATGAGCGGTCACGGCCACCGTAGCGTCATGAGCGGATCGTCGGACCGTGATGGACCCAGGAGCCATATCAGTGCCGGGGTCGGCAGAAGTACAGTTGGAGGCCAGAGTCGTGCTGGGTAATGTACAACGCATGGAGCAACTCATCGTCCGGGCGACGGAGTTGGGCTAAGGAAAACCTTGGATCTATCACAACCTAGCATACGCTGAATGACGCGCTACAGTGCTTCGCGACCTCGAGTTCTCATCCCACGCTCATGTACAATGTATGAGAGGGCCATGTCGTGGAAGTCGTTTGTCATGCCACGGAATTCGTACCCGCAAACATTACCCTGAGGACACTCTCACTTGCTGTCGCAAAGAATCACTCTCAATACCAAGCAGTCACAATGCTGGGTACGTCGCGAGTTGGGTTTTCATCGACATCTCCGAACTCCGTGAACCGCGAGGGATGCCCGAACCAGCCCCGAGGGTCTACGTGTTCTAACACGGTAAGCTAACATTGCTCTGTCGGTGAGCAAGTGGGACCGAATAAGGTGTTTCTTGTATCATATGGCCTGGATAGGACAACCCGGGCGCCGACCGTGAGAACCGCCTGCGCACCGTCCATGGGTGACGCGCCCTCTTGTGTTCGCGTGGATGGCAATCGCCTATGAGGAGCTTAACTCCTCAGCTCCGTAGGTAATGATATTGGCACATCCCGGTTAGCTTGCCGCAGAACTCTACGACTATCGGAGTTCAGATCCTCTACGCTCGTGATCATAGTGGGTTAACAAACCGGTTAGAACCTTCCCCCAGTCCGGCAGAAGTGTTCAAACTCGCAGCAGGCCGTGTGTATAAAGACGTCGCTTCACTCGACGCTATGATCTCATTCTTGTACCTGCTGATTTCTACAGCTTCTACTCAATGGCGTCCTTCCATACACCCTTCCTCTTTGTTTTCTTGATTCCTCTCGCGGGCATCCTTCTCTTTGTCCAGAGGTATAGGCGGCAGCGATCGTTGCGCAAGATCCCAGGCCCAGCCAGTGCCTCTTGGCTCAGTGGTAAGTAGCTCTCATCAACATCGCATTCACTATCTAAGTACTCCACAGGAAACTTCACTTCCTTCTTTGTGCCCGCCGCCATTCCGTACCAGGACCAGCTCATAGACACGTATGGCAAGACCTTCAGGCTCAACGGATACCTCGGGGTACGCCCTCTTGCTGTATACCGTGACCATAGTGCAGATTTCTCGACGTATATCGCAGGACCAAATGCTTGTGACGTCTGATCTTGGGGCGCTGTACCAGATCATAGTCAAGCATGTTGACATCTTTGACACGGCCGAGTTCTTCCTCGAGTAAGATCGCCCAAGTGTGTTGCCCCTTACATAGAGACTCATGCTTTCCCATGTCAGATTGACGCGTCTTGGGTTCGGAAAGGGCCTTTTGGCTGCGCCAATGGCTGGTTAGTTTGCCCGGTCGGTTATCCTTGGCAACTATGCTCACTTAACTGGCAGGCGATGTTCACAAACGCCAGCGCCGTCTTCTGAATCCAAGCTTTTCGGCAGGTCAATACCACGATCTTCCGATTTGCGTCATAGGTGCTTACCCATCGTCCACAGCGCATATGAAGCGCATGATCCCGATATTCCATTCGATCTCGAAGCAGGTTCGTGTCCTGGTTTCTCTTGTCCATTATATGGCTCGAACGGTGACCTCATCCCGGCCCACTCTCACAACAGCTTCGCGAGCTCATCGCTGCTGAGATCAAGCGTACAGGGAGCGGGGACACGGATATCATGGATATGATGGGACGTGCCGCACTGTATGTTGCCACAAGTTTCTTCTTATCCGCCGTCTGAATCGCATGGACATCCAGGGAGCTTATCGCCCAGGCGGGCCTCGGATACAGCTTTGGCGCCTTGGATCAGGGAGACAACAGCTATAGCTACGCAATCAAGCGTATAGTGTGAGCTCAGGGAGTCTTTCAGATGGTATGATCACCGGTAAATTTGCTTCTGCTCAGGCCCACCGGCGCGAGGCTCTTCAAGTACCGCCCCATGCTGCCGTTCTTGACTCGCACGTTCCCACCGTGGCTCCTTCGTGCCGCTGGTAAGCTACTACCGCTGGACGCCCTGCAGCAGCAGTTTAACTTGGTCGACACCATCACGCTTTCCGCCACGGAGATATGGGAGGAGAAGAAGCGCTTGCACGCTCTCGGAGAGAAAGCGAGCAACTCGGAGATAGGTCAAGGCCGCGACCTTCTCAGCATCCTACGTGCGTCGCTCTCTTCATCTCACGCTGTAGTAACAAGGCTCATTGTCTCAGTGAGTGAGAACGACAAGGCCTCTAGTGACGATCGCTTGCCGGACGACGAGCTTCTCGGACAGATCAACACCTTCCTGTGAGTCCATCCGTCGGTCATGTCGCATTTGGTCTGAAGCTGATGTCAAACCTGGCAGGTTTACCGGCACCGACACCACAAGCAACGCAGTCTCGAGGATCTTGTATATGCTGGCTCTGAACCCGGAGGCACAGGATAGGCTCCGCCAAGAGCTAGTTGAGGCGGGTGCGCCGGACAACCTTGACTACGACGTGCTAGACCGTCTTCCTTATCTTGAGGCTATCTGCCGCGAGACTCTTCGCTTGTACGCGCCCGTGCGCTTCATCCAGAGAGTGTATGTCCCTCCTCAGCTGCTAGTTGGTAGGTGATCTGACAAGTGAGAATGCAGCGCAAGGAAGGACCATATCTTGACCCTCGCTAAGTCCGTTGTAGATGTGAATGGCAACATGGTCTCGGAGATCTTCGTACCGAAGGGCACCACCGTGTTCTGCAACATCCCGGCTGTGAATACCGATCCGACAATCTGGGGCGCCGATGCTAAGAAATGGAACCCTGAGCGCTGGTTGAAGCCGCTTCCCAGCTCGGTTACTGAGGCGCATATTCCCGGAGTCTATTCCAATATGTGAGTATCGTTGGTAGCTAGCAGGGCGGACTGGACGCTGACGGGACTCTGTAGGCTGACCTTCGCCGGCGGCAGTCGCTCTTGCATGTAAGCCCCATCTTTCTCCCATTGCTGAACGTCCTTGCCTGACGACATGGATACGCGTTAGTGGCTTCAAGTTCTCGCAGCTGGAGATGAGTACGTACATCCTACGATGAGTGGTGGCAGTATGCTGATAATGGATTGTAGAGGTCATACTCTCGCAGCTTTTGCCCGCGTTCCGCTTCCAGCCGTCAGATAAACGTGAAATTATGTGGAGATTTGGTGGCATTGTCACACCTGCTACTAAAGAGGGTTTTGCGGGGAGCAAACCCGAACTTCCTCTTCGTATCTCAATCCTGTAAGACTGGCGAATGCATGCCTAGACCATCTATTTCGCTTGTTCAAAGGATTGATGTAATGTTGCGCAAGCGCAAAATTGGAAACATGCAGCCTTCGTGAGAGTCGTTATGATTGCACCATCTATCTTGAGATAACGCGCAGCGTTAGACGTTGACATGGTTGAAGTGATTGGAGGGTCAGCTCATAGAGAATAGAGAGAAAAGCATCTGTCTGCGCGCGATGAGCATAGAGTGAAGGGTGGGGCATGCATTAACAGCAAAAGCAGGCGTAGCATAATGGTATACAGCTGAGCAGTCAAAATAATATAAAGCGTCCAAGCTCATGAGCTCTCCTCCTCGTTGCGCGGCTGGGGACGGCCCAGAACCCGAAGGGTCTCTGCATTGGTATCTTAGCATTGACCTGGCTTTATGAGATCGGGACGCACCGTGGCGAAGGAAAACCTGCTTATTCTTGGGCGCGCCCTCAACACCAGTATCTGTCTCGCGCAGCTCGTAGTTTGCCTCGACATATACGTGCGCGCCGCGGCTCAAGGTGCGCAAAAACGCGTTGGCTCCGTCATGGAATGAGTAGACGTTGTGCCATGTCGTCTCAGCGGGCGGACGTGCTATGGCTCACGTCAGTGTGCGGCCCTGGAAGTGAAGGGATATACACGCACTGCCGTCGGGGTTGGCGGGAGGCGGCGGGTAGTTGCTAGTCGCCACAGTATACGCAACGTATTCCTTGTCGTTGCGCGTCGTGCGCAACTCAGGGTCGCGACCGAGACGGCCAACAAGGATGAGTTTCGCTACATCCGCGCGAGCGGCCCGTGACGTTGAGAATGCCTGAATAAACAGAATTAGCCACGGGGACAACTCATGAAGATGGTAGCATTCGTTACACGGGAAGTAGGCGCGGCGAGTGCACGACGAGCAGTAGCGACAGCGGAGTACATGGCGGTAGCGTCCAACTAATGACGCCGAGCGACGCGCCAGACTATCGCGTCGCGCAGGCGAAGTTCACGGTCACGCGAGTTTTCTCCCATCTCCAGCGCGAAGCGCGCTGGAATTCTAAGAACCTTGTCCAACTGCGTATTGTGCGGCATCATGTTTAATCCTGCGCAGGCATACAAAGTCAAGTGCAACATCACGATATGTCCGAGCGTCAGTTCTGCTATATATGTAATACAATAACTGATATCGGGCGAGGAGCATCAGAGAAAGAGAAAGGAGTAGGAGCGTCCAGAAAGAAGTATAGTAGTGACGGTCTCGTGAATATCCGCCACGCGCCAGGCGAGTGTCCGTGTCAATGTATGCGTGAGTGATGCTGCTCACAAAATCAACAACACCTGTTCGCACGCGGTAAAGTTGAGAGAGAGGAGGGTCTGAATGATGCTCCCAAGAAGGCCAACGAGCTGGGCGATGACAGACGAAAGAATGCCGCCGCCGCCCACGAGGCCCAGAATAGCAGATATGAGTGCAGCTAAAGGTCCGCTGCAGTTGATGTTGAGTAGCTATCATATCCTTTGAGAAGAATCACACGCACTCGACCAGTTTCACAATCTGGAGAATGACATCCTTGTCGAGGCATACGCTGACAACATGGTTGATGGACGTGATGAGCAACTGCACAAATCAGCTCTTTGTAGCACAGATGAGTAAATGGAATTCGAGCCCACCTTGATGATGGCGGCGAGGAGCTGAAGGATATCACCGATGCTAGAGCCGAGAGTAGCGACACCCTTAAGTATCTCAACGGCTTCCTCGAGGACTACCTTGATCTGGTCTATGATTGCTGTCGTATTGGCCGGAGTAGCAGACGTTGCCGTGAGCTCCGCTGATATTGAGTTAGTCCCAGCGCTCATGGAGATGCGTGTCGACGCATGCTTACTGAGCTTTAGGCAGAGGGGCGTGACGTGTACGGTCAAGTTGGCGAGGACTATCGCGACATTGGAAGTAGTCTTTCGCTCTACGAGAGCGCCTTCCTCGACGGTCAGGATGGGAGCCGGGGATGGAATCGCCGACGCGAGGGTGCCAAAGGCGAGGGCTGCGAAGGTAGCAATCTTCATGAACGAGAACATGGTGGGAGGTCGATGTTGGAGAAATGGGGGGATTGAGATGCGGTTGGTGAAGTTTGCTGACCCTTGCGCTGCATTTTGAGGTATGAAGCCTCCAAGTATATATACACGGGTAGAGTTGAGCTGAAAAAGACGCTTTCAGACAGCTCTCGCGCTCGGATAGACGCGAGACGCAAGTCTCCATGCCCTGGTGTCTCGTACCTTATGCCCAGGCTGTCAGAAAGAACACAGACCGTATGCACTCCGAATGCCGTCCACACGTCACCGCCATCGTCGTTGTATGGTCCTACACTCGTGGTGCATTGCGAAGAGATCAAACCAGGTGACCGTGTCGCCAGCGATGCGACCACGGCACTCCCGGACTCCTCGGGAAGCTTGAGCTTCTCTGAGCCCAAGATACTCAGCGCCAAGTCGATTCTCGCTCGACACGTTCTCTTCAAAACTCAGGCAATAGTGCCGGAAAGACCTGTGTCGTATTGCAGCCGGACGTCATGCGCACGATATGCGCATGTTTGATGACAGTGACCTTTAGGTAACGACAAGGATCGAGCGGCAGTGCCCCGTACAACGTCTGCCTCCATGGCAAGCAGTCCTTGGTTGCTTTGTCAAGCGAACCGGACACTTCAAGCCTGATGCAACGCCAGCAGCGCTCTCACTGTCGCAAGCAAGATATACCACAAGATGGCTCGGGTTGGAATGGCTAGAATGAATGCATCAGTGTGAGCACTCTAAAGTAGACTGTCCGTCCGTGTAGGAAACCCGACGAACACGGATTGGGCTCGAAGGTATTCGCCGCTGCCTCGGGTCTATGTTGTCGTACAGCAGCCCCCTCAAGGTCCATCATCATCCGAAGAACGAGTAGTTGTCGGACTGATGATGCAAGGCACCCGCGGCAACCCAAAGCACTGGACATCGAAGGCTTTAGGTTGACACAAGACAAATAGGACATGAGTGTACGCTACCCATGAGCTCATGGGACTACTCACATGAAACAGTATGAGGGCGGGAATCGGTGGTAACCGGGCGCCCGAGTGTTGTAGTAGTAGAGTGATGTCTGTTATGCTCAGTAGACATCGTGTATTGATGATCTGAGGAACAGACATCGGCATGCATTGTCAATTTCATGACCACAATATATGCTGAATGCAGGGAGTTCCAATCAGGTGTAGAGAGCCCTTCTGGGATCACCCATCTTGATAGTTTCGACGCTTTGGGACGTTTCGACTTCGAAGAGGAGGGCCTAAGGCCAGGATCTCGCACGGCCTACGAAAGAGCTTATTCTGCGGTGACGTCGCACATCATAACACGATTCATTCCTTTCACCTACTAGATGGCCAGTACGGCGCTCTCATCAACTTATGGAGCATCTGTCCACGAGCCTCAAGAGTACCGTGAGCACTTGTCGTCCGGTTTCTTGAGGCGGGTTGTCCTCGGAGGTACAAAGGACACCGTGCGCGCTGATGTCGCACATAGAGCGGTGGCGACGCATCATACGCATAGAAACGTAATTGAGACGGTCAGAATACGATCCTCGGCGTTGACAGGGTGCTGAAGTGGAGTGGAAAATGGGTCTCGGCGCGCGAAGGCGACGCTCGAGAGCCGCTCGAGACTCAAAGTGAGAGGGCGTTGTGCATCATATGTATAGCGAGTTGGGCTTCATCGGTAGGGACCGTGCAAGGGCTCAGTGCTCAGCGCTCAGCTCAGAGGCCTGAGCTGACATGAGTGTCGAGGAAAAGCGGCCAGGCCGCCCGCGCGGCGGCAGAACCAAGGTCACGGTAGCCGACGCCTACAAGCGCCCTCACCCACGAGCTAGGATTTCTGACATCGATGATGCTATCATGTCTCGCACTGGCTGTACTCCTTATCGACAGAACAATGTCACCCCATCAGCGAAGTAAGGACCTTGGGGGTAGTCGCCTCGGGCGTGTGTTTACTTGCACAGCGGCCTGAGGCTGGAGTCTAGACCAATTCTTTCGCAGATTGCACCAATGTCGAGATCACCGGGATCCCGACAGCCGAAGTCTGACAGGGCCCTGGCTATACCGCCGACGCCTGCCATACTTACTGTAAGTAAATTCACAAGCGTGCTCCATTAGGCACCAGGCGCGGGAACACTAGATACACTGTCTGGTCGCTCTACAAGCCGTACACGTTGGCGAGGTAGGCGTACAAACACAGCAGTAGTGCTGGCATTATATTATACTAGGGCGAGGCTTATGTTTCCGGGTATATAACCGTCTAGGGTAAGCTTTTGTTCCGGCACACTCGGTTCAACATAGGCACACTGTGGACCGACAAGCCAGCATGCATTGACAAGTATCAATCGTCCTTCTTGCTCGGCGGCTCATCGTCGCCCTCGTCATCCGAGCGCACATCGTCCGTCTCGCCGACCATCACCGCTCTGTCAGAATGCGTCAGAACATCCCGAGTACGCGGTGAAAGGACAGATACGTACCTCCATAAGATGCGCAGGATAAGGTAGTACCAGAACAGGTTGAGTATTTGCAACAGCAGGATCGGCGCGAAGACCTGCCACTTCATCCACCACACCATCCACACGCCGTCGTCGGGCGCCCATCGCTTGCTCGTTTCGGGCATGGAGTCGAACTCGGCGTAGACGCTCCAGAGCATGACCAGGTTCAGCCAATGCCTGAAGTACGTCCAGACACAAAGGAAGATGACGAAGGATACGACCTTCGCGCGTTCAAAACGAAGATAATTCAGGATCTTGGAGAAGGCGAGGAAGGTATCGGGGATGTCCATGGAGGTGTAGACGGCGTTCCCAATCAGGGTCAGGTTGATGCCGTAACTCCAGCTAGGCAACGGAAGCGAGCGTCAGATTACTTGCGTGGCAGAGTAGAAGCGGACTGAACGCACCCGACGAGCCAGAGCGTAACGAGGTGATGCGCGATCAGTTCATAATAGTCCTTCCGCGGCTTTTCGAGCCTGAGCGCAAGGACAATGAGCTGTTGGCACCAGTACGCGGCCTGGGCCAGATAGTATGCCTTCAACTCCGGGATCATCTGCCAGTGTGGGTACTCGATCCAGAACGCGGACGTGTTGTACCACCACGTAGGCAGCATGCCCATGATGCGCACCCCCCACGTGCCCATGAAAGCGAAGTATATCACGGCGTAGCCCTGTTCGCCGAAACGGTCGAGTTTCGCTTGTTTGTGTATACCACAGTAGCGCGCGAAGGGGGCACAGAGGTGGATGGTGATGCTTTGGCGAATGAATGACCAGAACACGACGTAGTAGGATATGAAGACGAGGTCGAGCCAGCCTTTGCGATAGCGCGGGTCGTTGATGTCATCGCCGGAGGGTGAAGGTGTTGGATGGGATATGAAGAGCAAAGGCGCGAAGGGCGAGGGCGTGCGTTCTCCCGTCAACAATGGCACGAGGTATATCCAGTTCAGGTGGAGGATGACCGGAACGAGCAGCAACCGGAAGGAGGAAGATGGCTTGACGATCCAGCGGAAAGTACGGAGGTCGTGTAGAAACCCTGTTTTTGGTGCCGATGGTACCGGGACGCGCAGGGATGGCGCGGGGCTGCCGGACAGCGGTCTGCGTGGCGCGTGTCAGAAGAAATCGACGCGAAATCGGGATTACAGTACGTTTGAGGTGCGAGGCCATTGATATGGTGCGTCTTGTCATTCCTACGCAGTTTAGAGTTAGGGTAAGCCCGTGTCGAATTTGCGAATAGTGCTTACTCGATCTTGGAAATTGTGGACGAGCGGCCCCTGCGCTGTTGAGGCATGGTGGCAAGCAACAAGTCGCGTCTCACGCGCCACAACGGCTTGAATTGGATGTTTGCCGGCCGTTTGCAACTTGGACTCGGAGGCCATGTTCACGCCTTTAGGTTTATTCAGGAAGCTGCCCTGCCCGCTGCGCGGTGAGTGCGAGCGGGTCCACTGCCTGTACTCGCACGATGCGGGCGTCTCTGCGCCAACGTACGCGGTGTCGTACTCTGTCCCACTGCCGGCCGCTGCGCCGTCTCAGCCAGTCCAGCGCGCACAGAAGCGGAAAGAGCCCGACAGCCAGCCTCCGCCCGCGAGCTCGAGCTCCGGCGTGAGGCCGCCGCCGACAAAGACGCAGCGAGTCGGGCCGACAAAGGCTAAGACGGCCGTGCCCACGGCGACTGAAACCCCCGCTCAAGTACCGTCTCTCCTCCTTTACCTCCGCCCTCTGCCTTTTTTCTGAGCGGGCCTATATAGACTGGACCGCCGGTGCTGCGAGTGAATGCAGGGGCGAGCAAAGTTCCCATCCCGACGAGGCAGGTCAGTCAAATGTTTATTTGAACATGCCCGAGGCCGAGGGTCTGTAGGCGCGTCGATAATAACGGCTCCGAGCGGCGTCTGCTGCCGTCTGCCACAGACCCTCATGTCCATGTCCTCCCCGCGCAGGCGCTGACTCTCGCTCTCTCCGCCCACAGGCCATGGTGACTCTGCTCTACAACAATTTCCTGACTCTTTACGACCAAGTCCTCGCACAGCAGCCGTCGCTCGCTTCAGAACACGCTATCCGCCAGGAGAACGAGATCTACTCTCGCTCGTCAAAGCTCACTTATCGCAATGTACTTCATTTCCCCTTCATTTCATCTACCATGTAACCAATCGTTCCATAGGCTGCAATATCTGTCGTCGCTTCTATCAATGCTCGAACAAAGCCAGTAACACTATCGCACCCGTCCGTCGGCACACAGGCCGACCTCGCAGAGCGTACCGCGCGCGCCCAATCCCTCGCCTCTCATGTCCTGACTCCCAGTCAACTCGCACCCTTTCTCCTTACTCGTGACGAGATGCACGTCGGTGGATACATCGTCGAGGTACCCAACGGCCCTGGTGGGACTGCCCCCTCCGCGGTGGGCACGCGCGTGACTTGCGACCGCTGCCGCTCTCCATACGAGGTGCGCGCAGGGCCAGACATGCGCGAATGCTGCTTCCATTGGGGGAAACTGCTCCCCTCGACCGTAAACGGTGCGCATTCTCTCCTGAGTCGGATAACATGGGGCTCGTGGCTGATCATCGTTGCCTGCAGGCGAGCGCACCAGGCTTTACACGTGCTGCTCACGCACTCAAGCCGACGACGGCTGCACGCGCGGCCCTCATGTCTTCTACGAGTCGGATCCAACTCTTCTGCACGATCGCCATGCTTTCACCTCTTCCGCGGAATACTCGACCGCGGCACCGAATCCGCTCGCAGGGCCACCCTTCAATGTTCCCACGCCTGGCAGGTCCACAGCCCTTGATATCGCAGCACTGGACTGCGAGATGGTCTACACGACGGGCGGCATGCGCATCGCACGCGTCTCCGTCGTCGATGCGACTGGTCGTGAGGTTCTCGACGAACTCATCGCCATGGATCGTGGCGTGACCGTCGTCGACTACAACACCCGCTTCTCGGGTCTTTCGGCGGCCTCCTTCCCCTCATCCCCCGCCTCGCCGGTGTCTTTTCCTTACCAGCTCGCCCAATCTGCTCCTCAGTCAAAGAGCAAGACACCGCTCCCTCTTGCGTCTGTTCGGCGACTCCTGGCCCATTACGTCGACGCGCACACGATTCTGATCGGCCATGGGTTGGAGAACGATCTGCGCGCCCTCCGCATGATCCATCCATTGGTAGTTGACACAGCCGCGCTCTTCGCCCATCAGCGCGGGTGGCCTTTCCGTCGTGCTCTTCGAGATCTTGCGCGCGAGCACCTCGGGCGGTCAATCCAGACCGGTGGAGCGACTGTGGGACACAGCAGTGTCGAGGATTCGGTCGCCGCTTTGGACCTGGTCAAGTGGTTCGTGGTTAACAAGAAGAGCAAGCCGAAGATAGATGTGAACGCGGCCCAGAAGATGAGGAGGGGATTAGCGCCTATCGCGCCTGTGCTTGCCCAGGCAAAGGTTGTTGCTCCGCCTGCAGAACAGCGCAAGCCGCCACCGGTTGATGTGAGCAGATCGCCGGACGACGTCGACATGAGGTACTCTCCGCCCACGTCGTCTGGAACTTCGCCGATATCTGTGTATATGCAACAAACCGCGGCAAGGCCAGCACGCCGTTCCCCTCCAGCGTCTTCGCGCCGCTCGCCTCCGGTGTCAGCGCGGCAATCTCCACCTGCAACTGCCTACTACACTCCACCCACTTCTGCGCGACCAACCTCGTCTGCACCTACACCAGTGACACGGCGCTCGTCGCCGCCATCTTCGCGATACCTTACTCCTGTTGATACGCAAGCTCCACCTCGGCCTCAACCCTTTACACGCGAGCCACTCTTTCTTGTTGACGACGACGAGCCCATTACGCACTCCCGCTCGCGTTCGCGTACTCCACCCAGTGTACCGCGGGTGTCACCAGATCCCCCACCGCCTACACCTGTCATATTCGCGTCGGGGTTATCTTCGCAGCTCCCGCCCACTCCCTCAATGCCGGTCGTCGCGGCGCCAACACTTCGTAAAGGTCATCAGGCTCCTCCCAGCACTCCCACAAGTCCATACCTTCCCCCGTATTGAACCTTGAACTTTCCTTCGCCCTTGCCTCTACGCGTCTATGTAATAGACTACTCATCCTCTCCTTATCCTCTCCTTATCATCGCCTCGGCCATGCATCCCCGCATCTGTACTATAGACCACCACGTTCACGACCGTCTCTCATACTTATTTACCTTCTCGCTGCGCCCCTCGTTGTCCTGTTGTCCACATCTCAAGCGAACCCCTCACGTCTCGGATCCGACTGCATACATACATCCTCGTACAGTGTACATAACTCTTTCACGTTCTTTGCATGTTTACCCCCGTCCCACAGTCATCCTGCTCGCCTCTCCTTCCGTAGTCTTCCTATCTGCTATCTTGTACTGTCTGTGCCATCTATCCGCCGTCTCTTGGATCTATCTACATCTGCTTGCATCTGAATGTCTGCTATGTGCATGCTGAAAGACTGACCGACGGAGCGCCACCGGTCGACACACAAGAACATGTGTTCCAACTTCCAAGATGGCGGCTGGGTGGCCGCCCTTGACCGTCGTGGGTAAAAGCGGCGGCAGACGCCGTACTCTGGACATGCGACTCCGCTTGTCGTTCACGAACGTTCACCACGTTATGCCCAGCTTTCCATAGCTATTCCGTGCAGATCGAAACTCGCCCGTCTCTGTACTCCATAAAGCTCTTTTCTTGACGTTTCTGCGATGCGACAAACACTCTCGCCTCGGCTTGAAGAGCCAAGGCGCCAAAGAGGGACGTGCATCGCTTTTGAGCAGGGCGGCATGCAGAAGCCTTCGCATCACCTTCTCACAGATCCCGTTCATCATCGGCGTTGTATCCGATGCACAGTGATTCAATCTACAGGACTGTTCTCGAATCTCGCTGACGTTAAAGTTGAGGTTGTATCCCTGCGTCGACTGCAAAAGACTTCAATGGGTAGCCGACACCAGTTTGCTTGTAGCTTAGCAGGTCAGACGAAAAGTTGCGCACTCTGTATCAACTGCATCTACGATGCGTAGGGCCATCACTTGAACTCAAGGCGATCCTCCTGCATGTCGCCTGCGTACGGCAAGGAGAGGCGTATAAACGCCCAAACCTCGCCTTATAGCGCCCACGCCATGCGTCAAGATACCCATTTGGAATGCAGCGCCTGACCTACAAGGATCAACGCCGTACAAATCAATGCGTGCAGCGGCGACACAAGACCGTCTAGGACAGTACACTGTACCTGAGGTCGACTCGGGACTCAGAGTTTGAGTCGGTTACGGTACGCCGCCTCCGAACACAGCGAGGCGGCACTCGGTGGCCTTGCTTGACAACGCTGAGAGAATCGCCATACTGCGACATGTCAGAGCTAGTCTTGGTACGCTATAAAGGCAAGTGTGCCAGTAGCAAGGTTCCTCAGTCGAGCTCATTCGCCTGCCCATTCAACTTCCTCTCATATCCGCTATGGTATCTGCATCGCTCTTGGTCCTTTCCCTTGGTGCCCTCTCGGCCTTCGCTGCACCTTCCAAGCGCCAGTCCGCCGACAACGGTTCATGCCGTGCTCTGCAGACCACCTGCGCCGGGTCAGTCAAGTCCGATCTCAGCGACGCCTGGAACATCAAGGCCTGCGTCTTCGGCGCAACTTGCTTCGGTGGCCAACACCCTGTGGACGGTTTCCTTGCCGCTGTCTACGCTGACCGTGGCCTTAGCGGTACCGCGCCACAGAGTGTCAACCTGCCGCGTGTGACCACCTCCGTACGTGAAGTTCCAAACACCGTACAGATCGGGCAGTTCACTCACCAGCTCGCCCTCAGCTCTTCAACTCCATCTCTACCGACGGGAAGACCGTGAGCCAGCAGAACTTCATCGACGGGTACTACTCGTACGCACCCCTCCTCATCACTTAGTGTCTCGCGCACGTCAATTGACAAGCTCCTGTACCCGATAGCTCCCTCGATGCCACTGGCGGCCCGTACCCGACCAGCGCCCAGTATGTTATCGACCTCTTTGGCAACTTGCAGGACTGGACGGCCTTCTGCAACGCGGCTATCCCATTCCAGAACTTCGCCGACTACGTATGTCAATCCACCCTTCTCGGTACTGTACCGACTGGCTGATATGTATCTTTAGTTCCAGTACTCGTCCAGCGTTAGCAGCTCCAATTGCGGAGTTGCCACGGCCGGTATCCTCTCGCCCGTCACGTCGGAGGCGTCGGCGGTCTTCACGTCAGTGCTGGCCTCGACCTTCACGTCGCGCGCATCTTCAGCTGTCACGTCGCAAGTGTCTTCAGTGTCCGCTTCGGTGCCCTCTTCGGCCGTCACATCGCGTGCATCGCAGGTATCCTCAGCCGTCACGTCGGCCCTGCCGGCGTCGGCTGTCACGTCTAGGGCCTCCTCTGCCGTCGCCACCGCCCCGTCTGTTGAGACCACTGCCGCCTGATGGCACAGTCAGAGAAAGTGCTGATACTTACTTCTCTAACGCTGATTTGATATTTCGGACATTTGTGGACATTTGTCAAGACAGTCTGTCACTCTTTGAACACGACCACATATGATTATATATGTACTACGATGTGATGAACGTCGGTCTTCTCAACATAGGACTGGCAGATTCAATGCATAAGTATGTATGGTCGTATGCTTTCAGGGGCATTGGTCACCGCTCGGGCCTGCCCAGTCACAAAATGCCCGTACTCATGCGGAAAACCGAGACGCCTAAACGCCGACTGGTCTGCGAGTGCGCTCTCGTGATGAGGATGACGAGAGAGATGATCGGAGGCATCCTCCGAGTTCCCTCGTCCAACCACGGCCGTCGTTCTTCTGCGCGACCCATCAGGACCGTCTGCGTCGGTTCATTGAAATATATTGAGCACGGTCTTTCCAATGCTATAGAAGGTCTTTCGTCCGAGCACTCAAGCGGATTTAAAGACGACTCTGGCCGTTCGGCGGCCTCCCCATTCCCAGCTTCGAGTACCCAGTATGTCAAATCAGCGAAGAAATAAGCCTGCGACGTACGGGCACTCCTCTCTTTCGACGCTGTCCACTCTGACGCACATCCTCAGAGAGTCTTCTATGGAGCCGACGCGCCCTGCTCATGAGCCATCCAAAACGGGATTCCTTCATGACCTGCGCACCGCCCGGTGGATAATACACCCTTCGTCGTCCTTTCGACTTCTGCTCATACCCATCATCCTTCACCTCAACTGGATTTACCTCGTGCCATTACTCACCGGCTCGCATCCGCCCTCACCTTTTGCGCCTCTCCTCTTCATATCCCATCCGACGCCATCCCCTACCGGCGACAATATCAACGACCCACGCTATAGCAAAGGATGGCTGGACCTTGCCTTCATATCCTACTACATCATAGTCTGGTCCTTCATCCGGCAGTCGGTTACCATACACATCTGTCACCCCCTTGCTCACCGCTGGGGTATCCATAAACCCGGGAAGGTCAATCGCTTCGGAGAGCAGGGCTATTCACTCCTGTACTGGGGCGCTGTCGGCATATGGGGTGTGCGCGTGATGTCAAAACTGCCTACATGGTGGTATGACACCTCTGCCTTCTGGATCGAGTATCCTCACTGGCAGATGATCCCAGAGCTGAAGGTCTACTACCTACTGCAAGCGGCATATTGGGTACAACAACTGCTTGTACTCGCGCTCAGGCTTGAAAAGCCACGAGTAGATTACAACGAGCTCGTCGCTCACCATATTGTCACGGTCTGGCTCATTGGGTTCGTCCTCCCTCTGCCTCTATGAACAGATCGCGGTTCTGACCAACCGACTCTTTATCACCTAGGTGGAGCTATGGGATCAATCTGACGATGATTGGCAACGCCGTCTACACCTCAATGGACATCCCCGATGCCTTCTTCGCCTTCTCCAAGCTCTTAAACTATCTCGACTTCAAATACGCCAAGAATGTTTCCTTCCTCGTCTTCCTTTGCGTCTGGACATACTTCCGACACTACCTCAACATAGTCATGCTTTGGAGTGTCTATGCCGAGTTTGACCTTATGCCGGAGACCAGCAAACGATGGGCGCCGGAAGACGGCGTATGGATGGTGTGGTGGATGAAGTGGCAGGTGTTTGCGCCCCTTGTGTTGCTCCAGGCGCTGAACCTGTTTTGGTATTACCTCATACTCCGCGTGCTCTATCGGTTCGTATCATTCGCTGCCATTGCGACCAATGTCCACAGCTCATCTTCCAAATAGGACCATCACGATCGGCGATGCCGACGACGTGCGCTCTGATGATGAGGGCGACGAGGACCTCAGCAAGAAGGAAAACTAGGTGTTGTAAGAGACAGACCGCAGATCATCATGCCTGTACATGTCCGCAGCCTCGATGTATGCAATGGCAACAAATCTCTGCAGGGTGGACGCTGTAGACGTCGAGTACACATATCCCTGCGACAGGAACATAGAAAAGGAATCGTCACTTGTGATGACAGGTCTGCGACACTCATGGCTTCAAACCCAAGATAATCAATATAGCCGTATTCATCTACCTATCGATGGTCTAACGTGGGTCGCCATTGTAACACTTCGCGCGTCTTTACGGGTTCGCACCGTAGAACATGGGAAGGAATAGACGTCTGAATGGGCCAGAGGGCCAGACGTGTGCTCTCCGTCCCCTATTTAAGCGATCGTCTTCGCTCATCCTATCGCTCACCATATGATTAGAACATTCCCAACCCTGATCTGACGTCTTGTGCTTCTTGCATCTCGAACCTCATGGACACGGCCACGTCGGTGCCGCAACGTTGACAGCTCGCTACCGAAGGATGCATGATGGCCTGCAGACTGCTGCGAAGGAGCGCAAGAACGCTCACGCCGGTGCTGCTCCTGCTGTGCTATACTTACGCTTGTGGATAAACCCGCTATGTGTTTGAGCCAGAAGGCAACCTCGAACGGTTTAGCGCGATGTAGACGTGTGCGTCGACGGCGTCAGCGGCGCCTTGTACCCATTGCTGACTGAGTGAAACTGCACTCATATTCTCCCGATACACCCCTCACCAGACTGGCCTGGTACGAGGCCCCAATGGTTGTTGTTCAGTTCTGGGGAAACCACATACGGTGATTTGAACTCTCCAAGTTACTGGACGCACTTAGAAGTGGTGATAACATGTGTCTCCCTCATATGGTGCACGCGCAGGGGGCGCCGATGTGCCGAGATCGTGGTATCGGGCGTGCCCCAAGCCGTACCCGACTCGGCACCAGAGGTGGGTGTATTTTGCGTTTTTACGTTCGAACTCTCCGTCAAGCCGTCACATTTCCGTCTTCTCGTTGTTGGCACGGTATCCCTGTGTGTGGGTACCAGAGCGCCTCGAACCCTTGTGGTGATGATTGGAGGGTTCGTATCGGCCGTGAGGCCATCGTGAGAACATTGACGGCCGAGTGGCGTCGTTTGGCTTCGTAGGTCTGCTACTCTCTCCCGAACCATCACCTTGAATGGCCATTTCGCCCTTCACTGCATAGAAGCGTATGCACGACATCAAAGATCAGCTCGTCTCGCATCGCTCTTGCGATATCGAGGCATTCTCGAACTTGCCGCGTCGACGAGATCGCCCTGACCTTCGATCTGGCGGCCCGCTGTCGCTAAAGACGCCGCGGGTAATACCGTGGATGCCCGTAACCCCAGTTAGTCTCTCAAGGGTGCTGTGCCCTGGGTTGATTCTCCAGCCTTTTCCTATAGCCATCTGGCTAGATGTCGGCTAAACAGCCCATTTAGGTTGCTATGCCGAACTCTCTGGTATGCAAGCCTTCATCCGCGATGTACGCGAATGGGCGCCAACCTCATGGAGCGCGGACGGGGCATTGTCACTCTGCGTAAACCTGAAGCAAGATCTCAAGTTACTCGTGTGATGTGAAACGTGAGGCAGGTGAGCAAACGGCGAGTCGCACGCAGCTCATGCGCCCTGGTGGAAGCAACGGACCTTGTGAACGGCGGTTCTCCGAGAACCATACATAGTCCCTTCCCCACTTCTCACTTCTGTGGAACACCGAATTGAGTGCCCTCGCACAGAGTCTATTACGCTGTAGCCTGAGGCATGCCGAGCCTACCGCTGTCTTGGGCAACTCAACCATACTCTGCTCTCGCGTTGCTCTCATGACTGACCCCGCGCCTTCTATACAAAGACCGATTCATATACAACGGATAGTTGGGATGAAGGCGAACTTCTTTGCATTACGCCCCCGTTTGGACGATTGCGGAGGCGGTTGTATGATGTCCACTGATGCGCCGCTGGCCTCCGCACTTTGGATCCCCCATTCCCCTCCGTCAGTCGATTGATCTCGTGCGTTCGCATACGCTCTTAGTTGATGACGATCCTTGTAGCGACTCTCAACCTGGGGCCTTTTGCGAGCTCGCGTCTTTTGGTGAGCATGTCTATGATCTGAGACTTCGTAGCGTCATCAATCTAACTTGGTGCCAGTGATCTTGTACTATGATTTCTCCCTCACTTTCTCGCAAGAGATCGCGCATATCTGGCCGCGACCGCTGAGTCGGCCCGCACTTCTATTTTTCTTCAACCGTTATCCCATGCTCTTTGGAAATGTTGCCTTCATACTCTTTGACATCGTCGGTGTACAAGTCACATCAAAGGTACCTTCAGCAGACTCCATAGCACCGTACGAGAGTCATTGACACTAGAGCTTAGGGTTGCGACAGCTACAACATCGCACATCAGGTGCTGATTGTATTCGCACAAGGTTTCGTCTCTGGTGCGTCGCTGTATCAGCGCAGGCAGTCTGACGAGACCAATGACGCGGGATCCAATCACGCAGTTCTGCTCGCTCTGCGCATAGATGCAATATACGAGCACGCAAAACCCGTGCGCTATCTACTGGTGTTCCTAGGAATAGCGCTTCTAGCAGTGGCTTGCGTTAGTATTGCTCCTCGGGATCTATAGATCTCTCCACTACTAATCGATTATTCGTAGTGGGCCTGTTTTGGCGAGACTATAGGCGGACCCTCGGTCAGCCGAGTAGTGAACTCGCACAACTGTTTTGAGAATGATAGAAACATGTATGCATGGCTCTTACCGGAAGCGGTTCAAGCTTGACTTCCTCATATAGGGCGAGCCGTGCGTACCTGCTAAGGCTCTCGACATTGAATCTAAGAGCATCGTATGGATCGCAGGTATAGCCATAGCTTGGGGCGCGCAGGCCGTCTTCGATGTTAGCGCCTTTGCATTGACGGTATGGCATTCATTTCGGAGGCGAAGGCGTGGGTTTACCAATGACCTTCTCATCCACGTATATCAAGGCGGTGCTGTGTACTTTGGGTGAGCGATGCGTATTCTTGATCAAATGCGAACCTTGAGCTGAAGTGACTTCGGCCATAGCGTCATCGTGCTCGCGAACACGATCAATCTAGTATCGCTTACAGTGCGTGATGATGAATAAGATCGTATGTTTAGAACTGCTGTTGACGAAGGGGCTGTCAGTTCCAGCCATGGGTGCGCTTGCCCGTATTTATTCGGTATTCAAGATGCTGAAGTGCACCTAGGAAGCATACGTGCGCGGATCATTCACCAACGTCGCGAGCTGGTACGCTCTCTCAGTCTATGTACTGCATGGCGTGCTCACCAGCGTTCCGCCAGCATATGCGTGACGATGATGTCTCGGCTCATCCTCCACCTATACGATGTGGCACCGGTACCGGCCAGCACGTTGAACGACATGAACGTCCTGTCTGTCGGCTCTCTATTCGCCACTGAGCTTACACAAAGAGCTGAGGGGAGCGAGGAGACGTGGCACGAGGATGATCCGACAGCGATCGGACATGCGGACGGACAGGATGCAATGCCCTCCTCAGAGGGGGAGTATGCTGTAGAACTGGAGCAACGGACAGGATCAAGAAGAAGAGCATCGGAACATGCGAACTATGTACCATACTCAGGGCACGTATGAGAAGCAAGTGAAAAGGTCTGCCGAGTGACACAAATGTCAGGTCGTTATCGCCTTTGCCTCGACTCCTGTTCGAGGTGGTGAGGTTTATGAGTGTGGCTCAGAATTGGACGGCGCTTACCAATTCGACTACTTCGGCCTGCAACCTTGCTAGCTCTTTCTCCAGTTGTTCGCGGTTCTTCTCCAGGACATACAGCTGTCGAGACTCTTGTTTATTGACGTTCACAGCAGGTTTGCTAGCTCGGTTACGTGCTTCATCGACCTAGCGCCGCGTGAGAAGATCCTAAGAGATGTACACAAATATCGTTAGATCACCTTATCCTGCATAAGGCTTTGTCTTGTCTGTAGCGCGTGCGTTCCCTTTTGCGCGCGAGAGATGAGCTCATTGATCTGCGGCTCGACCTCTTCGACGACATCCGCCTTGTATCTTCGCACTGTACTCTCTCCAACTAGTGTAAATACCTGTTCGCTGTCATTCAGGCGGAGAAACCTTGAAGATGATGGGTACATACACGTTCATGGTCAAGCACACGAGTCATGCGAGGTAGATCGTAGGTCCCTTTCCTCAAGGCATGTTGGACCTCGTTCATCTACTAGGCTTCATGCCTTACATATCATGAATTCTAACGATCAACCCTACCTCTTCGCAACAATCCTCCATGGATAGCACGCATTCTCTCAGGCTTTCACTGAAGGCAAAGCCACTGGGTTCGTCGCCACGATATGGATCACTCGCAAATATGGACTCGCGCCCTCGCGGGTGCATAGACAGCCTAGATCGTGTAGACGCAAGCGATGCGCGGTAGTTATGCATAGCGAGTTCGTGGTCGTGGAGTGAAGGATGGTCGGACGCGACCCCGCGTCCTGCGCAATATTGGAAGCCACGTGCCAGATGTTCAAACGGTGATTGCCGAGACGCGCTTCAAAAAGCGCGCATCGCGTTTGGCGCAAACTTCCAAGTGTCCGTCCGACTCTCTTGAAGCGTTAGCTGTCTGGCGCAGAGGTTCATTCTTCTGGTGACGTTACAGGTCGGCGGAGCGAGGCGTCTCTTTACGGGGCGCTCACGAGAAGGAGCGTAGCACCTTTCAGTCTCGCCTCCACTCAACGTCGTGCGCGGCTGAGTCCGCTCTCGGGCGTTGACTCGTCGTGCTCGGCGGGGGGTTGAGCTGGGGTGTCTGCGCGGCGTTATATTCCTGTACCTCCCGTACGGTCACTACGTGGCCATGACGGTCTGGTCAAACCATAACGCATACACGTCGCTCAACCTGTTTATTTAATAGACTAGTCTGCAATATACTTCGTTAACGTGCTCAACATGGAGAAAAGCCCGGTCGTAATTATGCAGAACGGTATGACCAGCGCATATTATAGGATAACAGTTATCTGGTCTGTGCCCTACCACTCCAAATCAAGCCATGCTACCAGGAAGTGGATTCTCCCGGTGGTGTACTGCGTTGGCCACTGTGGTGCGCTGCTGCCTACGCGTGCGGCACCAGTCGCAGCCTGTACTGCTTCGTCCACCACCAGGGGATCCGCACCCCATGGGAGTTTCAAAACCTGTCGCCCTCCCTGATCCAAGGCCACTTCCGCCATCCTCCGCTCAACGAAGGCTTCAAGAAAATCGGCGTCATCTCGATCCACCACGGCCACCCACCACTCAGTACCCCTCCTATGCAGCGTACAGCACATTGCGTTTTCGGCGACTTGCCTGAGTACTTCACGCGTATCGTCGGCGCTGACTTGCAAGTAGGCGCACATTCGCTGTGACGGCGAACGGCGGATGACGGAGTAAATGTAGTGCCAGATGTCGACCATGGCCGCGTCTTCCCTTCTGACGTCTTCGGTCGTATCGCTCTCTTCAAGATACGCTGGAAGGTTCGGCGGAGATACGAGAGAGCCAGCCGGGGTGCCGTATGTTGCTCCAGGTGAGGCGGCATGGTGGGCGAGCTGGCCATCCTGCATGGCGCGGTACACTTCGCGAGCTGCGACCTCCTCGTCATTTTGCAACCCTGCCGCGCCAGATCGCGGATACCCGTGGCCTTCGTGCGCCACGTACTCCTCCCTCCGATACGCTGCTGATGCGTGCGCCGCCATGGCGTCGAACAACGCGAGCTCCTCCATCGTCACGTCAAGGCCAATCGGGTCCGCGCGGAGTCGCCCTGAGCTGTCCCCGAGCATGACATGAGGCTGACCCTCTACGATTGGGTACTGAGCCATGATGGCTAGTAGCGACTCCTGTCTGCGCCGCAAAGGCCGAAGGGGGGTATGTACCATACCCGTCTCAAGAGAACGACGGCGATACGAGCCTGAACGAGCCTGTTGAGGAGCCTTTCCTTTCGACTTGTGGGGAGCGTCGTGGGTCTGACGGCGGAGCATACGACGGTGCTCGCCAAAAGCAACCTGGCTCTCTACCCACGACCTAGCTGAACTCGAGGTTCGGAGACGCGGCGCAGATGTAGGAGATCCCATGCGAGGAGGCGAGGCACTCGGCTCGGTATGCGCTGAAGAGTTGCTCGCTGTGACTGACGAGAAGTCGCTGCCGAGATCTTCAAGGAGAGAGACGGGCTCGTCGTCGCCTTCATCGTCAAGAGAGACCGCTAGACCATCCTCACGACGAAAGATGTTAGAGCTCGAGGGGATCGCGGGGGAAGAGGGGAATCGCCTCGTCGATACAGAACGACGTCCGGCGTCGCGACTGGATGTATCGGGATTCATGAACAAGGAAGGGATTGAGTACAAGCTATGAAAGTCTTACGGTTCAAGCACCCAGTGGGTCCTTATGTGCCCTCCTCAAAAACAAGGCGTCCCCATGTGGGTGTAACGGTGAACTGGAGAACAAAGGGCACCCGGATCGAGAACAACGCACGTCATCACTCTTCGGCGTGAGAACGCAACCATCAAGGAGCGTGTAATACATTGTATACATATATGTACGTATGATAGTAGTCTGTACATGACTTAGCGGGAACAAGCAAGGATATGATACAAGCATCTACAGAATGTGAATCCAAGTCCGAGTCCAAATGCATGTATGCACGAAAATGAAACGATATACTAGGCTAGTCAGGTCGAGTGACATGTGGAGGTATCTGTAAGCGTCAGGTGTCTTAAGGGAAGTCTATGGTACTGTCATTGGCAATTGGGGTAGACAGTGTTTCGATAGTTATGGGAGCATCAGAGTCGGTGTCCTAGAACAAGGTCAGCGAGCTGTGAGAAGCAAGATGTCGGGGGTACTTACTCCGATGTTGCGGTCAAAATGCTTTGACAATCGTTCGATCACCAGGGCATACGGGAGGTGCTGAGTGAGCTTCTTGCGAGGCTGAACATTGAGCGAGTGCCTCGCGTCAAGAGCCGAATCGAGTACGTTTGACGAATGTGCGCCTTCGCTGAGAGACAGCTTGATCGAATACTCTTTATCCGATTTCCCGCGCCCATGATTGCGTTCATACAGCTCGAAGGTGATGTGGGACTGCAAAAACTGGTCAGGAAGGGCGCATTGACGATGACGACGAGAAACGCACCGCGTAGTCTAGTTCAGGAATTCGCCTGTTCGCTATTGGCAGGCCGGAATGAAGGACCAGGTTGACCAACGTGTGAATGTGGCTCTCCTTGGTGAAGTAGCAGGTGAGAGAGCTACCACCATGGTTGCGAGCTTCTTCCAGGTCCTCGACAACCTTTCTCAAGAGCGGGAGCGACGTGAGCACACCGATCTCCTCCCTGATTGAGTTCGCGTCAGTTCAGTTCTACCATAAAGGGATAACGACGCTAACTTCTCGTCTGGTTCGATGCCGTACTCCTGTGGTGCGACAAGATCGAAGAGTGCCTTCGCGCGAGAGTACAGTTCGTGCAGTCTGCGATCTCGCGACTCCGCGTTGTCGGACAGATTCTCATCGCTGAAGATGCGGAAGAGGAACTGCCGGTGATGTAGCGCGCAGTACTTGATTGTGTCATATAGCTCGGAGACCTGGAAAGACCGATATGAGAAAAGGTGGGCTGCGGAAGAGCGAAACATTGCGTACGCGTGAAGGGTCGAATTTCTCCTGCTTGACGTCGCAGAAGTCCTCAAAGAGCTTCTCCCAACGTTCACGGAAAAGTAGAGGAGCGTCACCGCAGCACCAGCGATCTTGGATCTTGTCCACGTCCATGGTCTCGTAGTTTTTCCGCATGGTGTCGCGGAAAGACGACATGAGCTCTATCACTTCCTGTCGACGCGTCAATTCAGTCCCACACGACGCTCACCTACTGATCAAAAGGCGCACCTTTACTACTTCTACTGGCTCCTTCTTCATGCTCTTTGGCCATGTGAGCTCTGGGCGCTTTTCGGGCTCGCCTGGGCGGAGCAGAATCTTCAAGCGCTTCTTCACATCGTCCATCAAATCTTTGGCGGCATTGGAGTCGTCCAACAAGTCCTTGCGGATGATGAGCTTGAGCGACTCCTTGAGGGGCACTGAGGGCTTGTGACTGAGCGTTGGTTGGCCCGTGACACTCCCATCAAATGAGGAGCGACTACTGGGGACCGTCGAAGGAGCGGCAGACGTTGGAAATGCGCTGGCCTGCGGCTCGACCAGCGCCGCAGCGAAGATCTCGGCGGATGCGATGACTCGCCGCTCCGAAGAGGTATAGATCTGTCAGTAAGTCAGAAGACTGGAAAGGAAAAGGTGGATCGAATAACGCCGCAGGGCGCCTCTGACCTTCACGTTGTTAAGGGCGTCCTTGTCTGCGGAGGCCGCGCATCAGCACACGTTCGTCCTCTGCGCCAACCGGAGAGACGCACTCATGATGGAAATGTCCTTCTTCATGTTTTCTCCCAAATCGCGCGACTGATACCGAGCCGAGTGCGTGAACTCGCCGCCCCACTTAAATACCAACGTGAGCTTGGCAAGCTTGCGCGCCTGCCCCGCCTGCTTCTTCGCGTATACCGGCTTCAACTGGGCCTTTGTGCCAGGCAGATTGATCTTATTAAAGAGCGCTGTCCTTAGCGTCGTTAGCTTCGTAAAGTCCTCGCCCGTCGCACCCAACGCCTGCGCCTCCTCTACCGCCGTGGCGACGCGGTGCAGCTCCTGCTCGCGCAGGATGATCTCTTCCCGTTCGCCGTTAAGCAGCGTGATGAACGGCTGCGTCCACTCCTCCCCGATCGGGAAGCTGAACTTGAGCTTCTGCTTCGGCGTCCGGTCGGCGTGGCGGAAGACGGTGACGTTGGCCTTGAGCAACCATGTCGGTGCCTCTTGTCGTATGCCCTCGGAATATGTGAGCGAACGCTTGGGCGAGGACACGGCTTGCAGGCAGAGGCCGGTCAGTATCTCAGCTGCACGGTCTAGTAGGCGCTTCAGTAAGGCTAGGAACGCCATGATGGACGCAAGAGGAAAGGCTCTGGGTACCCACCATAGTACGTCTCGTTGCTTTTCACGAAGCTCCATCCGTTCACGTCGATGACCTGGCTTCTAGTTCCATTATCGCAGCGGAGCATGTCGTAGCCGCACACCCTCTGTCCGAACCCTTCGCATATCTTTCCTGCCCACTTCTTCTCCTCGTCGTTTAGACGCGTGATGAAGCTGCGTACTGAGTCAATATTGCCGACCAGATAGGGGCTTCGAGGCAATGTTCTCACCGGATCTCCTTGCCCTCAGTATTGCGGCGCACCACTCCATCGACGACAGGCGACTTGCGCGTTTCCGCGTGCGTGAAGTCCTTGCCTACTGTGTAGACCTTGATGTCCTCGGAGTTGTCGACGTCGATGAATTGCTCATAGATGTATGATCCGTCCGTGCGAGGTTGGTTGAGCGTAGAGTCTAGCTCACTGCTCTTGTTCCCAACCTATTGAACGTAAGTCGTGCATGATCACTGAGGCGATTCCCAGATTGCTGACCTTCCTGAACAGCCTGCGACCGCCTCCACCGCGGAAATATATGTAGACGTTGTGGTCTTCCCCACTGACAGGCTTTTCGACAAAAGGCTTCTCGAGGACCTGTCCGTCGACGATAATCGCATCTCCATCCTCGCGCATGGTGACCTCAGGGGTAACGCGGAATCCGCCCAGTTCTATGCCCAGTTTCCCTTTGATGTACCGCTTCAGCGTATCATCCACTTTGGCGCCACCATCTCGCGAAACTTCAATGCGCTTAGGAGTAGGGACTTGCAAGTGGTCGAGGACGTTCCCCACAAGTCGGCGATCCCATAGAAGAGCCTGGGGCACGAGGTCGTTGATACAGAATGGTTGTCGTAACTCGACGTATGAAATTGCTTTGTCCAAGGGGAAGTCCGTCGAAAAGAAAGAAATAAGCACGTCGCATCGCGGCCAGTTCTCGACATCTGTATTCAAAGCAGTTTGACGCTAAATCAAGCGCTCGCGAGCCAGACTGACGTACCTTCGTCCAATATAACTTTATCCCCGAACACCTTGACCTCGATCCCTCCCCGCGCCCGGTCGACGATGCGCGTCAATATTTCACGCATGGCCTTTGAGCGCGCCTTGTTGTCCATTGCGCATATCCCCAGAATAATGGGGGGTCTGGAGTCGTCATTGAAGAAGGGGTCCATGCTCGAGCTCGTCGGAGAGGGGGTAGACGCCCGTGAGCGGTCTGTGAAGATCGAGCTCGAGCGCTGGGTCGATCTGTCGTGCTGGGGCATGAACGTGAATCGTGAGGGCCTGTCCTTATGCATTCCGCCGATTGAAGCGCGCTCCGGACGTGAACGTATCGGTCTGCTTTCCGTAAATCTTGAAATTGAGCAGCGCGTTCAGGGCGCGCGGGGCCGTTTACACGTGGCCGCGCGGATCAAGCGCCCGTCGAGGATTCAAACCTTGTACTCCGGCGCTTTCGTCCCATCATGATCATATTCCCGCCCTCCGCCATCGTCGCGCCTTGCCTTTCGCCGTCATGGTTCTCGGGTCTAAGCCATACAAGGTCTGCTGTGGTTTGGCAGGCGTCGAACGGCGCCTTGACGGACGGACGTGCGACGTGATGTCGCTCAACGCACTCAATCCGGGCACGGAACTTCTTCAATCAGCCATGCGTCGGCTATGTCAGCACGCGTGACGTCGATGAGGCAATTCTGCGGCAACGTCGGGGTGAGGCATTTTGTGGACAACGCCCAGCCTATCCGGCGCAGATCACAGAATTCCATATATACGCCGGCTGGACGTCGCCTCAAGTGCACTTCCAACGCCGTCTGAGTGGTTATGCAAAGCCTCAGTTTTCTGAATCGCCGCGCTCTCTCCGAGCGCGACGTCGTCCATACCGAATCGGCACACGACAAGAATAGCGTGACAACCACCGTGTTCTTGCACAACCTACACTGCAGCAGGTGCGTGGATTGATATTCTTGTCCAACGCATGTATACTTACGTGGAAATTAAGCTGCGTTGAGACGATCGACGAAACGCTCTCCAATCTCGAGCCTCCGCCCTACTCTGTACAGACTTCCATCGTTTCCCAGGCCGTCACTATCAACCACCCTGCCGCCCTCTTGTACGCTAACATAAAGAGCGCCCTCGAGGATGCGGGCTTCGACATTGCGACGGAACCGATTCCTGGCCCTTCTCGCCCTCTGCCTCATAGAACCCTCACCCACCGGCGAGAACGTCACTTTCAACAGTGCTCAATGTGCCAAAAGAACCTGCCGGCGCACGATCATCATGAACAATCCTCCGGAGCATCTGAGTTCGGCAGTTGTGTCGTCTCACTGTCAATTGGTGGCATGACTTGCGCCTCCTGTAGCAATACCATCACCGATGCTTTGACCGAGCTTCCTGGCGTCCGAGATGTCACCGTCTCGCTTCTCAGCAATTCTGCCTCTGTAACCCTGGAAGACGAAGCTCTGTCCGCTACTATCACTCAGGCCATTGAGGACCTGGGGTACGAAGCCGCCGTTATGGATGTGAAACGCGATGCGTCGACCAAGCCGACCGTCAACGCCACCGGGTCCCAACGCCTCACATTGTCCATCGGAGGCATGACTTGCGCCTCCTGCGTCTCGACTATAATAAGTCTCCTAGCGTCTATGGAGGGCGTGTCAGACGTGGCCATTGACCTCCTTGGAAACTCTGGCACGATGCAGGTCGAACGACCCGAACTGGCGAGGACGGTTGTGGAGGCCATTGAGGACGCAGGATACGAGGCGGCCGTTGTCGACGCCGAGTCCGTACAGAAGACGCTACAAGACGAAGGGCATAATACTCGCACACTATCTTTACTCGTGGACGGCATGTTTTGCCAGTGAGTATTTCTGTCCCAATATGGTACCTCGCTCACACCCAACTATAGACATTGTCCAGCAAGAATCATGTCGAAGCTGGACGCTTTTGGCGTGCAAGTGGCGATAGACAAACCTCTCACCGAGAGTGATCCCATCCTTCGCGTCACGTATCAGCCCTCGCCGCGCTCGCTCACGGTTCGTGACATCGTGGCCGCAGTTGCATCAGCCAAGTCGCCTCCCTTCGCCGTCTCCGTGTATAAGCCGCCAAGTTTGGAAGACCGCGCTCACGCCATGCAAGCTCGCGAGCAGCGCTCAATCCTATGTCGCCTCTTGTTCTCTTTTGTGGTTGCTATACCCACATTCATCATCGGCATCGTCTACATGAGCTTGGTATCAAACTCGGACTCGACCAAACAGTTCTTCATGCGCCCAATGTGGACAGGCAACTCTTCGCGCATGCAGTGGTCGCTCTTCTTCCTCGCCACTCCCGTCATGTTTTACAGTGCCGGGATGTACCATTTGCGGAGTTATAAGGAGATTCGCGCACTCTGGCGACGGGGTAGTCGGACTCCCATCTGGAAACGCTTTGTCCGTTTTGGGAGCATGAACTTGCTTGTATGTGCACTCCGCGTATCCACGAAAGAGCTTCACTGACTTGCAACTCAGGTCTCGGCCGGTGTATCCGTCGCATACTTCTCCTCCATCGTTCTTCTCGCTCTGTCGGCGTCTCAACCTGCGACGGATGGCGACACGACGACGTACTTCGATTCAGTTGTCTTCTTGACCATGTTTCTACTTATGGGTAGGTGCCCAGGGCGACGCTTGATGACTTGAGAGCTGACTTAAACCTAGGACGCTATCTGGAGGCGTATAGCAAGACCAGAACCGCGGACGCTATCGCCGATCTTGGCAAGCTTCGTCCAGCTGATGCATACTTGCTCGTACCAAACTATGTCTCGAGCAAGCTCTTTGTCGTTCAGGACGGCAGCTCGGATCACGACGTCGAGAAGGGCGACGCAGATGTCGAGGCGGCGCAACGAGACGCTCCCAGCGGCTCGCGTGTACAGAAGATCTCGGTAGACCTTCTTGAAGTAGGCGACGTCGTTCGGGTGCAGAATGGCGCGACACCACCAGCGGATGGGACCATCGTCTCAGGAGAGTCAACCTTCGATGAAAGCTCTTTGACAGGTGAATCGCGACCTGTTCGGAAAACGGTCGGCGACCAGGTCTTCCTCGGCACCATCAACACTTTACGCGCTGTCGATATCCGGATCGGCGCCATCGGTGGCGAGACGATGTGAGCTTGTTCTTCATTCACCTATTCACAGACGAGATGCTAAGACGGAGTACAGGCTTGATCATGTCGTAAGAGCCGTCAGGGAGGGGCAGACAAAGCGTGCTCCCATTGAGCGCATCGCGGACGTGCTCACCGGCTACTTCGTCCCCGTCGTCACGCTTCTAGCCATTTCGACCTGGATCATCTGGTTAGGACTTGGCTATGGCGGCGCTCTTCCCCAAAGCTACTTGGACAATCCTGTTGGCGGTTGGGGTATGCCCTATCCATATCCGTCAGTGTGGAGTTATGCAGATCCACTAATACATCCATAGCCATATGGTCCCTAAAGTTCGCCATCGCCGTCTTCGTCGTGGCGTGCCCCTGTGGCATCGGCCTTGCCTCTCCGACCGCTCTGCTCGTCGGTTCGGGTGTTGCTGCCAAGTACGGTATCCTTGTCCGAGGCGGAGGCGCTGCTTTCCAAGAAGCCGCTCAATTAGACATCGTCGTCTTTGACAAGACTGGCACGTTGACGCAGGGCGGGGAACCTTCGGTGACGGACCATTCCATCTTGTCTGGCGGAGATTGGAAGGAGGAAGTCGTACTTGGCATGGCTGAAGAGCTCGAGTCGTCTAGCACGCATCCTATCGCATCCGCCATCCGCAAGTTCTGTGCTAGCAAGGGCGCCATCTCCGTGGGTGCATCAGCATATGACGAGAAACCCGGTCGCGGTTTGAAGGCAGCCTTTGCGTCCCGACAATCCGAGGCCATCATTGGCAACGAGCGGTGGATGGAAGAGCACAACGTCGAAGTCGGGCAAGACGTTGCCGAACGTTTGCAAGCTTGGAAAGCACAAGGCTGGAGTGTTGTGCTGTTCGCCATTCGCGGCGCGGAAACACCGTTTGAACTCGCCGCGGTCTTCGCAGTCAGTGATCCGCTACGTCCGCAGGCGGCCGTGGTCATCGGCCATCTGCAGGATCGCGGTCTCAAGACATGGATGATCTCCGGAGATAACGCCACGACAGCACAAGCCGTAGCGAAGCAAGTCGGTATACCATCATCGCAGGTTATAGCCGGTGTCTTGCCACATGAGAAGGTGCGATGAACCGAGTCACCTTCTCTCTTTGATCCATCTCATCTGTATGGGCAGGCCGAAAAGATTCGCTCTCTGCAAAGCTCGCAGCCCATACGCCGACGTTGGTTATCTGGGCGCAGGCTTGATGAAAGGAGCATCGTGGCGATGGTTGGTGATGGGATCAACGACGCACCAGCACTTGCATCTGCAGATGTGGGTATAGCGATAGGCTCGGGAAGTAAGTTGTCGACTTTCACTTGGATGGGCCTGATACTGATTCGTCGCCATAGGTGACGTCGCTTTGTCCAGCGCTGCGTTTGTACTCGTATCATCCGAGCTGCAAAGCCTCATCACACTCTTTGACTTGTCGAGGACGGTGTTCAGGAGAGTCAAGTTCAACTTCGTGAGTACTTCGCACCCGCAAGATTACGATCACCCTCTGACTTCTATGCAGCTCTGGGCGCTTGTGTACAACGTCGCTGCCATCCCTATTGCTGCAGGTGTGATATACCCTGCTGGTCACGCGAGGCTTGACCCGGTCTGGGGATCACTGGCTATGGCACTGTCGTATGTTGACTGCCGTTACTCTCAGAGGTCTTGCTAATGTTCTGTCCAGGTCTGTGTCCGTCGTATGCAGTTCTATCGCCCTCAGGCTATACCGGCCACCGCGCACATCGCTTAATAAGGATGTGCCCATCAGTCGTGATACGTTACCGACGTAGAAAGCGGCAGACCCATACATGATATTGCGATGACATTATACTAACGATACAAAACGATACAATGATACCATGAGTTCATGACATGCTTTCTACGGTGCTTTCGACTGCTGCTGAGAGGCCTCTCGTTTAGTCTTGTAGAAGTCTGAGAAAGATAGCCGAACGCCAAGGAAACGGCAGTCAAGGTCTGTATGACTTTGGAGGCCATGCACGATGCCATGAACCTTCTCTGAGAATATTGAGGCGTACTCCTTACATTGCTGAAGACCGCGCAGCAACTGGTCGGATAAGGGTGCTTCTTGATCAGCGCCTGCTCCGGTATAGACTCCCTGTGAAGATCTGAGTACGCCGCCCGTAAGAAGACGGCGAAAAGCTTACCCGCATGGCATCCCGCTCGTTATCACGCCGCGAAGACTCGGATAGGCAGAGATTATAAAAGTGGTCCTGTGGGGAGTCGTGTTACCAACGTAGGAGTGACTGAACACTGATGCGTACCATAGCTTCCCTGAATTGCAGGATCGTCGCCAATGCGTCGCGCACTTGATTGAGAACAACCTCCTGAGAGCGAGATGAGCAAGAGTCCACTAGTTACATCGGGCTACCTCTGAATCACGAACCTCGCGCCCAGCTTTGTTCGATAAGAGTAGAATCTTCCTGACCAAGCGTCCAAGATAGTCACGGTGAGCGGCTATGAGAGCATCCAGGTCCCCCTCCTTTTTATGCACAAAGTCCATAAGATCGGCCCACGAGCATTCGATGACCTCAAGCTGACTATAAGCTTGCATCTGCCGAATGAAGTGAATCATCTCAGCCACAGACAAGCGCAGCTGGTGCCACTCCTGCTCAAGCTCTATGGCGGTGTTAGCGCGATCATGTGAGAGATCCGATCTACGACGTGCCAGGTAGGTGAATAAACACTTTCGTGCCACTACCGGCCCTCAGCCAGCCCTTTGTCAGCGTCATCTCGATGCGCTTGATCTTCCACAGGTGGTTGAAAAGCTTCAGGTATTTAACCATTGAATCCGGGTCAAGCACAGTGTCCAGGGGGGCGTCGATCTTGTACACCAGGGTGAACACATCCCAACCGATCTCACTCCGAGTGTATTCGAGCATCTCGGCGTCCAATCGCCTCAAGATATCGGGAGGGTCGTTCTGAGCATTCGAGGAGCGCACCGCAGTCTCCAATGTAGCGGTTAAGTTGTGTCGGTACAAGGTGTTAGCGGGTTTCGACAGGCTAGGTCTAGGTGATGGATGAGCTGATGGCAAGGTATGGCGTGTGCGTTGGAAGACTGACCCTAGTGTCTCCATGAGGTGATCCACGAAGTCGCCGTACCCCAGTAAGAGATAGTTCTTCACAGCCTGCAGATGATCCAGAAGTCTGAACTTGTCAAAGAAGATGTCGAATAGTCGCTGGCTCGCAATGCGGTAGGCGGTGTCAATTGATCTCTCCAGACCGGAGATGTCGCTGTATTGTAGCTCTATCGGAAGATCAGATGCGTTGACGTGGGAAATGGGAAGTGAGCGGCAGACCTCCTCGTTCTGTGTGGCTCAATTTCTCCCTCGTCGCCACCCAGTCACTGTCATGACAGCTATAACGGATGAAGTTCAGACTGCGACCTGTAGAGAATATCTATATGGAAGTCAGAATGACTCTGATCATCGTAGACGAAGATCGAACCTTGCGCCCAAAATTCTCATTCACAAACGCGGGTAGCATATCTTGTCGGAATTCGAACTTGTTCTCCCATAGACGCAGGCTATTCTCTTTCTCCCCTATCACGTCTTCCTCAACGGATAGTCCGAACCCTCCATCGGCCACACCTCCGCCTGCGTAAGCAGCAGCATGAACGTATTGAACGTGCGCCAGATCGGGGTCTACTCCAACAAAGAACTCGTTATAAGGATCATAGAGTTCTCCAGAGAAGAGCCATTTCTGCAAGGTCGCAAAGAACGGCATGGATACCTATGAGTAGAATGAGTATAACACCACCCATCTGTGAGTGAACTGACCTCTTCCAGTAGATGATCCGTGAACTGGCGGACAAAGGGGTCTCCGTTCTCTGTATAGCCGTGAATGAGGTTGACAAGTGCACCTCCGTGTGTGTCTTGTAGAGCATTAGCAGGAGCTCCAGGATGCATGACCTGATATGATATACCTCTCGCGGCCCCTACACACACACTCATCATACGCATTCGAAGTCGCCATTCGTTGATCCAGACATCAAGACGACGCAATGTAAGACCGCTTTCCTCGGCACGAACTTCGTTACTGTCCGATTCAGTCGCCACAACGGAAAGTTGGGATTCTAGCACAGCGATCAAGCGGTAGTACTCCGTCAATTGCGATTGTAGGTGGTGACAGAGGCTCTGTTCGATCATGCCAACGTCGGTACCAATCTCTCTATCCCGGACGAACTTGTCCACCAACTGGTACAAGTAGCCGACTTCAGACAGCCTATGTATAAGCTCTTTGGTAGATTGCCCTATGCGAGCCTCCTGATGTAAATGGTGAGATGGGGATCAGATGTGGCGTAGATAACTCACAGGTGCTTCGGAGAACACGACTTGTTGCATCGACTCCCCACCATTACTGGATGAGAACCGAATGTGCTTTCCAGAGATGCCTTGCAGAAGATATAAAGTATCGCGTAGCAGGATATGCTCTGGCATTTGTAGTTTGCCTATGCGTGTAATGAGAATAGCAGATCACGGAACCAGTAGTATCTTTCGGACCGATTCTTTTGCGATATTCGTAGAGGATCTGCGCTTTGCTTTTACCGGCAGGCTCGCCAGTGGTGGGTTCCATAGTGGGTGTGGTCACAGTTGGACGAGCACGCGAGGGAGCAGCAAGTGATGGAAGAAACGTCGAAGTTACTGTAGCTTTGCGCGAAGATGACGCGGACAGGGTATGTAGGAATAGAAGGGTATCGTGTTTCTTGGACAGTACAGGCTAGATAGCATAGATCAGATTGGCTATTAGCATGGTTGGGTAATTTCCGCACCTGATCTAGCAGTCGAGATAGAAGATTGGTGAACTGTAATACAGACGAACCGGGCCCCGGGGCTTGCGATACTGTAGTAAGTCAGTATGCGCGTGCTACCACAAGCCAACCGAGACTATGCACACACTCACATTGCCGTTTGATGATGTCCGCCAGCAGGCCTATGTCGGCTTCCCGTGTATTACCTATGTGACTTCATGGACCTAAGTTATGTGATCCCTCGCGGCAATGACGAGGGAATACCGACCTAGAGAGTATATCCTTGCAGCGAGCCGATAGATCTTGACGCAGGTGTTCTTGCCGACGAGCTGTGGGTACAAGCGAGCAGACCAGCGCGTCAAGGGAGTCGGACAGAGAGGTCATCTCATCGAGCGGCCAGTCGACTCGGAAAGTAAGACTCTGTACAAGGGTGATCGACGTAAGGGGCGAACCCGCTAAGCACGCGCGCCGCGCGGGGCGTGACCGCGTCAAGGTGGTTGATCGCTTTCTCACGCTGGTCGCACCAGAAGACAGGCGAAAACACGACAGTAGTCCATGAACATGAATGATGGTCTGTAAGGCTATGATACAACATGAGGCAGATAGAAGAGATGTACGCCGGCTCGAATAGAAAGAGGGGAAGATCAGGTCAGATGCTATGTCTCCTGCGCTACTCGAGAATTACGCGCCAGCCACAGAGCCCTCGTATGTGAGAGACCCCGACGAGCTCTGTGCATTCTGATAGGAAGCGCCGTTGATTCTTGCAACCGACTCGAGATCCCACCCGTATTGAGCGTACTTGGGGAAGTTGTCCTTGAAAGCTTGGACAGTAGCGCTTCGGAGTTCATGCTCGAGGATGATCAGCCCGGGCGACTTGGAACCACTGAGCCACTGGGTGAACTTGGCGTCAATAGCGTCCTGCGTTGTTCCGCCCGTAGTGCCCAGGCTCCAGTCGGACGTGCTATGGTACCGATCAATAGGTGTTCAGAAAGACGGATCATAAACGCCTCGGCTACTCACTCTTGGTTCCAAATGACAGTGGTCAAACCAAACACCGCTGATGCGATAGCGTCGACACGAGCGTCGGTGTCACCGTAAGGGGGGCGCCAGTAGCGGGCGAGGCGTCCTCCCGTTGAGATATAGATGAGTTGCATTGTCCAGCCAAGCTGGGCCACTACCTGGGCGTTCGATAATGTGGTCATGTATCTAGGGTGTATTCTATTGAGATATTGTACCAAATATAAGAAGGAGGACGTACGGGTGAGTCCAAGTGTGCACTGCAATGTCACTCTTCAGCGTGGAGAAAGCGGTCGTGAATTCGTTCGGGAATTGCAGAATGTTGGTCCCGATGAAAAAGTGTGTAGAGGGTACGTTGTTCTGTTGAAGGAAGGAATACAGCTCATCGGAGGCCTGTGAGGGATGTGAGAGAGATGTTCCAAATATGCGGCGCAAGGACATACAGCCAGGGGACCGTCATCGAAAGATATGCCGACTACGCCAGATGGAGCATCCCAGATCTGCCCAGGCAGGCGGCAGTGTGCAGACGCGGAGCATATGGGCTGCTTGCTAGCGTCCTGGTCTTGATAGACTGGAGTCGTGGAGGGTCCGTTGGGCTGCGACGAGACGGGTACGTTGGGAATCTTGCCCGCCGCGACCGCCGCGTTCAGCGCGTCTGTCCAAGCCTTTGGCACGGAACCCGTGTCCGCGGTCTGGGGAAAGCCCGCCTTCCATTCTGGTGAATCGATCAGGGCAAACACGGGATGAGATAAAGGGAGCAGCGACGGACCTGCTGAGCCGACTGCTGGAAACGAGCCGGAGGACTGACGACGAAAGAGTGCGTGAGCGGGATGCGTCTCGCTTTGGTACCAAGTGTCGGGAAGAGATCGAGAGTCTGTCTCCGCGTGGGCATTGACGAGCGCACACGACAGTGCAAAGGAGAGGGAGAGTGACCATGCATACATGGCTGATACAGGGTAGCGCTGAGAGATGGGAGGGGGTGAAGGGTAAGGGATCGCGCAAGTTAAACGTATGAGAGCCAGATGTTTATATGCCAGAAGGAGGCGAGCATCCGGGGCTCCGTATGGTACCTGAAACAGCGACCGTCTTAACGGCTCTTCGGGATGGTCAAGTGGTCGTTGTGTCTTGGAGATGCCAGGGCATTTCTTTGCAGGGTCACGATACTTGCTCCCGCCTCCCAAGGAAAATCGGCAACAAGCGCCGCGTAGCACGGGTTCCCGCGACACCTATACGCGAGGACATCGCGCTTATGGACATGTAGGAACAGTGCACCTAGGTCACGACTCTTGGTCTCAGTCTGTACGACGAGACCGGCTAGAGGACAGCCAGATGTCACAAGGACCACATGGCGACTCGAGATCAAAGAGCGTCCAACCAAGCGTTCTCACTATGTGCAGGTGCACGTGCGCTTTGGCACTTCTCACATTGACGGCTGTCCACGAGATCGCACTAGCCTCCAAAGTCAAAACACGGTGTGCGTCATGTCAAAGTCATGGATCAATACATAGCTCGTGTCAAGACAGGCCATCGGCGAATAGCTCAAGCGATGGGCGGTAGCCATGAAGAAAGTAAGTAATGGTACGGCCAGAATGTCCGGGGTAAACGAGGGTAGTACAAGAGGTGCAGGGTATACTTAAAGAGTCCGCGCTCAATTACGTGTAAGTAGTCTACTAAGTCCATAGTCCCATTACAGAAGAGTAACGCCCAACAATGCGGTCAAAAGAAGAGCCGACAGCGATGCAGAAGGCATGCCGGCGAGAGAGGCTGCACCACTGTGCGATACGTCCGAACCAGTACCCGAGGAAGATGAGGACGAGGACGAGGCGCTGGGCGACGCCTGCGAGGCGGCGGTCGCGGTGGCTGACGCAGATGCAACCGCCTCGGAAGATGCGAGCGCGTACGCGTTACCGAGGTTCTTGCCAGACGTGATATTTGAGTTGCCGAAGATGGCGCTCGTTGAGTTGATAGCGTTTTGGTAGGTACCGTTACCGTCTACCGCGGCAACGGACACGATGTTCCAGTTGTTCTGAACCATGAGCGGATAAGCGTCAATGAATGCTTGCACGCTCTGCTGGCTCAATTCGTGCTCGAGAACGATCAGACCGGGCGAGCGCGCGCCTGAGAACTATCAGCTGTTGAAACGATAGGGACGGGGGCGTCACTGTACTCACCAGTAAGCCATTTCTCGAACTGGGAATGAATCTTCTCAGCGCTGGTGTAGTGGCTGTTGGTGGTCAGGGTCCAGTCGGCAGTATCTTGATTCCACTGAATGCTTGTCATGCCGAATACCTCTCGTGCGATGGCCTCAACGCGGCTATCGATATCGCCATAAGGTGCCCTCCAGTACCTTGGGATGCGGCCACCAGTCGAGTTGTAGATGAGCTGCGCGGTCCATCCAAGTTCGGCTAGCACGAGATCATTGCTCTGCGTCGTCATGTACGGGTGCTAAAGATGTGGTCAGCACTAGTGCAGGGCGGTGCAAGTCGACGCCCAACGTACAGTCCAAGTATGAACGGCAATGTCGCCTTGCAGAGTCTTGTACGCCGTGTTGAATTCTTTGGGGTTCGAGAGGATGTTCGTGCCGATGAAGAAGTGCGTGGCGGGGATAGAGTTATTCTGGAGGAAAGCATATAGTGTATCCGACGAGCCAGGCAAAGGACCATCGTCGAAGGAAATGCCGATAGTGTTGTTGGGCCCGTCCCAGATCGACGTTGAGAGACGACAGCCGTACGTCCCAGAGCAGATAGGGAGCTTGTCAGGGTCTTGACCGCCGTAGGTCGGGTTTCCGCTTGCCGATGGGGTCGAAACAGGAATATCGGGTATTTTGCCTGCCGCGATGGCGGCCGCGAGAGCATCCTGACGTATGGTTCATTCATGAGGTATGGCTATGATGAATGATATAGCGACGAACCTTCCATGCTTGAGGAACGTCGTCCGCACTCAATTTGTCTCCTGGAACGGGGAAGCCGCTCGCCCAAGCTGAATAGAGTTCAGACCTGGTCAGATGGCTAGATCGAACAGTCAAGAGAAGCACAAGAGCGCACCTTCCGAGCCCACGGCAGCGAAAGTATTAGAAGAAGACGAGTCTGCACGCCGATAAACAGCGTCCAGCTTGGGAGTCGAAGGCTGGTACCAGGTATCCGGCAGTTGGCGGGCTTCAACGTGATCGTGGCCCGGGGCAGCGATCGCAATAGATGCCGCGGAAAGAGACGCAAAGAGCGTGGCGAAGAACATGATAAACCGGATGGAGGAAAAGCTGGACTCTGAAAAAACGGGACGAGACAAGCGCGCTGCAACTCGCAAGGGGCCAGAGAGCAGACGTCGGAGAGCGGGCGAGCATACGTTTGACTTTTATAAGCGCGAATCTTCGGGCGGCAGAGCCCTCTGTCAGAGGCTAGTTGCCCTGGCCGTCAAAATCGGCGCTCGCGAGCGGCGGCCCTACCCCGTTGCGGTACAGTAACATGCATTCACCCGCATGGACAGGACGGCCCGTAACGCCGAAGGGCATAGAATCCCCTCCTCTGGGCTCCCTCTTCCCGTACAGATATGTTCGCGCAATCACAAATGGGAGTCCTCCAAGCCCCCGCGTCTACAACGAGGGCCGCTTAGTGCAGAACCGGAACACCGGAATCGCCGCGCGCCCAGGCTGTACAACATCGATATAAACCCTGACATACTTTACCAGTGATAGATAACGCAAGGGAGGTAATGAAGCAACACGCACGGCGTCGTTTGTCCGCGTTCTGCACTAATCAATAACTCATTTGGACAACCTGCGGGTCTACCATGCCAAGGGCATACTCATTCCGTCGCCATATATTTCCTCGTCGAGCGAGCGCCGAGCGGTGGCGAGGAGAACCGGATGTACCGAGTAGGTCGCGATCGTACGCAGGCGGCAGGTCATCACGATGAACGCCGAGAAAGGATGGAAGAAGGAAGCATCCGCGCTTCCGTTCGGATCACGGGCTCGAGTCCGCATTTCGGAATATAGCTCCGGCCGCTAAGCAATCCTTGTTTCTCATCGGCATCGACGGATCTCTAATGCCGCGCGGTTTGGATGTTCGGTCAAATCTGCCTGTAGTCCTGCCATGCGAGCAGATCTCGCAAAATAACAGTACGGTCATTGAATTACTACGATCGTGATGATCAAATCAGAGCACACTAGCGAATGGTGTCAATAAGTTTCCATCGTGGTACGTCGCAGCACAGTAATAGCACTGAGTCAACAAGAACAGAGCACGGCATACAGCACAACATTGAGACGATCACAGGACGGAGTAGGGGTGAATATGTCAGCAAACGACAAAGCCATCACGAAAATGTACACACAAACCCAATTGAACAGTCTAGTAGCCCTGGCATTACTCGACGTTTCCGGCGAGATAAATTAACTCGAGAGTTTAGAGGAGGTTTGCGATCAAGCTGGAGATCAATACTGTCGATCCAGCGACCAAGGCGAGCGGGTGTTGTAAGCCGGTAGCGTCGCTCGTGTGGACAGCGCTGTCCGACGCAGCAGTACCGCTGGGAGCTGCAGACGATCCGCTCCCACTCGCGCTGGCGCTGGCGTGATTGCTCGAGGAACCGCTCGCACTAGCAGTAGCGCTCGAGCCAGCAGTGGATGCCGCGGTGGAGGATGATGCAGAAGCGTCCACGATGATATTGGCGACAGTGGGCTGGCCCTCCGCGCCCTCAGCATTCTGGTACGGAGTGTTCAGACCATCGAGTTGAGCAACGGACACGGCCTTCCAGCCGGCGCTCATGGCCGCCGGGAACGTGTTGATGAAGGCGCCAACGGTGTCGTTCGTGAGCTCGTGCTCAAGGATGATCAGGCCGGGCGACTTGGGGCCTGCGCGTGTGTTCAGCGGTGATTACCTTCAGATAATGATACTGGAAACGCACCCGCGTACCAGCCGTGGAGGCTATTTTCAACCGACTGAAGCGTCAGGTCCGTCGTTGCCATGGACCAGTCCTCGGTACTGTGGCGTATCAGATCCTTTCCCACAACAATGAATTGAATATATATGGGCGCACTCTTGATTCCAAATGACCGTCTTAAGGCCGAACACCTCCCGAGCGATAGCGGAAACACGGATGTCGGAGTCACCATAAGGAGGGCGCCAGAAGCGGGGAATACGACCGCCAGTCGAGTTGTGGATGATCTCCATGGTCCAGCCGAGCTGAGCGACGACGTCCTCGTTCGAAAGCGTGGTCATATACGGGTGGGTCCAAGTGTGCACGGCGATGTCCTGACCGCGTGGTTCATTGAATATGGCGCTTGTGCGATCAAAAAGGAAGACTCACGTCTTGAAGCGTCTCATAGGCAGTCATGAACTCCTTCGAACCCCACAAGATGTTCACACCGATGAAGAAATGCGTGGCCTTGATATTGTTCTCCTGTAAGAACTGGTAAAGAACGTCCGAGCTTTCCTACAGGGAGTGTGTGAGCACATAACCGACGGGTCCCAATAAGCGCTCGTACGGGAATGGGACCATCGTCGAACGAAATGCCGACTTGGCCGTCAGGAGCATCCCACAGGTCCGTGTCGAGGCGGCACTTGTACGTCGCCGAGCAGACTTTGGGGTCCATGGGATCGACGCCCTTGGGGTAGACCGGACCGGCAGCCGGATCGTTGGTCGAAGGAGCCAGGTCAGGAATCGTGCCGGCCTTCACGGCGGCGTCAAGCGCGTCCTTCCACTCCTGAGGCATCTGGCTCGAGTCCGGAGTGCTGGTGGGGTAGGCGGCCGCCCATGCTGCATGGTGATCGTGATGAGCGGCAGCTCGGGCCGATTGCGCGCGCAATCACTCACTGGGGGAGCCGACCTCGGGGTAGGTGATACCGTCGGTCGTGGGTCCGCGTTTGAAGAGCTTGTGCGCAAAGTGAGACTCGTCGCGATGCCACCAGGCGTGATCAGACGGGGATGTCCTCGACGCCAGGCTGCGAGCTATGTGGGCATGATTGTGGCCGGGGTGTGCTTGTACGGAAGATGCGAGAGCAAGGAGGGAAGTAAGGCAGAGCCAGGTGGAAGCCATCGTTGCCGAATTAAAACAGAGAGCCGAGACCAAAAAACGAAGGACGGTAAGAGAGCGACTAAGCAACGCGGCGGAGGCCTCGGAGAGAGGTCGAAGGTCAACCAGTTGAACGGGGCGCACAGATCCCGCATGGTCTGCCTTTTTGTGGCATTAGGTGGGCTCTGGCGGGAGACGGCACCGGCGGAATCAGGCCGCGAAATCACTTGGCGGCGGGCGCTACCGATTATTCCACGCGGAACTTGGCTTCGGCTCGTCCACTTGCGCCGTCCCCAGATACCTGTACACAACGTAAGTTCGTACATACTTGCGACGGTTGCATGCACTGCCCTGCTGACTCGCGGTCAGCATGCGTGTGTTAGAAGGGCAAACTCAAATCAGCACGCAGAACGTCCAACCAACAGATGCTGATCTGCAACCGTGTCATCCCTGGACGACCTATTTGGTCCTAGAACATATGCGCTTCTACAATTCAATTATCAGCGCCGGTCACGCTAGCGCCGGAGGGCCCGGGAGGTCATATTGCGGTATGAAATCGATCAGGATAATCCACGGCGAGAGCCACATGCGCAATTATCACTTACTACACTCTCCTCGAGAGCGGCAGAATATACAGGCCAACACTAGTTGGTCATACCCGGTAAGCGGTATCATCGGAAGCCTCGAGGTTGACACGAACGACTCGGAGTATGCGGAGACCGGCTTCGCCACGTAGATGAGCGCTTCGCATGACGGCCTGAGGCCACCGCAAGTGACGAATCGGACGATGGACCAGGCAGGGAGGCGTGCATGCGCACAGAAGTGACCTGATGGGTTCGGGAGAGGAAAACATAGTCATGGCTTGCCCAAGTTCTTCGACATGGCGGTACGTTACAGTAGTTGGCAGCGGCGTTATATACCTGAAGACGGACATCAAGCCGAGCCCAGTGCGTGGGTAGTCTGACCGGCCCAGGGAGACGAGATCCGTCGGAAAAGCGCGAACACCTTTTAGTAGTAGTAGTAGACCACCATCGGACCCTTAGTCGGTCCCGGCTGGATCCCGGCTAGCCCCTGTTCCCAGGCGCGACACGTTACGCCGATCCTCCGCATCTCTTCGGACCAGACCACGATCAACAACCCGAAACTGGGCACCGGTATGGCCATGGCGGACTCTCGTAGCGCCAGCTATTCAGCACTCGATAGAGCTCCCCGTGTAACACGCCAATACATCCTTGCGGCATCATAGAACGTCGCGACCCCTGGCGGGTTTGTATACGTCACCCACATATTTCTGGCTGAGTGTCGTTGCTTAGTGCGTCGGCGTTTACCTTGACTGAAGCTTCACCCCGGTGTCCATTCTGAGATCTCAAGATCGGCGGTGATGAGCTGCTTATCTTCATGATCTACCGTAGTCTCGCTGTCAGCGGGTAGTGTTGTTGACGTCCGTGAGGTGTCACGCCACCCCACGCGTCCAGAAAATCCGCGGGGTCTCTGCCGAATGCGATGAATCGGCAGTGGCGACTCAGGGCAATAAACTAAACTCTTTGTATCAAGCAGCGCCCAATGCGCTATGCTGACCTGACCTCTACGAGGGGAACCAGGGGGAACCTTCACACGACGCCAGAGCGCTTTCCGACTTGTCGGGAGCCCCTTGTGTCTCTCGCTATTGACCGAAAGCTTCACAGTGGTCCATTCAGCATCTAGCACGCCGTAAAGCGCGCGAGAACCCGCATCTCCTTTCGACTATCAGAACACGGCGTCTGCCCTGAGGAATGTAAGCGGCCGCTGCGGCGCTCTGAATGGGTTGCATCTGACGCCGTGAAAGCGACCGCTCCTGTGACCACTACATCAAAAGTGCCCCACTATAAGTTTGGTGGACTGGGGGAGATTACATTTGTCGGCACTACCCACGACATGGCTCCCTCAGTTTTGAGCATGGACGAAATCGAGTCTCGCAAGCTCACCCGACGAATCCTGCTCAAACTCGATCTCCGTATCTTGCCCATCTTAGCTCTGGTACGTGTCGCTCTACATACATCATGAGCTAACTTGACATCAATTGGAGCTGTTCCTGGCTAGCTTCATCGACAGGACCAACATCGGCAACGCGGGGTAAGCACCTTACAGGTCTCCCTATTCAGTTACTGAGCTGGCACCTAGAATCGCGGGGCTAAAGACCGATGCTCACCTGAAGGGCGACCAGTTCAACATCACTCTTGCCGGTACGCTCATCGATGAACTTTGCGCTGCGCCATTCTGATGGAAAGTAGTGTTCTACGCGTCGTGCGTGCACTGATTGCACTCGCGTGTAACCTAGTCTTCTAAAGCTGATCAGATACGTCGTCGTCGAGTTACCGTCCAACTGGGTGCTCAAGCGGATACGCGCAAACCGATGGCTCTCTCTGCTGGTGTTCGTATGGGGCACGGTAACAACTCTTATGGGATTGGTCGATAGCTTCGGAAGTCTTGCCGCAGTACGCGTCGTATTGGGCTTCTGCGAGGGCGGTCTACTCCCCGGAATGGTACGGTCATCGACGGCGATCTCAATCACATACTGAGTGTGTTATATATAGATGCTCTATCTCAGCACCATGTACAAGAGGCACGAGCTTCAGTTACGGCAAGTGAATTCGCGGTGAAGTAGTAGACGTATCCTAAACGTTCTTCCTGTACCAGAGTCGGGATCTTCTATGCGTCCGGTAAGTGCAATGATTCTGACAGTGCTACGCTAGTCTTGCTCAAGTTCAAAGCATCGCTGTCTGGCGCCTTCGGAGGTGTGCACATTTGTTCATTATGATCATCGTCGCCCATTCATCGTGCGCCATCACATAGGTCTGCTTGCTACCGCCATTATCAGGATGGATGGCGTGGCTGGCCTCTCTGGCTGGCGTTGGATATTCATACTCGGTACCTTTCACATACTCACTGCCGGCGGCACTTGGACTGACAGCGTGTGGTAGAGGGAATCGCGACCTGCATGATAGCAATTATATCTGCAGTGGTACTGCCGTCAACGCTGTCGACGGCGCGCTTCTTGACCGAAGAAGAACGAACATTCGCGCGTCCGTGTCATGGCTTCTATTTGCCGTGGAGAAGTAACTCACAATTGCCACTTTCAGTCGAACGCTTTCACATGGCGGACAGCACGGCTGCGAGTGCCCCTCTCTCGGAACCGGCTCAGAACATTCGAGTCCACGAGAAAGATGCCGAGAAGGAAGAGGAGAGGCGAGTAGAAGACGTCAGCGTTGTGAGCTCGATAGTCGTGCATGAGGAGGACGAGAGGTTTGAGTGGCGTGAGGTCGTCCGTGGTATGTGCAGCATCAGCAACCCGCTGCCTGAACCCTCACACTCGGTCATTACTTGCAACAGGTCTCATCGACATCCAAACATGGCTCACAGCAATCGCGTACCTGGGGATGATAGTCGGCCTGTACTCTTTCTCATTGTTCCTGTGTGTTTGATTCCCGTCCTCGTGAAGGGCTCAACTGACGTGTCACTAGACCGACCATTGTGGCGGGCCTGGGATATTCTGGTGGTCAAGCTCAATTGCACACAGGTGAGCCGGCGGCCGGGATCTTGCGAGGCTCGGGACTTATGACCATCACAGTGCCCCCGTACATCCCAGCAGTTGTCCTGACCGTTATTGTCGCCTATCTCTCTGACAGGTGCGAAGCCGACCTCGTCAATACTTTACCCCATGGGAGCTGAAGATAATATTAGATATCGCATGAGAGGCCCTTTCATGCTCATACTTCTTCCGATCTCGATGATAGGCCCGTCTTATTCGGTCACTGTTCCCTCTGATACTAATATCGTCTACAGGATACATTGTGTCCATAACAGCAAAGAACAACAATACACGCTATGCCGCTGTGTTCCTGATGGCGTCTGGACTGTGAGTTGGCTATATGCGCTGGATACACCCTGAAAACCGACGTGCCTGTATAGATATCCGTCTGCACCTTGTGTACTGTCCATCATCCCCAACAATACCAGCGGGCACTACAAGAAAGCCACTTGTGTCGCACTCCAACTTGCCTTCGCAAACTGCGGTGTGAGTTCTCTTCGCTCTTTTTCCAGGCTCAAGTTTTGCTGACCGATCTTGTACAGGGCTTTGTCGCTACGTTTGTCTATACAAGCGGTCCGTCTGGCCTGCCGTTTTCTTGTATAGTGTCAGACTAACCACTCATCTCTAGATCAAGCGCCTTCGTTTAAGAAGGGCCACTCTATCGTGCTGGGCTTCGTTGTACTGGCATGGGTCTTCACCGCTATCAACGTGTATGTCCCTTTACCTGATACACCGTTATCCCATGTTGATCATCATACAGCGCATACTGTCACTGGGAGAATCGCGCTCGCGCTCTTGGGAAGCGTCAGGGCAATATCGAGGCATACCAGCTGCTTTGGGAATCGGGCAAGACACGCGCTCCCATCGGCGATCGCCACCCAGACTTCCGCTTCACACTATAGAATGGACCGAGGATGGTCTACACTATGCCTACTTGAGATGATCCGAATGTAACTTACGAACGTGTACTTGTATGTAGACCTCCGGCTTTGAACGCACAATCGGAAGTAACGTGTTTGCACATTATATTCGTTGATGCGCCTACCCTGAGATAGGCATCCTTGGGCCGGTCGTAAATGTCGTGGGTCGGTACAGTGGGTACTAGGCATGGCAAATGTCCGAATCAACAACATCTGCAAGCGACGGGCTCGCAGAACAAGCGAACCTAACAAAGGATGGGGAAGTGGACGAAGGATATCGGATGAAGCAGGGCACCAAGGGCGAGCAGGTAGGAATGTGTGTATATGGAATAAGTAAGATACTAGCAAGATGGGTACGCGTCGTGGGTGTAATGTCATGCAGAGGGTCAAAGCTATTTGGGAGTATGCAGATTCATGTCATAAACAGGTGGGTGGAGAAGGTGGCAAATCGAGTACAAGGCGCCAAGACATCATTCAGGGATGACAACACGAATTGTCCGGGAAAAACGATGCTTAGCAAAGCGAGGGTAACAGAGATACCGTGAGGGAAGGCTAGATAGATCAGGGCTCAGAGAATGCTCGGCCATTTGAGCTTCAAGCCCTCCAGCCAGCGCATGTACAATAGCTCTGCGATAGGACTACGCTTCATCCCAGAGGACGAAGTTGGGGATGCAGGGCGATCCGAAGCAACAGCGGCTGTTGTAGAAGGGCCATCCAGGATCTCCTCCGTCTCTGTTACGACAAGACCACGGCTTGTGAGCTCGCTCTTCCGTGTAACGCGCTTATGTGGGAAGAGATTGCGCGATGTGGCAACATGTTGGCGCACGGCGTCGTTACTGCAGAGCGATCAGACGTAGATCAATACGGGACCGAAGGAGAACGCACTCATTGATACCCGATAGTAAATCAAGTACGATCCCATAGGCCAGTTCAGGGTTGACGTCACGTAGCTCTTCGAAGCCCCGAGACAGCATGCTCAGCGCTTCTATCTCTCTAGCATCCTGATCATCTGTGATTGACTTCTGCAGCGTCGGTAGCACAACATCGTCAACGATGGCCCTGCCTGCCTTCGCCATATCGCTTGTGGTCTTTCGAGACGCAGACTTGTCCTTAGTAGGTGAATTGGGGACACTGGATGCGGATCCCTCGCGCGCACGCATGGAACCGACGAAGTCGGAAGAGAGCCGCAGACTTCCCGCGGCGTCGACCTTCTTGACAGGTCGAATGGTATCCACGCCCGTACCGAGATCGATGTCACGAACAATGGTACCTCCCTCGGCCGTGCGCTTTGCATACGATGCGCGCCGGGGTGTCCGTACATACGCGGGAGGGGCTTCGTTTGAGGGTGGTGTTACTGGCCCAGCACCAGCAGTTTCGGTACTGCTCCCGTCCTCATCAAGAGCGGGCACTTCCGAGTTGGTTTGCGCAGCCGCCATCTCCGAGTCCGTATGGACGATCATCGTCGATTGCGAAGCCGTCTTTCCTACAGCTGGTATGTCGCTGCCGCTAGCCGTCGCCAGCGCCGAGTCGGGAACCTCGCTCTCCTCGAACTCCAACGCTTCCTCCTCTTCTTCATCCGGTACCAGGCCGGGTTGCATGATGTCCCTCGCTGCACTTCGGAACGTGCCCATAGCCATACTCGAACGCACAGTGTCAAAGTTCCAGTCGGATCGTAATGTGCCCTCCCAACTTGCGATACTGTTGCGCACAGACGGCGCATAGGCAGGTTGGGGTTTCCCCGACCGAGCTCGGTAATCCTGATAACGCTCGACAAGCTCGGACAAATACGTCGTTTTGCGAGCACCACGGATGAAACGGTGCTGAAGTAGCTCCTTCGCTGTAGGGCGCTGGAAATATCACGTCAACACTGATGTTGAAATTGGGACGAGTAGTTGTCATACCATATTCGGGTCTTTCGTCAAGCACTGGGTGACAAAGTCCTTGAACGCAAGCGAGAACGCGCCCTCCAGTGTTGGCGGTTTGGCTTTGGGTATGAGAAAGAGCACACGCATCGGGTGATATTCGGCCAAAGGCGGTTCTCCCTTCGCCATTTCGATAGCGGTGATGCCGAGGCTCCACATGTCCGCCTTCTGGTCATAGCCAGCCTGGCGGATGACTTCTGGCGCCATCCAGAAAGGCGTACCGACGAATGTGTGTCGGAGCGTGTTGGTAAGCTGGGCGGCGACGCCAAAGTCGGCAAGCTTGACCTTGCCAGACGCGGAAAGGAGGACATTAGCTGCTTTGATGTCGCGATGAATGGTGCCTTCGGAGTGCAGATAGTCGAGACCGAGGAGCAGCTCGCGGCATATGACCGCTATGTGGGCTTCGGAGAAGACACCGGGCTTGAGAAGATCAAGACATGACCCTCCGGCGAGATACTCCATGACGATCCAGAGCTTATAGTCGACGACAAAGGAGCCGTAGTAGCGCGTCACGAATTCGGACTCGTGCTGGGCCAGATTGGCGATCTCCTGTTGTATCTCAGAGATATCGTCGTCGGAGTCTTCCAAGTCTATGGAGACGATGTCAGCCAATGAGCAAATTGCGCCGAGAAAGGCCAGGCCGGCGACGCACCGATCTGCTTAATAGCGACTACTTGCTTCGTCTCGTTGTGCATGGCCTTGTAGACGGTCCCGAAGGAGCCCGTCCCAAGCTTCTCCATCAGGGTATATTGGCTGGCCGGATTCGAGCTCGGCATTGGGTATGGTTCGCGGAGTGCAGCTCGAGGAAGGTCGGGAGACGAGGGCGGCGACTTTGAGAGCTTGGGCTGTGGAGAGGCAGACAAGCGGAGGTCAGAATTTGTGCGCTTCCGGAGTTTCGAGCCAGCCATGACGGACGTGGGGGCGCGGGCAAGGATCGTCGTGAGCGCCCGGACGAAGACGTATTGGACGTCGTCGCGGACGAGTATTGTTTCCGAGGCCTACGGTAGGGCGCAACGGCTCTACACGTGCCTCGGACGAGCACACGGTCGTGCGTCATCCCACCAGTAGTGGTTGCAGTTCGCGCCGCCATCGCTGTATCACGCGTACCCAAAAGCTAAAAGAAGGGCTCACCATGATAAGAAAGAAGACTGTAATCCGGACTAGTACGAGACTCAGAGAAGCGTCGACGAGTCGTATCCGTGGTCGTTGCCAGGAAAGCACGCTTCAGACTCTTGCCACGACTCGAGCCGGTCTGCAGCTGGCGGCGCAACAAGAAAGCAGGTTGCTCAATCGGAGTGATGTATGAGCGGAGATGTGCGAGATGGCCGAGGTTGCGTGGGCTGAGCGTGGGCGTCTAGGCTGTTGGAGCTTCACGAGGCGGCGGTGTTGGCAGTGATGCGGAGACAACACCCGAGTAGCCGGAAGTTATATATCACCCGCAAGGCCAGGACCACACTTCCTGACGTGGTCGCCGAAGACGATGGTGAAGGGGGAGAACAAGGCGAACTAACAACGCGCTCGGCTCGGCTGAAGCACTGATCAATTGACAAGAGGAAATAAGCGGCGACAAACTGAGACGTCATTGGCCACGAGGCTCACAAGGCCCACCCGCCCTTTTTGGGACCAACAAGTCGCCTCCGACCGCCACACGGTTTGTCCACGGTGTATAAGCAGAGCAATGTTAGAACCAAGTTCTTGCTCTGAGTGTTCACTGTCTACTCGTGTGCCGCTGCCGCGAGGGCTTGAAAATCAAATCGAGGACGGCGACTTGGTACTTGACTCTACTTCTCGTTGGGTAGCTATACGTTCCAGCAGTTCACCAGAGTCCTACTTGACAAACACCTTTTAGGTCCCGAACCCATCCCATACTATGCGGTACATATATACCGAGCTATCGTCGTGGAGGGTCGAGGGTGTTAGGAGTTGCCAGCCAAACTCGCAAGGCTCCATTCTCCCCATCTCACCCTGCGCGCATGCACTACGTCGGACCTGCGCGGCTCCGGTCGAGACACGGCAGTGTGACAGCACGGTTCACTACGGCTCGAGGACTACTGTAATTGTATTCCAATATTATGACGTCCGGCCCTATTTGCACCACGTTATAATCGCCAATGGGAATCCCTGTGCCTACCCGCAGACTTGATTGACACCGTAACGTCCACCCAAGGGCCGCATGCGGCGTCCGTGGTCGGGGTGGTCGCAGTGGCGTGCCCCGCAACCGTATCCAATCCTCCGCTTTTCACATGCTGCATGGGACTCACTGATTTCGTCTTGAGACTCGACAGAATGGTTTGACGGTCAAGCAGTACGGCAGAAAGGAAGTAGAGCTTGATGCAGTCGTGAATGAATAGGCTAGCGCTACAGGATTATGATACACCTAATGTACATATGCACAAATGAGGATGCGGGAGACATTGAATGCGACGTGGAGCGTGAGGGCATGAAAACGTGAAGTGAACCGTGATGCGTAGTAGAACGTGAAAAGGCGTGTCGCATGAGTGAAGCGTGAAACATTGACGAAGTCATCGGGGTCGTGAAAGATCTAGTGTTCGTGAAAGAGACGTATTATGCAGTGCTGCGAGAGCGACGCTCGCCGAGGCAAGGCGTGGCCAGCCACGCAATGGTATAGTAGAAAGTCCAAGCTGAAGCCCTCAAACTTGTCGCCATCCAGATGTGCCACCATCTACCCTGGTGCACGAAGCAGCACAGCACTGGTCAAAGACAAGGATGCTGGTCCATGGTCCTGGGAGCTAAGCGTGTTCAATGCCTCCTTCCATAAAGGTTCTGACCGACAGAGGCATGATATGTCCCCAGATACTGGTCGTAGTCGTACTTCACGGGTTTCGGGTCCGCGTACGGCGCGTAGTAGTCCATCTCAGGAGTGGTATGCCGACTGGATGACCGCGAGGAAGAGCACGCGGAAAGTCGCGAACTTGCAGAGTGCGGGGTCAAGGGCGGAGTACTAGCCGGGGATGACGAACGCGAACGGCCGAACTGGGACGATGGGAAACCGTAGGAAGACGACCGAGACACGCCCCCTGGAGAGTGCTGACGCTCTCGCGTGTACGCTGCAGTTTCCTGATAACCCTCAATGGCGTGCAAGAGGTGCTGCAGAGGAGAGGGTGCAGGTTTGTGTTGTCCATGGGCAGGAGTAGGTGTCGAGAGGGGCCGAACACGTGGCGGAGGTGGAGGCACAGATGGGAGAGCCATGGCAGGCGTTTGGGGCGAGAACGACAAAGGATCAATTAGTTGCGCCCGCTGAGGCGACGAAGAGTGTGATGAAGCCGAAGGCTGCACATGAACATTATAAGGATGGTACGCCTTGAAACTCTCGGCGGCTGGGTCGCGTACTTCACGCTTTGACTTCTTGACCCTGCTCTAGAAGGATGCATGCTGTTGAGATGATATTCGAGTCGAACATATAGAACACCACTGACAGAGTTCGTTGCGCGAGGCTTCTTGGCTTTATGAGGGTCGTACATGTACTTTTCGCAGATGGAGGTCCCGCCTTTGTATGACATGTTGTGGTTGTAGTGTGTGGAACGAGACGTCTAGAGTTGCAGGCACGAGAGGCGGAAAGAGGAGTGCAGAATGGTCCGAGTGGTCCTCGCAGAGGCTTGGGGCATGAGGCTACGACCACCCGTTCTACTTGTACCCATTGCAATGCATCATCATCAACGAGCCCTTGACCGTCCCGAACCCGATTCAATACAAGAGACGCCTGGCACCCAAAACAACAAGCTTGATGGCAGTTTATTCTTCTCGTCTTCGTTGCCATACAGCGCCTCATCGCGGGACGCCAAGCAGACAAGCACCGGCGCCAGAACAGGAAGGTCGAAGCAGCGAGAACAAGGCCCGCCAGCCAAAGCAATTACAATAACGGGGGTAAGGCCGGTAAGGATCGCTTAAGATGCCCGCCGCCTTGTTCTTGTCCTATCGTGGGTACTTGATGGTGTTGAAGCTTGAAGGGCAGAGCATCTAGGCAGTTGCCAGGGTACACAGTGGTACACGTTTGAGCTCGCCCGCGCCAGGGGTAGAACAAGGCAACTCCAATTGCAGTCGGAGCCAACGACACGTATCCGAGCATAAAAAGTCGTAATAGATGACTTGATGCAGCGACCCCGCTGGCGACGGGTCATCTTAAACCTGGCCCTAACAAGGACCCACTCCTCCTTGAGAACAAAGCGCCAATTGCAGCTCGCGTAGGGATAGTGACCATCAAGTTTAACTTGATGCTCTCAAGACGCCGAGCATAACAAGAAGGCAGACGAAAGAAGAACAAAAGAGCAAGCTGCGTAGCCCAACATGCTCCAACAAATACGACATGGTAGTTCGGATCCACCTGTGATCACCTTCAATTGTGAGCTGGCTGTCTCGTGGGATTTTGATCGCATTTGACCGACCCGGCGGCCGTAAGCGGCCGATACCCGATGGCCGAGGTAAAGATATTCGTACTCCTGTGCAGACGCTACATATGAAGTACGATCGATAAATCCAGAATGTGTATTGTTGTCTCGAAATGTGTTGTACGGCGCCAATCGGCTTCAGGGTCATACTGGCTCAATGACATCGCGAATCCACTACCGCTTCGAGGATAAAACATGATAAACAAATGTGAGCGATAAAAATGCAACGTGAGTGGATGGGAGGATGGATGGGACATGGGAGAGATCTATGCAAGGAGAAATTTGGTTTGTACATCCAGTGAGCCAATATACATGCGTGGGGTCCACAGAGAACGATTCGTGTCCAACAGAAAGCAGCACCATGTGCGATCATGCATTCGCGAGTGTCTTGCTCTTCACATTGACGGTACGAGCAGGAACCCGTCGAGGCACCAAGGGATGAGCGGCGGCAGGCAGAGGGGCGGCGGAGCGAGTGGCTTTCGATGAGCTCGAAGACGCAGTGCGCGACTCGGCCAATTTGGTTGAAGCTTGAGACCGCGTGGTACGGGACGACGCGCCGCCGCGCACGTTGCCTACAGTCCCTCTTGTCTTGTTGGCGTTGTTGAGGCGTGAACCGGCGACGGATCTCGAACCTGCGGGTTTGGGGAGAGCGGGCGCAGCAGCTTTGCGCGGGGATCGCGCGAGCTTGCGACGCTTCGGTGCGGCGGGGGCCGGCGCATCGCTGTCTTCGCCGTCGGCGGCATTACCAAGAGACTCCCCGAGAGATGGGAGTCGATTCATGGCAACGCGAGTTCCAACTGGCCGAGTGCGCGTTACCGCGCGGCGAGGGGTCTTTGGGCGATTTCCTCGCGAGATCGGCGAGGGCGCAGAAGCCGCAGGCATATCCGGAATAGGCTCGAGCGGATGGGGGCGTTTGCGCCCGACGACACTAGGCGAGTCCGAAGGTGCTAGCGAAGTCGTGCGAGATAACGTGCGTAACGTTGGGGCATGCCGCACGGTGCTCAAGCCGGTCATATCGCTGAAGATATTCGAGCCGTCGCTGGTGGAGCCCGAAGACGCCAGAGTTGCTTCTGTGGCTATAGATACATCACGAGCCAGTGCGGTAGGTAGTGGTGGAGGTGGGGTCAAGACAGCAGTCGTAGTTTGCGGTGCTGGCGGTCGTATGCGAAGGCTATATGGCGTGCGTAGAGTCTTGTTGAATGAATCCTCCTCCGTTTCGTACATAGAGTCATCCGGGTCGTCGATATTCATGTGGTCGTCCTCTTCATCAGAAGCGCCTCGAAGTTGTGTTCTCCTGCGAACCCCATTAGCACCGTTGTTGTCGCTCGAGCCACCTGCAGGGCCGGGGTTCAATAGCTTTGCGGCGACAGGAGCGACTGCCGAAAATCCGGCGATGAAACGGGGCCATGGTCTGCCATGGAAGGATACGGTGCACCGTTTAAGTTAGGTGTGCTATGCATAACAGGGTAAGGCGGCTGCGCGGGCGGTGAATAGTAGGGGTGTGTTGGCCCATTAGATGCGAAAGATGGGATGTGTGGCTGAGGCATAGGCATACTGGGTGTTTCCTCCACTTCGTAGGCGGCCGGAGGAGGTTGCCAGAACCGAGGATCCGGTTGCGCAGCGCCCGACGCAGAGGCGTAGAACTTGGACATGGCAGCATCGAGTTGCGCCGAACGCGCAGGGTCAGTGACCGCCGGCCCCTCGCGAGCAAGGTTAGCAGGGTGGAGAGACGCGGTCGGGTATGGCGGCGGAGGGTCACCATGGTCTGATGCATCCTCGTCCGAATCTTCTTCCTCCACCGCGGGATAACGTCTGCGCCACCAACCCAGTAAGGGTGCGAATGGAATCGAGACCAAAAGGAGGACGAAGTCGCCGACGCTATGGAATATGTCCAAAATCGCATCCAAGGTAGAGATGTACGGTTTGAGAATAGGACGAATAAGGTGGAGATATATGGGCTCGGCTCCCTGGGAAGTGTGTTAGCGCGCACGGCCCTGGGTCAAGAGATCTGTGAACTTACGCGGGCGCGCGCCAAGATGAAGGCGATGAGAACCACCGACTTGATCTCGCTATAGAAAGGCACGAAGATGCTGATAACCGGCTCTACGACGGCTTCATACGTCGCCAGACAGCACTACCAGGAGTGCGGGGTGAGGTTAGCAGCGAAAGTACGGGCAACGCCTAAGACCTACCCAAACGATCCAGATCGTCATGCATCCTTTCATGTCGCGCTTTCGCTGAGCCATTGCGCGTATTGTGGGCTTGCCGCCATTCCGCGAGGATGGCGGGGGCATCTTGAGTGTCTTGAAGGTGACATAGACATTCTGAAATACGAGATAGGATCGGAGAACGAGCACGAGAAGGCCCATATTTAATGAAGCGCTCGGAGGGACGAGAAGAGTTCACAGCCCGGGCGCGATGAAGCGAAGTACGAATCTGGTGGTGGTTCTGGTGCAGGAGATGATGTGGCAGGAAAGAGGGCACAGCCTGCCGCGCGCTCGAAGCGTTCTTTGGACGAGGCGACGTTCGAGACAAACACGCGCTGACGGTGCGAACAAGCGCTGACGTCGCGTGCGCGAGGGGCGCGAGAACGCCGTCAACGCGCGCCGCGTCCCGACTTCGAATCTGCCGCCTGTCAACTCTCCATCGAACAGCCATGCCCAAGATCCGCACGACGAGGACAAAAAAGCCCCCAGAGGGCTACGAGGAGATTGAAGCGGTGCGCGTTCATTGGATCATTGGCACTGGCAGACTCGACTGAGTAACCGCCCACAGATTCTCGACGACTATGCAAAGAAGATGCGCGACGCGGAGAACGAGTCGCACGAAGGAAAACGGAAGAGCGAATCACTCTGGCCTATTATGCGCATATCTCATACTCGGTCGCGTTACGTCTACGAGCTATACTATAAACGTGAAGCCATAAGCAAAGAGTTGTACGACTGGCTCTTGAAGGAGGGATATGCGGATGCCAAGTAAGCCCCCACTCGGACGGATAGCCACACTGGCAAGTACGATTGACACGCGTCTTCGGATTAGCTTGATTGCAAAGTGGAAGAAGAGTGGCTACGAGAAGTTGTGCTGTCTACGATGCATCCAGACCCGGGTACGTGTGGCTGTGTCTCCTCGGGTTCTGGGTGGCTGATGATACGCCGCAAAAAGGACATGAACTACCAAGGTTCGACTTGCATCTGTCGCGTTCCCAAAGCCCAGTTGAGGCAAGGAACCATCGTTGAATGTGTACATTGCGGTACGTGCGTGATTACCGGAGTCTTTAACCCAGCTCAACGTCCACCACGTTTGCAGGTTGCCGAGGTTGTAGTTCGGACTCATAGCGATACGCAGGCCGGAGAGGGGGGAGATATGGCGAGCATACTCCCTAGATCTCGTCAGCGCTTCCCTGGGATCGACCCGGGCTTCATCAATCACGGCACCAAGTGGTTGAGATGCCACTGCGCCTGGTCTGCGGCAGGTATCGCGCAAATGGTGCAGGGGACTGTCCCCGAGTTGCCCTTTAACGACCCTGCGTGTGGTTAGTCATGAAATGTCCAGAGCCGGGCTGCGTATTTTTTGCATCTTGGTCGCGTAGTATAGGGCCTATGTCTGTGTGCTATGTACTCCTTCAAGAGAGTATTTTCAAAGTCCCAGAGCGCTGGCAAGCCAAGTGTGGCACCTTGAGAATCCCGTTCTGACACTTGGATCCGCGTTTCTCGGCGACGCGCGGAGGCTTCCCTGATGTTCCGTTATTGGGCAATTCGGCCAACGATTCGGCGCCGCTAAGGTACCGCTGTCCCCCAATTGCCCCGTCGCGACCCTGCCACTCCAAGAGTCAGGGATGCGACATCCCTGACCGCTTAGCCAGGCTTCCCTCAAAAGCGACCCGCTGAAATCCTAGACACCCAGTGGAAAACTTTCCTCTGTTCACCTCCAGTCTCACCACCATGGGCGAGTTCTCCAGCGAGCTCATCAACCTCGGTCGCAGCGTCTATCGCCGCGCTGCCTCTGAGCAGGTTCGTGAACCTTGTGCGCCTAATTCCCCGCACTTGCTCATTTGATCGCGCAGTCTGGTATCTTCGCTGGACTCAACCCCGCGACTGTCAACCAACAGGACCCATTCGTACTATGGGTTATCCAGTCCAGTCAGTACATTCCGCCTATCTCAAACTCTCCTTTGTCCTGATTATTATTGTGAACAGTCGTGATCATTGGAATGACATCGCTCCTCGCCTTCTTCCTCGGCCGCATCCGCCAGCCGCGAGTTATCTCGGAGATTATTGGGGGCGTCATCCTGGGCCCGTCTATTATGGGTCGCATCCCCGGCTTCACCAACGCGATCTTCCCGACAGCTTCTATTCCCTTCCTCACCCTCACGAGTACTGTTGGCTTGGTCTTCTTCCTGTTTCTCGTGGGCCTCGAGCTCGACGTTCGCCTCATTAGACGCAACTACAAGGCATCGTCTACCATCTCTATCGCTGGGCTTGCGATCCCACTTGGACTGGGAGCCGCCCTCGCCATACCACTCTATAACGAATTCATAGCCCCAAATAACCCGGACACCAATCGTGGCTATTTTATCCTCTTCGTTGCTGTCGCAGTCGGCATCACCGCCTTCCCTGTGCTTTGCCGTATCCTCACTGAGATCAAGTTACTCGACACGACCGTCGGTGTGGTGACGTTAGCCGCTGGCGTAGGCAACGATGTCGTCGGTTGGGTACTCCTTGCCCTAGCAGTCGCATTGGTCAATGCTTCAACCGGTCTCAACGCGCTTTACGTGCTCTTGACCGGTGTTGGCTTTGTCCTGTTCCTCATCTTCCCCGTGAAGTGGGGCTATGCATACGTTGCTCGCCGCTGGGGTGGCCTCGATCGTGGAGAGCCGACCACGCTCATGATGACCTCGACCCTCATCATGGTGAGCTTTTTGTGCGGTGGGTTCACGAAGGGAATCTGATGATCAATAGGTCATCTTCTCCGCTTTCTTCACGGACATTATCGGCATTCACCCCATCTTCGGTAGGCACCGTTTCGCTCTATAAGTTGCAGCTGTACTTACGTCGACTCATAGGTGGTTTCCTTGCTGGTTTGGTGATTCCCAAGACAAACGGTTTCGACATCGCGCTCGTCGAGAAACTCGAGGACTTCATTAGCCTTCTCTTCCTGCCTCAGGTATGTAGAGATCGATCATCCAATCTCTCACTCGCTGACGATAGTCTCTAGTACTTCATGCTTTCAGGTCTCAAGACGAACCTCGGCCTACTCGACAATGGTATCACTTGGGGTTACATCTTCCTCATCTGCACCGTCGCCTTCTTCGCGAAGTTCCTCTCTTGCTCCATCTCTGCAAGGGCCTGGGGCTTCAACCTGCGCGAGAGTGGCGCCATCGGCTCTCTCATGGCTTGCAAGGGGTTAGTCGGCTCTACCTGTTTCATACTCTCGTCTGACATGCGTGCCGCAGTTTGGTGGAGTTGATCGTCCTGAACGTGGGACTTCAAGCGGGTATTCTGGACACCCGGACGTTCTCGATGTACGTCTATCGCGCTGCTCGCTTTGACGTCTAACTTATCTTCATCACAGGTTCGTTCTTCACGCCATCATCTTAACCTTCATCACGACTCCGCTCGTGCTTCTTTTCTACCCTGAGCATCTGCGCGATCATGCCAGCAAGGGTGTCGAAGCCGGCGCTGTCGATGGAATTGTGGAACTTCCTGCAAGCAGCGGCGATAACGACGAGTTCAAGTCCAAGTTCTCATTGATCCTCGATCGCGCGGAAGATCTCCCTGCTGCGATGACCCTCGCACAGCTCTTCAAGACTGGCTTCGCTAGCAGCTCCACGTCCGTCGACCGCTCGAGCATCGCCAAGGGTTCTGAAGTCGACGACGGATCTGTGCCATCTCCGCTCACCCCGGCGCATGTTTCCGTGGAAGTCCTCCGTCTCATCGAGCTGTCAGAGCGTATGTCGGCTTTGACCAGGGCGCAATCCATCGACATTCTTGCTCGCCAAGATTCTGTAATCAACGTCATCCGCACCTTCGGTCAACTGAACCAGATCAACGTCAACACATCGCTCGCCATCGTCCCCGAGGAGGAGTACCCGACCAATATCTCCCAGCACGCCCGCAATGTTGGGTCCCAGATGGTTCTCATCCCGTGGACGCTGCCCGCCGACGAGAGCGTCTCCGACTCTACCGTATCCTCGGTGGCACCCTTCCAGGGCATCTTCAGGCAGAACTCCTCCAGCGGCGCTCATGTCGCGGCGATTTCGCACGTCTTCCGTCGCGTCTTTGCGTCGGCTACCTCTGATATCGCGCTCTTCGTTGACCGCGGTCTCTCCACACATGTCGACGGCGCGCCACACTTCCTCCTTCCATTCTTTGGTGGCCCGGACGATCGGCTTGCGCTCTCGCTCGTCGTCCAGATGTGCTTGAACCCTGCTGCCACGGCTACGGTCATCCGCATGAATAAGCTGGATAGCGAGCCGGAGAGCAACAGGGTATCGACGGAGAAGCAGCAGCTTAGCTATGGCAACGTAAGCACCTTGATACTACCTCTCTTCTCAGAACGGTTTCTGACGCATCCTCTCAGACCGTCGCTTTCCCGGATACCGTCTACGGCGCACAGACAACGCAGATGAGGCTGCAGTCTGACACCGCTGACAACATTGCCTGGGGCAAGTACACGCACGCGGGCATTCACACGCACCAACTTGCAAGCGCACTTAGCCGCGTTTCCTTCCTTGAGGAGAGCTCCGCCCAACCTCTCCACCATCTGCTCAACCTCACGGCACAACGCTCCGGATCCAAGCCGCCAGTAGTCGTCGTCGGTCGCTCGCGCCGCATGGCTACTGAGACGCACAAACAGGAGCTCCTCAACCTCGCTCAGGAGCACAACGCTGCGGTCTCGTCTGAGCTCCCCAAGACGATTGGGGAGGTTGGCGCGGCGTTCGTCGCTACCGGCGCGAACGTGTCGCTCATGGTCGTGCAAGCTGTGTCTACGTCTGCTTAAGTCTTGGTTCTCGTGTCTGTTTCATATCATGAAGCGCTTTGCTTGCTTGCTGCTGTGGCATACCCTATTCAATCCATAATTTATATCTCTTTGCTGTACTACAACGATGTCATGACCCCGCACATACCGCACTCTCCTTCGCATGTACATACTTTGCTCTGTAGGAACCTAGTCTCCGAATCATGACGTGCTTTGAACAACTATAGCTTCCTTGGTGGCGCAAAGGCTGAAGCTCTGAGATCTGAAGGATAAAGGACGTTCTTCCAAGCTCCAATAGTCACTTAACGCTACGGCGTGACACTACACCTGTAGGACTTCATCGATAGGTGACGGAGAGCAACTTGCTAGAAATATTAGATAATGCTCAGAAGGGTGGCGTGTGTTCCCGACTCGGGGCGGACCTGACACACATCAGACACAGCGTCTATATGCTAGTACATACGTAGCTGTGTCAGATGAATGAGGTGATATCACAGTGAGAGACATGTCTGATGGAATAAGAGCGGACAAGCTTGGATACCTCTACGTCTGTGCGGGCGCAGATTCTACTCAAACTTGATCTTCGTCCCTTGACTGGGCACTATGCCCACCTGCTCTCGCTTCGCGAGGGCCAGTGCAGCACCTGGAGCGGGACGATGGCGCTTGCCTCTATCCTTTCCAGCACCAGCGCGATCGCGACCGTGGGTGGCCGCGGGTCGTTCGCGGGAATGTGCAGGGTCGGATGTTGGGGCGTCAGCGCTTTCAACGGGTACATCCCCGTCGAAAACCTTCTGTCGCTTTTTGGGCGGATGCTCTCCACCCTGACGACCCTTGTATGATGCCGCGCCATCTCTCTCCCGCGGGGGACGGGGCCCGCCTCCACCACGGCGAACCGCGTCTGGCGATGCAAATTCTACGACAAGATCTCGGCCGTTCAGCCGGTGATTTCGTGGGTTTGTGAGGGCGGCGGTGGCATGCTCGATGGATGTAAAGTCGACGAACGCCCAACTGTGAGATGTCGGATTCAGTCGATACGTAGCCTTGAGTTTGGACAGGCTAGCTCGACTTACCCTTTGCATTTACCGGAATCTTCAAAGGTCCCCAGGCGGATCTTCCTCATCCACTTTTCCGGCTTTTGCTCCTCGGCATCTTCTTCCTTCGCCTTAGGTTTCTGACTATGAGCTTCAAGAAGCTCCCGCAGAGAGGCATCCGTGACGTCAAAACCAAGGTTACCAAAGAATAGTGTTGGGGCGGGCGGCTGCTTCTGATTCCTGAGGATCTTTTGGGCGGTCTTCGTCAGGCCAACCGTTTTCGATTGAGCGGCGCTACCTGCTGAAGCCTCAGCGTCTTCGGGTTTGACGGTGGGCGCCGGTCTTCCTGTGAAATCACCACCTATTTCGTACACTTGAGCACGCAGTCCAGGGCCACAAACCCCCTCATACGTACCGTCTTTTATTAGAAGCTTGCGTCCGTCGAGATGCTGTTCGGACATGGTGACCGCCACAACTTTGGCATCCGGCGTAGAAAAATCAACATAGGCAAATCTATCAAAGTAACGCTATTGATACATAGTATCGAATAGACGAAGACGGCCACGGACCCTCTATTCTCCTTTCGAGCACCTGCCGGCCCTCCTGTAACCATTTTCGTAGGCATATGCACACGAGTGATCTCTCCTGCTCCATCGAAGAACTTTTTGAGAGCCTCAGGCGTAGTTTTGAATGATAGATTGCCGACCCAGACAGAATTTTGTCGTTTCGGGCGATCTGTTGATGTCTCCTTTCCAGCAGTAGCACCGTCTTCGTCCTTGACCTTCCCAGAGGGAGAAGTCTCAGTAGTACCCTTCAGCTCTTTCTTCTTCTGCTTGCGCTTGGCGGCATGGGATAGTACGGGTTCCTCATCTTCAGCAGGAGCGTCAAGTTCAGCAGGAGCAGGCTCTGGCGCGCGCTTGCGCTTTTTCTCGTTGACAGGTGGAGGCGACGGGGACCTAGAGGCGACAGAGGACGCGTCTGAAGAGGATGATGAGGCAACCGAACTACTTGAAGAGGAGGACATGATGGACAGAACGAAGCCCAAAGCTGCAGTTTCTTCACCATTTACGGCGCGCGGACATTTTCTGGGCTCGTGATGTTCGTTGTGGGCGCGTGTAGGCCCACCCGCGAGTTGAGCGCGTCGTGCACGACGCGTGTGTTGAACAGAATCGACCATGGCCTCGAGCTCGACCCAGCCGAACACGACGCTCTACATAAATAACCTGAACGATCAGGTACAAAAGGATGAGCTGAGGCAGCAGCTCTACGCTCTTTTCACCACATACGGCAAACTCATCGATGTCGTCGCGCTCAAGACGCCCAAGATGAGAGGACAGGCCTTCCTCGTATTTACCGACCTTGCCGCCGCGACATCGGCTCTCCGCGCGTGCGATGGTATGCTTTTCTACGATAAACCTATGGTGCGTGATATAACGTGACATATAGTAACATGATGTTCATATATCCCGATTTAGCGTATCCAATACGCGAAGAGCAAGTCACATGCGACGCTCAAGCGCGAGGACCCAGAGTTCATTCCACCGACTGCACCTGCCGCCGCAAACAGGTCCAAACGGGACAGGGAGGAAGATGGGGACGGAGGTGCGGCCAGGGCCAAGAGGGAGAAGCCCGATGAGGATGACGATGAGGGAGAGGAAATGGAATTAGATGACGATGACGACGAGGCGCCTAGTACGTTTTGTACATATGAACCTACTCGAGAAACCAATTTCATCGTCTTTTTCGTACCCAGCCGCACCTATTCCAGAGAAGAAGAAAAAGGAGAAACCAGTGAAGGAGAAGCCCTCGCATCGACTACTCTGCTCCAATTTACCGCTCGAGGCGACAGACCCTGCCGTCTCCTCTATGTTCCAATCGTACGTCCCCTACAGTCACTGGTCACCGGGCGCAACGCATAACTCATAGCGATAGATACCGCGGTTTCTTGTCTGCCGCCGTCGCGCTTGCGCCAGAGCCAAATGCTCAAGGGCAAAAGGTAAAGATGGCGCAGGTCATGTTCGACTCGTCAGAAGCCGCGGCCACAGCAAAACAGGCCCTGGACGGGTATACGCTCAGGCCAGGGTGGAATATGTCTGTCAAGTTCATCAATTGAAAGTCTCTGTATGGGCGATATCCTATAGTGTGCTCCAATTTGATCGCCCCTTGCTTGTAAACATGCATCAGATCTCCTCATGCCTATCGTCTCCCCATTTGTGCGTTTTTCTGAAAGATTCCGCTCAAAAAGTATAACCTTCCTGGCCAGTCATTTGGCGACCTCTTCGCCAAGACATTCTATGAGAAGTTGACATTCATCACTGATTGGGAAGAACGTATGCAAGCGAATATGACACTCGGGCATTATGCGTATGGCCTTTGTATCTGAGGTAGAAGGGCCGGAGACGCCGTTGAGTGTGCAATATGATCAGACTTATATCGGTGATTGCGCCGGTATGTGCGCTGCATGGCCGACGCACGGCGGCAAATAGGGGCTTTCGGCCGGAGCCGCGCGATACGCTTGAAGTTCGAAACGATTATACATATGCAGCTAGTCGCTATGTGCAGCGTTCGACAGAGAGTGGCATGTTCAGTCAGTACTTGTTCAAGCCAGTGAACGCCTCAATGTGTTCCACGAAATGGCACGATGATCTAGCAGAAATATGAGAAACTCGTGGATGCAGCGCCACGCTGATTAGGGGCGTCGGCACTCGCGGCTTGGCTCCGACCACGATCTCGCGGTCGACTCTCTGTTATCCTCCTGTAGCCGACGCCAGCCATGCCTGCCCCTATGGTATACGTCGCCGTCGGTGTCTGCACCGTCGCTGCTGCTCTGGCCTTCAAGGAGGTACGCCGATAAATCCAATTGTCGCTAACAATCAAGACACTAATATGGTGTTATTAGTTTGTGTACGACCCGCACCTTCGCCCCAAGTTACAGGAGTTCCTAGAAGAGCGCAGGCAGCGTCGTCGGTATAGACAGCAGCATCAGCCTATGGCTCAGCGCAGGCGTCGTGATGACTCGTCCACTTTGTCTGACGACGACGCCGACGACAATGTCCCCCTGGCTTTCCGCAATTCGATCCCCCTCGGATCCCCACACGGCGGAATAGAACTCGAGAGCCTTGTGGCACAGGAGGTAGATGCATGGCGCAACGGTGTCGAAGTTCGTCCAGAGACGAGCGGACTACGACAACGTACTGTGCGCGGTATGGACTCGAGCTCGACGTTCTTGCCCCCAGTACACCTAATGGACCAGGTTCGTTTCCACATATCGGTGCGGAGAACAACATCTCATCCGCGATCAAACAGCACGATTATTCGAGAGTATCCACACCGCCTATGCAACCCACCCGTGCCTCCGACGTGCTGTTCGACTTGGGCGATGCACCAGAGTTCCGGCCGGAGACCCCCACGCTTGCGTCCATATCCAGTCCCACGTTCAGCCCTCCTGCCGGTGCATCTCGCTCGTCTACACCCAATAGTGACTTGCTGAGCAATTCTATGCTCGCCGCTGCGGACGCGGCCTACTTTACGCCGGGATCAGCTTCCACTGTATCGGGTTCTCCAGCGCGCTCGCCGCCCACAGTCGCCGGTGCTCTCTCTCCCCGCGACGGCGTCATGTCGCCGTTCTCGGACTTGCTGTCACCAACGAGCGAATTCGCCGAACTCAGCGATGCACGCCTGAGTGACAGCGACGAGGATATGTTCACCGTCCCGAGCCACGTACCTACGGATTTGGAAGACGAGGACGGCCACTCGTCGGACGAGTTTGACAGGATATCTGAGGCCTCAAGCTGGGCGCACGCCGAATCGCACTAGTCTATCGCTTTCGTTCTCTCATGTACATGTTTACTATCACGACTCATAGGATCTCTCCCCTCGCTACTGCACTCTCTTTGGACCCCTGCTATCCGGTTGCATTGTCTCTCCTTGCTCATTTCTGTATGTATATATACGTCCGATCACACTGTACATCCGCGTAGACACGTCCGTCGCGTTCCCCTGTAAATTCGATCCACATTGCCGCGTCGCACGAGACCCATTGCCGCACACGCGTCTATGCGGGCGCCACAATGTGTTGGTTGGTACCTTCTTCATTCGCTGTCGTGCGCGTTCCTGCACGTTTTCGTGGATAGTTTCCGCCGCAGGCCCGGCTTCGTCAATAGTGGATCCAGAGTGGTCCAAGAGTATACTGTTTTTATCCAGGTCCGCCACTTTCAGGTCCTCCGTGCACGTTCGCAGCGCCTTCAGGGTAATTCCGATGCCATCTGTCGTCCGGCGTCGAGCGCGCGTCTATACGCATTCTATCGTGACCGATAGTCGCCGATGGTAGTCCCAGTAGCAAGCAGTAAGTATAGCAATGTATCCCCGATTACAATGACGATGTGTCGATATCTTCTGACGCGGTATCTAATGTCCTTGGTACATACGAATCGCCGCATTGGGCAAGGAGTTCTGGCGGTGCTGTCCATTGCGCCAGCTTTGACGGTTGAATAGCTATCTGCATGAGCAGACCTTGCGCCATGTGCCATCTGCGATTGAGACTATCAGTACGGGGCTATTGGACACAAAAGACGGCGTTGGCGCACTGAATATGACAGTGGAAAGCCCACAGCCCCGGGTTATCGGTCACTATGCGTATGACCATATAGTGATAAGCAGGGATGAAGAATGTGTCCCGGCGTAACGGCTTCTTGATGTTGTACTCTTGCCCGATGTACCGACCGGAGCCGACGGCCATGATCCACGGTGTGTAGCCATGTATGTGGAAAGGGTGGTCTCCATCGTCGAGGCTTGATATCTGAATGTCGACTACATACACCCCGTCCTCTGTGATGTAGAATTCGTCGCCGCGTGTTGAGGTGCCTTGCGGCGTGTATGTCGCGTCTTCTTGAACGTTAAACAGGGATGCGCGTCCTTCGACTGGTAACCAGCTCTGCAAGTTCGTGATCAGGAAGCGTTCTAGTCTTATAAAATTGGAGGCGCGCACCGTCATGTTCATGAACCCCAACCACTCGTGTGCCCAGGTCTTCTGGAAGCTGTACTGCACGCGCCACGCACGCGTCGCATCAGGGATGGGTACTTCGACCAGCGGCTCCAGTGTCGAGAGGCCATCGACAAGCGGGAGGCTTTTGTCCTCCATCCACGGGTCAGGAGAGTCCGCCGGTCCAGGCAGCATGCCTTCATCCGACTCGCCCTTGTAGCGAACGATACCGCGCACGTCCGTGTTGATGCCCCATTTCGAGTATCTGAACATGTCTGTCATCATCGTACTGCGCATCCAGTACGCGCCACTGTCGGCTCGTGGTGCGTCGGCTTTGACCAGTACAGAGTAGCGCTGGGCGACTGCGACGGTCACGTAGCGCGCGGTGAAGGGAGTGATTGGGGTACTGTCCGCTTCAATGACTGTCAGCTGGTGCGAGTCGATGGAGAACTTGATTGAGGCGAATGAGCCCGTGTTGAGGAGGCGTAGGCGATACCTGTGTTATGATCAGCTCAGTTGAGTGGGCTCAGTATGGACAAGACGCACGTCTTCCCGCGTTCAAGATTGAACGTGAAGTAGTCTCCATGGCCTTGCCACTGCCCGAGACCGTTGATCGTCTGCGAATGCAGTCAGTTCAATGGTGCTTGGGCTAGAAGATGTGCGAAGGTCAACGCACGGAACTGTCGGGTACTGGCTCATCTCCGGGTGTACCAGTCAACCCGATGTCTGGCTAAGCGGAGTGAGTGGGAGGGAGAGTATGGCAGATGAGGAAGGCATACCCGCATGAAGAGTTCAAGTAGATTCGTGCTGAAGTCGTGATACCAATCGGCCATCTGTACAAGCAGGTCTTCGTCCCATGCCGGCCAGCCCACGACATCCTGAGTCGGATGTACAATGAGGGCGCCAACGACTCCATCGCTGTACTGAGTGCCGGCTATATCAGATTTGAGATCGGTGCTCGAGTAACCATACGGGTCTGGGTAACGCACCGTCTGTGAAAGTTCGTTCACCAAGCATTCGTAAAAAGGCCATATCATCTACTTACGTGCACTAAGACGCCATGATGAGTATAGTGCCATAGTATGAAAGGGCGGATACGCACTGCCACCAAGTTGTTCCGTAGAACTCGCCCAGCGTAAAGCTGTGGGGCAGAGCGTCAGCGAGCTGAGCATCATGTAGAACGTTCAAACGCGCACTTGTATGTCAGAGACTGTCCTGGAAGAATACCGCACTCTGTTATCCCGAGTGTACCATCGTACCATGGCGTGGAGTTTTGGTACTGGAATAGATCAGTTTGGATACGCACTGTGAGAGTGCGGGAAGCTTACGAGGCCGTGCCAATGAATGCTCGTCCTCTCATCAAGGTTGTTCTGAACGGTGACCAAAAGCCTATCGCCCTGATTCGCTTCGATGGTTGGTCCGGGGTACATCCCTTCCAAGAGACTATCATGAGTGACATATACACGCGAGCCTACCCGCACAACGCACCGTTCACAACGAGCATATCCCTCTCCACGCCGTCCGGGGCGCCCACGACATGACCGACAGTAAAGTGGTACTCGCGGGTCCGTGGAGCTTCACCAGACACGGCAGTGCTCAGCCTAAAGTTAGACTCCAGTTGGCGCCTGAGATAGTCGGGTACAGCGTGTAGTGTGCCGGGCAATGAGAGCGCAGAGTAAGCATAGTGCCGCAAGCCGAAGGCGAGATCGAGCGCGACGGCAATGGCCAGAGTCACGACGACGAAGACGCCCGCGCCAATACACCTGGCGACCACTCTAGGGACGGTCATGGCACGAAGAAGGATGTGGCGACTCGGCCATATTTGCTAAACTGGAGTCGCATGCAGCAGGACCGGATCTCTGTTCGGAGAGCGCGGGAACTGATTGTGGTGGCGAAGCGATCACTTCTGTGGGCGCTCGTTCGTCGCCTGCAAGGTACGCTCATGCACGTTCGTCCTCTGGTCATATGCAGAGTGCAGGATTGGTCCTGCACGCGATATGCGCAGGCAGTATAAGTAAAGCGTGCGAGACACTGTGCGCACAGCCAGAAGCCCGTGTAGCTGCAGTTCATCATGCTTAACGCTCTCCTCCCTGTCGTCGGTCTCGCTGCAGCCCCCGTCGCTTATGCGGCCACGGCTTTCACGTTCTCGCCGCCCTCAGAGACCCCGTTGGAGGCAAGCGGCAACTACACCGGCGCTTCTAACGGCACTCTATCAACTCAGCCTGTCGTTCCCGGTGCTGTCTTCGATCGTTTCATCCAGGTTTGGCTTGAGAACCAGGACTTCGACGTGGTACAGAGCACGGTACGTTCACATCCCTCAACCTGATCAACCCTTTATGCGCAATCTGTACTCACATATACATTCGAACCCCCGCAGCCGACGTTCCAGAAGCTGGCTGCTCAGGGCATCCTCCTCGACTCGTACTACGCTCTCACTCACCCTTCCGAGCCCAACTACGTCGGCACCGTTGGCGGTGACTTCTTCGGCCTGGGTAATGATGATCTCATCAACATTCCCAGCAAGTGAGTGCAGCGCCTAACATGTTGTCATGTGCCTTGACTGACGGCCATGCCAGCGTTTCCACCATTGTCGATCTTCTCGAGGCGAAGAACATCTCTTGGGCTTCGTACCAAGAAAATATGCCGTCCGACGGCTACGAGGGCTACAAGTATGTGCATACCAACGTCCCTGTCACTGTAGTTGTCTGACAGCTCCCTGCAGCTTCGCCTCCGAAAACTACCTAAACGGTAGCTCTACGGAGTACGACTTCTACTTCCGCAAGCACAACCCGACCATCATGTACGACTCTGTCGTCAACAACACAGATCGTTTGGCGCGTCACCGCAACTTCAATGACTTTGCCGCGTGAGTCTTTGAGCGCTCTATCGTAGTCTATGACGATATTAATGATGTCTCCCTAGGGATGTGAACGCGTCGGCTCTGCCTCAATGGTTGTTTATCACTCCGAACATGGTCAACGACGGTCACGACACCTCGGTCGACTTCTGCGCGGATTGGCTCGAGTTCTGGCTCGTCCCGCTCCTCAATGACACTCGTTTCATCACGAACCGCACTCTCCTGCTCCTCACGTTTGATGAGACCGAGACCTACACGGAGAACAACCGCGTCTTCACCGTCCTTTTGGGTGGTGAGGAGGTCATCCCCAAGAACTTGACTGGCACGACGGACTCGACCTACTACACCCACTACAGCCCGCTCTCCACCGTCGAGGCTAACTGGGGTCTGGGCTCTCTCGGTCGCGGTGACACCAACAAGTACGTGCACTACCCGATCTCACTTCTCGCGCGTCTTCTGACTATATCATCTAGAACCATGTCCAACGTCTACGAACTCGTCGCGAACGTCACCGGCTACAAGAACTTGGATGTCAAGGGTGACGCCATCCCCCTCACCAACCTTACCACGACCATCCCTGGTCCGCTCAACGCCGAGATGTGGTTCCCCTTCACCGCGCCCAACGTCTCCGCTGTCGGTGCCGGCGGAGGTGCCGTCTTCGTCGCTTCTGGCGTCAACACCAACCTCACGATTTCCAACGCGCCGATGCCCGTCAACTTGACAGCCTCCAACGCTACGCTCCCTGCTGACGGCTACTTCAATGCCTCAGCCGCCAGCTCGGACGGCTCAAACTCGACCACCACGACCGCGTCTGGCTCTTCTTCCGCCACTGGCGTTCGCGTTGCCGCTGCTGGCGTCTTCGGCGCTGTTGTTGGTGCCATCGTCCTCCTCGCATGAACTTGAGAACGAGTTGTCACGGGTCCTGGGGGTCATTTATGTATTGGTTGTAATGTAGTGCTTGTCATGTAATCCCGGGGTTTATTTGAGATATACTCGGACTACGCCTCACTAGCGTCCTCTGCAGCTGTATCCATACTAGTACGTTATGACGCATGGGGTCTCTGCGGTAGTGACAAGGTCGGATCCCCTATTGTGTACATAACTACAGACTATGCCTCCGTGAACAATACGATAAGCGTCTGACTGCCACACATGCTCTTGTAGCGCTTGAGGTTAGGGTTAGGTAACAATGATTACCTCTGTGAACCGTGATGCGCCGATCATGCGGTCATCCCGAACGCCGAAGGCCCGAAGCTCGTGTTTGCCCCGCACTATACCGCTGCTTCGTGCACCCATCACAGCTTATACCACACGGACTCTGAATTCTTCACTCGACTTGTAACATGCCCAAGAGAACAACAACACACGTACGAACGTCTACGGACATGTATCGTTTCCACCGGCCTTCGGTGCCACTGCACAATACCCCGCATCCGCTCACCCGCGATTCCCGAACGTGCGCATACATCGGTTGCACAGCCTACATGAGGGTCTCGTCTGATTCGTCTACGCTTTAGATGTGTTAAGAACCTGCTTGCGTATCATATGCGACAACCGCCGCCTCCGTATCCACGTACTATGTGCGCTGCTGTACTGGTCGCGCTCTTCGTTGGACGCATGGGCAACTTGTATGTGCTACTGAGCCGGTGAGTACGTGATTCCGCCTTTGCTATCATCTATGCAAAGACTAAGGCCATAATGCAGACGCGCTTCAACTCTACGATCCTACGCTGGGGATACTGCGTTGCCTGGAGGTAAGGTGGACCCAGAGGACGAGTCTATCGAGGAGACAGCAGTGAGACTTCACATGCCCTGTCCCACGCAGGTCGAATGCTGACCTGTGGCCGGTTCCTAGAGAAGAGAGGCCTTAGAAGAGGTGGGTGAACCATATCACCATGGTCGTTTAGTGAGCGTGAGCTGACCCGCTCGTCGTAGATCGGCTTACCACGAGATAAGCTTCGAATACCTCTGCTATGCGTGCTCGACCCATTTCTAGCCGGAAACAACATTCTGGTGACACCGTGAGTTCGAATCAAGTGCATCCATACAATACATCCTCAACACGCTTTGTAGTGTGGTCGTCCTGATAATGGACAACACCCTTCGGCCCATCCTGAACACACCAGAAGTAGCCTCGCTATTCTCCCATCCCCTCGCATCATTCCTAGCGGACTCCGCGCCCTTCGTATCGTCCAATCCAGATCCGGAACAGGACAGCGCAGCCCCAGAGCAAGAGCCCGATGCACATGCTGAGCTGGTCGCGGCTGAACTTCCGTATCATACGCATAGTGACATCTCGTGGCCACAGCGTAGTCGCGGCGAAGTGCACGAGCAATTGGACGACCATGAGCGCGCGTTCCGTATGCATCGCTTTCTGACTGGGCGAGAGGCAGGCGGGATCAAGCCTGTCTTTGGGCTGACGGCGTACGTCTATCCAATCATATACCGCATCGACTAGAGATCTTGACATTTGTCAATAGTGCTATTCTCATTCGCACAGCCATGATCGGCTACGCGCGAAAGCCTGCGTTCACGCTTCATGCGCCTCACGAACCCGACATGCGTACGCGTATAGCTTGGAACGTGCGGCACTCGCGGCGCGTACGTGAGGCGGCTGTCGTAGAAGGCCTTGATATTGAAGATATCGCCCGTGCTTGGGAAGGTCGTTCACGTAGAGGCGGGAAAGTCAGAGAAGCCCATCTCAAAGCCAAGCTGTAAAGCACTCATTCGAAGCCGTACAACATCGTGATTGTTGGCACAGGTTGGCACCTACATTCTGTCTTCAAGGACGACTGTAGCCTCAACAGGTGCGCATGCGGTTTGAGCTACGTAGGCGCCCGACGGCCTCATGTTCTGAATATGATAGTCATGGTCGAGTTCACTAGCAACACGCTTGTATATCCAGCTATATAATCCAGAGAAAGCAATATAATGATCAGCGAAAGAGCTATGATACACTAGGGACGGATAACATGGGCAAAGTCGTGAATGGTCGTAAGGCAAGATGCCAGAAATCAGTACTACACGAACGTATGAGATAGTTCCGAGAATGCGAGTGAGGGCGTGAAAAGCATATAGAGCCCTGGGGAAGATGATTGGTAAATTCGGAAGAGTGAGGAGCATAGAGAGGGATTGCAAGGGGAGTATATGCATGAGGTTAAATGTGGTCTATTTGTTGTGCGAAAGTGTGAGAAGATGAATTCCGTAGAGGTCCATGCTGCGCGGTCAACGCTCAGCCCAGTCAAAGGGGTTCGTACTCGTCTCGACCTTCTCCGCCGCGTCCGGATCCAAGTCTGGGTTGGTGACACCGCCAACTACCGTGATGGGGCTACGACGTCCCGCGCCACCATCACCGTCAGGATCCTCGTCCGCATCTTCCTCGCCATCTGGGTCTTGTCCAGGTTCAGCCCACACCGAACTCCCTGTGCGAACGTCGACCTGAACCGAGAGACCCGTCCAACGCCTCCGTGCAGGCATAATCGGCGGTGGCACGCTTAAGGGCGTTGGTGGCGGTGGCGCCGGAGGAAAGGCAAATTCCGGTTCGGAGTGTACCGCGTCAGAGAAGAATGTGTAAACTGATACCGGAGGTGGCGGGTTTGACGGTGGTGATACAGTCTGCGCACGCGGAAGCCAGTACGAGGCCGTGGGACTGGTTGGAGAGACCACGCGTAGTGGAGCCTCTGGCGGGCCAGGCGACGGCGACGGGCTGGTTGTTGTTGAGAAAAGACCGGCTGCGGCTGCTTGACAGGGCGTAAAGATAGTTCCTAACGCATTTCCGCTGTGAAACGAGCAAAGTCAATAAAGGTAGGCCGAAAAGAGCACAAAGGGAGATTGCTCACCATACACGGCAGCCAATGCCAGTGCGTATGCAGCCGCACGAGCTCTCCATAATCTTGTCGACCACTCGGGTGGAGAAGTAGGCCCTGTCCAGAGGCGCGACGCTGGGCCCGGCATCACCGCGGGCAATCCAGACGCCGCACTTTCTGCGCGGCATGGCGGAGACATGCACGAGTGCACCGCACCCCGTTCTCCGCGGCGTCCGAGGGGCATTAGGTGCGGGCTTAGAGAATGCCGACGGTTTCCTTCTTGGGCGCGAAGCAGAGGGCGTAGGCGCCGACGAATGGTCGTGAGAGTGATGCGAGTCGAGGTCGGCGCCGTTGCAATAAATCGCGAAATAACCCGCGGTCTGGTCTCCCTCGTCGATCCGCATCTCCGCTTCGAGGTCAAGCCTGCGAGCATCTCGCTCGAGAATATCTATACTGGCTGCAGTGCCAGTTCCGAATCCCCAGGCTCCGTCCTCGTAAGTCTCCTCTTCGTCCTCCTCGTCGAATTCGACAGGATAAGCAGGGGCCGGAACAGCGAACAGAGGCTGCCTGCCTGCCGTGGGAGACATTGGGGGCCTGACTATGTGGGTGGTGGACATGGAGGGCTGGAGAGACGAGTTCTGGTGGTCGCGGATGACAAGCGCCCCGCGCCGGCGTAAGCGAGAGGCCTCCCCGGACCGGACCAGATCCGAGAGCACAATCGAGTCGTCGGCGTCTGTCAGGGACATGGCCGAGGACGAGGACGAAGATGGGAGCGAGACGGGCTCAGAGCTTGGGCGTCTGTTGTACACTATAGGCATCGTGGTGGTACTGGCCAAAGGGCTGCCTTTGCCCCGCGCCTCGTGCCCAAACTCCGAGGCCACGCGCCCGACACGGTCGGAGACAACTTGTCCACGACCTCCATCTGTTTCGCAGCAAAGGGCATGTAGCAGTTCAGGGCTTCATCACAGATGCACATCGTCGTCGCGGCCATTCATACCCTGTGATTTTCCCACCGGCGCGAGTCTAAGCCAGTAAAGTAACCGAAGGCCTGCGGCAATTCCGCGGGCTTCAAAGTATACGAACCGTTTGAACACTCCAACTTCAATTCTGCTCAACGCCCGGACATCCCGTTTGGCCCTCTCTCTTGCGTCTACGCCCCTCTTCTCGGAAACCCGACTGACGCGACTAACATGCATAAGACGGCAGCGATGCCGCTTCTAGTATTTATAAGGACATACGAAGTCGACAGGCGCTCTCCTCAGACATGTCTTCCCATCGCGTGCTTCAGATTCCTGCCAAGGCGGCTCCCTTCGAGATAGCTACTCGCCCCACGCCGAAGCCTGGCCCAGGGCAGGTTCTCGTCAAGAACGAGACAATTGGGCTGAACCTTTTCGACCACGTCATGCAGGCTTTCGGAATATATATCGCGGAGGATAAATACCCTTTTATCGTGGGCCAGGAGGCCGCTGGTACGGTCGAGTCTGTCGGAGAAGGCGTCACTACCATCAAGATCGGCGACAAAGTGTAAGGCTAACTTGAATCATGTGCGATCCTTGATTAACGACCGATAGATGCTTTCAGGGTGGCCCGGACCAGACTATGTTCACGTACCAGGAAAAGTCGATCGCCGACGCTGTCCGCTGCCTCAAGGTAAGATCCGCTGTTAATGACTTGTACTTGATCACTTATGTCCGACATAGATCCCTGAGGGTATCACCGTAGACCAAGCGGCCACCTTGCCTCTGTGCGTAGCGACTGCCGCCATTGGACTCTACCACACCGAGAACCAACGCGGCGGTCCCGGCGTCGGCCTAACACCACCCTGGGCTGAAGGTGGTAAGGGCAAGTACGCTGGTCAACCCATATTCATCTCAGGAGGTGCAAGTGCTGTCGGTCAATACGGTGCGCTCACTCAAATGCCTCTGACATATGATATAAAGCTCACAATTATTACCAGCCATCCAATTCGCCAAGCTCTCCGGCTTCAGCCCCATCATAACGACAGCCTCAGCATCGAGTAGCGCACTCGTCAAGTCTCTCGGTGCCACGCACGTCGTGGACTATCATACTACTCCACCGGAGGACATACCTGCTGCGGTTCGCGCAATCACCGAGGCCCCGCTATCCGTCATCTTCGACTCAATCTCGCAGCCGTCGACGCAGGAGGCGTGCTGGAAGTTGCTTGCTCCCGGAGGTGCACTCGCACTGACGCGCCAGCCCGCTCCCACTGTTGGCGCAGCCGGAGTCCGGCGCGACGACGCGGAGGGGAAGCTTGCGGTCCTCGTATATGGTATGGCCAACCAGGGTGTCAACCTTAAGTTCGGGGAGGATATGTATAGAGCGCTCGATAAGTATGTGAAGGACGGGTCTATCAAGGTGCGTCTTGGCAGTGCGTGAGGGGCTTCTGTATGTGCTCATCTACTACGCTTCCAGCCAATCAAGGTCGAGGTGGTTGAAGGTGGCTTCGAAGGCGTACAGGCAGGGTTGGACCGCATCAAGGCGGGCGTGAGTGGTGTGAAGCTCGTTATTCATCCGTGAATCAAATCCAAGATGTGAAAGGTGTACTGGGATATGCAGCGGTTTGATTGAGTATTTGGCAAACGATATGTTGTGTTCATAGTTGTTCAATGCATGGGATGGCGATGCCATTCCATCGCGCACGACTTCGGAAATGCCCGGCATTTGCCGTGATGGTTAATCGACGATCCTTTATTAAGTACTGAGAGATCGGGACACGGTACGACAGTAGATGTGGTAGCGTACAAATGCAGTTATGGTAAGATACAAGTCTATATGATGGTAGGTTACTTCATTTGCTCGCTCTTCGATGACGAGACAAGCGCGGAGTCCGGTAGATGAAATGATCAGATTCTGAGATAGTTTGTGGATCAGGCCAGTGATTAATCGACCGTGTTCAAGCTGTTCGACGCCTACGGTAAACGGCTCAGTCGCGATTCTACATGGAAATGTTAGCAACAGTGTAGGCGAGAAAGCTATACATCTCAAGCTCACGGATGTATACGCTTCTCGGTGCCCAATGTTCCAGTACGCCGCGAAGAAGCTGAAGATCATTGGAGGGCGGATATCCAGGTGTATTGAGATTCGAAGTCCAACCAGAGCTCGACCTTATGACCATGCATGCCTCAGGGACAACCAGCTGATACAATGTAAGTATGATTCAACGCAAACGACCACAGCGACATACCCCAATCGCGATTTCAAGTAAACCGGGCCCTGAAGTGGCGATGCGAAGAGCCGGGGCAGCAGATGCGAGCTCGCGAGCAGCGATCCCCGCTCTCGGATCTCCCAAAGGAGAGTATAGCTGGATAGACACGCCGCATGCTAGCACATATGCTGCAAGTGCAGTAGTATCCGCAAATGATGTTTGTCTTAGCTCGGCAGCTAATGAGTTTGCGCGAGCTAGAATGACATCGACGGCCAGACTCGAGGATTCTACGAGATGATCAGTTTCATGACGCTGCCTTAAGAAAAAAGGCGTACCTCCTCGGGCGATCAGTACCGACTGCTCGTACAGATAAGCGACTATGGAAACAATCTCCAGGGAGTTGCCGACATGCGGCCGGTACACTGAAGTTGGATCAGTCCCGCTCAGAAGCTCACGCAGTGAGCGATTTACGAGTGGGATTGCTGTCTGGCCAGTCTGTCATAATGAGCGTCGTCATTGAGCAGCTAAGCAGAAGATGGCTCACTTGTGCATAGTGCTCTGGCCGCTGTGGCAAAGGGGTGTGCACCTCCAGCGCTTCTAAGTTGATGCGGGCTCGACTTCCCAGGGCGAGTGCCCACAGTCTGTCGAGTGTCGCAGCTACCCAAAAGGCACATGTCCGTTCAGAGATCTCCACATCGTTTGCGTGCGGGAGCGGATGTCCGATGGGAACGGGGATCATAGCTATACCGCCGATCCCCGCGTGCGGATTGTGCAGTCCCAGAGCAAGCGCCAGCGAGCACGCTCCGCTCAAGAGCGAGGCGCCCTGCAGTGATTGTCCGGCGTTCATTGACACTGCACCCAGAAGTACGCGCGCCTGTATCAGGTGCAGAGCGTTTTGCGCGAACTGCATGCCACCAGAGTCTAGGTGCTGATTGACAGAGGACAGGGCGATTTTCATGAGTCTGTCTGCCGAGGCCGAGTAGTCCCAAGCAGAGGTGCTACGCGCTCCGAGAGCACATACTGTAGCCAGTAGAGCAGGATGAACCGATCCCGTATGATCAACAGAAGACATGGCAACCTCTCGGAACCATTCTTTGTGTAAAAACCATAACGGCTGTTCGTCGGAAAAGAAGGCGGAAACCCTGCCATTTTACTCAGAAGAGTCGGTAGGGAGGGAACAACATTCACTCACAGATGTTCCGTGTCATGTTGGGTCAGGATCCCATCGCCAGATGAACTTCTCACAGATGTACCTGAGTAGAAACAGTGACTCGTCAGTCAATCATCGAAAGATGAAGATGTATGCCAAACATACTCGGTGAAGTGCTGATGGGAGATTGTGTCCCCTCCGACGCGATGCGAGCTCTCTCCAGCTGCCGCAAGCGTGAGCGCAGTTCCCTTACTTTCCTCCCTAGTTGAGATGCTTCGTCTGAAGGTGGCTGATATGTGCAGCTCTCTCCCAAGCCTTCTCTAACGCAAGATGCGCACGCTGGCCGTGCGGCATCACATTTCTACGACCATCAACCTCAGAACACCGAGGGGCACGAAGATTAGACGTACTGTCTTTCGGCGCCTAAGAAAGTTACGTTAGGTTTTTCGGCTGTCGTAAAGAGTGGTATTCTCACCTGCACGTCAAGCAGGCTTGGCCACGACGGAGACTCGGGGAAGGCGAAGAGGACATGATCTCGGGGCTCGTCCGATGACTGCTCGTCATTGTAGTTCATCCAGAAGAGAATTGGCGTCGAAGATGAGGGTGCGATCATTCGTTGACGGTTCGAACTGAGGCCCCCTCTCGGTATAAAGCTAGAATCCTAGTACCGACGGCGAGCACATAGGAACCCGCAACGGCGACACGAGAACAAAAGCGGAGTCGTAAGAAGCCAGGGAGGATACCTAGATGTCGCCTAGTCTGTGCTGCTATGCCAATTAATCAAACCCAACCGTGCTCTGCAGTGCAAGTTTGAGCTGATGCGTTTGTGGCGACATTGTTGACGGGGATCTCTCCATGCGCACTCATGCCTCGAGGACATTGCTCCACGAGTGTAAGAAGCTAAAGATTGGATTTTCAGAGATAACAAGCACTGGTTATAGGATGCGGCAGCTGCCAAGGACGCACTGAAGGGCCTGTCTTGTACAGCCAAGTAAAGTCCCTATGTATTAGTTCCCCATGAGACGTAAACAGAGAATGCAGAGACAGGCGTCGGTGACTTGCGTGGTGCCACAGGCAGTGGTGTAACGCGTATCTCCGCGTCAAGACACTTTATCGAAGTTCTATCCAGCATCTGTACGAAGGAGCCACCATACCCATCACCGGTGTTCTGGAGTTATAAACCGAGCGTGGGGAACTTGGTCGGCGAGGATCAATCCCCACCTTGTGGGCGCACAGCGGTGCACAGCTTTCCACGTAGCCCGGAGCGGAGAGTTGCGAATGCAGAAATTCCACAATGAAATAAAACACCATCGTATCGTACTCGTGTCCGTTGTGCGCACCGCTCAGCTCTCCTCCGTATCGACATCGGTCGACTCCGCGCGGCCGTTCAATGCGGGCGCACCGCCTTGCTGCTCGCCCGCGAGCGCATTTTCCCAGCCCTCCTCGAATAGCTCAGCTTGTTCTGTCGGCGATGCGATGGCAGCCGCGATTTTAGGCCGGTTCTTGGACTTCAGCTCGTCTCGCCAGGCATCAACGACAGCAGGGACTTTGCTTGGCACGTATGTGCGTGCAAAGAGTGCTGCTTCCGGCAGGCGCTGCGTCTTCCCTAGCAAGTCGACACATCCGGCCGCGTCCCCGAGCTGGAACAACGTCGCGAAGGCCATGTTGTTTTGCCCCTTCTGTTCCGCGCGTACAGCGAGTTTGCGAAGACCGTCTGCGTCGCCGATGGATAGCAAGAGCAGCATCAAGGCGCTAAGGTCATCTGCCTTCTCGAAACATTCGCGTGCCACATCGAATCGCCACACGGCTAAGGCCCGATCCCCAACGGCCTTCCACTTTTGCTCGGCTTCGTTTTCGGGAATCGAACGGACGATCTCTAGCGCCAGATCCAAGTCGTCGAGTTGCAGAGCCAGGTCAAACTTGTGTTCAGGGTCGTTGGTCACCTTGAGTGCCAGCTCCTTGAGGTCTGACGCGATGTTAACATCACCCTGTCGTATCTCCGGCATATGACGTCTCACCTCGGCCTTCAAGGAAACGCGCAACCTTGCCCAGTTGGTCCTTTGGTACAGTTTCCAAGATCTCTGCGGCAGCATCCATATCTCCGCGCAGAACAGCCGTCTGGTACTCGATGACACTGAGCGCCAACGTGTAACCGTACACGAACATGTCCTTGTCTGAGACGTAGACACGATTTTGAGCGGGGAGATAGCCGAGCAATGACATGGGCCTGCGGAAATGTAAGCGCTAGTTTCACCATCCCAATTCGATTACTGACTTGTCGAAATTGGCAATTAAGTACGACTCTGAGCCGACGAAGTAGCTGAGGCGGTTGGCGGCTGTAGTGTACAAGAAGCAGTCGCCGATCCATTTGGCTGTCTTGACACTACGAATGTGGATTAGATGACACAATAATATTCGCGGATAGAAAACTCACTTCTCGTTGATCTCCGCGACAATGTCGAATGCCTCCTCAACGCCCTCGTCTCCGAGGTCAGCACCCTCCTGCAACTTCGCGTCGTACGCATCCCGATCGAAGCGCAAGATGTAAAACGAATCGTCTGACGTGATCGCCACGAGGCTGCCAGTGCTTGACCAATAGACCTGGATACCCGTGAGAGAGTGCACCAGAATGATTGCCGGTGGAGATCACATACATTCTTGGAATCGACGTCAATGCGGCGCACGACTTCTCCCGTCTCCCAGTCCCAAAACACCACAAATCCAGGACCCCGCGCCCCGAGGAGCACACCGCCATGGAGGCTCTCGATAGCCCAAGAACCGGCACCTTTCATGCCGGCGCCGGATCGTTCCCGGAAGTTCTTGTACATGCGAACCTTGAGTTTTCCCTCGAGCACAGCATACGTATTTGAGTCGCCCGCCCATGCGAACGAGCTCCCCGAGCCGAATGCTTTGTTGCGCCAGGCGAGAGCAGTGTAGATGATGTATTCGCCATCACCTACGACGGTTACGAAGCGGCCGTTCGGAGAGTGCATGAGCGATGTCGCGAACGTCTCGCTAGTACCGAGTTCCTTGGTAGACAACGGGATACGAGCGCCTTCGGTGAACTGATCGTCCGTGACGGTGGCGAGGTTGGCGGACAAGACTTCAGTGTTGCGCGTGTAGATGAGCTTGCCGGAAGGGTCCATCGAAAACGTAGGCTCATCTCGGCCAAGCTAATCGCAGTGTCAGTACAATACGGTGATACAGAAAAGAAGACTGGCGTGCCTTAACCACAACCGAACCCTCATCGTAACCGACCGCGATCTCATTCGCATCCTTGCGGACCGACACACACCAGGCTCGCTCCAAGCCGTAGCTGAGCGTGTTCTCGAGTCGGTAAGTACCACTGTTCCAGAGCTTGACGGTTCCATCCTCGCTTCCACTGATGATCAGCGGGAGGTTGGGGTGAAATACGGCGAAGGAGACGTTGTTGGTATGGCTCTCCATCGTCTGCACGCAGCTCTTGGAGAGATAGTCCCAGACCTTGACGGTCTTATCATCGCCAGTAGTGACGAGGTATGGCTTGTCGGCGCCAGGGTAGAACTCGACGTAGTTGGTGCCCTTCTCGTGCGCGTCCATGGTGAAGTTGGGGGTAGAGGACCCGAGGGACCACATCTTGACGGTACGATCAAGACACGAAGATGCAAAGGTGTTTGTGTCTTTCGGGTTAACGGCGATGTTCATGATATAATGCGTGTGGCCCTCATATTGCTAAAACCGATGTTAGTATGCAGAGTCTCCGTGCGTATATGAAGTTTGGATGCGTACCTGAAGGCATCGCCAGTTCTTGTCCCAGTCCCAGGCCTTGATTGTCATGTCATCGCTACCAGTCAAGACAATGCTCGCGTTTGGATGTACTGTGAGGCATCGAATATAATCCGGATGAGCCTCGAACGCGGTGACCTTCTCATGCGTGTTGTAGTTGAAGACCCGCAACTGGAAGTCATCCGAGCCGGCGACAAACCAATTCTTGCGCGCGATGAAGCGGCAACAGCGCACGGGAACTTCCGATACTTCGAAAGACTTCACGAGCGCGCCCGTCTCGTGGTTGTAGATGTTCACGGTCCCATTATATAGGCCAGCAAGCAGCCAGGGCTCGGTCGGGTGGAAGTCGACACCCTTGACGCGGTCAGACCGGTTGAACTGCTTGCGCTGCATATCATCTTAGCGCCTCATTCGATCTAGAATACCGTGGGAGTTACCTGTACGTCCAGGAGCATGGCGGACGGTGCGGAGACGTGTTTGCGCGACGCGAAAGCAGCGATGCCGTGTAGAGTCGCGCGCCCACGTGGTTAGACGCGCTCTCCAAGTTCGATTCCTGTCACCCGCGCGTCACTTGTTCCCGACGCGCACCATGGCGTCCTGATACCCTCTCTATCTTGCTCCTGCTTTTGTCTTCCGACTGCTTTGTACTGCTTTCAGTCTATTGTATAAATATAAACAATGTCTTCCACAACCGACTCAATGAGCCTTCTCTATGTCGACAATCCGGAGCCCGAAGAACCTGTCCCGTGCGTGAAGTGGCGAGACCAATGTCTGATCAATATTGACTGATTGCTAGTGCCACGGGCCCCGCACCACCAGAGGCATATATACCACGTGCTGGAAGCGAAGAGTTATTCGAGTACTCAAATATGGCACCGGAGGGTTATGTTCCCAGCGATGCATCTCCTGCCGTACCCACCTTCCCGGAGCCCTACATCGCGGCCACCCCAGAAGTCAAACGACGATCTACCACACATGCGTCGTCTCACTCTAGCCTGTCTTCTGATCCTCCGCCTCCACCGCCCGATGACCCACAGCGTCAGTCTCTGGTTCGCACCTCTGCCATCTCGCTAGATGCCACGGCTCGTTCTGCATCCGGCCATCGCCGCCGCCACACGCAGACGTCAACATACAATCTAGATGATATCCTGCAAGCATTTGCAAGCTCGCATCATGACTCGAAGGATATGCGACGCTCCCTGAAGGCTGCTATGCAGAAGCTGGAACAGGCTAAGCAGCGTGCTGACCACGCTGACCATATAGCCGCCCAACTGGCCGGGCGTGTGAACAAGGTCGCGGGTCAGAAGTCCACTGCCGCCCGTGAAGCGTCTGCGGCTCGAGAGGAGTTAAACCTTTACAAGGTCCAGTACTCGAATGCTCAGCGCGAGCTCGAGCGGGGTAATCGTGCATTGCACGACTCAGAGGCGCGTCGAGATGAAGCGGAAGCAGCCGCCGCACGAGCTCGGGATAGAGCTCGGGATATGCGCACTCAACTCCTCGTCGAGCGTGCTCGGGAAGAAGGTCGGCGAGCTGGTCTGCAAGAGGGACTTCGACTATATCGAGGGCGTCGTTACGTCCACGAGTACGACGAATACACTGAGGATGTAGAGGAGGTGATGGAGGATATTCTCACACAGCAGAATGAGCCCGTCCGCTCGGAATATACGCCGCGTTCTCAACAAGATGCTGTGCCTCCGACGCGTCGCTCAACACGCAGTACTCAACGTACACCACGCCCTCCCCAACAACCTCAATACACACCCTCCGACCGTACCGACTCACGTCCGATCCTGATGCAGGGAGACGGTCCCACGCCCGAGTCGTTCTTCGCGGAGACGCCCACGCCAGCACCCAGAGAGGAGTACGTACAGGATACCACCGAGTCGATGTCGACCGACACGACGAGTACATTACCACTTGCTCCTCCTCCGGTTCTGGTCATTCCACCACAACGCATGTCTACCATCCATGAAGTGCCATCAAGAGGCTCCATGGTTTCTAGCGTGCCCACGATCATGCGTGACGAGCCTCGGACTTCTTCTAGGTCTTCGCGTCGATCGGGCGTTCGTAGCCAGCCTCCGCCGCCTAGAGAGCGAACACCCAGCCCCGCTCCTACCGTACCTCTCGAACCCCATGAGATTCCTCAATCACCAAACACCGCTTTTGCGCCTCCGCCGGGAGCTATTAACTATGCGGCCGTAGCTGCCGCAGGCCAGGCTCGTTCCCTGAGCCCTGTCTTCGGCATCCCCCCTCTTGAACATCCTCCTCCCTTCCACCCGAGGGCGAATCCAAACGTGCAACCTCAACCATTCATTCCGAGCGCTCCTCCCTCTCCGCGAGGCTCAATGTATGGCGTCGGTTCTCCCAATATGACGACGAGAGAGCTACAGCAGAGCTTTAGGGAGAGTCGGGCAGGCTCGCTAAGCGGTTCAACCCGTCCCTCGTATCCTCGGGTCCAGCCTCCAAATCCCATACCACCTCGCTTCACGCCAAGTCCGCAGATGCCCGCACCTCTTGCACCTCAGCCTCAGCGCCAAGCTCCGTCGTTCACTCAGCCGCGCCCGTCCTCGTCAACTGGCACCATTCCACAACCATTTATCCCCCCTCCTTCAGAGGCGATGTCGAGTCGCCACGGTCATCGACGTAGCCATTCTGCAAACATACCACCGTCAACTCAAGAGGTGCAGCGTCCGCAACCCCCTCCCTTTCATCCGCGCCACGCTCCTGGCTCGATGGTACGACGCTCGACGTCGGGCGGGGTACCAATACAGATCTCTGTGGAGTCTCCTGTGAGTCTCATTGTCGCTATTGAATCGTACTTCACTAATAACCCTTCCTAGTCCGATCCTGGCAACACGCCCACCCCTGCGTCTCAACCCGCCGATGAACCCAATCAGAGCAGAGAATATCTGAGCCCCAGACATATGCCGACGACGCTTCCGGTTCGGACATCTTCGACTTCGTCGTCTCATGTTGTACCCTCCCCGACCTCAACCCCGCGCTCGGTTTCTAACCCACTTCCTCAACATGCTCGACCTAATCCATCAGTTCCAGTCGCTGCTCCACTGTATGGTCAACAACCCGACCCCAACTCGTACTATGGACGTCAACCGCCGCCTGTGGTCCCGTCAACAGGAACTGCACGTCGCGGTCCCCCACTACGCCAACCGGTTGCCCCTGTCGTACCATCATCATCGAGTGCAAGTTCTCGACCACAACGTTATCCGCCCAGGGTCTACGAATCACAGTCTCCGGAAGATACGCGTCCACCTGCGGCTGCGACTTCGCGTATGTACGGCGCCCCTACGCGCTCAGCGTCCATGGGTGCGCCGCCGCCGAGCAACACTGTTCCAATCGTGGTTCCGCCACCAGGTTCTGGTCGTTCCCCTCGCCTCGCAAATGGCCCTCTGCCGGGTCAACCCGCAATAGTTCAGGCCGGGGAGAGCGCACAGGCTCGGCCTGCGGCGTACCGAGGGCAGCAGCCCGTTCCCATCCCACCGCGCCACGGAAGTCCCGCGCCGCTCATGGTCCCGTCCCCCGAAATTCGCGGCGCGCCGCTCTATGTGCCGTCCCCGGAAGCCCGCGTCGCGGCACTGGGATCCTCGTATGCAGGCGCCACACCGAGAATGGGCACAAACGGACTTTCGCAGGAGCAGGGTGGATATATCCCGCGCTCGCCCACAGGCTCTTTCTCAAATCTGGCACCGCCCAGCCCGCGCGGACCGCATGCCAATCCGTTGTTCACGCGTTTCGACCGCAATTCGATGGAGAATATGGGGGATATGAGCCAAGTCGCGTTGGCTACCGCTACGCAGCCACCTGAGGAATCTGCGACCAACGTTCTGACTAGGGGTCTTAGGAACGTGTTCGGTGGCCGTGGAAAACGCAGGTAATAGTACCGCTGCAGTGAATGTGCCTCTACTTGTTGCTCTTGGGTCCTGTGGCTTTGTTTGTTTCCATTGTCGTTCATTCCTTACCCCGAGTTAATATATTGACTACTCACACGGAAACCGGAACGGCAAGCGTCCACCTGTTGCTCGTATAAGAACAGTCGTCTTCTTATGCCGCCAAAATTGAGCATCATATGTATGGGAAGGATTCAGGTTCAAATGCACAGATAATGAGCTTGACGAGGACAATAGTTGACTGTCCCACTCTATGGCTCTCTGTGTGCACACGCTGTAAGCGCTCCTTCTGCCCGGGAGAATATGTTTGGTCTAAGCGAAAGTGTCCACCCACAAGTGCATTGAAATTGATTCAACATTTCTCTTGGGCACAATCGGCGGACATCCGTTGTGCTCGGTGTCCACACGCACGCAAATCTTCCAACCGACCCTGCATACGTCTGTGAGAGAAGACTTCGGATTGAGCACGTTCATTGTCTCGGGCCCTCGTCGGCGGACAGGCCAAGACCGCGTCATGGCTTTTCAGCGAATGTTTAGGCCCTTCCTCGTTCAGGGTCGTGCAAAAAAAATTGCCCATGCACATGATGGTTGAGGCGAGTCGCGTCGATCTGTCCTTGCGGCTACGCATTGGCCGATATGATAATGGTCTTCTCCGCCGCAAGCAAAGTGAGACTGCATGGGCATACGTCAGTCTAGGAAGTGTAGCCCATTCACCACACCTACGAGATTGAATAAAGTGCGTCACCGAGTCGCAATGATCGCCAACCTACTATATCATAGCACTTCCCGGGAGATATAGCACATACCATGCCTTCCGCAGACACCAAAGACAGGATAAGAGACGCCATACTTACGGGTCCGTGATATGTACCTCACCATCGGATTCCTTTCCTCCGTTCCTCTGGAAGTTATATGGTAACCAAGCATGCGATCTCGTTCCACGCCGTCACCCTCGCCGGTGCGCCGTATAGCCACCAATCGCCACACGTCGGACGTACGTGTATCAATGAGAGCGACCGATCTCGGGCGCGCATTCATCAGGACAAGTTAGCCGAGAATAGACTTCGTATATACGCCCGTGGCTATCTCTGCGTGTGAGTCCACGACGGCAGCAATGACGCGCAGCCAACCTCCCCGTCGACTTCTTCAGGCTCATCATGAAGACTGAAGCCGGTGAAGCCTCTCCACCAGTACTTCTCCAGATCGTAAAAGCACCGCCGGCTATGTCGTGTAAGGGAGTGGCAGAGAAGTGATTGATGAGCGTTGTGTTCTGTGGTTCTTCAGGCATATCAACTGTTCAGATCAAGCTGTCCTCAGGCGTCAACCTGCATCAACATCCTTGACTGGTAGCATCCGACATCGTCGTTTAGGCGACAAATGTGGCGCAGCCTCGACACAGCTCGGTTGAATAACGGACAATGATAGGATCTAGCATAAGCGCGCATAGGGCCCAGAAGTCACAGTTGTGGCAAGTCTCCTCCCTTCTCCCGAAGGACGGGTGATTGAGCGCTTGCGAAGCTCGCGGAGTGCGCCCAAGCTTTGACGATGCCGGATGGGTTAGTCTGGTAGCACTCCATGCAGGCGGCACATGCGTAGCAGTCTCCCAGGAGATGACAGCAAGGAGCCCCGCGGAATTCGGAAAGAAGGCGGGGCGCCGCCGCGCCGCGCCCAATACGCTCGCCCCAGTCGCGCCTAGCACCCCGGCTGCACAAGGACAACAATGGGTATAGTTTGAGGCCAAGAGAGTACAGAAGGTGGTAGCAATACAGTCCGTTAACGAGAACACAAACTCTACCGATAGCAACACGAAATGAATTATCACGATCTCGGGATAGCATCACAAGAAGTAGTCCGATGGTGGCCGTTTGAGCGGCACCGAGCGTACGTCCTGGGAGCGATGACGGGTCAGGCGGGTGTACGGAGGTCAGAGCGAAGGAAAGGGGGCGCACAGAGGGCGCATGCTGGAAAACCTTGTACTCCTGGGCTAGATGCTCGTCTAGCTCGAGTATTGATGCGACGTTACCGCACCTATAGGTCCAGCATGTGAGCGGGCGTGTGGCGTTGGGAGGTCTAGATGAGAGATGACGTGCCTGTAGCAGTAGTTTGGCGCGGACCAGACGGTGACTATGGTCTGGTCGAACATAAGCTTGTACCCCTCCATGGCCAGCTGATGTGCGCGAGCAATGAGATCTATAGAGTTGTGGTGCGCAAAAGCTTTCGTGATGTCTGCTCCAAAGAGATACCCAGCCCCGCGTGGTGACAGACCCCATCCAACGATGTCTGAAGACGCCGAACAGACCAAGACAAGCGCGCATAATCGAGATCGACGGGGAGGTTCGGGTGATTGCATTAGCGGTGCCCATACGGGACGCTGTATTGGTAGGCGTACCGTCAGGATCTGACCACAGCAAGTCGCACATCGCACCATCGTGCGGCACCTCCTGCTTCCTATCAATAGCCCGGATCTATAGCAGTGTGCATGAGCAACCCTGTATTGTGGTTGATTGTGGCGACACGCATACCTGGTCTATCGACTGTAATGCAGGGCTGAGTCCGCCATGGACACAGAAGACGCTGCCGTCAACGATAGCACCAAGCGCGAGGTAGTCGAATACTTCGCAGCACCAGCGCCATACATTCGCGGATCCATACTTCCGCTGACACTCGTCGTAGAAGCCGTACACCTGAGTGATCTGCCTGCTCTCGTGGTTGCCTCGGATGAGGGTGATACGGTCCGGATACCGTACTTTGAGCGCGAGCAGAAGCAGGAAGGTCTCGACGGAGTAGAACCCGCGATCAACAAAGTCGCCTGTAACATACTGTGAATCTGGGGAATGAAGGGGACAGGCTGTGCGACGGACCCATGAAGATGTAGTTCGTGTCGGGGCATGTTCCTCCGACCTTGAAGAGCTCCATTAGGTCAAAGAATTGACCATGTATATCCCCACATATCTGGTGCGTCCCGTTAGCGAGCGTAACTGCAGCAACAGTGTGGCACACGACGCGTACTGTGACTGGCGCGTCGACGACCTGGACATTGCTCTCCTCTATTAGGATTTCTCGAGCCTTGATGCACAGGCGCTTAACCTGTTCCTCTGTTATTGGCTCGCAGCGGGTAAGCTGTTCGATCTGCCTAGCGCCGGTGATGAGCTATAATATTCCGGCGTCCGAGCGCAGATGGACATACGCGTCTAGGTCGGACGGCATGTTCGTCTGACGCAACCGCAGAGCGCGCATCTCACGAGCACCGCGTCGAGGCCTCGGCCCGATCTTCCGGGTTCCTACGCACGTACTCACCCCGTCGCTTCCGCGCTGGTCCACCCGGCGCATCTCGATCGATCTCCGCGGTCCCGCACGTTCACACCATCGTAACGTTGTGTCGTTCGGCCACGCCGACTTTGCATCGGTCAGCCCGAAGTTCATATCGCCCGCCGAGACGGACGTTTTCGTGAGTACAGAACACTATTCCTGCGTAATCAACATGAAAAGAGGCGGGATAGACTAAGTAGGTGGGGACGACGTGACACAATGCTGCTGTGATGTTGGTGTACAATGCAGATGCGACGAGAGGACCCGAATAAAAATATCGTAAGCGCGCAGGCGATCGATGAGGAGACACTAATGTTCACGAGAGAAACTATACTAGTACAACGGGACATAGTAATGACATATCCCCACACAGACTGTGGCAGAGCGGGAGCGCAGGCGCAACGAATAGGTAGGACAAGGAAGCCGGATTACTTGGGGAAACAGAGGGGCGTATACATTCTAGATGCGTACGCCAAGTCTCGCATCTGAATCGCGATGGTCGATGGACGGGCGCCTCCTCGGGTGGATTTAGACCCGTGGTCTGTACAGCTGCGCTTGGGCGCTAAAGCGTGAGGCACGACAGCTGTAGCCGGCCTCATCGCCGAGCGCGCGCTTCAGCACAAGAGCGCATCACGATCAAGCTCGCATCAGACGCGAATTCGGGCCGTGCAGGCTCCTCCCGCCGCCACCACTATGCCACGTCGCCGCGGCGCTTTGATGCGCAGCATCGAGCGCAGACAGCGACATATACACCGTCGATGTCGGAGGCGGCATGTACCGGTCTGAGGAGAGCTCCGCGGGGTAGACGAGGCTGTTCGTGTCGGCGCGCATGGCATGCCGTGTATCAAAATAGTGATGACTGTGCATTGGACCGGATCCGTGCGACGATGTCACGGACAATGTTGATGGCACCGGGGACGGCGTCTGGGAGTTCTGCTGCATCTGCATCTGCTGCTGACTGCTCATGCTGGGCCGCACGGCAAAGGCCAACGGAGGCGGCTGCGAGAAATCGTCCGCATATAGTGTACCGAGTGATGCGAGCGAAGGCAAGCTCTGAGACGTTCCCTGGCCGGGTCCAAAGTCAAAGTTAGACAATGACGAGGTACCCGGGAAAGCGAGATCGCCAAAGGAGGAGGTGTGGGTGTGCCTGCCATAATTCGATTGCGGGATAGGTTGCGGCTCGGTGGCGTCGAGCGAGGGGAACGATGAGTTCTGGGTCGTAAGCCATGCGTGAGAGGTCGTAAGCTCTGGCGGGGGCAGCTGCGGGGCGATGTAAGCGTGCTCGAGCGGGGGCGGCGTCGACGGCGGCGAATCTGGCTGGGGCGCGTTCTTTGCGGCGCCGGATGCTGTGGCAGAGCGCTTGCGGACGCCACCGTTGCTGCCGTTGATGGCCATCACGCCCTGATTGAGCGAGCGAGCAGTGTTATTTGACGTCCGCCTCGAGCCGGGCGACAGATGTATGCGGTAGCTGGACGGGTCAAGGGTATGAGAAATGCGCGGAAACGTGACGGAGACATGGCACGAACTGCTGCTGGAGGTTATCCTGGCGCGAGCAACGCGTTTCGCAGCCAGGGAAAGGGCACTTGTGGTTGCGCTCGCCGGTGTGGACGCGAGCATGGCGCGACAGATGGCCGCTCGTCGTGAACGCTTTAGAGCAAACGCCGCAGACGTGTTTCTTCTTTCCGCCGGCGGTAGACTCTGCAGTGGGCACGCTGGAGGGCGCCCAGAGATCGGAGGGAGCAGAGGCGTCGAAGGAGCCGTTGAACGGCTGAGGGTTCGCCGTGCGGGTCATCGTCGGTATGCGGGCGGGGAGGGACATGCGCTGCTCTATAAGGCCGACTATCGGATACGGTCTAGGTACTGGCGGTGGTGGTGGTAGGAGCTAGAGTGAGAGAAACCGGTGTCCGTCTTGAGCCAGTACAAATCACATCAATCCCCCGCCCGCTCGTGAAAGCGCCCAGGAACAGAGTCTGATCTATGTAATCCTTTCCCCTCCGGGCATCTCTGCCATCTCTGATTCTCTCCGGAGTAAGTAGACCGTGGCGTGGGCCCCCTGGTTTTCCCCCTCCTCCTAAACCGTCTCTGGCGCTAGGCCACTTCTCGCAGGGGCCACCCGCGAACATTTCCTCTCAAACTCTAAACTTCTTCATGTTCTTCGCCGGCAGGGTCGCCCAGATAGAGCGCACGATAAGCACCCAGTCACGGCAACACAATCGTAATGCATATTGCCCCATCTCAGGGTTGCGCTGTTGCAGAAATCGATCCTTCGGGCTTCATGACAACTCCGAATCTTATAACTATTCTCGCATTCATTCCGGCTTCTTAGCGTCACGACGTTCAAGCGCGTCGATACTCGGACCCACAAACTGACGGCGCAGGGTCCTCAAGAGCTTCAGGGTCCAAGGACAGCGGCCTACCAAGTCAGAACAGCGGAGTCGACACGAAGACTCGAACGGCTCGCAGGCCCTTATCGGCGCGTCCGGTCCGAATGGCGGGCGCATATACGGTCACGCGTGTTTTGATCGTCACTGACATCGTCGTTCCACGACTGCTGCGTGCTGCCTGCCTTTGCCTTTCACGACAGTAAAAGGCTTTACGTCCCATCTGTACTCCTTTTCCGAACCACTGGCTGGACTGACTCTTGCTGTACAAATAAACCTGAATTACGAAATTTCTCGCCCAAATACGACGTATTGACGACCTAGTAACGAACAATACGCCGAACGACATTGTCCTCGTATGTGATGGCTGTTTATATACACTCTACACCATTCTCACACTACTTTCACTTTCTCAGTTATGCCACAGATAGAATCTGTAACCGACACCAGCTCTGGGACCGCCTCTCCGCCTGCACCTCGCCCGACCAGCCTTGTGGCCTCGCGCCGCGACTCGCATGTCTCGCTCCGCAACAATGAGCGCTCTATGCAGCGCTCCAGCCGCATCACGCTTGACCGTCACTCGAAGGGCGAACTCGCTGCACTGCTAGCACTTGAGGAACGTGAGGCGAAGGGGCTGCGAAAGCTGCTGCTCAGCGCATCCGAGCAATTACGTCTGGAAACGCGTCGCGCGGACGAGAACGAGCTTCGCGCGCGGGAGGCCGCGATGCGATACCGGGAGATCGATGACGCGCGCAGGCGCGCACAGAAGGACGCCAACAAAGCGAACGAGGAGCTCAGGCTCTATAAACTCCAACTCGAAGCCGCACAGAAGGAGATACATCGGGCGCAGAGCATTCTAGACGATCTTGAGCGCGACCGCAACCAAGCGGAAGCGAGTGCTGCCCGTGCCAGAAATAGTGCTCGCCAGATGAAAGAGAGCCTCCTGGTCGACCGCGCACGCGAAGAAGGTCGACGTCTTGGGATCCAGGAAGCCTTGGCGGGCCGGGGCGTACCTGTGTCCAACGCACGTTCTCCAGCTGCGTACACATATTTGGATGAAGTTCCCGGCTCTGGACGGCGCGCTCGTTACGACGAAGAATATGAGGAAAGTCTGTACAGTTCCACGCCGACGCCCCCGCCAGCACCCCCTCTTCATCCAGAGCGATCTCCTCCTCGTATGGCGCCGCCGCCTCAACCTGCTCCACCCCCTCAGCCTCCCCCGCCTCCGGTCCAACAAGCCCCTCCGCCTGCTAGTGATTTCCATCCAGTCCCCATTCATAATATCCCACGCTCGCCATCTATGGTGGATCGTGACATCTACATACCTCCGGATGGCTTCATACCGGTCGCCGGTGAAGACATGTCCATCCGCCTTCCTCCTCCTCACGAGATGTCGCGCATGGTATCGCCTTCGGCTTCAAGTATTGGCTTGCCATCAAGTCCCAAACCTCCTCCAAGCCCGAACCCCGTGATGGTACCAAATCCTGCGATGCGTTCCTACGCCGAATCCGTGGACTCGCGACGTGACCGTGGTGAACGCGGCAGCCATAGCGGCCACCGTAGACGGCGTAGCTCGCCTGACTCCATAGCCTCGACGGCTACGTCGGCCTTCGAGCTCACGCGGCCACCGGACTCGCCACAACGTCCCACGGGACAACCTTACTCCTCCGTGAATCGACGCAGCCTCAGTGTCATACCTGAGAGCGTAAGTGATGGCCATGCTCCGTCTCGAAGAGGCGATAGTGTTCGTGGTACCCCTCGTGCCCGAGAGGTAAGTAGTGTTTCATGCATATCCCCGCCAACACATACTGAAGTACGTGAATAGTCTGCCGCGGAACTACCACACATTCCCGAGGTACATGTGGCCCCTCCTGGCGCCCCCGGGTACCATGAGCCTGTATACCGCAGGCCCAGCTATGCCGACGAGACAGACCGAGAGAGTGAAGGTTCGATGGCTCGCACGCCTGCGTCCGCACGTTCTGCACAAAGGAGCCTTCGTTCGGTGATGAGCGGTTCTTCAGTCCCAGACATCAACGTCGAACCTCCGGTAAGCATCATAATAACACCATATCACAATACTTGCAAGATCGCTGACACGCCTCAGTCGCGTCCCAACTCTCAAACGCCCGAGGGAACGCCTCCGGGTTCGATTATGGGCAACCTCCTAACCCCAGACGACGCGCACCGCATCCAGACGCCGACTCAGCCGCCTCCAGACTTGCCTCCGGCTGTGCCACCTCAACCCGTTCAGACAATCGTGCTTCCCGAGGGTGCATCGCTCCCGTCGGGCTTCATACCGAATAACCCCAACTACGCTTCTCCCTCCCGCGGACCGCAAAACTTGCCTCCAGTCATCCCGCCACAGATGGGACAATACGTACCCGCTCCGCCATCTACTTCGACATCGCACAAGTCCGGACGGTCTCACCGAGCCAGCGAGCCGACGACTCGCGCGTCTAGCGTTGTCATGCCCGATGCGAGTCTACTCAACAGAGCTCCGACCGTTGACTCGACTTCAGACACGGATGACGCGCTATCGTCCTCTATGGCGAGCTCAGCCTCTGGGCTGTCCACTCCTCCGCCTCGGAAGCCCAAGAAGGCGAAACCGCCCAAGTCTCGTGGACCAGCGTACGAAGTGGCGCCTGAAGGTAGCGGGACCATCTACCCGAGCTCTCCGCTTGCCCGCGCAGGTGGCATTCCGCTCCCTCCGAGCACTATGGGCGCTAGTACAGCCGCAACGAGCCCACGCACGAACCTATCCTACCTCTCAGCTACCACGGAACCGACCAATCTCAGCGGAAGCGCCGGCGTGACGCCCGTAGCGCGTCCTGCGAATCTAGGCGGAGGCGCCGGCGGCAAGAAGAAAAAGAAGGTGCGTTTAATCTCATTCCTGTTGGATTGCCGGAGGTGGGATGCGGTGCTGACTGATTCCGTGTGTTGTAGCGGTAGATCTACATAGCGGTCGTGAAGACGTGCTTTTTGCGCTTCTGATCTGCGCTCGTGGGTACTGTATTGCTTGGGCGCTTGTTTGTCGTGTTGCGTTCTCGAGCGCTGTAGACGCTACTTTTTGGACGGTTCTTGGTGTATTCCGATATCCCGTTGGGCTGACGAGAATGGTGGACATGCGATCTATGTGGATCTCAACGTGGCCGAGGCTTCTGTGAATACAGTCCCCCAATTGCTTGTATCACACGTTGCTTCACTCAATAGAGGGGTGTAGTCACGTTCGGAGCGCATCGAGAGTTGCGCGCCGATAACGTAGATCCTAGACGTCATTTGTCCTTCGTATTGAAAGAGGGTACATGTCGCGGCATAGCAGTCGAGACGCGTACAGGTTCGAGTTTTATCGACCGCAGACGCGTGAGATGCCGCCGGATGAGGAAGGTCACAGCGGCGATAGAAAGATAGACTCAAGATGACTGCATACGCACACGAGTACAAGTCATGAGTATGGCTAGTACTGTACTACTTAGGCCATGGGGGGTACGAACTGCTGAGCAGCTACACTTCTGGCAGTTCCGAGATGTGCCGATAGAAGCGCCGCACCTTGCCCGAGTCCTTGCGGGCGCGGACGAAGTTATCCCGAACCATCATCACACTGGCTTCGCCATGCGACTTAGCGCTGTGAATGCGCCCTTCGATTACGAGCTCCCTGCGGCGTATACTGGTGTAGGCACCGTTGAATGAGAGACAAAGCCCTTACAGATACCCCGATGACGATTGGTTCGCAACAGCCGTTTATGTCTCGACTGGCGAGTTGTCCGGTTCTTCGATGCCGTCTTCTACCAGACCCAAAGTCTGATATGCAACTTTCCTTCATTTTCTCCACTATTGATCCTTGTCCGTTCCTCGAGAGTGAACAAGGCGCTCTACGGCCCGCCACGGTTCGCGCAACATATGCACGAGACTCGTCAGCGCGCGATAATATCGCCGACCGGGGCGGATAACCGCCAATAGCTATAAGAGCTTTGGGACAACGATCTCGGGAAAGATAGCTGTGACGATGCTCCTATTGTGGACTATCATCGCTTTCGCCGTCCATGTGCTGGCCTTGTCGCCTCCGGCGTCGCGCACATCGCCGCCATCTGGGGCTCTAGTCGTTCGCGCAGGCACCACGACTTCCGGTGAATACAAGGACTTGGCTTCCGCTGTCGCGGCTCTGCCGTCGGACTCGTCTTCGCAAATTATATTCATTTATCCCGGTCAGTATTCAGTGAGGCTCCCTTCTTCAATACTCGCGATCTCACCTCGTGTGTCAACAGGAACGTATACCGGTCAAGTCCAAATCAAGCGTGATGGCCCTGTGACGGTATGCAGTACACATTTCATCCGGTTAACATGAGTTTCTGATCGCTGGACTGGTAGATATACGGATACACAACCAATGCAGGATCGCAAGCGGCGAACCAGGTCATCTTGACCGCCTCGGTCGATGCCACCACTGCTGGTTCAGACGATGCATCCGGCACCTTGCGCATACATACGGACAGCGTCAAGATCTACAACGTGAATATCAGGTCAGCTGGCTTGAACATATGTCCCTGGCAAGGTCCTGAGTCCTGATACCTGGTTGTAGAAACGACTTCGGTCAAGGTGTACAAGCTATTGCGCTGTCCAACTATGGGGACAAAGTCGGTGAGTTGGGCTTCGATACTCAAAGCGGCGCTTTGCATGCGCTGACTCGTGACCATAGGACTGTATGCGTGCGGTCTCTACGGGTATCAAGTTCGTATAGAAAGCTCTTCGTCTGTAACACAAGCTCACCGTTGACTCAGGACACCGTGTACACAAACCAAGGACGCCACGTCTTTCTGCAAGGATACATTCAGGGTGCAGTGAGTGCCATTGTGCCGCATAACTTTCACGTGTGCTGACCTTCGTAGGTCGACTTCATCTTTGGAAAACTGAGTAAGTCTTTGTATGCATAGTCTACTGAACTCTGCTCAGTGTACATTCAGGTCAAGGTACAGTTCCTCCCGATGAGTACGGTGCGTGACTATACTGAAGTACTCTCCAGCATACTTCGAAGGGAACACTATCGCCATCTCCGGCTCGGGTTGCATCACTGCTGACGGTCGCGAGTCTGACGATGCGGGAATGTGTACGTCGCGAGAGTATTCATTCCGAAGGAGCGCAAGCTCACACCCATGTAGACCTCTTTAATCGCAACACGATCACTGTCGCCTCTGGTGTCTCGTCTAGCTCTTTATCTGGGAAGTACTACTTCGGTCGACCCTGGAGAGGTGAGTAGGGGTTCTGACTTAGAAGTGAGCCTAGCTGAATCCTCGTTCAGATTACGCCCGTGTCATCTTCCTTAACACGTACATCTCGTCACCCACCATCAACAAAGCGTTATGGTCGCAATGGAGCTCTGCCACCCCCCAGACTGACCGTGAGTGCTTATGCATGCAGACGGGTTCCCAGTATCTGAATCGTCACTCATCAGACGTAACCTATTTGGATTACAACACCACTGGACCGGGGACCCCGAGCGTCTCTCGACCCTCTTTCGCGAGTGTCCTGTCAGCGTCTCAGGCAGCTGCATACACCATCAGCACTGCTATTGGTTCTGACTATACTAGCTGGGTCGATACGTCGTACTTGTTCTGAAACCATTCTCTACATGAATAAGAGAGAAAACCTCTATCACGTCCCACTGTGTCGAGGGGGCGCACACGCATTCCACCTCGCCATGTCCTTTGTTCAAGCTTCGGTAAGGTCCAATCACGTAGCTTTGCGCTCGAGACAGGTGAGAATGATGGAACTACTGTCCTCGTGAGGTGCTGGCCGCAACACTCGAAGTCCCTACCGGCCCGTCCGAGACCGCTGTTTGTTCATATGAGGATATCAGCTGCGTCGCCTCGTGCGACTCGCCGCCAATCATTTATCCTGATTCTGGTACTCGGGCTCTTTAGAGCAACAACGCGTCAATTGAATCGCCCCGCAGTTATCCCGATAGGGTACTCTATTGATAGTGTACTACATCGTTGCAGTGCGAGAACGCAACCACGTATACCCCGAGACAAGCTTATATCCCAGGTCCAGGCAACCTACAGGCACGAAAATGACCCAATACATGCAACCTCTGCACAATGACCATCTGCTGATGGCCTACGGACACGGCGAGTATGCGGTTTCAACCAGAGCGGCCCGGGGTTGGATAGGCACAGTGCGCACGAACGTCGCCATAAAAGCGCTTGCCGTCGTCCTGCCCCAATGTGCTGGGTGCCCTCACTACGATGCTGTCTCTTGTAGTTGCCCTCGGTCTTGCAGCATGCGGCGCTGTGGCGTACTCGCCGCCCCTCCACAGGATTTCACCTCCGCATGACGCCCTTGTCGTCCGCGGAAACACGACTCGGGATGGAGAGTATCCGACGATCATGTCCGCAGTCTGGGCTCTGCCGAACGACACCTCTTCGCAGAGTATATTCATCTACCCCGGGACGTATCACGAACAGGTAAGTCCATGACGCGGCCAACATGGGGAATGCGAACTTCTGACAAACGTTCGCTGTGAATAGATCTACCTGTCGCGTGCCGGCCCTATCACACTCTACGGATACACGAGGAATGCCGGTTCGCAGGAAGCTAACGAGGTCACGATCACCAACTCGCTGGTAGCATCGGCAGCTGGCTCGGATGAGGCTAGTGGAACTCTGCGCGTCCACACCAACAACACGCAGGTCTACAACCTCAACATCAGGTTCGCAGAGATCGTATTTGCCGACAAACCTTCACTGACTGGGGCATGCTTATAGGAATGATTACGGGCCTGGCCTACTCGGAGGTCAAAACCAGGCAATTGCCATCTCGGCGTACGGCGATAAGGTCAGTTCACACGCCAGGCTTCTTCGCTGCGATTGACCGACGCGTCGCATAGGTCGGTCTCTACGCGTGTGGTTTCTATGGATTCCAAGTAAGCAGCTTGAAGTGCCGTGAGAGTGCACTCCACGGATACTTATGCCCACGTAGGATACCGTCTATACCAATACGGGCCGCCATGCATTCCTTCATGGCTATATTGAGGGCAGCGTTGACTTCATCTTCGGCAAACTGAGTGAGTCGACATTTCATAAGTAGAACGCCAAATAGCATTGATTCATCACATCATAATAGGCCAGGTCCGTTGCTTATGAGTACGGGGAGAAGATGACCACCCTGATGCTTGTAGGCTTATTTCCAAGCAAACACGATTGCCATCGCCGCTCCCGGCTGCATCACGGCCAGCGGTCGAAGCACAAATGACTCCGGAATATGTGCGCACACGCGCACTCTCCCTGCTCTATTCGTATTCTGAAGCATTGTTAGATCTGCTCGAGGACAGCGTCATCACTGCAGCCCCGAATGCGAACTTTACTGTGTCAGAGATGAACGGTGCGTAGTCCCAGGCAACGCGAGTGGTGCTCGACTTGAAGATTCTGACCACCCACAATCGCAGGCAAGATCTACTTTGGCCGCCCGTGGCGTAACTATGCCCGGGTCATATTCAAGGTATGGTGTCGTGTTGCCAATGATGGTCGTCACATAACCATTCATTCATCTAGAACACATATGTCATCAAACCCATGCTCAACGCAGCACTGTGGTCGATCTGGAGCACAGCGACACCCTTGACAGACGGTATGTCGCTTTCAACGTCGAAGTCGCTTACTTGACTCAGCTGTATCGTCATGCCAGAGGTGACATATGCGGACTACGGCACTTGGGGCCCGGGTGTACCCTGGAACGTCTCCCAAGCACGGGCCAACTTCTCTACCCATTTGACGACGAAGGAGGCAGCGTCTTACAATATCGGTTTCGCCCTCGGAAGCGATTGGCACACCTGGGTCGACTCCAGGTATCTCTTGTAGAGCGTCCGTGGGACGATGTCGGATGTGTTCATTATTAATGTGCTCGTACTGCAGTGTCGATGTCTCTGATATCAATGAGTATAGGCAATTTCAATGCTGAGATGGATAACATCGATGAGAAACTATACAGCCTGAGCCGCCATTATGTCGCCCCAATGTAGTGGCGCTAAGGTTCATCATATCCCAACGCCCAATAAAGCTGCGCCACCTCGGATGCTACGCCCACGGTTGGCAACTAGGCTGATAACCAGACAGCTTAGCAGAAAACCTGAGAATCTGGCATAAAGCATCGGTACTGTGCACGACTTCGAGATCCTGCGCAGGTCTCCCGCACCTGAAGAACGCGACGCGCGACATGCTTCGCTCTTCGCCTGGTGATCGTGATGAAGCGAAGATGGCGCGCAATACAGCAGGCGTAACCGGAATGCGACTTCGTTTGCCCTCCGGCTCCCCGTCTGGAGTTGCCGTGGTACCAACGCCAGTCCCAAGCTGGCTGCCGGTCACTCCGGTCACTTTGATGGCTTTCTCCTCCACTTCAAGCTGCGAAGCAGAGAGTGGATAAGGACGTCGAGCAGTCGTTGCGGTCGTTGGTGTGGTAGAGGCCGCGTAGCTAGCCGGGGTGACAGTACTTGTACTGGCGCTCGTTGGAGTCGAGCTTGAATTGGATACTGTGGATTGAGAAGGCGACGCCATGGTCGTCCAGGACAACCTGGGACGCGACGTGCGCGTTGATGCCGTCAGTGCATGGTCGCGGCCACGTGCCTTACATGTTGAACCTGTCAAGATGTCATCGAGTGGCCTTTCTCTTCCACCCACATCCTCCTTCCCGCGGCCATCTCGGCTCTACCGACGCTCTTTCTCGCACACCCCAGCCTACACCTTTCCACGATTTCTGGCCCATGCTCCTCAGTACATCCCCTCGCAAACAAGTCCCTTTAGCTAGTGGCGACGATGATTGGGAGTCCGGCCCATCGTCCCGGCCTGCGGCAGTCACTAAGCGCGTCTTCTACTGCGGAGTGGTTGTAGAAAACGATGACGGCGTTGAACTCTCAGAAGGTGTGTTTGTTGATAGCATCCCATCTCAGAGAGCACTTCCTCATGGATGACTAGACGTTCGCGAGCTCATAGCCTCCTTTGGAGACCCTGTCCAAATAGAGGACGCCTCTGAAGACCCCAATTCGGCGAAATCTCATGCGAATACCGCAGTGGACCAGGTAAGGATATCTTTGGCTTGTACTGTCTGGGTATGCGCTGACTATTCTGAATAGGATAACCGGACACGGCGACGTGCCATGACGAATACCTCCGCAATACAGGACATCATAAACGAGCTCGTTAGCACTGAGCGCTCCTACGTCAAACGGCTGAGGGTGCTTAAACATGACTATGCCGATCCCTTGCGGTCGTACGCTCGGAGCAAAGAAACGGCCATCATTCCCGCTTACGAGGCCAATACGCTCTTCGGCAACATCGACGCCTTATTACCCGTCAACGAGGCGTTCCTAGCCGACCTTGAACTCATGATGGCATCCGATGGCCCTCAGACAGTTGGAGATATCGGTGATATTGCTCTCAGGCACTTCAAGGAGCTGCGCGGCTTCGACCTGTACAAACAATTCTACGTTAAGAGAGAGGAGGCACAGGCAATCTTTGAGCGCGAGATCGCGAAGAAGTCCCGGTTTTATACCTTCGTAGACGTACGTCACCCAAATCTGCCATTGATATTCTCTCACTGACACACGATACAGCGTATCAAGTACTCATCCGCCGACACGAAGAATCGCGTCGGTCTACGGGAGCTTATGATGGAGCCTGTACAGCGTATCCCCCGATATACTCTCATGTTCCGTACGATGATGCAACGCATGGCACCCCACGACCCCCAATGCGTGAAGCTCAGGGAAGCCGACGAGATTGCAAGCAGGATTGCTCTGGCCGAGGCGGATGATGCCACAAAGCGCGCCGCAGTCATGCACTGTCTGGCGCAGACAGTCGAGGGCTTCCCACCGGGTCTAGTCTCTCACTCTCGCCGATTCATCGACTGTCTGGATGTCGACGACGGGGCTGATGGCCAGGGGCCGGTCGCTGCTGGTGTTGTTGAACCTTTGCGGTGTACCCTGTTCCTCTTTGACGACAAGATCATGGTTGTCAAGCGCCCAACGGAGAAATCCGGGCGCACGCTGTCCGGGCTTGAGAAGTTAGAAAAGATGGGCAAGGCTGGGGGTCTACCATCCGGTCTCAAGAAGGGTGCGCTGAGCTGCAAAGGCGTTGTTGACCTTTCGGAAGTAGTGGCTACGGATGTCGGGGGCGCAGGTATGTGCCATCATTATGGGATAGCTCGACTTTTTTTGTTTAATTGCATCATGTTCAGACTTCCACCTTTTCTTCGAGAGCCCCCCGCTTGACCAGCCCGACCGCTGGTCCGGCCGCTCATTCAGGTCAATGACCTGCGTTAGCCCTCCATCCCCCGCCAACTTCAATCCGCAAAAGACAGTCAACGACAAGAAGCGCTTTCTCGAGCACATCTGGCAGGCGCAGGTGGATCTACGGGCACGAACCGGTCAGTCGGTCACCCTGGAAGCTGAAGAGCGGGAAGTGGAAGCGAGGGCAGGCAGGGTCACTATTGCGCGCACCTACTTCCACGTGTACCAGCGCACATCATTCCTTCGAGAAGACAAGAAGGTGACGTCCAATCTATACAAGCTTGGTCTTACGCTAACGCTCTCGACCAGACCAAGGTTGTCGTGCAAATAGATCCCTTTGGCAACGCGGACCCACTGCCTTTTGGCGCTCGCGGGCCGCCGTACGTCGTGATCAGGGTGCAGCCCATTGAAGGCGAACTGTCTCGTTATCGGGTTCTATCGAGCGATCCACACGACGATCATGACGAGGAGGACATAGTTCAAACTGGTCGTGTTCCCGATCGTGTCATACAGACAAGTGCGACATTCCTCCTCGTACTGGAGTTATCAAATACTCACGCACTTACAGTACATCAGTATGGGCTCTTCAAGTTTAGAACAGGCAAGAACTCCGCGCCTTCCACGCCTACCGCTGCCTCCCGTTCTCGCGCGGCGATGTTTGGATTAGACACCATTTCCCGCAACTTATTCGGGGCCCTTCCTGGAACTTCCTCAAAGACCGACATCTTTGGAGGGTCGATCAACGGTTCGCGCCGCTCCAAATCCACGACGAGGTCCTCGACATATACGCAGAGCTCGGACAGCAGTCTCACGCGATTCACTCACCGGAGCAATTCCTCCAGCATGACAAGTGTCGAGGACGAGTCTTTCTCGAGTAACAAGTCCAGTTACTCCCGCAAGCTTCTCAAGACGCGCAGCAAGTCGCCTGCACCTGCATCAGGGAGTGAATCGGAGAGCTTAACCCGAAGCAAGCGAACACACTCTCGCTCCCGTTCCCGAACTCAGTCGCGCGAACCCAGTCCTGCGCCAATCGAGGAGGAGGAGGGTACCCTTCAGCCTCATGGCATGGTCTCTGATGGCTCGGAGTGGGACCTTACCGAACGACTGGCATTGGCACGGCGTAATAGTCAGAATCAAGACGGGCACCACCCGAAACAAACATCGTCTTCCTCGTCATGGAACGAGCCGGTGGAGGAGACTATATATGAAGGTCAGTCGCACATGTATGATATGCTTGCATTTGTACTGACGCATCGCAGAGGTGCCGCCACAAGCCATCCGCTCCACTTCTCGCGCGTCGACGGCACGACAAAGCCAACGCTCAACCACACCTCAGCCACGACCTACAACACCCAGTTATGACCGTGATGCTATCCCAACGCGCACCCCTTCACGAAACTCTGACCGGCCACGGGGTCCCCGCTCACCATCTCCTGCGCCACCTATGCATCGTCTCAGCCCTCCGCCCAGTCCCATGCCGGCTGAGGGCAACTCGATGGAGATGGAGCTTGCTATCGAAGCTACGCTCCTCAATATCCAGCAACCCTTAACTCCTGTCCGCGCCACTTCCCCTGTCGGTCGCCCGTTGCCGCAACAGCCCTCCATTGTCCTGCCGCATACACCTCAACGTTCGAATAGTAGACAAATTGAACCCCTATCCATCAAGAAGAAGGACTCGATGAACGACGGACCTGTACGGACGCCGAAAGCCTTTTCCAAGACGTCGCCTCTGATGAAGGGCCGGATAGTCTCCCCGCGTCGAGTCTCTCCACTGATTAGGCATACAAAGACTAAGCTTTCGACGGCGGAGGTCGACGAGGAGCGCATTATAAGATTGCATCAATCCGTCCAGGAAGACGTGGAGGGCTCCCGGCTGGCGATGAAGCGCGTCAAGATGGGTGCAGAACAACTGAGGACATCGCTCGCGCATGGCTCGGAGGGCGACGAATCACCTCTATCCCAATTACCGAGTACTCCGCGCGGCATGCCTCGCACACCGCAACGCACACCTGCATCTCCTGCGGTACGTTGCATGTTTCGAGCCCTGGGTACATAGTGCTGACTTGTCCGTGTCAGAATAAAGCCGCCCTGGAGCGAATGGAGGAAATGCGCCAGCTCATTGGGAAACGCTCCTTTGTCGAGTCAAACACACCTCGCTCTCGTCCTCTGAGCTATGATGCGCCGCAGACGCCTACTACATCCCGTAGCTTGACACACAGCGATGACCTGGTTCGCTCAATCGAGGAGGCGGCCTCTGAAGCTGACAAAGCACTGCTACGTGCTTCATCCAGTCAAGACGCTTTAGGCAGCGAGTTGGGAGAGCTGGTAGCAGAGCTCCGGGAGAAAGCAGCGCAACTCGCGAAGACACGAGCAGAGCTCCAGAGTCAGAAGCGTCAGTGTGAGCTCGTGAAGAGTCTACTCAACAACGCAGTGGCGGAGAACGCGCTTGTTTACGACGTGCGTGTACAACCAACCTTGGATATTGCACATTTCTGACATTCGTGCAGACCGTGAATGAGGAACTTGATGAGCTCTTCAAGGGTGCACAACTGCCCGAAACGGACGCCTGGGCCGCTATGACGACTGACGTGCGTCGAACGAAAGCAGCTCGTAATGAGCTAGCAATAGAGAACTCGTAAGTCCTACCAGACCCTAGAACCTACAAACGCCCTGACCTTGGGAATAGGCAACTCAAACGACAGCTGGCAGAGGCTGAGTCGGAGAAGGAAGAGTGGGGGGCGCTTCTTCGCCAACACGGTCTTATATCTTGAACTAGTTATAGCAGGCGGCTGGCCGTCCCGCTTATCGGTTATATACTCATTCGCATCTTTGCTATGTATCATATACACTCATCTCGCCTCGGGGCTTGCTTTGTATCAGTATCTTTACTCAAGTACTCACGCATGGTTGACATCATATCGGCCTATGTACTATTGGGCGACGGTTCAGATCGACTATGGACTCCTATGGATCCAAGTATCATAGGGGGTTCTAATGCCGCCTCGAGCTTCGACTTGGCTCCCGACCACCACGCCACTATTACCCTTCCTTCGCACTCTTGCACGAGCAGTGAAACTTGAGTTGTGCCTACCAACATGAACATCCTAGCATTGCAAAGTCTACTCGCAGACAAGTAATCGTCGTCTTTTGGAATCATAGTAAAGTAGCTGACGACGAAGTAGGCCTCTCCCGGGCGTTCTCCCCGCGCTGGCCCATGGTGTCTCACCGCAACAGTTACAAGCCACCATAGACGCAGAGTTACACCGTCGTGCTCAACAACTTCAGCGACTTCAGACCTTGCGGAATACAGCCGCTTCGCCCGCTATGCGACTCCCGCTAGAAGTTATATCCGACATCATATCCTACATAGCACTGGAGTCAGAAGCTTCTGCGTATGGCATGCAGTGGAGAACGCTAACTCTTGTTTGTCGAAGATGGCGTGAAGCAGGTGAGTCTCTGTAACACTCAGAAGTAGCGCCTAGAGCTGAGATAGCTTCCCCCAGCCCTGAATGCGCCGAAGTTGTGGAGTTATGTGGACCTTGTCGCCGTGTTTCACCGGGCCTCTGTCATCAAGATGAATCGAGATCGAGCACGAGGCTATCCGCTCTCAGTGAAATTCGAAGTACGCCCAGGTACAAAGTGGTGTTGGGCCGACGGTCAACCACTTTTCTGGGATCCTCGACGCTTGCGCGCTTTACGCGTGCAGGTCATACCCAAAGAAGCGCAAACCTTCCTCGATCGTATCACATCCGACGACCATCCTTGCCTCGAGGACTTGGACGTAGTCTCTGTATTTCGCGATATGTCTTTCGCGAGCAATAGAGACCCTCTGCCAGAAGACGCTGCGCTTGTACGGCTACCTGGAACTTTTTTGAGGACGAAGGCCCCTAGACTCAAGCGCCTTTACCTTGTCGACATCTCACCACCCTGGTCTTCTCTTTGTAATCTGACGACCTTTACTGCGACATGGACGGAGACGTGGTCGCAGAGGTTTGAGCCAGACTGGACTCTACGTGATATACTCGAAGCCCTTGGCCGGTGCTCCAAACTCGAAACTCTGATAATCAGCTCTCCCGGCCTACCGGCCTCCGTACCGGAAGAACCCCTCCCTATCGCTGCTATACCGGGTTTACATGTATTGAGGCTGTCCGGGCCTGCGGGATCATGCGGACAGTTGCTGAAACATATCGCTTTGCCTTCCTCGACAAGGATGACATTTCACGCCATCCATTCACAAGAAGACGTGGAGGCTCTACTTCCACTCGCGGAAGGCCTGCGGCGCCATTATAGCGCCGGAGCCCCACTCATGCATTCGTTGCTGTGTGCATCGATATCCATTGTGGACCGAGGAGACGCCTTTTTGCTGTACGCTTATGAAGACAAGGATCTGCATGAGCTCTCCGATAACGACGAACACTCAAAGCCGCGTCTCTCCGTTCTATGGACTCACTCGCATACCCGTTCGGAGGCCCTCAAGCGTGGCGCCGCGCTCCTATTCCCTACCCTGCCGCACAAAGACATATCGATCCTCGACTTGCGCTGCGCCAGGCATCTCGAAACGACGGATGCATGGACAACAATGGTTGCGAACTTGCCGGCTTTGCGTTGCATCGCGTTGCATCTCGCAGAAGAGGATGTCAATCTGCTGCTCGTAACTCTTGCCGCCCTTGCCCACCACCCCGGTTCTCACCGCATCTTACGCATACACCTCGACGCGAGACATCTTCTCGGGACTGTGCAACACAGCGGGAATAATGCCGTCGAAGTTCTACACAAAGTCGAAGCCGCTTACGAGCTGTTCAACCTTGTCGTCGCGCATGCGGTAACATCAGAGCAGCTCGGATGTCCGCTCGAGGCGATAGTGCTCGTGGACGCTCCGGAGATGCTGATTGAACGTATACATCCCGATGAGGTGTCATCCCACCTCAGCCAGGGTTTTGTCTACAACGGCGTATTGAAGAAGGTTGCTACGCTCAAAGGGTGACGGCGTCATGAGTCTTCTCGCCTCAGGTTGAGGGGGCCGAGTATGTACGTGAAACCATCCGTGTAGTAGCATACATCCACGCTGCCTTACAACATCCATCGTACCCCAACTTGTTGAATCTTTGGTCTCCGAACCACCAACAGATCGCGGATAGAAAGCGCATTAGTGACTTTGATTGCATGAGCATCTGCTACGAACGGTCATGAAGGCCAGAATCTCGAACATTCACATAAGTATATGACGCAGTGAGTGGCGCGGATCTGTGCTTGTGCAGGACCAAGCTGATAATTATCATCGTGAACATGGCTCCTCCCTCTGACACTGCCTGACTACCATGTATTATTAGCTATTTGCACTATACCAGTAGGGTAGGGTACGGCGGTGCAAAAAGTCTGCGCGCAGACGATGTTCGTAGTAAGGTTAGGGTTAGCTCCAAGTGGCGCGCCAGAGTCCAAACAACGACGCGTCTTGGTTCGAATCATCACGCCGCGGGCTGTTTGTGTGTTTGCTCTCCGTCACCCAGGCTCCCTAGTCCGACTTCCCTTACTTTACATCTCAAGTGCATATGGATCTCTCTGCACTCACGAGAATACTTGCAGACAAGTGAATTCCTCACACATATGTCTTATATTCTAGTCTTATGCCCGTACAGGCCTATACCAACGCTTTTTTCGGCACTGGCGAGCAGCGCTCCAGGCGCTAGCGATGAATCTTTACAGTCCATCCTTGACGCGGAACTATCACGTCGCACCCAACAGCTACGAGACCTGCAAGTCTTCAGGAATAGGATCGCCTCCCCTGCGACGAGGCTTCCGCCTGAAATTCTCTCTGAGATTTTCTTGAATCTGGCAGGGGAATCCGACTATGGCTTGAGTTGGAGAAGGTACGCATTTGTGAGCCGAACATGGCTCGATGCAGGTACGTCTACTCATCAAATCGCTCTCACAAACCACTCAATGAGATATCATAGCATTGAACACTCCTGCGCTCTGGAGCTTTGTGGATCTTACCCGAATCCGGACTCTATCGGTGCTAAGAAGATTTCTCGACAGAGCTAAGGACTCCCCGTTATCGGTGGACATTACTGTGAGATCGCAGACCAGATGTTACTGGGCAGATGGGGAGCCACTCTTCTGGCACGATCGACAACTGCGCGCGCTCAAGATCGATATTCAACCCAACTTGGTCGTATCGTTTCTTGATCGCATCGTCTTCGAGAACCACCCTCGCCTGGAGAGCATGAGGATCATAGCCATCCCCCGAGAGGTCTATGGAGGAGACAGACCCCCTGTACCAGAGGACTACATTGTAGTGCGACTACCATTCGAATTCTTCTTGGAGAGGACCCCGCTGCTTAGGCGTCTGTTTCTTGTGAACATTTCGTTCGATTGGTCCACCTTGCGGAACTTGACTCATCTGAAAGTTCTCTGGAGTCGCGAATGGTCTGAGCAATACACGGTTGACTGGACCTTGCGTGACATCGCGGAAGCCCTCATTCGCTGCCCCCAGCTCACGCGGGTGGTGATGCGGCCGCTCCCTGTTGCAGAACTGGACGTCCCACTTTCCCCGGTGAATCTCCCTTGCTTGTCGGACCTGGAGTTTATCGGATTTGCCGAATCGTGCGGTCAGCTGCTCACGGCCTTGAAAATGCCAAGCTCGACAACCCTTAACATCGACGCAACTCGCAGTGGCGATAACTTCAACATCAGTGCATTAGAACCACTGATCGCCGGTCTACAACGCCACTACACTGGAAGCACCTCTCTCTTACGGACGATGATTTGCTCGATGGTCCACGTCGAGAATCGGGGCGAGTCGCTATGCTTCCACTTCTATGAAGAGGCACGGCTACATCCAAGGAATATGAGCTACGAAGAGCGCTCAAAGTCGTACCTTCTTACGCTGTATACGTACCCTCGGACGCGCGAGGCTATGTGCGGCCTCATCAGCCTCCTCCTCTCCGTCATGCCTTTCCACAACATCCTGTACCTCGATTGGCGTGGTACGTCCAGCGTCCATTCTGAGGCGAAGGCGACGATCATGGAAAATCTACCTGCGTTGGAGGCAATAGCTGTGTACTTGCGCGAAGAGGATGTTGATTGCCTGCTCGAGACCTTGGCCATCTACTCTCAGCGAGGCAACGGATGGGACGAGGGGTGTATCTACATCGACGCTGGATGCCTCCAGTGGAATACCCCGGAAGAACTGCAGGCTGCCCATATCCTGCTGGACCGCGTCGTAGCACATGCGGCGGAAGCCAATCTATCGGAACATCCGCTCAAAGCAATCGTGCTTTTTGCCGCTCCAAAGACCTTCGTAGACGATATCGACGCCCAGGACGTCGCGCGCAGTCTGAGCTTGGGCTTTAAATGCAACGAGGTTCTTTACACTTATACAGGAGAAGGGGAAGGAGAGCGATGAAGACATTTTGCCGCCGGTCGTCCCAATTCCGGGGTACTGTACTCACTGAAGCTCTGTATGCATATCCATCGGCCACTTGTAATTTTCGAGTAATTGCATGGACATATTGACTGCTTTACTCATACACTCAACAAGATCAAGAGGGTGGATGTGAAGACGAACGGAGTCGTAGGTCTGAATGAACGGGGTATCTCTAATGGCACGTACGGCGGCAAGGGAATGGCAAGGGCAGAGTAGTGTACAGGAGATGGAATGGCATATGCTGGAGAGGTAGGGCAGAGAAGGGAACCATGCTTGGAAGTAATGGATGAAGATGCGGTTTGGAGGTCTAGGACAGATATAGAGTCGAGGGAAGGGATGGGGTCCAGAAATAATGACGTATTTGTATGCAGACGGCGGCGTGTGCATATACAAGAAAGAGCGAGCGATGCCGGGAATAAGAATACGATATCGTATGTGGTGTCAGGCGTGAGAGGCAATGTGTGTGTGCGGCTGAAACCGAGAATAAAAAGCAGATGCAGAATAGGCTAAAATATGCTTTCACGATGGCGCGGATGCCGATTTGGTGAAGGGTGACAAGAGCGCGCGAAGCACACCGCGTGCGTGCATGGTCTTGTACGCGGGCGAACCAGAGCCCGAGCTCGAGCTTGAGTTCGACGGCTCTCGAGAGGAGCCAGAGGGCGGTGGTGGCGCAAGCCAGCCCATCGCGTCAACCCTCTCAGCTCTAGCACCGCTCCTCGACCGGAAGCGCAGACTATCCGTGACTCGTCGCCTCAGGTTTGCCCCGCTGAAGGGGTATTGTTCGGGCACTTCGAGGCGCTTCCGGGCTGCAAAACTGGCTGCGCGCATTGGTGGACGCCCTGGAGTGGGTGACGGTGATGGCGTGAAGAACCCTCGCACATTGTCGACCATACTATGGGAACGCTGTACTGGGACATGTTGCGCGCTAGCAGGCGTCAAGAGGTCCGCGGCGCTTTGCGTGGCCTCGACAGGACTTCCCGGGCTCAGCAGCGTGGGTCGTGCAGTCTCTGGCACCGGAGTAGGCCCGCGTGCAGCAGGCGGGCATGCCTGCGGACTATCGCAGCGCGCGATGACGGATGTTGGAGACAACGGTGGATGCGAGAACGAGGTCGCATCCGACTTGGGCCGTTCCACTCGGCCAGGTTTAGGCGGTAGAGCAGGCGGTATCTTCGGTGGCGGTACTGGGGGCAAAGGGGGAAGTGGTGGTACCGGCGGGATTGAGTGAGCATGCGAATTGGAGTGCGAAGTACTTGACAGCGTGTCGGGTACACCATCGCCGTCAAGCGAGAGTACAACTTCTCCTTCGCCCGCTGAATGAATGTCCGTGACGACCGAAAGGCTTGCGCGTTTGTGTTTCTCTTTGCCACGACGCTTCATAAGCGTTGACGGTGGAGGGCGCACAGGTGCAGACAGAGCCTTCGTCCGAGGTGGCACGTTCTCGACTGGTGTGAGTGGTGCTACACCAGCTTCGCTATAGACACTTCTTCGTACGAGCACGCTTTCTCGTTTCCGCAGCCGATTACGAGCAGCCACACCGATTGCGCCCGCCATCCCGACGCCGGCTTCGCCACGGCCAACCGTACTGAACGAAGGGCCTTCAAATAACCCAGCAGCACCAGCTCGAGTGCGTGCGTCCGCACATGAAGTGCTCAATACGTCCCGTAGGGCTTCGTCGACCTCTGCACGAGCCAATGCCGTAGCCCGCGAGATCATCACCGCACTCTCGGGCGCCGCGGAGAAGAAAGCCTTCACGGACGCCGTCGAGCTGCGGCGAGACGGAGGTATCGGTGTAGTGCGGGTGAGCTGTGGTGTAGAGTTTCCCCTCTTCGGCCGCGCAGCGCTAGTCGCAGGCGTCCCTGGTGCGGAGGCCGGAGCTGCAGACGGCGCGCTATTGGAATGGTGCAACGGTGCATGGATCGCTTCTGACGGCGATGTGTTGCCGCATGAGAGGGGATCCGAAAGATCCGCGACGGGCGATACCGGTGGGATTGGTGGGAGAGATGGAACGGCGGTGCCAGGAGTCGGCGGTAGAGGATGCGCGACGTTCAGCGTAGATGGTACGGTCGATACCACTTCGCGACCGACGCTTGATGGTTCTTCTCCCGGCAACCACGTCGGTGCGGCCGCCACGGCCTCTCGCAACGCATGGAGCCAGACACGTTTCTCAGCGGCGCAGGAACACGCCAATTCAAACTCAGCCGTGCCACTGTATAGCCGTATTGACCATGGGAGTAGCCCTATCGAGCGCATCAGTCTTCTGTTCAATGAAGAATAGAATCTAAAGGGTACCGACCTCCGTCGTCAGCACCGTCGATCTCGAAGTTCGAGAGGTCGAACCAATGTCGCGGCTCGTAGCGCCTCGCGCTCTGTACCTTGGCCAGAACGAGATACCCGCCTGAGTATAGAAATGCCGCGCAATACTTCGCGCGCAAGCTTCCCGCCCCAAGATCTCGCAGAGCGCGGTGATGGACGACGTCAAGGGCGCCTGCGAGTTGGCACAATCCCAATCCGGAAACGAAGCTTGCGAGCTTTACGTGCGGTGCAGGCGCTAGTCGGGCGGCGATACGGGCGCTCTGGATGAATGCGGCATGCTCGCTGGCCGCCGCGTCAATCTGACTGGCGACATGATCCATTGCGAGTCGTGCGCTAGCGACCACCACATCCGGTCCCGTGAAGTCGATCAATGCTGCCGTTGGGGGCGTGCGCGGAGTACGGGCCACCGATTGAGCAACGGGAGGGTGAACGAGTAGTCCGCCAAGAAGAAGTGGATATCGCGTTACGCGCTGCATGGGCTTAACCAGGTAATCGACAAGCTTGAGACGGATGGCGCGAGTCGTATCCTTGTCCTGTTCCGAACTCCCTTCGTCTTCCTCATCTGGCGACTCGGACGGAGCCGTCTGTAACAGGGAGGCGCCGAACGAATGACGGCGAGTGGGGGGCGCATCGACCGAAGTACGAAAGGAGCTGGGTGCGGTGCTTTGCTTGACAGCGGCCTTGTTCAATGAAGTCGTACGCTTGCGGCGGCCACGCTCGAGTTGGATGAGTTCAGCACACCGCCGCTCGTAAGCCTCCCATGCGTCCTTGTTCTTGCGCGCGACTCTGGCAACGATCTCGTTCGCTTCGGGCTGCCCGGCGCAGAACGACTCGTACACCGAGAATAGAGAAGCCTGTCATACAGCTGTCAGCGCTAAAGATCGGCGAGGTCCAGAAATGGATGCGTACTTGAGTGGTGAAGAGGGTCATGACATCCACAATGGTCCTGTCAAGAACTGGTTCCCATTCATCCTGCCAAGGCGGCACGGCGTCCCAATCCCAATCACCGTCCGGCACTTCGTCGAGTGCGATGCGGAAACGTGGATCGGACACGACGCCGCGCAAGCGATCAAGAAAGGCGCCGTGGAACGCCAGAAGCTGCTTGCCGTTCCGCCGGACGACTTCTAGTTCGCTAGGGAGCAGAAGCGATGGCGGTGGGGCTTTCGCCGCCTTCTCCTTGCCAGTAGTCGCGCTGGATGCCGAGTTGTGGCGCCTGTGTGTGACACGCACATCCGGGGAGGTTTCTGCCTGCTTGAGCGCCGACGGCGGAACCGACGGGCCAGATACGCGGGGTAGAAAGTGTGCGGAGACCGACGGGGAGAGCTTTGGCGGGCTCTGTTGCAGCGTTGGCAGCTGTTCGAGATAGATCTAGATTACAAGACGGGCGCCGTCAGCGGACAAGTTGATGCAAATGCAATCAGAGTTGACACGAAGTCCGTGACTTGACTCGCACGTTCTCGCGCCCGGGGCGGTTTGAACCGCGCAGCAACGCGTCATTTCCTCCGCGAATGGTGACGCGGTTGCAATAATAGTATCGAGAGAGTGAACGCACATTGACAAGGATACGGAGGTCGAGCAGATAGTGCGCCTCGGTTTGCAGTAGCTCGAGCAAGGCGTAATATCGGCTTGCATTCGAGTTGACTTTACGCTTCTTCGGCAGCGGATCATCGCCGGAGCGGGCGCCTTTTGGAGGCGAATCCGAACGTGCGTCGGCATAGTCCTCGTCGTCGTCGTCGTCGTCCGAGTCGTCGTCGGCCTGCAGATGGAAGAGCGCCTGACGGGTGATGGTTTCCGGATCGGTATGTGCCGGGCGAGAGACGGGAGGGTGGTGGGAGGAAGAGTTGGACGGACTGGGCGAAGGCGAGGGATAAGCGAGCGATCTTCTGCGCGGGTCCGAGTTGGCACGCTTCACAGACACATCTCCTCCGAACGACGCAGATTGGATTCGATGAGAAGGGCGGCGCTGAGCGGGGCTGCTGTCATTATTATTTGTATATTTGTCCTCGTCCTTGGCCGCGGGTGGAAACGCCTTCCAGACGGGATGTTCTGGAGTGGGCAGCCAGGCAGGTTTCGGCGAGGTCGGAGGGCTGGTTATCGGGGAAAGTGAGCGGAAAGAGCCGAGGGTGAGGCCCGGTGCTCTTGTCGACGGCGGCCTGCGTGGCGAGGGCGCGCTGACGCTCAGCAAGGGCGGTGGCTCGGCGAGGAGGGACATTTAGTGCGCGCGCATCGTGACCGTTTGAGTTATATCCAACCGAGTCCCAACTCCGGTTTTGCGCCTAAGGGTGTGAGACAGGCCCGCGCTTGATTTCCCTCCTTGTCCGCAACCTTCTTATGCTTCCTTCACTTCACTCTTCCATTCGCACTTCCCTCTCTATCTATGTATTGACATACAGTTTCTGCATCTCGTTATCTCCCCATTGCAACCGTCTTCGCCGTGGACATCACCCTCCGGAGCCACCGGCATCGGGTGCGGCTCGTGGCCATTTTCCCGCGTCGGGCGTTCTTTTCATTGCAGAACGCCGTTCGGTAACCTCATGTCTCGCCTGCTGCGACTGCGTGAATGTTCGAGATCATCTCCCGCTCCATGTTCCTCTTTCAACGCTGAGCGTTTGGAGCGTCCTTGTACTCCCCATGGATCTGTCGTCGCTGCGGGTAACCGGGCAAGAGCGGGTAGACGTTGTGCATGACGCCACCGTAGACGCACAAGTTGACATCCGGCATCACAGGCTACGGGCCGTGATCAGCGATCAATTGCGCCGCCATGCCTTTCGTGGGCCACACGCGCCGGCGCCGGAGCGCTTGTTTAGCGCCTGTTCGTGTTTCCCGTCCCGTCTTGGTATCGGCCACATACGGAAAGTCCCATTCCTCGATAAAACCGAACGGAATGTCCTGCTTTCGACAAAACCAACGTTCGTCTGCGACTTTGGTTTAGTTCTTCAACGGGCCGCCGGGAGTGCCTGTTGTTTGAGCTAGTGGGCGTACGTACCTGTGTGATCAGACTCAGGGGTTCCGCGCTGCATCCCGTGCGGCTGAGGCACCATTTCCTCGGCGCGGGGTACGAGGGGCAAGTACACGGTCAACGCTTCGCGAAATTCCTTCGAAGTGGTGAACAAGCACTCGCAGATCCCACAGCAGTGTCGGGCTTGCTAACCTTGACAACCGAGTTCTGATCACACGTATGACGCTTTCCTAGTCTTTTCCATTCTCGGGTTTGTTCTCACAGCGACGATGCTCGCGTAAACGGATGCATGTTTCTCGCCCATACAAGGGCTGGCCTTCTATAGGGGCATCGCGTGGCCTACTCTATGGGCTGTGGAACCCTTCCGGTATTTCTGACCGAACGTCGCGAGAGACTGCGCCCAATTCGCGCCCGTCGCAGCTTGCGCCCGGCCTGTAAGTAATGCTGCGCGATGTTTGCCGTGTTCAGATTGTTCATGGCCCGCCACACGTACGCCGAACGTCGTAGCTGATGTATTAACATGTATAGCTTCCATGCCCAACCTGGCCGTCTGTGAGCATGCTTCCATGCTTCCACAATACTCATACGAGACATAATCTGGCTGTATGAGGACTGGCGATCGAGCCGTGCGCGCTAGCGAAGCAGAGACGCGAGTGCCTGTGAGCAGAGTAGTCATGCGAGAGGCACGCGATAGCGGCAGCAAGTGCTATGTTCGGGTGTACAGTTATGCGCAGTCCCACAGCTGAGGGATGAAATCATAGTGTTCCATATACCCTTCCCGCCTCGCAGTCAATGTTGAACGTCACTGGGCACGCGCTGGGGTTGCGGACGCAAGTCCGGAGTGAACACTATTGCGATGGCCCGATCGATACAGTACAGATGCTAGACCTGCCAAAGTGGACGATATATTGGGCATAATGTGACATCGTCTAGCTTGCATCACGTTATGCGTGCGTTCTATCGGCCTGATTAGCTCGCAATCGCCAAGCAGCGTGAAGGGCTGCCTACGTCACTGTTGGTCTAGATTACCGAGAAGAGAGGCTGACGTGAACGGGATGTCATGCGACGGTCGTACTGGGAGCACAGCGGACAATACGGTCAGTTGGTTGCTGACAGACTTGTACATATGATCAGGGATTATCCCGGTGTTTCATCGTATTGTGATGCGTAGACAGCTCAGGTGTTTGTGGCGCGCGTCAAGTCACTTGATCGCGTCCGCATATGCGTACGTTGTAGGTTAAGCTGTGACATGTCCCGACCGTATCCAAGCTTCATCAAGATCCACGCATATTTGACAGATTCAGATTCTCAATCGCGTCGTGCCCGCGAATTTAGCGGAGCCTTAAGCTTGACATATGTCAATAAGTATAGTAGCGCGGGTTCTTGACACTCTTGTCGCCGTGGCATTGCAGAAAGGCGTTGCAACCAAAAGGGATGCATAAACAGGGAGAGCATATTTGACGGCCCGATCATAGCAAGATAGTAGCCGGTAGAAGTCCGATAGCCACTTCCAGCAGGTACGACTGGTGGTGGTTGAACGTTGAAGTTCAACCCCACCACACGCGTCTGGGGAAATCCGCGTGCAGTCGCCGTCTTTCGTGTTACTCATTACGCAGTATAGGTCCGTATGGTATCGGAGTGCCATCTGTGGGCGGTCCGTGATTGGCTGTGCTGACTCATGACTGTGCCGTGATGAGCTGTGTTGTCTCGGCATGCAGGGATCACTGACCACGGTCTCGACGGTCAGATGGAGGTCCGGCGCTATGTGCGAGAGTTGCTTCAGGACTCCCATCTTCTGCCTCGGCCAATACTCTTCATAGGCTCTTGCCGGGTCCTCCGCCAGTGTCTGGTACTGCGTGTCTTCAAACGTCCTATAACGCCCTTCGTCCCCTTGCCAGTTGAATTACGATATTATTGAGATATGGGTCTCTTCAGGAGAAAGCAGGCAGCACCCTCCGCCAGTTCCGACGTTGGCGAGAAGCCCCCTACAAGATGTAAAGCACACTCATAGTCATATTATATATCCGATTTCTCATGTTCATCGCAGTTCAAAAGGATGTGGCCAACCTCAAGCAACAACGGTTGAAGTCTAAGGAGCTCATCCTGAATCCTACCACGACCATTATAACGCTATTCGTTATCGGGTTACTCTTCGCGCCCATAGGCGCTGTATACGTGTGGGGAAGTGGACTCGTACGTTCCGCCTTTCTTCTCACCGATTTGGCGCTGACATAGGCTCGGCCACACGCGTAGGTGACGGAAATCACAATCGACTATACCGATTGCGACCAGCTTTCCGCCGCGTCCGACCAGACAAGCGCCGCCTCGCAGCTAACGACCGTCCCAAATTACAAGTACCGCCTGCGAACAGGCTCCTCTTCCGCGTCGTACTCGGCACCACAGTACGCGCTCATCAACAACCCGTCAGGTTCCGTCGGACAGACATCGCAATGTCTCCTTCGCTTCGACATCCCCTACGACTTGGATGCCTCCGTCTTCTTGTACTACCAGATCTCCAACTTCCTGCAGAACCACCGGCGCTACGTCCAAAGTCGGGATAACGATCAGCTGCTGGGAAAGCACCGCACTCGCAGTAATCTCGACGGTTCACAGTGCGATGCGCTGTATCAGGCAAACAACAAGGTCATCTACCCGTGTGGATTAATCGCAAATTCGCAGTTCAATGGTGCGCGAGCTCAAGTAGTAACCCCTATCCGGCCACTGACACCGTCCCAGACTCATATGGGCTTACTCTCGCTTCCGCGTCCGGAGGCTCGGCGTACACTCTGACGGACAAGGGGATCTCGTGGCCCAAGGAGAGCAACAAATACGTAGCGCAGCCGAACTACAACGTCGACGAGATCACTCCGCCTCCCAACTGGGCCTTGCGCTATCCGAACGGATATGCGAACGCCAGCGATATCCCCAACCTTGCCGCCGACGAGCACTTCCAGGTCTGGATGCGCAACTCGGGGACACCAACGTTCTCGAAGCTGTACGCCCGCAACGATGATGACACTCTTCGCGCCGGGACGTACGATCTTATCATCAACTTGAGTACGTTTGCCGTTCGCAAGTAACGTTGATTGTACAGCTAACGAACTTGACGCTCAGATTATCCTGTTCGCGAGTGGAGCGGCAAGAAGAGCATCGTGCTTACGACCGTGGCATGGATAGGCGGGAAGAACGCCTTCCTAGGATGGTCTTACGTCGCGGCGTCGGCGTTCATCGTCTTGTTGGCATGCATTGCTGCTATCCGTAACTTCATTCGCCCGTTGCGGCCCATGACCTCACCTCGCGATATTGCGATGTTGGAACATCACCAGATGTAGTTTGGGACTTGTACTATGCTCGCGCATGTGTAATATCAGATCGATTTTTATTCTATTTACAGCTAGTGTCAACTCGCTCACGCGGTCACTGTCAAGTTTGCCGAGGCGATGACCTCGTCACTTGTGCCAACCTGCAGCAACGTCAGCTCACTGTATACGGGATGTCTTATATATCTCCTACCTTGATCACGAAGACGCCAGGCTCGACAACGTATTTGTTGGTCAGCGACCAAAGCTCGAGAGAGGTGGGCAGGATCTCGATGGAGACTGTCTCGGAAGAGCCCGCACTACGGCAGTATAAGCATCTACTTCTCGCGTCTAGAGCTGTAGGGTACGTACGGGATGAACACTTTTTGGAAGCCGACCAACTGTTGGTTAGGGGTGACCACGCTAGATACAACGTCGGTAGCATACACCTACCAACTCAATGAGCGTCTGCAATCTTGGGTATTCTGGAGAAGACGCACCTGCACGACTTCGGCGCCGTCCAGAGGGCCAGAGTTCGTCACCGTCACCGTCACCGTCACGTTGAACGACTCTGCTGGTGAGATGGACGAAGGCGTGAGGGTGATATCAGAGCTGCACCATGGTCAGCTTGGCCTAGTAGAAGGATACACGAGAGGGCGCATACTAGTTGAACTCGGAGTAGCTCAAGCCATGCCCGAAGCTCCATACTGGAACCGGGGTGTCGAGAACGTACTGATGACCAAAGACCAGTGTGCCGTTGTCACCAATAGATCCTGGGTCCAGGGGACGGCTTCCTTTGAGATAGTTGTAGAAGACGGGCGTTGTTCCCACGCTGTGAGGGGACGAGACTGGCAATCTTCCAGATGGGTTGACAGCGCCCATGATGACCTCCGCGAGAGCAAGACCTCCCAGTTCTCCGGGGTAGAACTGCTGGATGACCGCATCCGCATTGGCCTGGATCCACGGTACCGAAAGCGGCTTGCCTGATACGAGGACGACGACAGTAGGAACACCGGTAGCTTGAATGGCTTTGACGAGGTCGAGTTGTGCGCCGATAAGGTCAAGACTCGATAAATCTACGTGTTCTCCTGTAGAAGCATTTGTACCCGGAGTCCAAAGCAGTGTCTGGTCGAGAGACCAAGTGCCGACGGCGACGATGGCCACTTCAGAGTTCTGAGCAGCGTCTACGGCCTCGTCGAACCCAGATTGATCGTTGGACCATAGCTCGCACCCCTGTGCGTAGTTGATTGTCACAGAGCTATTGTCTAGAAGCTGTTGGAAGCCCTCGAGCGGGGAGATGCCGTTGTTCGAGGCGTTGAAGAAGACGTAGTCGCCAAACTAGTATAATGGTCAGATGACATGAAGCTTACACTACGAGATCAAAGTGTGCGCACTGAGACACGGCCCATCTGAGGGCCGATGAGGGCGATGGACTTGGTGTCGTTCGACAAAGGGAGAACACCATGGTTCTCCAGCAGAACAATGCTCTCCTGCTCCATCTGGTGCAGAAGTTCGCGAGTAGAGTCTGAGCGCAGCATCTCATTGTAGTCCGCGTAGGGGTAAGGGTCTGCCCGAGTCGCGCGTTTAGTCATGTACGATGCTGAAGCGTTCAGGTGCACTACCTTCAAATAGACCCATCTTGAACTTGATACGCAGCATAGTCTTCACGGTCTCGTCGAGGACATCCTCGCTGACCGTGCCAGCCGAGATTTGATCTGTGCATGTTGTCAGCGTGGGAAGTTTCAGTGACATTGGCGGAATTCAAACGTACCGGGTAGTGTCAGGAACGTATAACTGCCACCTCCCATCTCTCCGGAGATGCCTTCGATGCCTGCCTTCGCGGCGCACTCTCTCGTCTCGCAAGTGCCGTGAGTAGTCAAGAGCAGATCCAGCGAACCGGCGTCGCAGGTGACGAAGTTCTCATAATTCCATTCTTCACGAAGCTAGTGTTCCGTCAGTGAAGGCAGACGTGTACAAATGAATACGTACAATTTCGTTTAGAAGGTCTGGTAGATGTATGAGACTTGCAATCGCAGGCATAGAGCAAAGGAATACGCACGGGTGTTGGCTGTGGCAGGAATACCATCGTATGATGAGTACGCGGTCATCATCGACAGAGCCTCAATGCAAGCGCGGTTAAAAGGTTTCAGATACGTGGAGCGCATCTCGCGCTCTCCGCCAGACACCTGTGCGATGTTGCTGTGGCGAGTCAACGATCTGTAACAGTGTCCATGATGAGCAGACTCACAGACCACCCTGTGGTGAACCGAACATCGCAAAATGCTTGCAAGTAGCCGCCATACGAGCAGTAGCTGTGTCGCTGGCGTTGCGCCTCTTCCCGTTCTGCAGGCCAGATACAAAGGCGTAACCCATCTCGCCAGTGAGGTACGGATCTTCGCCGAAGTTCTCCTCGACACGACCTAAGCAAGTCAGAACGCGCGTACTTCCGACCAGTCTGGTCACACGTACCCCAACGGAGCTCGCGCGATAAGTCTAAGACTGGGGCGAAGGCCTGGTGGAAGCCCAACGCCTCTGCCTCATCTGAGATAGTAGCAGCCGCTTTCTCAAGAAGATCAGCGTTGAAAGACGCAGCAAGGCCGATGGGAGAAGGCCAAATGGTTCTGCGCAGTGAATCAGCCGGTGATAGCTCTGAAATATAAGCAGGGTGACTGACCCGTTGTTGGTGAAACCGTGCAGTCCTAGACAATACTAGTCAGCACCATATCAAGTACAGCGCCATGGTTACTCGCCTTCTGTCTGAAAGATCGCCGGGATGCCCAGTGTGGTATTTTCAACGAGGTAACGCTGCATAGCCGTGAGCACACCGTACTCCATAGCAGGATAGAAATGCGTACCTGGCCAATCTCTTGCGCGTATACCCACTTCTCCCAAGGCATCAGGTATCCTCCCCATATAGCACCGGCCTTCCAAGCCATCATCGCTTCCTAGATATTCCGGTCAGTGAGGCTGTTAGGCGTAACGACTGACAAACAACGTACCAGGCCTGTCTGATTGAACGCAAGAGTGTCGTCGAGAGGATCGGATACGTCCATCCATCCGTTGATATCTCCTTGTATCCTGTTCTACATGAGCACACAGCGAAATGTTCGAAACTAACATTCACGGACAGCTGAGCAACCTTCTCCTGGACGGTCATGCGCGGAAGAAGATCGTTGACACGGTCCTCGATAGAGGCGCTAGGGTCCTTGTAAACCGGTGCAGACCCATCTTTGTTTGTAGCGCGCGCATGAAGCGGAAAGTGTAAGTCATCGCGAGTCTCCCACAGGTGCTCGGACGCGTAAACCCGGGCGACCACCGCGGTGAGAGAGAAGACGAGGACGCGCATCCTGAGCACACGACCCGGCGGGACACTGTTCAAGCGCGAGGCCGTCCGCTCTTATAGAGCATTGGAGTCGAGGTACGAGCCGACCGGGGCATCGTCGCCTAGAAATACGACCAGCAGCTGACCGTCCGCCTTCTGGCCGTCTTGAACGACGGCAGACGACGGCCCGCCGCAAAGCTCGGTTATAGCCCGAAGATTCGCCAGGGCGCGCGGACCGCGTGTTGTGAACATCAGTCAATCATAGTGATGGCTTCCGGAGAACATGGAATTGTGCTATGTGGAAGACGACCAGACTGCAGTCGGTAAGTGCTCATATGACCGACGAGGATATCGGTGGCAGTAGCGTTCAACGCGAGCCATTCGGCCAATTATTCGGCATCTCGGTGGATCGGAAGCTGCCATCCCGGTCATTGAGTCTGATGAAAAGTGTGTGCCAGCGAGAATACATATATTGGTTGCTTTGGATGGTGATGGTAGGAGGCGAGGATGGACGCTCCTGACGTCGAGGTCGAGGCGCTCGGGCCGACAGCTCCGAGTGGCTGCCACACGCACGTTCGTCCCTCTGAGGAAAGCCTCCACGGCGGGAGCGCTTCGCGCGCGAACAATCCGCTCTTCTCACAACTGCCATGTCTACCCAACCTCTGCTCCAACGTACGGCCCAGAAGCGCATCGCGCTGCCCGTTCGGGTAGAGCCCAAGGTTTCGTTCGCCAACGAGCGTACCTTCCTATCATGGTTGCACTTCACAATCCTTCTTGGCGGCCTCTCCGTTGGCTTGCTCAATTTCGGGGACAAGGTATGCGCTATAGACACGGCGCACCGAAAATTGCATTCTCACTCCCTTCCAGATTGGCAAAATCAGTGCAGCCATGTTCTCTATCGTCGGTGCGTTCTGAGTCGACCGCAGGAACGAGTAGAAGCTCATGCCTGCCTTAGCTATCGCCATCATGCTTTACGCTCTGTACACCTACCATTGGCGTGCAAACTCCATCCGCAAGGGTGGCAAGGGCCCTTATGATGATCGCGTTGGTCCTGTGCGTTACTGCCTCTTCTTCTCCCAAAGCCATCACTCACGGGTCCATGTTCCATTAGACTGTTCTGTGTGGCGCCTTGCTCGGTGAGTGCAACCTCGTGTTGCTTGCCTGCAGCTACTGACATTTCCCACAGTATCTGTCATCGTCAACTTTGTTCTGCGCTTCACGGCCTCGGGCTGAACAATGTACTATCATCACCTATCCTCACGCTACGCATCTCTATACATGCCCATGATTCACACATTTTACCAGACGAGCAACGGAGTCTGTCTGTATCGTTGTGGCTAGCTCAAATAGCGATTGGCCTTCGTTGTCCCATCAATTGTTGGGTTCGGTTGAGTGGGGCGGTGGGCGTCAAACTCATTCAATGACGCCCTTACTTCATTTGGTTAACCTTCTCAGCGTGACATCCCGGGCGTGCATCGCCTGGGCCTGCGGACATACATAAAGAAAGACGCTGTTTGGCCGTGGTCGCTCACCCCACGTTTCTCCCACCATGTTGTCGCGTTGCTCGCTGACCGTCCTCGCTTCTCTCTCGCTCTCAGCGGTATGCCGTGCCGCCGTGGTCTTCACCCAGAAGGAGCCTTCGTTAGCGTCACTCGCACCGGGAAAGAAGTGGGAGGGCGATGGCTGGTCATACACGGACTGCAGTGCGTCGCCTGAGTTTCGATAGCCTCATCGCGCACTGACGCTAGCCTCGAGGCATGGAGACCGACGTTGTGCAGGTCAGCTACGCGTCCGTCAGCCCAGAGCCTCCCAAAGCCGGTCAGAATCATACTATCACCGTTCGCGGTACGGTGCTCGGGACTATCGAGGCGCGTAGCATCTCTCATGGCGTGCCATGCATGAGCTGACGTGTGCACAGGAAGGGGCGTATGTCGACGTCGTGGTGAAATTGGGTCTGATCAAGGTCTATCAGCACGAGTTCGACCTTTGCGATGAGGCGTGCGCGTCGCCCTCAGTCTGTCCCGTTCAAATACTGACACGACAACAGTCGCAACGCCGAAACGGAGGTCCAATGTCCGGTCAAGCAGGGTATGTAATGCTTGTTTGAGTGACAGCATGTCACTGACAATAACCGATGCTCTCAGGCGAGTACGAGATTGTTCAGCAAGTTACACTGCCCTCGCAGATCCCTCCTGGTACGCACACCACCTATTGTAGTACATTCCGAGGCTAATGCTAGCCTCTCGCGATCAGCCAAAATCACAGTGAACGTCCGTGGTTTCACTGCGGACGAGGAAGATATGATGTGCGGCGACCTCATGGTCAACTTCTCGCCTCGCCGCGGTTCGCCATGATGTTCGCCGACAAGAGACAGCTTTCACGTTTTCACATTCCCCTTCACTCTGGCTATCCGTCTCATAACAAGTGTGTGCTAGGTTTCGAGATCATACATAATCACATCATGCGGACGAGCGACTTGTCATTCCCTGCCATAACGTTACTGAGCGACCTCTTGCTCCACATATCTGCCGTATGGATAGTGACGGAGCATCCATTGATATTCCTGCATGAACCAGCGACCACGGTCTTTTGTCCTTACCCGGCCTGCCGCCTCCGCCCTTCACGTATGCAGTATATACATTCAGCGGCGCTGAGTGGATCACGTCGGCTTTAACGCCATCACTGCATTTGCTGTATGGGTGAAGCTAACGATAGCTCCTTCGGGCAGAATACACAGCCTTATATCCGACACTCGGTTCATGAACCGCGTATGCAGAGCTCTATAAAATATGCTCAAGCGTGTCTCTTCAACAACAATAGCAAGCAGGTCTCGTTTCTCCTCTAAACCGCCCCTCAAAACTTCCAATGTCTACCTCGACTTCGACCGATGTGCTCATCGTAAGCCCACGCTCTCTGTCTCTTTTGCCCTTGTTGATTACTTCAGGTTGGCGCTGGACCTGTTGGTCTTGTCTCTGCCATAGTGCTCACCAAGAATGGGCTCTCCGTCCGAATCGTCGACAAGGAGAGCAAGTACGCCATAGGTATGCGTGGAGCAGGCATACATCCGCGCACGCTTGAGAGCTACCACATTCTGGGTATTGTCAGAGATATCCAGGCCGCGGGCTCCGAGTTCCATCCTGTCCTCGAGCACGACCACGAAGGCAAGCCCGGAAAGACCTTCCACATGGTGCCGAAGGGCGAGCCAACCCCGGACACTCCTTACGTACGTCTTCACTTCATGCTGGTAGGCGAGTGTGTCGGTTGACGTGGGGTACAGGCAAGCACCTTGTGCGTTCCGCAGGACGCCCATAGCGCAGCTCTTCGTAGCGTACTCCAAGGTCTAGGCGTCAAAATCGAGCTCGGCAAGGAACTCGTCCGTCTGGAGCAAAACGACGCTGGGGTTACGGCCACGCTCAACGTGTCCGGGGAGGAAGAAGTCGTCAATGCAAAGTATCTTCTCGGAACTGATGGCGCGAAGGGTGAGTATTTCCAATTATACGAAGCGCGAGGGTATAATCTGACCGCGCCGCGCCAGGCGTCACTCGCAAGCTCGCGGGCATAAACTTCTTAGGAGAGTCCAAACAGGATATCGGGATGCTCATTGGAGATGTCGAGATGTCTGGTCCCGACCGGAAAGTATGGCATAAGTTCCAGGACGCTCGTGGCAATTGGTGTGTTTTGCGTGTATGCACGGGTTTCCTGGATGCCGCTGATCATCCTGCGGCCGATAGGTTGATGGCGTACCCGCGCCACGACAGCGAGACTGTGTTTTTCGTTGCTTCATTCGGACCGGACCTTGACATCTCTCGCACCGCGAGCGACCACAACCTTCTCAAAGAATGGGTGCACTCGTTGAGCAAGGATTCTAGCATCGAAGTTGGAAAGACCGTCGCTCTGGGAGAGTGGAGGTTAGTCCCGGATAATGGAGACAACTGCGCATATCGCTAACGCTTTGCAGGCTCAATGTGCGTATGGCAGACGATTTCCGAGCCGGACGCGTTCTCCTCGCGGGAGATGCTGCGCACGTACACGCGCCTACGGCCGCCCAAGGTCTCAATAGTGGAGTCATGGACGCGGTTCGTCTATACCTTTGATCCCTATTGGTGTCATGACCCTCATCATTCCACTTTCCTCAGATGAACCTGTGCTGGAAGCTCGCGCTTGTGTGCTCAACTCGTGCACCCCAGAAGATCCTGGACTCATACATGCTCGAACGTGGTCCCACCATCGCGGACATGCTCGCCTTCACTTCGAAGCTCGCCGCAGCGCAGTTCAACAAGGCCGGCGCAAAGGATGAGTCGTTTCGGCGCCCGCCATCCGTTCAACAGCTTGGCGTGCACTGCAGATGGAGTTCGCTCGTTCTTGACGAAGTGCATGGCCCTTGGGATGAAACGGGGCGTGATGGCGCGTATGACGGTGACTCTAGCAAGACACGGGAGCTGCATGCCGGCGACCGAGCGCCGGACGCCCCCGGACTTGTACGCCTCGGTAGCGACGGCATCTCGACTCGACTCTTCGATATCTTCTCGGCGGTGCGACACACGATACTCGTCTTCGACGAGAGCCTCGCGCGCACGATTCACGCCCGCGAAGATGCTAGGACGATTGTGATCTTACCTCGCGGCAAAGATCTTGCCGAGGCTAGCAACTCCGATGGGCTGGAGGTCTACCAGGACGTAGAGGGTTATGCGCATGCCGTATATGGGCCCATGCCGAAGGTCGTCGCAGTTCGCCCCGATGGCGTCGTTGGCGGTATCGTCAAAGGGCTCAGTGGACTCACAGACTACTTCGCTCGACTATATGCGGCTTAGAGATCAGACCGAAACGCCCAGGAGCGGTACATTACGACGTATTTGTATAACGTGTGTCCCTTGAGAATGCGTATGGCAATTGTTACGAGTATATCCATCGTAGTAGGGCGCTTGTTATAACTATGCGAGTCTAGTTGCGCGCAAGATGTTGAGTTCGTCTCCCGAGCCTTGCGCCCATGCAGCCACAATCAGTTCACCTACAGATCTCAGTCAGCCCCGCGTCTGCTTGCTTCGTGGGCGCCTCGCCCAACGACTAACCCGACTGGGTGTGGGAGGGATGAACTCGCTAGACATTGAACGGAGACCTACACACAAATCCCGGCCCGGCCCTCGTTACGACGCAAGGGTTACGCGGACATTCGTGCAGTCACTTTTGAACGCTCCCTTCCTGGCCTTCTGTACTTGCCAGGGTCCGTTTGGCGGCAGGAACGAGCGACTGCGGCGACTCCGTGGGTGACACGTCGTGAGATGCACATGCATATACAAGGCAGGATGCAGCCCTCTGGGGTCTGAAACTCTGGCGCGTCAATCATGTCTCAGACGGTCATCTACCCACCGCTCGCTTTGAGCGAAAGCTACGAATCGCCACAGAGAGGGTTTTGCTAGATCACGCCCATCTCTGTACTCGAATACAGGGTTCCTCCCTTGCTTCAATACCAAGACCGTACTCAACGTCAACGCTGTTTGCCGTCGGGTGATCCCCACCTTCCGACGTGACGCGTGTGCTGTGCCGTGTCCGCCAATCGAAACTCAAACTACGGGACCGTAGTCTGACTCCTAGACGGAGTGTTGTCCGTTCGGCGATCAATAGAAGTCCAAGCCGACATACATAAGGACTACAGAAAGGTCTTCACTCGCCAGCTCACTGCGCATACCAGAGTCGTCGGCGCTACCGGCGATCCCGTTCTCCTCTGACCGCTATAGCGTGTGGCCTCCGGCCTGTCGGTATCGTTTCGCCCCTGTGCTAGTCTCGGCGCGTCAGTGCAGTTTGGTTTACAGATCAGTGATGACACTTACTGAAGTTGTATGTTCAGAATGGCTACCCCGACGCTCAAGGGGACTGAAGCTATGGATACCGAGAAGAACGGGTCTGTCGACGGTCTGCCGATGGATAACACCCCTAGCTCGCCTACGTATGTGATTTTGGACAGATTGTTGTATCATAGCTAATAGATGCTTTGAATAGACGCTCGAGAGGCTTATTTACCCGCCGAGTCCCTCCACCTCCGTCGCAGAATCTAGACGACGCGTCGCTCTCTCCCGAGGCTACGGCTGGTTTTCTGGGCCGTCTGTCCTTCACTTGGATCTGGCCCTTGCTGACTCTCGGGTACGCGCGCCCTCTCGAAGCTGGTGACCTCTGGAAATTACAGGACGATCGATCAGCTGCAGTCGTCGGTGCCAAGATCGAGGAATCCTTCAATACACGCGTCAAGTTGGCAGATCAATACAACGCCGCTCTCGCATCCGGGGATATTTCGCCGTCGCGTCTCCAGCGCGCATGGTGGGGCGCATTCGGCAACCGAGAAAAACGCGAAGCGCACTGGCGTGAGACGAGCAAACAGTCTCCCAGCTTGGCCTTAGCATTGAGTGACGCTGTGTCCTGGTGGTTCTGGAGTGCTGGCATCCTCAAGCTTATGGCCGATCTTGCTCAGAACTTCTCGCCTTTGGTCGTGAGGGTATGTACAGCGTGGCATGGTCCTCTCCGATAGCTTACCGAGTCTTGCAGACTATCATCACATTCGCTACAGATTCATACGTTGCGCATGCGTTCGGAACTTCTGTTCCGGGTGTGGGGAAAGGGGTTGGGTTTGCGCTCCTTCTTATCGCTCTGCAGATAATCATGACACTGTGCTCCAATCACTTCATGTACCGTGCGGCGTCAACCGGTGTCCTGCTCCGCGGCGGGCTCATCAGCGCGATATACAACCGCTCGCTACGATTCACGACACGCTCTCGCAGTAAACTTCCGACTGGAAAGCTTACGAACCTGATCTCCACCGACGTCTCGCGCATTGACACAGTCTGTATGTCTATTCGATACCCCGAAGCATGACCCGTCGCTGATGCAGCGCAGGCTTGTATTTCCACATGAGCTGGGCCGCGATCGTTCAACTAGCTATCGTGCGTATCTCCATTCGACAGTGTTACCCTGCATCTTATTGGCGTTACAGTGCATTGGCTTGTTGGTGCACAACTTGGGGCCGAGCGCTCTCGCCGGTCTGGGGTTCTTCATTTTCGCTAGTTTGCCTCAGGGCATCGTCGTCCAGCAGCTGCTATCCACGCGCCGGAAGGTCGTTGTCTGGACGGATAAGAGAGCTCGCTTGCTGCAAGAGCTCTTCAGTGGCATCAAGCTAGTCAAGCTCTTTGCCTGGGAGGGGTCATTTCTCGGACGAGTGCAAGACATCCGTAGCCACGAGATGGGGTACGTTAACCTAGTTCGCAGACCTGCCTATTTAATGACACCATCTATAGGTACATCCGCTCATTGGTCATCATCCGCTCCTCTCTGTTGGCGATGGTGTTCTCGCTGCCTACGTTAGCTTCGATCATCTCGTTCATAACCTACTCTGCCTCTGGACACGAGCTTAACGCTGCGGTCATTTTTTCGTCTCTGACACTATTTCAGCTGCTCCAGACCCCTCTAATCTTTCTTCGTGAGTACCTCTTCTTGTCAAGCGGAAACTCTCTCAACCTCGAATCAGCGATCGCCATGAGCACCATTGTCGATGCTAGCAATGCCCTCGAACGTATAAGTCAGGTGTTTACCGCCGAGTTGATCAACGAGAGTCTCAACATCGACCCATCTCTCTCGGACGCCATCCGTGTGGACAAGGCTTCTTTCACTTGGGATGCCGCCACCCCGTCCTCCACCGACTCGCACGCTACTGACGAGAAGGAGAAGGTCGCGAAGGAAAGCGAAACGAAGGGCACGAGGAAGAAGGGCAAAAAGGGCAAGAAGGACGAGTCGGACAGCACTGAGCCTGAACCTCCCGTTGAGGCGTCAAACGACGAAGTCATCTTCAATCTCGACGACATTGACTTTACCGTCGCGCGTGGAAAGCTCGTGGCTGTCGTCGGCGCTGTGGGGTCAGGGAAGTCTTCGCTCTTACAAGCGCTCATCGGTGAGATGCGGCGTACGGCTGGGTCAGTCACGTTCGGTGGAAGCATCGCCTATTGCTCTCAGGTGCCTTGGATTCAGGTGCGCTACTCTTACTTATAACCTCCTCAAACTTCTATTGACATATTGCGACTCAGAACGCCACCATTCGCGACAATATCTGCTTTGGCCGCCCATTCGTCGCGGATCGTTACTGGAAGGCGGTCAAGGACTCCTGCCTGGAGAGTGATCTGGATGTTCTTCCCAGCGGCGATAGGACAGAGGTCGGCGAGAAGGTAGAGTTGTATGACTCTACCCGCGTTATACGGTCACTCATACAGCGCACAGGGCATTCAACTGTCCGGTGGACAGAAGCAGCGTATCAACATCTGTCGAGCGATCTACTCCGACGCAGACATCATGATCTTTGATGACCCTCTCTCCGCTTTGGACGCCCACGTCGGCGAGACCGTGTTCAACCGGGTCCTGGCGGATGCCAGCTCCGGCAAGACGCGCCTGCTCGTAACACACGCACTTCACTTCTTGCGTCGCGCGGACTACGTCTATGCGATCGTGGACGGCCATATAGCGGAGCGGGGTACATACAGCGAACTGATGGACGCTCGTGGAACCTTCGCAAGGCATATCGACGAGTTCGTTTCGGACGCTCAGCAGACGGAGGCGGAAAAAGCGGACGGCGTAGAAACCACTCCTGCCGAGGCCGCCGCGAAAGCCAAGCGCGAAGCTGCTGTCAAGGGAGACGCCGTGATGCAAGAAGAAGAGCGTGAAACCGGTGCGGTTAGCTGGAGAGTCTATCGCGAGTACATCATGGCTGGCTACGGTTGGGCGTCGGTCCCGTTCGTCATGGCTTTCTTAGTCCTTGAACAAGGTGCCATCGTCGTGACTTCTTACTGGCTTGTATGGTGGCAGGACCAGGCGTTTCAGAAGCCCAATGGTTTCTATGTGTGTGGATCTAGGCTTGGGTCTCAAATGAGCAATCACTGATGTTATGCATCACAGATGGGCATTTACGCCGCGCTGGGCGTCACGCAAGCGCTGTGCGCGTTTATGGTTGGCGTCGCATTTGCTGTGATATCCTATGTCGCCTCGAAGCAACTTCATAATGCGGCGATGCAGCGTGCTATACATGCGCCTCTGTCATGGTTCGAATCGACTCCGCTCGGGTAAGCACTACGATACACTATCTACGGTGCATTGACACTAATTGAACTGGATAGACGCATCCTGAACCGCTTCTCTAAAGACATAGACACCATGGATAATGGTCTTGTTGACGCCGTAAGTTACCTATTTAGGGTTCTATGCAGTGCTCACCATTGGCGTAGTTGCGAACCTTCTTCACTGGTCTTATGGGTATCGTGGGGTCTGTCGTCATCATCAGCATATCTCTACCGTGGTTCCTTATCGCTGTCGCTGTCATCGTCGTCCTGTATGTCTTTGTCACGATATTCTATCGAGCGAGCGCTCGCGAAGTGAAGGTGCGCCCATTGTATACTCCTAGTCCACATATACTCACCATTGTTTCTCAGCGTCTTGAAGCCGTCCTGCGCTCGTCCGTCTACGCCCACTTCTCAGAGTCCATCTCTGGTATTGGCACCATCCGCGCATACGGCGAGGAGAACCGGTTTTGTGCCGAGAACAGCAAGAGAATGGACGTCGAGAATCGGGCCTACTGGATGACCGTGACGAACCAGCGCTGGCTCGCGCTCTGGCTTGATTGCATGGGTGTCGTGCTCACGACTGTCGTCGTCTTCCTCATCATCGGCACTCGCTTTACCATTTCACCCGCGCGCACGGGGCTGGTGCTCTCTTATGTCGTCAGCTTGCAGGCGACGCTCGCTTATCTTATCACGCTATTGTCGGAGGTTGAGAACAACATGAACTCGGTTGAGCGTGTCGTTCACTACGCGCGCAACATCGAGCAGGAACCCGCGCATGAGCTTCCAGAGCGCACACCCGCTGCACCGTGGCCCTCTGTTGGTGCGCTGGAGATCAAGGATATCGTGTTCAAGTACCGACCGGAGTTGCCTGCTGTGCTGAAGGGCATTAGCTTGTCCGTACATCCCGGGGAAAAGATCGGGTTTGTTGGTCGGACTGGCGCCGGGAAGACTAGCTTGCTGAGTGCGTTCTTGTGCTCTCCCGCTATATATTCCTTTGTCTGACACGACTTCCAGCCACGCTCTTCCGCCTCGTCGAGCTGACATCGGGCTCCATCACCATCGATGGCGTGGATATTTCGACACTTGGGCTCAGTGATCTTCGCAAGAACATCGCGATCATTCCGCAAGAGTCCACTCTCTGTGAGCCCGTCATCACGTGTCTTATAAAGTCGAGATACTTACCCCGCTTAGTCCAAGGTACTCTGCGAACCAACTTAGACCCATTCGACAACCATGACGACGCTCGCCTCTGGGATGCATTGCGTCGCTCGTATCTTGTCGACTCCGTCCTCACTACTACAGAGGATAATGCAAAGAAGGAGACGGTACTCGACGCTGAGAAGGGTGACGAATCCCAGGCAGAGGACGCGAAGGTCGCGGGAAGCGTCAAGACCCCAGCGCGTTTCACTCTCGACAGTACCATCGATGACGAGGGCGCGAACATCTCAATCGGTCAGCGCTCGTTGGTTTCTCTTGCTCGCGCTCTTGTCAAGGAAAGCAAGGTACTCGTGCTCGACGAGGCGACCGCCAGCGTCGATTACGAGACAGACCGCAAGATCCAGGAGACGATTGCCCGCGAGTTCAATGATAGGACTATCCTCTGCATTGCGCGTACGTGATGATTGCCTCTGTGAACAAGGCCGAGGACTCACAGTGTATACAGATCGCTTGCGCACTATCATCGCCTACGACCGTATCTGCGTCCTCGAGCAGGGCGAAATAGCTGAGCTCGACACGCCTGCTAACCTCTTCGCTGTAGGTGGCATATTCCGCGGGATGTGCGACCGCTCTGGTATTACTCTCGAGGACATACATCGCGCGGTGGCTCATAGACGGTCCTTGGAACCCGGAGCTGCTCCGTGATTGTTCGGATACTGTCGACCTCATGCATAGACCACCCCTCACATACACTCATGGTTACGATGCGCCACTCGCGTCATTTGCTATACCCTGCTTTGCACTCACGACTGCTATCACCTTTGCATCCCCCCTCACCTCCTTATGCATGAACGGTTGGGTTACTACCTTTCCAATGCGAGAACCTAGATGTAGCATAACCCCCCCCCCTCAGTCCCGATGCATATCGTTTACATAATCGCTTTCCACTGCTCTTCGCGGAATATCATATCATGTCATAATCGCCTAGTGTGGTTGAAGCGGGCATCGCTGCGCTGTGCTGTAGGTCGTGGAAACACTTCTATATCGAGACTTGATGTTCAAGCCGATCGACGACGAGACCCTCGAATATCCGAGCCATACCGATGAGCAAGCGCGTTCAACGGCGCATCGCGGATGATGGATTGACACCGCGCGTATATGTGCCCTTCTTACGACTCCGACGGTTGAGATCTGAGAGAGGAAGAGAGAAGCCGATGCGCGATCCGGGCCGAGACGATTGCGAGACGACGCCCATATGCGCCCACAAGCGCGCATGCGGCTCCGTTTCGCGGTTTTCGCGCCGCGGCGCGTCTGTAAAGCTCGACCATTGGCACCATCAACAGAACTCCTCTTCCCTCACATTCGTTTCTGTGCAACTAGGACGCACATATTAAAGATGGCCAAAGACAAGTCGGACAAGAAAAAGAAGGAGGAGGTCGCGCAGGACGTTGAGATGGAGGAGGTAATTGCGGTCACGGTGCGCCTTGCAACTACATTTGTGTATCTCGAGACTAACACTTTGTATAGCCCAAAAAGTCCAAGAAGGAGAAGAAGGAGGACGAGGAGGAGATTGTGGTACCATTATCTGAGCTTTCACCTATCGCACACCCACTTGCACAAAAGAAGCTGGCGAAGAAGCTTCACAAAACTATCAAAAAGGGTACGCATACTGGTCTGAAACTGTTTACAGTATGGACTCACTGTGCCTGTAGCTTCAAAGCAACGGCAGGTGAAGCGAGGCGTGAAGGAGGTAGCAAAGGGCATTCGCAAAGGAGAGAAGGGGTACGGAATTCTTGTTGTGGCTCTGGCGCGTGCGCTCACGACTATTTGTAGACTCCTTATTCTTGCCGCGGACATCACGCCCATGGACATTATTTCACATTTACCAGTATTGAGCGAGGAGGCAGGCATTCCATACGTGTTTGTCACTTCGAAGGAGGAGCTCGGGCACGCATCGTCGACGAAGAGGCCGACAAGTTGTGTGATGGTCTGCCCTGACCAGAAGAGGAAGCGGAAGGTCGAGGCTGGGGAGAAGGATAAGGACGACGACTACCGAGAGTTGTACGACGAGTGCTGTAAGGAAGTCTCCAAGCTCGACCACAAAGTACTCTTCTAGTCATCTATTTACTGCTTGTACACTCTGTATATTCTTGTCGTTCTATCTACGGCTCCAGACTTGTTCTCTTCTCCGAAATCGCGTTCGGCCGCGGTATTCCCACATGGCAACCGAGTGTGTGCAGCTGTCACCATTTCGACGTCCACGTTCGCATTCTTTCCCTCCTCCCTCCTTCTCTCCTTCACTTTCCGTTTTCTTGCTTGTAAGATGGCCCCGAAAACAAAAGCCGCACCTGCCAATGGCACCAAAAGCGCGCCGAAGGAGGCTGCGCCCAAACCGAGCGTGTCCCCCGCCCCTCCCAGCGGCGCAGAGACACCACTTTCTGACGCTAATGGCCCGATAACGAAGCCCGACAAGGCTGCCTACGACGCTGAGCAGGACCGGTTGAGAAAGGAAATCGAGGCCCAACAGGCCAAGCTTGTGCGTTCATGCTGCGCTGGCGCGGTCCTACGTCGTGTATTGACCGACGTGTTATATCTCGTTTGCTAGTCTGCCGTGAAGGAGAAGATCGGGCTGACTGGCAAGGGCGGCTCGGGCAATGACCGTCGCAACCAGCTTCGTGCCGAGCTCGACCAGCTCCGTGCTCAGCAGGCTGGCGGGAAGCAGTCGCGCGGCAAGATCTTCGACGAGCTCAAAGTCGTCCAGGAGCGCGTGCAGACTAAAGTTTGCAGCTTTCACAGCGTCTACTTTTACAGACGCTCAACTCTATCTCATGACAGGTCAAGAACCTGAACGCGGCCCGCGGCAAGACACCCTTTAAATCGGTTGCGGACGTCGATGCTCACATCAGGTACGTTGCTTTCCCTCTGTGCCAACTTCTTTAGGCGCCGTTCAGGCACTCATGTCATATGCGCAGGCAACTCGAGAAGCAAGTCGAGTCCGGCTCGATGAAGCTCGCGGACGAGAAACGCGCACTGCAGGAGATCTCTCAGACCAAGCGCTCGCGCAAGACCGTGGAGGGCTTCCAGGCTGAGGAGGATGCGATTGCCGCGGACCGTGCGACAATCGAGGACCTCAAGAAGCAGCTCGACGATCCTGAACTCAAGGCCGCATCTGACCGCTTCGAGGCTATTCGCAATGAGCTTGACGCGCTGAAGAAGGAGGGCGACGAGGCCTGGGGTAACCGCAATAAGCTCTATGACGAGCGTAACGCAATCCAGGCCGAGCTCGACTCGCTATTCAACCAGAAGCGCGAGTCTGCGGCGGCATACCGCGCCGCGGGCGACCGCTACTGGACCAAGGTTAACGAGGATCGTGCACGTAGGGCAGAGCGCGCTCGCTCCCAGCGCCAGGCCGAGGAGGAGGAGAAGAAGCGCGAGGCAGCATCCCGTTTGCTCGAGGAGGCGAGTGAGCCTGCGTACCAGTACCAGATCGAAGATTGCCAAACGCTCATCGACTACTTCTCCGGCGGCACGTCTGGCGCGCCTCCGAAGCTGTCGACGGATGCTAAGGCTGGTGAGCCGAAGCACGATCTGCGCGTCGTCGAGGCGCCGCAAAGCGATGGTCTCACTGCTCTCAAGAAGAAGGGTGCCGACGAGGAGGTCTTCTTCGCCGGTAAGGGTGGCAAGAAGGGGAAGAAGGGCGGCAAGGCGGCAGCTCCTGCTGAGGACAAGGACAAGTTGAACGTGCCATTCGCGACGCTCTCTGCACTTCTCTCGCTGTCGATCCCACCACCCGTCAACAACGGCGATGTTCCTCGCGTAATCGAAGACCTTAAGACGAAGAAGGCGTGGTTCGAAGCGAACCAGGCTCGCGCAACGCAGGAGGCTATCGCCAAGGCTAAGGCCGCCGTTGAGCGTCTGAACAAGGGTCAGGATCCCGCAGCGACGGAGCCTGCGCCTCCCAACGGCAACGGCGAGCATCCAGCTGAGCCCGCACCCACGCCTGCTGCCAAGGACGCGCCGAAGAGCATCACACCGCCGTCAGACGTCGTCGACGAGAAGCTTGAGGAAGTTAAGGAGCAGACGGCTGAGGCCGAGTAACATGCTTGTCTACATACATCGTATACTGTAGGGTGTTGGGTTCTAGGCATACTATGCTCGGGCTTCCAAGGACGGATCTTTAGGCTTGCCGCCGTATATACTCAAAATAATATCAGGATCTGTTGTTGTGCACGTGTATTGGTGTTCTCGGTGGTCAGCATCGAACAGATGACCGTATATGCTCTGCTCTTCGGGTGATTGACATTTTACTTCATGATATATCCGTGCACTTGATGAACAAGCAACACTGATTATAATCTGGAAGCTGCGCCAGCCAAGAGTTGACCGCAGCGTGTCGCGATGTCCGCGATGGAAACAAGGACCTACAACGATCGATCCGATCGGCTCCTAGTCCGAGTTTCGGAGGCCGACGAGCGCAACCTCTCCGTCTTCCGAGACCAGTCCACATCCTTCGATTCTCTTCCTTCATGCAAATTTGGTAGTCATAAAAGTTCTTCGCAAGCCCAAAGGAGAGTGAGAGTTAAAGAAGAAGACATCCGAAGCCCAATGAGAGATCGAAGGAGCGGCGCCGGGCGCCGACCACCAAGGACCGAGAATAAAGAGTACATCCGTGCAGGCGCTATCTTAATTGTATTTTATCGTTGGGGGGTATTTGCAGGGTCTATGTGACGATGAAGAGAGCTGTACAACTTATATACGGGTCATGGCGGTGAGGGTAATATTACAAGGGGTAGGAAGCGGGAAAGCTGCGAGACGACTGTGGTCTATAAGGTAATTGCGTGCAAAGTGTGGGATGTGGGTACGTAGAACGGATGAGAGCATGGAACAAAGGAAACAAGGATCAAGGACGTGGATACTCTGGGGCGATCAAAGGTGGGCGGCCAGCGCTGACGACGGAGATTAGATCCGGATGGTAGGCGTCTTCGGCGGCTCGGGGGCGTGCAAGTGTTGATTTGTCTCGGCAGGACGGTGCAGGGAGAGGAGCACGGCGGCGTTATCGCGCGTGTCGAGCATTCTGTGGATGCTGGCCTCTGCGAGATAGCATATCTGAGGACGTAAAGGAAGAGATCAGAACGAGTAAGCGGGAATGAAGAAGTTGCGATCATGTGGGAGAGAACACTACACTAACCCTGCTGTAGCCGCCCTCGAGCAGCGACGAACGTGTCTTTGCGATGATGTTGTGGATAGCATCGTAGCAGTACCGGTGCCTGTTTAGGAGAGAGCAGGTGGTCAGCGTACGTGTACACATGGAAGGGGGTGGCAGGGCCGGAAATCCAGGGCCGCGCGGACTCACAGGACGCCCTCGAGTTCGCGGCGGTTGCGCGGGAGGATAACGAGGTCGGCGCCGGAGAGGTAGCGGTTGAGAGCCTTGTACGAGGCGCAGTGTGCGATGATCTGCTCCGGCGGCGAGGCGTGGTCCATGTCCCACGAATATCCGTTCTCACTGTGTGTGTGGCGCGAATTCAGAACAAACGGAAAAATCACGAGCGAAGTGTGGTCGCGCACGTTACATGGTGGTGGGCGACGGCCTCTGGCGAGTGGGGAGCGAGGAAGCGATCCATCATGGTGGCAGGAGTGTGAGTGAGGGAAGTTGGAGCGAAGGAGATGCTGGGTGGACGAGATATAACGTAGACGGGCGCTTGAAGCGGACCTGTAGAACGTGCGACGCGGCTTTTGTAAAAATCGCGCCAACCTGAGTCAAAGGGGGGTCTTATACTTCCGATTAACTAAGCCACCCCAGTCGCCTAGCTCCCATCCTCGCTTCTGAGCCTTGGCCCTTCGCTTGTCTGTAGCTGTACGTCTTGGCCTTCACAGCGATGTGCGACGCGTTCTCTGTCGCTCTCGGCACGGGCATCTAGTGATACTGCGGTCTGCCGTGGAGCGCGTGTGTTCATGTCTGATTTGTTGTGAACCGAGATCTGTGGCAGAGACCCGAAACGGATAGACCTTCCCGACGGATGGCGAATTAGACGAAGAATCTTGGCGGCAGACCTTCCCAGACGCACAGACTCGGAAATAGCCCGCAAGTGTCAACTGTGACGCACGTGCGTTTCCGGACGACGCGCTCCAACAGCAGTGGCTACCGAAATTGGGCGGACAGCGTCTTTCATCCCTGTGTTGCACGTTCAATGCTTGATTCACACTCGCCATGATCAAATCGCTCGCCGTTCTGGCCTGTGCATCCCTTGCACTCGCCGCGCCCGCCCAGCAACCATTCTCCGCACCCGGCCCGTCGACGTCCAATGTCACCCTCCCCGCCGGCCCGCGAAAGCTGCACGGCCGCTTCCTGCATATCACAGACATGCATCCAGACCCGTACTACAAGACCGGCACGTCCGAGTCTACTGCTTGTCACCGCAAGAAACCCAAGAAAGAGAAGACACGCGCCGAGCCGTGGGGCACGCCGCACGGGTGCGCCGTCGCGCCTTCTTTCTAGCCTCCTCTGCCGTCCTCACACGCCGCGTTCATGTGCTCTCCAGCGATTGCGATTCACCGTTCAGGCTCACGAACAGGACTCTCAAGTGGCTGGAGAAGCATTGGGCGGACGAGATTGACTTTGTGGTCTGTGCGTCATCTGACCGCGATCTGCGGTGTGCCCGGATGCTGAAGTTCGTATAGGGACCGGCGACAATGCAAGGTATGCGCGCGCGCTGAGAGCGTTTGCATCGATTTGGAGCGGACCTCCTAATAGTGACACAGACACGATAACGACCGGAAGTTGCCGCGAACGCTAAAGGAGATCTACATGCTGAATGGGGAAGTCGCGAATAGGATGCAGAGCATATTCACGAAGCGGGGCATACCCGTTATACCCAGCCTTGGTGTGTATGCGATATATGTGTTCTCAGGCATGCGCTGATCACACATACATGCTATGCTCCGCCAGGTAACAATGATGTTTGGCGTGAGTTTATCCGCTTTACGCCCTCGGATCCTACATGGCTAACCGCGTTGAGCAGCACATGTACGGACACTCTTCCGGTATCAAGCCGGGCGCATCACTTACTAGCTCTATGCTACCAGAATATCTTAGAAGCGGGTGGGTCGTGCCTTTCCGGCTTTGTACGTTCCATGCTCACAGAGCACGGGGTGTGTAGGACCGAACGAGATCATCAACAAGTTTGCATCGTGAGTGGTATGGATTGTCTCGGTACGTATTCCGTAACTAATCACCACGTAGAATATGGAGACCGTTCATACCGTTTCCTTCCTACCAGGTCTTCCAGCGAGGAGCGTACTATTCGGTCGAAGTTATCCCGAATCAAGTCGCCGTTATCGCCTTGAACACCATGTACTTTTACGACTCAAACAAGGGTACGTGAGCATGCATCACATCTTGGAACTCGAATCATGATGCTCTGTAGCCGTCGGTGGATGCGAATACCACGAGCCTCACGATCCCGGGAACTTACAGCTCGACTGGCTAGAAGTCCAGCTGGAGATCTTTCGCGAGCGCGGGATGCACGTGCGTTCGCCGTCTGATACGTTTCTGTCGGTATGGTAGCCGACATGCGACAGGTATACCTCAGCGGGCACGTACCGCCATCTGTCGACAACTACTTCCCAGAATGCGTAAGCTTTGTTCACTTGATCTCCGCCCCTGGGAGCAAAGATCATTGACGTGTATTGATCCTCCAGCACGTCCGGTACGCCGAACTAGCGCTGCGGTACCAAGACACGATTCTGGGGCACTTATTCGGGGTGCGTACTCTGAGCGGGTCTGGACAAGGCGCACATCGTTGACCATATCATCACCCCTGCAGCATATGAATAACGATCATGTCAGTGCCTTCATAACTTCTGCAGAGCCTCTGACGGACGCGCGTCTGCATATCGGAAATCTGACTGACGCGCGGTGCACAGTTCTTCTTTATCGAGGCGCTCAATCTCGAGTTCCCGCCGGAAGACGATGTGCGGGTGAAGGCACATGATGGGCTATATGATGACCTGTTGGACGATTTTGGGCGTATGCGCCGCGAAAAGAAGCGGGAGGAGGCGGATTATGCTGTGGTCAATGTTTCGCCGTCGGTCGTGCCGAACCCGCTGCTGCCATCATTTCGTGTCTTCTCGTACAACATCACCGGCGCTCAACATTTGGATACGGATGCGGCGCTAAAGAAGAACAAGAAGAAGAAGCACAGAGGGGATGACGTGCCGCAGAAGGGAGACAGGTTTGAGAGGTGTAAGAAGGGAGACGCCGGCGGCTGGAGGTGTCACCTTGACAAACCGTGGCATAGCGCGCCAGAGGCGCCGAGCCGGACGAATACGCTCTGGACTCCGCTCGGATACGCGCAGGTACGTATACGCGATCCGATTTATTGCCCGGCCCGCTTTGAGCGCGGAATGGACGTACATGACTGACTTGCTTGCTTGCAGTACTATCTTCCGCCCGATGCTCTGAGCAACGCGACGGAGAAACCCAAGTTCAAGCTCGAGTACGTGACTTATGCACTTGACGCTCTGCATCCGGCCGACGGGAGCGCGGGACCGGTGCCAAAGAAGGAGCTGCCAAAGAGCCTGCGGAAAGGGACGAAGAGGGATGCGAAGGGCAAGTTTGTGCCGTACGGGCTGCCAGACCTGACGGTGGGATCGTGGTTGGCGCTCGCGGACCGGCTGGGCGGTAGCGGTGCAAAGACGTTGAAGAAGCGATTTAGGAAGTACATGTTTATGGGAGGCGAGCAGTAGGCGTCGCTGTACATATCGAGGATCATTCAAGTGCCTTCGGGGGCCTGAGCTGTCGAATACGATTGGTCTCGACCGTCGGCCATCAGCGCTGATGGCAGCGGAAGCGGAGGGCTTGCGGGTGTCAAGTTAAAAGGTCTCCTTGACGACGACCACAGCCCATTCTCTCCCTTGCGCCGTTTCGAGCCCTCCGTGTGTGTTGGCGTGCCGCTCATCGGTAGCATTGCGTTCTCTTTGACTGCCATCTGTCTCCATCTCTGTCTCTCTGTCTGCCTCCGCCAGCGCAAGCGCATTGCCGCCAGTCACTCCTTTATTTCTTCGATTTCGGCCCTTTGGGTTTAGCTTAGCTTAGTTTTTCCGCGTTACGCCAGCTGTAACGCGCTTGACACTCCTTTCGACGGCTGGCCGACACTGTTCAGTTACTCTACGAGAGACATGCAGTCTGCGCTCGATTTTACACCTGGCCCCGTACCGGTGGCACTCTCGCGCTCCCACTCGAACTCGTCCTCGCCGCACTCGCGCCCGCAATCCTCCCACGGCCTGATCCCTAACATGGACGACCACCTCTACCGGCCCGCGTACCCGCCTGGGCGCGCGCTCGCCAACGACCACACCCGCACGTCCTCCCACTCCTCCGCCTACTCGTTCGCGTCCACCGACCTCCAGAGCCCCGCAGACTCGCCCCCCTCGTACACACAGCCCAAACCCCACCTGCGCTCGTCCCACATCCGCGCACGCGTCGCCGCCTCGCCCTATCCCCGTGACGCAGAGAGCGTGCACTCGTCCTCGTCCGAAACAGAGGACATTTCCATGTACCTGTCCGCCCCGGATCCCGCCGATTACCATGCCATGTTCGCGCCCGGCCCCGTCATCCACGGCCACGACAATCCCCCGATGCTCCATCACCAGCAGCAACAGTACGGCAGGATGGGGGGCATGCAGATGGGAAACGACCACACGCTCGAGAAGCTGGCCGCAAACGTCCGCGCGGCGACGACGACGAGTGCGTCGGATCGCGCCAAACAGATCTTCGTCCAGGCCTGGTCCGTCCTCAGATCCCGCCTTTCCCCCGTCTCCCGCTGACTGATGACATCATAGGCTCACCGGCAACTACGCGCCCTACCCCGACGGCAACGTCCCCCGCCAGGGCCTCTACTTTTCCTACCGCAGGGTCTGCGAGCAGTATGGCATCCCGCACATCAACACGGCCACCCTGGGCAAGGCCATCAGGCACTGCTTTCCCACCATCAAGACGCGCCGGTTGGGCGTAAGGGGAAACTCGAAATACCACTGTGCGTCTTCTCGCGCGCTTAGCTCCTGCGCGGACCATGCCTAACCAGGAACAAAAGACTGCGGCATCCGTCCCGCGACGTCGGCAGAGGCCGAGTTCCTGCAGGACTACATTCGCAAGAGCAACAACACCGCCGCACAGCAGTCCGTCAACGCCGCCCGGATCGCGAGCGAGCAGGCAGAGTCGGGCGGCTTCAAGCACGAGGACCGCTCGGACGAGGACGAAGACGACGATATCTCCGAGGCGCCTTCTTCCAAGCGCAACTCCTTCGCCCTCCCGCTCGCGCCCGCACCGCACCCGCATCCGGAAGACAAGACGCCCACGGCCGCGACCCTTCTCGCGCACGCCCAATCCGCTCCTCGCCCGGGCGCCTATCCCGCCCAGGCCGCCATCCGCCGTCATCCCGGTCCCCACGGTCAGGAGGTCCCGATTGCGATCCAGCCCGCACCGCCGCACCCATCATTCGCACCGGCGCCGCCGGCCCCCAGTTCGACAGTGCGGCATCTCGCAAACTTCCCGAGCATCGAGGAAGCGCTGGGCGGCGCCAATGCGAACCCCAGCAACTCGGCGCACGCCGTCGCTGCCCGTGAGGTGTGGAACTGGTTCGCGGACCACCTCGACGCGTTGTTGGAGAGCGTGCGCTTTGGCCGCTACGACCAGTTCGAGCTGCATGTACGCTCGTTCTGGAGTAGCCTTCAGGGCACGCATCGTGAGATCGTACACGCACCGGCAATAGCGGGTTTGATGGCCAAGGGAGACGCCCTTGTGTATGATGAGATCTTGGAGATCCTCCGCTCGCAGTTGTTGTCGACAATATCGCCGGCGGCTCTCGCCAGCTTGCGTGGACTCGCGGACAAGATGGAGAAGATTCTGCTCGTGGCACTGGAGGGATACGGCAACACGTTCGTTGAGCCCAAGGTCGAACTCGGTGCTCGCTTTGGACATCTCGTCTGTATGTGCCATTCTTTCTCGTTGGGTGGGGACAGTACTAACGCTCATTCCAGTGCGCTTCCTCGACATCTACCAAGTCACGCAAGCACTGTCGACCGTGCTCATGAACCAAAAGCAGGTCGCAGAGATGCGCCGCTCATGGGACAAGATCGACTTTGAGAGTGTTCGAAACCAGTCTGCGTTAGTGTGCAACTGCCGGCACGAGGACCTGGTACAGCTCCTCGAGGTCGAGTTCCGCACGCTCATGGACACTGTTCAGAAGAGCGCGGAGCCGGCGCGGGAGGTTATGGCTTGGGCAGACAAGTGCTGCGAGAGATTGATGAGCGGTAGCCACGGTGGCCCGGGTGAAGAGCGCGGCACGTTGAGCTCGCGCTCAATACTCATCCGCTGGGGATATGTGACCAGTCAGGTCATGCGCGATCTTGTTCGTCCTCAACTCGCTCTCTCTGCGTATATGCGCCCTAACCTTTTTTGCAGACCATCCGCAGCGACCCCACTTTCGGCGCCTTCCAGATTCTCAAGCTCTTCCTCGACGACTGGATCGCGCTCAACGTCCTGCGAAACGTCGCATTATCGACAACAAGCGTGGCAGCGAGTGTCGAGCCCATGATGCAGCAACATTTCAGCACACTCTCCCCGATGATGGGCCAGGAATTCTACGCGGGTCCGAGTGGTATGGGTCAAACACCGACGAGTAGCAGCATGCTTGCTGCACTTCAACAAGAACCGTACGCAGACCCCGGCGCGGCAACTTTCAACCCGGAAAACTACGGGCTGGCGCACTACCTCGACACACCGGGTGGCGCAACGGACGATCCGCTCACCTCTCAGCCTGGGCTTGGGGCCTTTGGCGAATACGCGCCACCATTCGACGTATCCGGATTCGTACCACACGATCTCGGACTTGGGACGGGTACGCCGGGGCAAGAACATGACGCGCTACCGGGCGCACCAGAAACGGCGAGCACGCCGGACGTGAAGGCCGAGGGGAGCTCGTGAGCTCCCGTCGGTCCACCAACTAAAGCAAGACGCGCGACTGTATGTACCATGCTAATCAGACTTCGACCCCCCTTCGCCCCTTTATTCGTCTAGCCTGGGTGCTCGCTGTTTTTACTTACTCTACCTTGACCCGCTTAGTCGTAATCTTATTGGTGTTTTTTTCGTCGCTTTCAGTCGCAACCTCCCGATCCCCCCGCTGCCGTACACTGTCCCATACGTACATACACACAAGTCGTTTTCTCCCAACTCGCTCCGCCAGGCCGCCCAGCCCTCATACCACTGCACCGTGTCGTATATTTATAGTATACCGCTCACTCATTCTCACTCTTCCGTCGGTTTTCCTCTTTGCGCTCGTCTACCGCGTCGCCTCCTCCACAACTTGAATATCTCCCCCTCTTGTATCGATTGCCCCCTATCACCCACTGCCGCCTGGCTTGCCGCAATTCTCGCACTTTCCGTTACTCGCTACGTTCAGACTCTTCTTTCTCGTTAACAGCTGTCGCTGTTTTGCACCTCCCTCCTGTACTTGAGTCCGCTGGATACCAATGAGAATTCTGCTGCAAGATGCCAAAGCGGTGGACTGTGTTCGTGATGCTTTGACGATGGTCTCTACAGTGCTGCATGCGTAGTCTATGATCTACAAGACAATCGCACTACGTTCACGGTTGCCGGCACTGCTCTCCCTCGGTGCATGGATCTCAACAGAAGGTCCGAATCGCGTCGCCCCACTCCTTCGAGACTTTCATCATACGCTTTACCCTTTGTACTGCTCTGCTCAATAGAAAGGCTCGATAGTCTATTGTTCACTTCATAGCTCGCGGAGGCCGAGTGCAGATGAAGACCTTGTACAGCGACGCGCAGTTTGCCTTTACCGCATTGCCCGGCATATCCCCCTCGTGTGACTGCGGGCGAAGGCTCTCCGATCCCGAGCTTTGACCAAAATCCTGGGGTACTGAAGCGCTGCGAACCTAGTGCGCACGGTAGCCTTGAGGCTTGTCTCGTGCCTTCATCGCACTGCTTCTACCTGTATATCACAACGCGGTCGATAGCACATTGAGCATGTAGGTACACGGTCCGGCCCGGAGCAAGGGCCAGTGAGCGCGGCGAACTTTGCCTCGAGGCCTCCCCTTCCCGCGCCCGCACCACGTTCATGCCGAGTTTATCACCCCGAATGCTTCTCAAGAAGGTCCGAACAGCTGAGCATTTTTGACGGTGGTAATCGGTATAAAGGTCGGAGGCCATGCGTGCGGCTCGGGCTCGAGGCATCCTCTCGGTGTCCCGCCTGCGATCTCTCTGTGCTGCATAGTGCAGACTTCCTGCAACCGACATACGAGCTGTCCGCGTTCGGAGCCCACGCCTCTGCCTCCCTCCGATTACACACACCGCACGCCCACCTGCTATCTATTAAACGACCAAGTCCCGTACTACACACGAACGCGCTCCAATACGACCCCGCATCTGTAGACCGCCATGGCTGTCACCATTCACCTCCGCTCAGTCTTCGGCGTTCTGCCCAGCAAGTTCAACGTCGCGCGGGCTTGTATCTTTATTCTTGTCATTCTCTGGAGCCTTGTATGCCTCGCCATCGCCGCACACTTCGAAAGTGTACTTGCATCTTCTGATCTCAGTGCGTCGCCTGCCACCCGCGTCTAGCAATGTTGATACTGAACAATGCCCATAGCCCGCTTTGTTCCCTTCGCACTATTCGTGTCTGTCGCGAGCATCCTCGTGATGTCCACGCTGTGCGTTGCTCGTTTTGGCCTATGTTCTCACACGTGTACTGATACTTGCTCCAGTTTCGTCTTTGGTATCTGGCGCAACATGAACCCCATCGCTACGCGTATCGAGCTCAGCTGCTTGGGGCTCATCGGCACGTTCTGGCTCGGTGCGTGTTCCCCATCCCGTGTTCCGCTCGCGGGAACTGACCCCGTTGCACAGCCCTCGGCGCGTTTCTCGTGTCTTCCGACTCCGAGACGGCCGATGTAGAATGCTTCGTGTCCGAGGACAATGCGACGCCGCTTGACGACGATTCGTGTACGTATTCTCGCTATGGAGCGTCGCTACAGGTATTGACTGGATCTACATAGTCTCTACCGAAACGTACCAGGCGCAGTACCATGTGCTTGAGGCGTTCGCGCTCTTCAACGCCATTCTGCGTACGTGCATGCCTCCGATCTCCATTCCAATCATCATGCTGACATCTCAACAGTCTGGGGCTTCCTGATCTTCCTCACCATTCTCGCCGTTCGCCGCCATCGCGCAGGCGACAAGTACGTCTGGCTCACGCCCGTACCGAACGTCGCCTGGTTCGGTGCCAGCGACAAGCCTCAGGGCAACGGGAAGGGTGGAAAGAACGGCAAGCTCCCCGCGCCAGTGACGGCGAAGAACGAGAAGTCATCCTCGTCGCGCCCGCGCGCCCCGTCCCGCCCCGTCCCTGCTGCTCCAGCCCTTGCCCGCCCCGAGATGTCTCGCCCGTCGTACAATCGCGCACTGGACGAGCACTACGTCTGGATTCCCGCGGATAGCGATAAGTTCACCTCGCTGCCCGCGCGCAAGAACGGCGGCACTGGTGCGAACATCTCGCGTGACAACACACGCTCGACAACAGCGACCCGTTACGCAACTGCCCCGCCGACACGGAACAACACTCGCTCTACACAAGCAACACGTTTCAATCCCGACGACGAGCGCGACGCGCGGCCCAGTCGGAGCAACACACGCTCCACACAAGCCACTCGCGTCGAACACTCGACGTCTGGTGGACCGTCGCGCAGTAATACTCGCTCAACGCAAGGCACACGCGTTGAGAAGACGTACGAGAGCGATCGTGAGCGCCCGAGCCGCAGCAACACGCGCTCGACACAGGCGACATTCCGCACGGCCAGCAGCCGCGACGGGCCACGCAAGCCGGATTACTACCGCAGAGACCTTTCGCCCCGGCGGTGATGATCTCTTGTATTTCTTCATGTTCACAAGACAAAGCATTCGACATGTATTCGACCTTCTGCATGGGCCACGAGATGGTATCACCACGTTTTTATCAGGGTTTTAACGATTATATCATGGGATGAGCGAGGTCTCCTGGATCTGTAGCCTTTTTGGATTTATTGCTGTACATACTTAACGACGTTCACGCTTGTAGGATCACGAATATAGACGCGTTGTATTTTTAAACTCTGTGTGATCCAACAACATCCTCAAAGCGCAAGTTATTGCCAAATCACAACCCTATGCAAGGCTGACTGACGATGGATGTTTGAACACTGGCTATGTTCGCTTTACAGATGCGATGCTGAGTGAATTGATTGACAGCAGATGCTAAGGGAACAACAACGACATACAGACAATGATAAGCCCTATGCTACAGTACAGTAAAGTCCGTGCGACCGAAACCCAAGTTTAGTCAAGATGTGTCCCAGCGAGGGCAGAAGGTGAAGAAAAGGCCCCCTGCTTTTGGATGAAATCGTAAATCACTGCGGCTTGACGTACACCGCCATGCCCTGGATGTTCTCGCCGGTGAGCGCAAGACCAACAGCGAAGGCAGGGCCGGAAAGGTCGACCGACTGCACGCGCGTAGCCTGACCCGGGGCGTCGAGCGAGAACACCTGGATGCCAGCTGCTGTGCCCATCGTCACGTAGAGGTAGTCGTTGCCGCCGAAGGATGCAACCTCGAGGTCAATGAGGCCCGCGTTGCCCTGGGTCTCGTACTGTGCAATTTGCGTCGCGTTGAGCGTCGTCGGGTCAACGGCGACTTCGGTGATGAGGTTCGTGAGGAAGTCGGAGATGTAGAAGCTGCCGGTCTTCGGGCTGTATGCGTTCCAGCACACCGCACCCTGACCTTCGACGGGAACGGCAAGCGTCGCGTTGCTGGCGAGCGAGTCGGGGACGCCCTTGGAGAAGTCGAAGATGTTGTAGCCGATGGCAGCGTCCGTCACGAGAAGAGAGCCGTTGGTGCCGGGGATAACGCCCATGCTGAAAGGCAAGTTACCACCCGTCGGCATGCCGAGACGGTACGCCTCCTCGCTGAGTCCGGCGTCGGAGATGTCCCATGCGGCAATGTAGCCAGTCGTGTTGACGGCGGGGTTGCCCTTGGTCGCGGCGTACACGCTGTTCTGGTCGTCGCTGAAGATGATGTGGGATGCGGTGCCCGCGACACCCGTTGCTGGAGATGTCTGGTTCAAGCCCATGTACCGCCGGCTGTTGGTGATCGGCTTGAGACCAGTCGTTGCGTTTACCCAGTAGCATTGCACGCCGTCGATTGAACCGCCGTTGAGAGCGCACAACTTGTCACCCGCGGCGTTGAAGGCTACGCTCTGCGGGAACTCGCCGCCAGATGATACGGGTGCGCCAATAGCCGTGAGTGTGGAAGGGGATGAGGGGTCGATCGAGAAGAGCGAGATCGTGTTGGATCCGGCCTGGGTCTGAAGTCAGCGCAAGACCATTACAAAGAAGTGGTAGAGAGGCATACATTGACCGTAGCGAGCATGCTGGTGTTCGTGTTCACGACGACCGCGCCTTGAGAGTACAGGGGGTCTGCGCCGGTGACGTTACCGTGCTCGCCGAGCCCGCCTGTGGCTACCGCGGAAGCCAAAGTCTGTACGGCGAGATGAGCATGATGGTAATGTGCTGAAGGAGTCGCGAGCTTACCAGAGAGCCATCTGCGTTGATGTCGGCGGCGACGACGTAGTTCCCCGTGGGATCGTTCGTGATGACTATAGAGATCGTTCAGCGTACGCTGAGGAACGAGCGAGGAGTGACTTACAGTATGCCGCGCCATAGGTCTCGCCAGTAGACGCCAAGTTGAATGTGCTGTTACGGCTCGTGGCGCCAGTGACATCCATTGCACGGGCGACATTGCGGTTGGAGCGGGTAGCAGGCGCAGCGTATGCGGACGCAACGAGGGTGGAAGTGGCAGCGAGAGTCGTAGAGAACTTCATGATCGGCTAGCGAGCGAAGGTTCTTGTATAGTCGTGAGGAGGGGCGCTGGAAAAGACACAGAAGCGAAAGAAAGAAGAGCGCAGCTCTTGTGGAATTGGAAACCGAAGGAGAAGAAGTGCTCTAGGCAGCGAAGCCGAGTACTGGAACCGTCGAGAGAAGGTGAGGGTTGGAGTTTCACCGCTGCAGCATAGCAGGCTATATAGCCCATGGTACTTTGTCATTCGCAGCTGCAAGTTACGGGATGCGGGCAGAGGATCGGCGCAGACCGAGGAGTTACGATACAAGTCAACCTGCGCCGCGCGGTCTGCGCACATTCGTCATCCTCAGGTCTGGCATGCTTTTGTGACGCCTGCAGCCTTCACCACGACCTAGTGTACATGTTGATGCAGGCGAGTAGGTTCAGGAGCGAAAAGCTCAAGAACATGACGCAGTAGACGCACTCGCTGAATCGACCCCGCTGAATGATCTTGCCGCTTCAACACAGCCTGGCTTCCGGGATGAGGCTACGCTCACCCTACGCGCAGTAGTGTAGTAAGATGAATCGGGATCCAACGAGACCAAATACCACGTCCAGTCAAGTCGAAAGCATAGCCAGTGAGGTAAATCTCCAAGTATAGAGATTCAGCTGCATCAAGCTGTTTAGCAAATGGTGTGGCTGACGAATGCATCACGCATTCTGGAGCGTTTTTGGACTTGCGGACCATGCTCCTCGTTCTATTGGCAAACATGACGGCAGGTGCGGACGTGAGAGTTGGGGATGAGTTGTAAGGTCACCGGTACTACTTCCGCCGGCTCATGCTCGGCAACCCCCGCTGATGGCTGTGAATGCGCGCCTCGAAGCGGCTTCCGTCCTTTGATCAGACACCACGATGATAGCGAACTCGCCGGCATAGTTGAAACTTTCTCTCATGACAATTCACATGGGGCACTATAACATACCGTGTTTCACGTTTCAGGTTGAGGATAGACTGTTCTCGCCTAGCTTTCACAACCCAGAGGCTCCACATTGGGCGAAGAATAGCCGCGTAAAACGCTTGCTTAACCCCTTCCTCTACCATGGCTTACTCATTGTGCAAATATGCTCATCCTATATGAAACTGTGCCTATCTGTACGTACTAGAGTGCTACATTGTGCCCGCTCTGCGGCTTTGCCTGGTCTTCCATCGTACCCTCGATCCAAATATCGAGTATTCTACGTGCAGTGCCCGGTAAGCTCACTGTCTAGCGTTTATGGTTGTAGTATTGCTCAATGGCTTGCAGATCTCGCACCCTAGCATTGACTCTTTTCGAACCATGTTTCCAATCACATTCAATGCCATCGGCGACATACTTGCTCTCGCCCAGCTCGTCCGCGATGTCGCTCTGGCTCTCGATGACGCGCGGGGTGCCGCTCCCGAGATTCGGCGTTTCTCCCATGAGCTCAAATTTCTGGCCTTCATCATAGAGAAGGCGCATCGCATGGCAGAAACATCCTCAGACAACGCGCTTAAGGAGGCCATCTTGACGGAAGTGCACCTCTGCTACATCGAGCTTGCCAATGCGGGAAAGCTTACACCAGGCTTTGATGGTCTCTTACCAGTCAATTCTGACATCTCGAACGTGGCTCGAGCGCGAACGGCGTTGAAGAAACTGCAGTGGCACTTTTCGAAGGCATCCGAGGCTGCTACTTATGCGACGCGATTTCACGACATAGAGCGGCGACTGATCCTTCTCATCGTCGCTTTCAATCAGTGCGTCATAAACCGTTGACTGAGTCTCTCTCTGACGGCTTCTGAGCTAGCCAGTCGCTACAAAGAGGCTTCTCTCGACTGATTGGGGAAATTAACGATCTTGAGGCTTCGGCCGAATCCGACCACATGTTTATGCACAACGAGATTGAGTGAGTCACTGCCGGGCTCAGTGCGCTACGTTTACCAACGCAATATCTCAAGTCGTTATACATCTCGTTTGTCTACAGAGCTTCGGGACATCGCGGCTGGCTCCATAGAACACATCTCCCATGACATAGAAAGATCGGCGGGCGATCAAAGTCGCATGTTTATGTGCGCATACTCTCTCTCAGTCGCTTACATGCACCTAGTACTCACGAATTGTGACAGTACAGCTATCCAAGAGGCCAGGGACAGCCTTCGTCACGGCGTTGTGCTCACCTTACGCCAAGAGATTCACTCACTAGTCCCCAAGTTCTCCGCAACATTCTCAGCGCAAGAACAGCGCCTTGTCGAACGCACGAGCGATGCCATCATGCGACGACTGGATCCCCATTCATCTGTGCATCAAGTCGAGCGCCAACGCTTTTTGACGGCGCTTATACCGTTTGCCATTCTCGGCGCGACAATCGTCGCGAGCACCGTTATTAAACCCAAATGGCGGACAGCAGCTCTATGGGCTACTATCTGTGCACTCATCATTCATATTCTTCGCCTTCAGTTCGCACCGCCTGTGACCGTATGGAAGTTCAGTGAAAACGTCATCATCCTGATCGACCTCCTCGGAGAGAGAATGCCCATCGCACTTCAACTCTGTACATCTCTGGAAGTATGATATCTCTCAACCCTTCTACTTTAGCGTTACGATCAAGAGCTGATAATCTGGGCAGCTTTTCCACGAATTTCTGAGTAACTACTACACGACGCACGGGCGAAAAGGCCAGTTCTATGTGAAGAGTGGATTCTACGAGTTGTACAGCACCGAGAGCTCGCAGGCTCTCACATTTGACGGCTGGTCGCAGAATATTCGCCCAGGGGCTCAGCTTGAGATGGGCATCTTGCAATGTTACCCAGACTCCGATTCGAGTCAATCCGCGCCTGTTCGCTGCCCATGGTGTCATTCAGAGGCTTACGGCGAAATGCCGATCAATAGCAACCGGTTTACTTGGTGCATAGTGTATAACAGCCTCGTTGAATTACCCTTGCTGATATAATGCTACAGCGTGGGCTGCACTCGATCGTTCACGGCGACGAGGGAGTCACCACAAAGCCGACCTTCACCCGTGGCCGTGAAACCTCTCTCGGATTGGGTGGGATGCCAGGACTCAGTCGACCTGCATTACTTTGTTCGTATTCGCGTGATAGAGGTGGGGGTTTTCAGCGCGACCTCAGCATCGCCCGAGCGGAGGACGGTCCATCCGGGGATGCATCATCACTTTCCGTACAGTCCGCGCCTTCGCAGTTCTGTGCGTCGCCGGTGAGTGGGCTCTCGCGCGTGGTATCTGGCGGACGTTCGAAAGCACGCCGAGAAACAATAGAGGGACGACACTGCCGGAGAAACCCTAATGTAGAGTACAGACAATGCTGTTATGGAGATACGATGCGATGTATCAGAACTACTACGTCTGTACAGGGTATGAAATGGTACGGAAATGGTCGACGCGATGTTTACCGTGTCAGGGCCGCAAGAAAGGTACAAGATACAGGAAGCAATACACGTCAAAGCCCGAAAGAAGCTATCGATACTCGAACCACGCGAAACACAATTCATTCCGGCGGCTGCGTGATATCCTGTTGCACTTCGGGTGGCGGGGGCCCAGCAGGCGGGACAATCTGCATGAGCATGCCCGTGCGGACTTTGAGCAGCATTTCCCTGTACCAATCTTGCCCCGCTCCGTGCTTTTCCGCCTCTCCCGTCGCTGCACGCAGGCTATCAAGTTCGCGTACCCACGCCGCATGCCAATCAACATTCCCTGACTCGTCGACGGGCAAGTCTGGGACTGGCGGCACTGGCGGCATGAACATGAAGGGTGGCGGGGGCGGTGGTTGGTCGAATGCACCGGGATGAAAGCCGGGGAAGCCATTTGGATCGTTCGACGGTCCCGCAACCATACTCGCGCTGAGTGGAGGTGGAACGAAGCTTGGGGCACCCTCGATGAAGGGCCGGTCCGGGTTGAACTCCTCTGGGGAGGTGGAGGCTGCTTTGCCTTTCGCTTTGCGTCCACGACGTTTGGTCCCGCCCGACCCTGATGGCTGGCCCTCGCCATTCTCCGTGCCCTCAGCTGGTGTAGGTTGCTTCGGCGCGCGCACCCTATGGACGCCTGTGCGGGGATCTACGCTCTCGTTTACTGTCCAGTACGAGCCCTTGCCGCGGTCCGTGAGCGGCCGGGGAACTTTCTCGAAGCAAGGATTTAGAGATAGGTTATGCCGAACGGAGTTCTTCACGAGGTTGAGTCAACCCTTTGTCGCTCAAGTGGTTACAACGTATACACACCTTCCACCCAGATGATGCAGTACGGAAGTAGGGGAACTGAAATTGCAATTAGTAGGAATCTCGGGTTATAAGACTGACAATACCCACTCTGCTCTCAATCGCATAGTATATGTCCTCCAGTAGTAACTTCTGGTTCGGCGAGCCCTTGATCGCGTACCTACAGAACCAGTCAGTTTCTGGTCCAACAATATGATGCGAGTGATTACCGAATGAGTGTCGAATATGGATAAAATGGCTTCGTTCCCGGTGGACCGTCGCGCAAGGAATCGAGGTTGACAGGCAACCCGCCGGTGAGGTCGTCCACCGGATCGGGAAAGTAGTGCTCCGCCCCGTCATGAGGGATATCTCCACCGAGTTCATGTTCCATATCCATCTTGGTAACTGAGTGTCCCGGTGCGATGTATTTGTGTAGCGAGAAGCGGGGAAGTCGAAGAGCGAGATGCAACCACGAACGAAGGCGACCGAGGGCCAGAACGGGCAGCGCGCGCTTATGTCAACTTCGCACGGTTCCGCCGGCAGGGGGCGCAAGCCGTCAATATGGACAACGTCCAAACGGCCATGTCTCTATCTCGGGATGGAAGGGCGAGTGCAAAACGAGAGAAGACGGGACGATGATTGTGGTGCGCAAGTTCGTCGGCATCCCACTCGCCGCGCTGGGTGTGTTTGTGCAAGTTGTGGTCGCATACACAGACAAACAGAGCGCGGCCGCCCGGGATCTTTACGTTGCGTCTTTCTCTTTGGCCACCAGCTGCAGGCGGACGTCAATCACCTCTGTGAGCGCTTAGATGTAGGATCTCAGTACACCGCTGGGCGTCGAAGCACCAGAGCTACGGTCGCTGCTGCTCCCCGCTATTTTCTCGATGCCCGGTGCATGCCGCAGCCACGCTGAACACGCTCCTCCTCTCAAACCTATATCCCGCACACCGTCTACAATGGCGCGTTCTAGCTATAGCGCATGCGCATCTCCAGTCCTGTGTTTAGTTGTATTGAGACGTATGGCATTCACTGGCGGCGGTAAACCGACTGGGGTGCGGTCTTCCGAGTCGTATCAGATACCAATGTGTTTGAAGTCTCAATACACACGATATGGTCCCACTATACATATCACGCCATGTAAGGAGGTCTGGCAATGTCAGACAAAGATATACAAGGCAAGCTTGTTAACTCTTCAGCCTGCGACAACGATGACCACCCTCCTTCCAGTCCCTGTAGTGCCGTCAATATCTAAGTTCACAGGTTGAACATGCGGTGACAACCCACAATTTCTGGCACGTCCTTGAGCAGTACCTAGTCTCATGGCACCCCTTACAGACTGAGAGGGGTTTTGGCGAAGGACTAGAATGGAAAGTGCAAGCGTGCCACGAGCAAATACGGCTTGCATACGATGCGGCCCTGTCGCGTTCCGTCACTTCGTCAACCCTCAGCGCTTTGCCGAACCTCATCCACGCCTCAAACATCGTCGTGAATGTCTTCGAGAGAGGATTTTGATCGTCGTTGGCTCGACTCCGCAAGCCTGGTATCATCCTATACCAAGGGCCGACGCCCAATGTTGGCATATTGCTTGCAGCTGCGCAGAGGCTATCGGTAACGTCGGAAGGTAGTCCGCCTTCGCTCAGGGCAGAGTCGAATTTGCCTAACACTCGAGTGAAGATGTCGGCAAACTCGGACAGGGCTATACATTGTGGTAAGCGGCTGTCGCGATTGTCGGGTAAACTACTTACATGCAGTCGACAAGGGTATAGGGATTTCCTCCCGCAGTCCGTCGGTCTCAATGGCCAGACCGGCCCCGTATATGAATAAAAACCATATAGAGTGGACCAGTACGTCTGATAGTGTGTCACTTGGTTGCATATGGCTTTCAGAAGCCTCAAGAAAAACGATTCTGCACGAACGTCACAAGGGGTATCTTGCAACATGATGGATTCACGCACTCAATATGCTCATACGCCGCGTATAGAGCGTTCAGTCTATGACACAGTTCCTCGTCCTCTGGTAAATCGAGCCCTCGAGATATCGCGAAATCCACCCGGTCGTTCTGCCGATCGAAGGCAGCTGATATCGCGACTAATATGTTGAAGCGCGAGTTATATGCAGATTGCAAGAACAGATTCTGGTGTAACGTGAACATCCTGACGCAACCAAGAAACGGAGGACCAATCATGGATCTAGACCAGTAGAAGGCATTCCAGGCAGCATTCTGTGCAATATCTACCCCCACATCCTCGAAGAAATCCAGTAAGACAGATTCGCTATCTGGGTCGTCCCCATTGACGTGGTACCAGTCGCATATGAGGGCCGGTCCATAGTGTTGTGACTGTAGTCGCAAAACGTCGTCCTCTGTTGTCACGTGGTCATTGCCGTGAATATGAACCCACGCGAAGAGGGCCACTTGTGCTCGCTTCTTAAAGCACTCCGGTTCAATTCCCAGTCTTGAAAATCCAGTCAGTGTCATCTCCCTGAGCATATACAGAGCACACACTTCTCATCCAGGTCTTGTGAAGTGAAGGCCATGAGCTCCAGCTGGTGAAGTAGCCCCAGTCGAAGACGATAGTTGTCGATGTAGAAAAAGTCTAATCGATGATCCCACAAGTTATCCCAGACCTTGTCCATCTTGACCCAAAATACGTGAAAGACCTCGAACTCGACTGGTAGACTCCATCCGTCCCCTTCGCGTTCGGGCTCCAGGACTGGCCTACGAAGAAGTACTGATAGCAATATTGCGATATGTCCAATTGCGAGACCGGACACACTAAGCGGGAATACCTAGCTGACGTTACTGAATCATTGAATGATCGGAGACGAGGACTATGCTCACAGGATAGTGCTTGAGGAAGTCAGGATCCGCCATGATATCTCCCAGAAGCGGGACGATATGATCGCTTTCAGATAGCGCGCGCTTGAGTTCCAGAGTGCTACCAGACGACTCGCTCAAGCACACGTTCAAAACTTCCGCCAGCTCGACCGCTTCATCACCCTGGAGTAATGGGCCAGGTGAGCGATCAAGGTAAGCAGTGTGAAATCGCTCAAGGGCAGCAGTCGGCCCTTCTTCCAGATCTCGTTCGTACAGGCGTTGTCTAGAGGTCCAAGTATCTCGAAGGCTGGCCGTAGTCATGGCGCTGCACGCGGACGTGGTGGCTCGTTACAAGTGACCGGGCGCTTGATCACCGCGTTTCTGTTACTAGCGATGATCCCTTGATGTGGCAACTGACGGCGCTGATTGAACAGGTTAACCAGGACGCTGCCTCAAGGACGAGGAATAGAAGGAACAGGTCTCATTACAATGGCATATGCTAAGTATCGTCAACGAGGAGATCGCGCTGTTTAAACGGCCAGCAGCTGTCGGCGCAGCTGTCATACCTACATGAGCGTGGGCGATACTGCAGGAAGGGGATGATGGAGGTTTGAGGTGTACAGACGAGAACGGTCGACGCGTCGTAAATATCGTACATACATACACAGATTCGTGCGTTCGGTTTACTTGTGCGGAACTAGGTAGGTTGGAGAGATGATATGGGGGGAAATAATGACAATATGCCTGTGTTCGGCGCGGAGTGTGCGTCCGAGATGCGAAGGGTGGGCAGAGAATTCCGTGTGCGTGCTAAATATATTGAAGAGGATTGCAGGTGATCATGACCGGGGTTCGGAACGCGAGAGAAGGCGGGGAAGGAATTATAAGTGGAGGTTATCCAAGTCGTCCACCAGACCACGCTTCGCATAACGGCCGGCGGGTCGCTCATCGTCAGCGGCCTCGTCCTCAGTCGTGTACTCGACCTCATCATCATCGACGGCATCCTCCTCATCTGCCTCAGTGAGTCGACCAGCGGCCTGTGAGTTGAGCACGCTCTCGCCCGTATAGGTGAAGCCGCGGAACTCGTCCTGAATGCTACTCGTTAACGGCGGACTTCCGGCAAGCTTGTTTCTCGCGCCGCCAATTTGTATGCTCTGCGCCATACTACCGGGCGCGCCCGGAGCTGGTGGCGACGCGAGGCGATCGCTGCCGAGTGGGCCTTGAGGCGTGTATACACCGTTCGGGTTCGCGTCCTCCACCCAGCTCGCGCTGGGGTCGTTCTCGTCGATGAGCCCAGTGAGCGTTGGATCGTCGACGGCGGCGTTCGTGAACTCGGGATCGAAGTTCGCGGTGCTCTCGTCCGACTCGACATTAGGCTTGAACGGCGGTGTAACCTGCTTCTTCCCAAGTGCCACCCAGTCAATAGACTTGAAGAACGGATGCTCCTTCAACTCCTCGGCGTCCCGCTGGGCGCCCAGCCGGTGCTTGGGGTTGCGGTTCAACAACTGCGGGTGCCGTCAGCTTATGCATTACGCGAGACGATGACGATACGCACGCCCTTGACAAACTGCTTGCCGTCCTCGTTGATGACACCCTTAGGGAACCGAATCTTGCCGAAGCAGATGTTCTTGTACATCTGCTGCGTGTCCTCTGCGTAGAATGGGCTCCAGCCGCAGCACATCTCGAAAAGGAGCACGCCAAGGGACCAGAAGTCCACGAGCTTGCTGTACCCGTGCTCGTCGAGGAGAACTTCGGGTGCAAGATATTCCGTCGTGCCGCAGAACGTATTTGTGAGCTCGTCTGAGCGCAGGTCCGGCTTCGACAAGCCGAAATCGCAAAGAGCGACGTGGCCTGTTGCGTCCAAGAGAATGTTCTCCGGCTTCAAGTCGCGGTAGACGATGTCGTACTTGTGCAAGTGCTCGAGCGCCAGCACGAGTTCGGCAATGTAGAAGCGCGCGCGTTCTTCGGAGAAGCGAGTCTCCTTCTGGAGGTGCCAGAAAAGCTCGCCACCGGACTTGAAGTCGGTGACGAGGTAGAGGTCGGTCTCGGTCTGGAAAGAGAACTTGAGGCCGACGAGGAATGGGCTCTCGAGGGAGCGTTGCAAAATCTTGCGCTCGCCGATGGTATGCGCAACCTCCTTCTTGGCGATGATTTCTTTCTTGGAAAGAACCTTCATAGCATAGATCCGGCGCGTGTCGCGTTTGCGGACCTGGAAGACCCGACCGAAAGTGCCACGCCCGATGAGTTTGAGGAATTCGAAGTCGCGCGGCGTGAGTGCGCGCTTGGACTGGAGGATGACGGTCATGCATGCGTTAGCGCCTTGAGTGGTAAATGCGAACAAGCCGGAGCGCCACGCACCTTATATTGCTCGAAGGTTATTTGTATGCGGATTTCACCGGTGACGACTTCATCCTCGGTGGGTTTGAGGCTGGGGTGTGGAGCGGTGCTGTGAGCGGAGTTGACCGAGTGATGGCGGGGGGACTACTTACCGGAACCACTGATCCACGGTATGGTCGTGTATGAGCACCGGTTTGTACTGAACCGTGCCGAGATACGTTTGACATTCCTCGGAACGGTCGTAAACGTTGAAGGCGATGGTGGATTCCTCGGAAGTCACGTCGCTGACCAAGACGGGAAAATGTCAGCCACACGAATGCAGTTGGAGCAGATGGAAATGCGATGCGCACAATGAGACTTCGTGTTTCCAAACTGGGTTGGTGGATGACATGCGGGCACCGATTTGGAGGCCATTTGACGAGCCCGAAGAACCAGAGGAACGGTGGGAAGAGACTGATGCGCCACTTGGAGCGGGAGAAGCGTTTCGTCGTGCGGCATCCTGGGCCTGCGCCTTGCCGAGTGCGCTGATGGCATTGGAGGAGGACGTGCGGGAGAGATTTGTCGCGACGCCCTTGAGCTCCTTTGCGTCGTCGCCGGTCGGATCGCGTGACACGAATTCATTATTCTCGAATACGACGACGACATATGGCCTGGCGGTAAGCGAGCGCACGTTGAGGTTGCGTGCGGCGATGAGCTTGACGTGGATCTGCCCCTTGGACGGGCCCACGGCAGTGGCCTGGGAGTTATTATCCTTTGCGGGCACTGCTGTCGTCTGGCGAGAGAGAGCCGGCCTGGTGGCCGGTGGCTGCTTCGTCGTTATATTCTGGGATTTTTTTGATGGCGGGAGGGACATATTGAAAGCGGGAGGCGCATGGAAGGAGGGAGGCTGCAAGCTCAGGGAGGGCGGAAGAGCCTGGGCACCTCCGGGACTGGCGGGCGATGCCGTGACTTGCGCGCCTCCGAGACCTGGAGACTTGCCCAGGAGCGCGTGATGGTAGCCGCCGCCCCCAGACGGCGTCAGCAGCGGCTCGGTCGCGCCCGGCGTTATCGGCTCGTGCGTTGACGCTGGCGACGGCGGCGAGACGTTGGACAAATTCGGACTGTCCCACGGGTTCGTTTCCTCTGATTTCTTGTTCGTCAGTGACGCCTTCGGCGTCAGTTGCTCGACAAAGCTCTTTGACCAGAGCTTGAGTGTGGCAGGCATCGTGAACCGAGTCTGTTAGCGGCGATAGAGTCGTGGTCGTGGTATGGAGTAGAGGTGAGGGCTATCAATAATAATCTAGAGTTTATCCCTTCGTCATGTTGGCGACTCCACCCCATCGGCAACCCCGTCCCTGGCTTCTTCACCCTCTTTCCTCATCATTCTCTCTTGAAGCAATCTCAGCCCCATCATCGAGCTTCCGATTACCAGCGAGAGCGCTTGGGCTCGCCCGGCGTCCCGCAATCCCAATCGCCCTGTGCCACCCGATCCGTTAGCATACACATACAGCGCATACATACAGCTTTCCATAATGACACTCACATACGCCCGAAAACACGCTCGCAGTGCCCACCGCAGCACCCAACTCACGGAAGTCGCCTAACCCCGTGCGGTACATCCCTTCCTCGCACACTACCCAACTCAATGCGATGAAGCCGAGCCGCATGCTCCATCTGCCGCCCTCCTGCAGTGCCGCCAACGCGACCTTGTAATTCCGTGTCTTGTAGTAAAGGTACCACCCCCGCTTCGTCCGCGGTGGCCGGTGCGCGTTCTCTGCCAGGAAGCGCATACCGGCCATCCTCCCTCCGCGTACACCCCCGATCAACGTCCCCAGCACCATTGCCCCGAACGGTATGTACGCCGCTCGTGGTGGTATCGCCACCTCAAAGTTCTCGCCTAGCTTCATCGTGTGCGCCTCGCGAGCGCGTATGGCCGCGTTATTGCTGCTGCTGCTCCCGGCACTGGTGCTAGCATTATTTGGGCTTGTTGAAGTCGAGGCCGGGCTGGACGACATGCTCGTTGCTCGTGGCGAGTTCTGGCGCGTCGACGCGTCTCGTCCGCGCCTTCTCGCGCGCCTAACGCGGTTAGGGGCTCCAAACCTTCCCATAACGTTCACACAACGTTCGGCCTTACCCCGCTGGGGAAACCTCGTTCTCGGGCCTCGTGCTTCCAGAGTCACTCGTAGGATATAGGGTGCATAGATAAGCATGTATATGATTAGCTTGCGACGTCATGCTCGTCGTGTACGGAGGGGCTATGGGAATAATAGGAAGCGGCGTAGGGAAATGTACAAGGATCTACGTAGTATGGGATAGTAATGTGTGCGTTAAGCGTAGGAAACACGGATACGGTCTTCAGTTGGCCCGGAGAGATAGATGAAATAGCAGAAGCACAGCAAGCAACTCTGATAAACGTTCGCCGCGTGCGGTGCCACAGGCCACTACGGGCCTGCGAACGGTGAACACGGCGTGCTACCAATCATTTAGCTTTTTGCAGTCTGGCCGTACGAGATTAACGCCTCCGCGAAGCAGTGGTGGGAGTACATGGCCGCCGATAATCGTTGTCTGAACGATTGACTCGACCTCGTGTGTTGATACACGCCCGTACCACACCCCAGCCCCAGACGGCATGTAGATCTAATCTCCAATCAGCATCCAGTACGCCACATATACGGCAATCTGCGCTCACAATCACGTTGCCGGCGTACTTGTGTCCGCCTATGTGACTGGTCTTGAGAATAAGCGCGCGCTTAGGCTCGTGAGCTTCGAGCGCGCGCATCTGTGCCAAGAGCGCCGCCTCGCGATCACCCTCGCACTCAACGGCATCTTCCAGCGGAGGGCCTTCGAGGTCGAGCTCCTCCATCTGGGTGTGCACGTCCCAGCCCTCGCGTCCGAGCACGTTTGAGAACGCGTTCTCTAGCTTGGGAGCGACGACGGCGCAACGCACGTCGCGTCGTCTGTGCGAGCCTGCAAGAGGCGCGTGAGCCGGCGTTATCCCACGCAGATGGTGAAAGATTGACACGCACAGATGAGGATTACACACGCGTATGGGATGACCCAGCTCCTCAGCGTACTGGAGGGCTCGAGTGCACCCATGCGTGGAACGGCAGGGTCAACCTGCTGTGACCAGAGCTCGCGTGCGCCAGAGGGCTCGCGGCGTACGTCGCACACGACCTTGTAGTCGGGGAACACAAGCACAGTATCGCATTCATCTCCATGGCTGAGTGATCGGTGGCTGCCATTGAGTACGGAGACCTTGTGAGTCTCGTTGTCACGGAAGATGCCGACGACGGGAGACGGCAACGCGGGGGTGAACGGGCGAGATAGTGTCGACGCCGTCCGTCGTAGTGCGGCAGGGCCTGGTACAGGCGCGTCGAGGTCGCGTAGTTCAGAGTTGGAGCTTTGAGGGGTTCCGGGTGTCGACGTGTCAGGAGTCGGCAAGCCAGGGCGAGCGGCGGTCTCGACTTGGGCGAGGTGGTATGCGAGCGTGTCCTCGACGTCTGCTACGCTGTGAGCCCAGTCGGACTTGCCAGTCGAGATGACGATCTGAAAGAGGAAAGGCGGGGATGAGCGCGCGGTGCGATGCGGGCCACAAGGTTATCTGATAATACCTGCCGCCGATATGGCTTGACGCTCCCGAGCATCTCGCTCTCCGTATCAATCATCGCCTCGATTCGTTTAGGGTACTCTTCGTGGTCTGCGCGCAGTGAGCGGTCCAGCACTCGTTACACGTAAACCGGGTCATCAACGCACCCTCTTCGCATGGATTCGGGCAGTTCCTGCAGTCCGCAAGACTAACAGGAACGCCGGCGGCCTCGAGCGTGCTATGATGAGGACAGGGCTCGTCCGGCGCGTGCTTGTGCCCTTCGTGCTCCCCGCGCGGAGCACCGAGCAGCACGACCGACATCTTCTTGAACCCGAACATGCTGGCAGTGACAGGTTGTGGTCAACGTGCCTTCCGCGCTCGGGCTGGGGCCCATCCGCACGCGCCATTATTTCCGTCAGACACCATCGCAGTCCCGGAACTCGCGCCCCGCCTGGACCTTTGAGACCGCCGATGCCACGCCCGCGTCTCGCTTTCCCCCGCCCGTGGTACGATGTGAACGTGTATGAATAGAACGCAGACGGTAGTATGCTGTACATGTCCGACCAAATGGTATATACCAAAACAAACGAAAGCAATAGCACGAGGACAACCAATAAAGATAGCGAAAACGAAAGATAGGGGCACTGGGGAAGCGCCGGCGGCAGTTGCTTCTACGGCTTAGAAAGTCTAACCCCACTCGTCCGGAACTGCAGATCGGTACGTCAGCGCTGCGTTCGCCACACATCCCCGCACGGCATCAGAACAAGAGAAATAGACGTACCAAATGGCGTAACGAGCTCGTAGACGTCAGCATTCCGCGACTTGACTTGTTGTTTGTTGCGCTTCATGAACCTGCCTGCAAAGTTGCGCAAGCCGCGGCGCCCGCCGGGCCCGTCGTCCTCTTCGTCGAGGGCGGCATCCATAGGATAACACGAGTCCACGAGTCGGGCGAGGCGGCCGAGAACCTCATCCTTGGCGGCCGCCGCGCGCCGACTGTCCTCGAGCGCCTGCGCAAGGTACAGCGCGAGATTAGGCAGCGTGATCGGCAGCGCGGGCAGGGGCATCGTTGCGGTCGGCGGGATGGCAAAGTACTTGCTGAGTGCGTTCTCCGGTCCATCACGCAGCAACGCGGGCTTGGACGACAACGTATAGCTGAACGGCAACTGGTTCGGATCGGCCGAGGTGTATTTCGCGATGGTCGGCAGCTTCGGCGGCGGAGGGTGATCGACTGTCAGGTAAATGACCGTGCGCCAGTCATTCGACGCGTGATGATTCTGTTTATCGAAAGAAGCAGGTCCACAACACCAACGAGGTCAGCGCGTGCAGAGCAGCAGTCTGTAGCGAAATTTACACGCCTTGATGAACTGCACGACCACCCGGAGTCTCAGTGGGTCCTTCGTTACGGCGAGTGCGTCCAACGCTGGTTCCACTCGTGTTGCGCTGAGCTTAGCCGCGAGGCGTAAGAGGTGCTTCCAGCTGGTCGCCTGGATGTGCATGGGCGGCGCCTTGCCGTACGGTAGCGAAAAGATGTTCGGGATCGGTTCCTTCCACAGGACCTGATGCGGGGTCATGGGCGGCGTGAAGAAGCCAAACGCTACAACCATCGTGGATTAGCGACACGGCGAACAGAAGAAGCTATAGGAAAATAACACGCACACAAACCCATCAATAGCTCAGGTTCGACGAACTGGTTCGCCGACCGCTGTGTAGGTCCTGTAGAAACGGTCTTCTTGGGCATATCCTCCTCGACGACTGTTGGCTGTTTCGAGGACGAGGACGCGAAAGTCGGGGCAATCGATGGGAGATCGGAAGTACTGTGTGCACGGCGTTGAGGGATAAGTGTCTCTTGTTTGGGTGATGAGAAGTGTGACTGTGGTTGCGAATGGATTCCCTGTGGCGTAGACGAGTGGGTTGGCGAGGATGTAGATATGGATGCAGAGGAATGAGTAGTATCCTGGCTCTGGGCGTCATCATCTAGGGCCAAGCGCCGCGCGAGCGCTTCGTCCGCTACCAGTTGGTCCGCACGGCTGATGTCCGCGTGCGATTGCGGGAACGGGTATTCCGAAAGCGCCGCACTGGTAACTGCGGGTGCCGACTGCGCGACCTCCAAGGGTGGAGTAGTGTGTTTTATTAGTAGGGCTGGTACCGCAGGGGCCGGTTGTAGAGAGGTCGCTATGGAAGAGCGGTCATATGTTACAGTCGAGAACAAAGAAGACGCCGTGGGGCTATTTAGTGTGACCGTTGTCGTAGATTGTGATGATGAGAGCGACTCTTGATCAATCGACCGGAGCGAGACGGAAGGTGGTTTAGGTTGTGGTCGCGAGTACAGGTGAGACGTAGACGTAGATGCAATGGGCATAGATAGCACCTCCGGGCGCTGTGATGAATCCGGTCCCATAGACGCTTCGAGGGCCCTTGCCAGTTCCTCCTCTTCGCGCGACGCGAGGTCTTGCTTGCTAGCCTCTTCACGCATGGACGCTTCCAAGGCCTGACGTACGATCTCCTCGTCAAACGGGTCCGGTTCGGCAACCAACAGCGCGGCGGACGGCGCAGCCGATACGGGAATCGGCCGTACAACAGAAGAGACCTCTGCAAGAGGAGCTGGGTGTTGTGAGAGAGGTGGCTCGTGTCTCGTATGTCGCGGGCCAGGAGTGGGTAGTCGTGCAGGCACTGGAGATGGCGCCCGCAGAGGTTCAGGTACGTGCAGCATAGGCGCTGGTGGGAACGTGGTCGTATACGGTCCAGGGGAGGCGGTAACGACGGCAGTGTTATAAAACGACAATGCCGAGCCTTGCCTGGACGTCAAAGGAAACTTCGGCGGCAATGGCGGCGACGAGTGATCAGCCCATGGTTTGACTGGTAACGGTGGAGATGTGGCGCCGCGCACGGGCGAGGTATAGTGCGACGATGGTCTGCCAGGCGGCGAGGAATAATCGCGCCGTCGGGCAGGTCCTGGAATCATCGCTCCAGGAGGCAGCGTAGAGCCATGTACATTGGGTATACTACCCGGGAAATGTGGAGAGGACGAGCGAACACCGTTGATGTTCCCTGGAATGAGCGATGGAGGGATCGCTGGAACAGTCGTCTGCGGGATGGACGCGTTGTACAAGTCCGCGGCGAGGCCGAGGGCAGGGCCACTTCGCGCGCGCTGCCTGCGAGTCTGCTCAAAGCTGGCCGACATAAGCCTCGCTGGCAGTCCCGTCTGGTCGATGGCAAGAAGCAAACAGCAGTGTTGCGTTCGGGAGCGCCGGCGCTGATAACGACTATAAGGCTCCCACCGCGTATGCCGCTCAATGACACCGGCCTGAAGTTGCTGTTGGGCCTTGACCTCACCGATCGTCCCTGTTCAGTTCCGGTCCTCCTTCGGCCGGAGGCTCGTGTTCATATACGCAACTTGGATACCATCCACCGCCGAGCCGAGCCTTGATGGACAAGCCCAGGTCTACCAATGTCGAAGTGGCACCGCCTCAATTGAGTGGTTCGTGGGTCCGACACACTCACGCGGCGTTTTGGGCGGCTATATGCGGAGACAGGCTTGTCTGTTTACCGCCACCACCACCGCCTCTTACTACGTTTTGCCCTCCAGTCAATGTCCACAATTTCCACATGCTCGGAAACCTGAACTCTTCTGTATTCCGGAACTTTGGGTCCCAACACCAAGAGAGTTATTCCACGCGGAACTGGAACTCAAATCAACATGCATACCTTCAGGCTCTACGCGAAGGGCCCACGGCAGCTCTTGACCGCTTCCGTACCCTTTTCTTTCGTCGCGAAACTGGACCGCTATCCGGGAACGAAGAGATCGTCAAGCTGTCTTATCCGCTATGCAAATACTATGAAGAGTTTCCAGTGGAGAACGATGAGCTGTGGCGTGCGTCTGCAGATACCGAGTTTATCGTATTCATAATCGATGTCATCACGGGACCGGACTTCTTAGATCATCATCCTGTAAGTGTGCTCGTACGGAAAGCATTGGTCAAGAAGCGCCTGCTGATTCTTTTTGCAGCAATTTTCTTCGAATATGTGTGGCCCTTTGATGGAGCTGTTCAAAACTTGGCTAATTGATGTACAATCTCGCCGAGAGCCCCGTATCATGTCCTCGGATCTTCATGGTACGATATGGGGAAGTATCGAGAGTATATGGACGAGTATGTGGGATCGTCGGAGTAGCCTTGCCCAAAGATGTGACTCAGATGCTGCCTGGAGACGAGTCGCCATCGCGTTCGATCTCATCGCGCGCGCGACAGAAGATCTGCGGAGAGCGTATGTCGTTTTCAATACATGTCACCTGGTAAACACTTTCTGACTATCCCACAGTGCTCATCCAGGTGTCCGCTCCTCTCCTGACGTGGTTCGCGCGGTATACTATTCGTGGATATGGTCCCACGGTGCACCAAGTCTCACTGAGGCCGATATTGCTATACAGCCCTCCTTCCATGATGCCCCCACTCTTCTCTACGATTACTATATCTCTCTGTCTTTGGATGGCGACGTGCCTAAACCCGACTTGTCCGAGTCACATACCTTCATGCAAGAGCTCCAAGACGCCTTAGATCCCAAGACATTTGTTCGCGCTGCCCTCAACGTGCTCGCTTACTCTTCGAAATTCGGCGACACCTCTTTGATTTCCTTCCTCCGGATACTCTCTTTGCAGATGCACATCATTGGTCTCCACTGCTACGCTGCTGCTCCTCTACTTTCGGCTATCGATACGGCCCTGGCGCGACAAAACACTATTGGTTCTGGGAATGACGTGCTACAGAGTATGACAGCTTACGGAGCGGCTTTCGAACACATACGGTAAGTATCGACACATTTGCGTCGCAGTACACGGATCAACCTTCAGTCGGCAGGAATATGATCTCTGGACTCGTTTTAGGGGATATCTCGGTGGCGGCTTTCCCCGGAGATCGGTTTTGGAATATACTTGTGGGAGGACTTCCCTCTGCTTACTCGGCCGACTCATGGCTGCGTCACGAGCAAGGGTTCTGCCAGTGTGGCGATCATGCAATCTTGACTGAGGGTGCGTTATACCGAAGTTCCTGCAGTTCCAGATATGTTTTGATGACCATTTTTTCCTCCTAAGGTTTGGCTGAGTTCCTCGATTCTCTGTCGGGTCTGACGGATACTCTGATATCCGATGTTGAGGGCGAACGTCTTCCACAGAGTGCCATAGATGAAGTCCGCGATGCCGGTGTGAGTCCGCGAACACAAGCTAACGGCATATGGTACGACGTCCTGCTTTCACTGCGTCGGACTGCACGCCACAACCCAACTTGGACGACATACACAACCCTCCTCGACCTTTGGGGGAAGCTCGGGAAGGCTTTAGGTATCGACGAAGCGTCTCAACGGGACATTGAGGCCGCGCACCGTGCGCGTCAGTGCTGGTGGCCTTCGTGTCCGGCGCATTTGAGGCCATCCGAGAAGCCATTACTCGTTTGCAAGGGTTGTAAGGAAGCTCGATATTGCTCGGCAGCATGTCAACGGAGGTGAGCACTACCTTGGACATGTGGAGTTATCCAAACCGCTCACAGTGCTTCAGCGATTGGAAACAAGGTGGCCATCGCGCAGAGTGCCGCAGGGTGAAATAGGTGTATCGTACTTCTGTTCATTCATCGTTACAGGCTTAAATTGATGTTCAGTACCATGTCATCTCGCAGGCTCTCATAGTCATGAATAAATACTCAGAGCCCTCTTACTCACGATCGACCTGCGATCATAATACCGCAACCCCAAGTATTGTTTTCAATGGACTGCCTATTATCACATTTCGCCATGATGCGATTGAATCATTCTCTACGCTCGCAGGATGCTCAAGGGTAAATTTTCAGCAGACAGATCTGAATAATGGTTCGGTGAGATGGGCGTGGGCAAGAAGGGCGGAGATGCTGAAGGACATTGGACAAAGCCAAGGGGACAGAAAGATGTCGAGCAGCTGTGCCAATCAAGCGATAGAGAGCTGGTCGCGATAAAGCCATGACAGTGTACTGAGTCTCGTGTTAGAGGATACAGCATTGAAGGCGAGTGTCCAAGCTACCAGACATTCACAACAGGGATCAGCCTTCGGTGGGTGATCGCCAATGTGAACAGACGCCAATCGGCCGATGCCGGTGATGAGAGTCAGCTGCGAGGGCACGCGCAACTTGATATTGGCTAATCTCGACCATACCGTGAACTCTAACTTAAACTCTACACCAACGGTGTCGGGATCCTACTTCGGATCCTCGCAGCAGAACTTACTAGACTAATGTTCGCTTCGGTTCATCAGAGTCCACAATCTACGAGGAGATACCGGGTGCGCAAGGCAAGTGATGGAGAGATGCAGGAAACTGATGAGAGATGGTGAACTTCCTGCCAGGAGATCATGGGAACACTGACGTTCTGATGCCCAGATGGCGTGGGACGCCCTCGGAAGCCGGCCCAGAAGCCTTCACACGGCTAGCAAGCGGGCTGTAGATCGTTAGAGTTCGTTCGTGTGAATGCACGGTTCACCATCTACTAGCCGTTTGAAAGACCGGATCGGTCTCCAGAGACTACTAACCGGATATGTACGGCCATCTATTTGGAGACCTTGACCGGCTAGTCAATCGAAGAACGACGTTCGTTGAGTAGTAAGCATCGGCTCCGGGCATTGGCCCGGAAACCTCAGACTCCAACTACACATCCGGCCACCTACTGACTGTCACCCTCCCCCGGCATTCAAAGCTGCACATATAAGCCCTCTCAAGTCGCCGATGCCATGCTTCACCAAGTGCATGCCTTGCAGTCTCGACGATGCAGGCGGTGTCCAGCCTCTCTCAGTGCGCCACCCACTGGCACCTGAATTGCCCTTGCGGGCCGTCGCACTGCGTATACACGTTGATCCTCTGCTGCGACTGTGAACCCACAGTCCATAGCCACGAGCCGGCACGCGTTACGGACGCAGAGATAACCGCGATGGCGCGCTACGTTCATCTGAATAACCTGGGAGGCACCGACGGGGCGATACGTTGGGAGGCATTCTATGCGCAGGTACGCCTTGCTCTTCAGACTTGAAGAGGATGACGCTGAGAGCGTTGCTTTACAGTATCCGCACAGGGCTCCAGTATGCTGGATGCAAGCGTTCAGGAATCACGAGAAGGGTGAGTAATCCCGCATTTCCAACAATGATACGTTGCCGATAGGTGGGTGCATGTAGAGATACGCGGCGTGGCCGCTATCATGTCGCAGGATGCGATGGACACTGATTGAATGGTGAGCACTCCGGCTCTTGACGTTGCTTAATCGGTCATTGAGACTTATATCAGTAGATGGGGGTGGAGCATGATATCCTCATTGTAGTCACACTCAGTGCTTGCTGCCTTCTCAACCCCGAGGGCGCCCGCCTCGCAGCGCTTTCCTAAGAAGCGATCGTCTACTCATCCCTCCAACTCCCTCGTCCTACTCAAAGCCACGACGGCCACAGCCATCCTGTATAATATATTCATATGATATCGACATCGTTGGGAGTCGAGTTCCCCCCCGCGAGGTCTTCTTCGTGATTCGAACATGGTGTGGAAGAGTCTTCGACTCGTGCATCGGATCAGCATATGCGTTGAGGTGCTGCCAAGGACGCCCAACGTCTGTGACGGTGGTCAACTTTCTCAACGAGGCCCTGGTGCTTCAACTCTTCCATGCCCTCTTTCTCTTCGTCTTTCTCCCAGCCACCCTCCCCCGTCCATTCCCCATCCAGTTGTAAACAATCCAACACCGCCACGCCTGCTCCTTTCCGCGCCTCCAAAGCAGACACGACAGCGTCCCACCACTGTCTTGTTTGATACAACTGAGGTACACTCGATATCTGCGCGGCAGATACTCGCACGATTTTGAGGGCGGGTAGGATCGGTATGGGCTTGAAATGCCGCAATGCTCGGACATATGCTGCCGTAAGCATGTAGTCCATGTTGGCCAGTTGTAACTCCGTGACGCCTGTCAACGCGCGTCCTAAGGCGCCGAACGTCGCGTCGGTGTTGATTGCGTCCGCGGTGGATGCGTCGAATTTGAGATATCGAATCAGCGGAGCTGCCGTATGCATGTAGGACGGGAGGCTGACGAGTGTATCGTCGCGTATATCGGCGTCACTCGTCGAGATTTCGAGCTCGCATGATGCCGAGATCAAAGGCGAAGACGAAGAAAGGCGGATGTGAAGAGTGTTGTACGCCGTAGGGCTCTCTGATATTCGGAGCTCCAGCGTATCGTACAAATCACGATCCAGCTCCTTGGCGCAGGTACCCAGTATGAGCCGGGAACGAGACTGAGGGTCTTTGGAGTACCCCGATGAAAAAACGAGGTGAAGTGAGAGGTCGGGAGGCGTGATGATGGGTTGAAGCAGGTCCGCAACAGTTTGATCCACGCTGACAGCGATCTTCGCGTGCTTGAGCTGGTCGAGGTGAACGCGCCGGTCCCATTGTGCTTGCTCAGAGTGGTTGAAGCTCCCGGGCACTGGTTCATTCGAGAAATCAATGTGGGTCCATTCGCCGGTGATGGTCACATCGAGAGTCGAGAGAGAGGAGCAGGCCCGCAGGAAGTCGTGTACGGCGACTAACCGCATACGAAAGGTGGCTATTGTGAGCTGTAGTACGCGTAGGCCGCGGGCCATGTGCGGTGGTAACAACACCCTGCTCAGTGTCGCGCTTTGCAGACCTGGAGCTTCCCAGAGGATGAGGAGGTCTTCATCGCTCACGTGGCGACCACCGAGGTGCAGTTCGCGAAGCTCGGGGAGAACGAGTCTACGCTCGCTAAGCCTATTGAGCAGGACCGCGCTTGGTGCGACGAGCACGCCCGCTTTGTGAATGTTCTCCAAGACCCACTCCTCCAATGGCCACAGTGTGTTATATCCCTCTCCAAAGACTCCATTATATCGCGTCAAGTCGATAGAGATGGGATGGCCGCGTGCGCGGGACGCGAGCTCCGTCGCTACGGACGGTTCCCAGGATAGACAGACGACCCGAGCCCATAGTGGCGCAAGGGTCGCGCTGAGGCCTATCGAGCGCCAGCGGCGACAGATGTGCGTGAGGATGATCCATCCTAGCAGGGTGTCGGTATGCCGGACTGCGTGGGCGGAGGCGGGCATCATCACGATGGCGCGCGGCGGATAGACTAGAGCCGCATTCTCAAAGAGCTCGTATATGACATCGTCTGGAAGCTTGAATATGTATGCGGGTGCGGGCACGTCCACGGGAACTGCGGTTGTAGCGGCGGCGTCGATAGGGTCGGCTTTGCCATCACGGCGGCGACGAGAGAGTATGTTGCGCAAGCGCATTTGCGAGGATATGACGATGGGAGAGTAGAGTCAAGCTCATAGCTATACGGATCGTTACATGGCGGGTCATTGCATCCGCCAGAGGCAGTGCAGAGGCGCCGAAGACTGAATTCGAAGTGGCAGGTCAAGATCAAGCGGCTCAGGCCCGTTGATTGAGAGCATAAATGTAACCCTAAACTAAGGTTGGCTCGCAGAACGCATGCCTCTCGCGTCAACCAACGGCCACCATGTTGAGGCACTCACCGAGCTGCAATCTTATATCATGCTTCGTGTATGGGATATGCAGTGATGGCTGAGAACCTGCGAGAGTATCTACCCTTTTCACTTGAAGAAATTCGCTCCCACGAACCCTCCAACCAGTGGATAATTTAGACGACCCCGGGACAGGCCACGGCTCGCTATTGGGGTGCCGTACATATCGCATTGCATTACATCCACAGCTTGCGTCTCAAACGTCTTCGGAGTACATGATGGAACTGCCATCGGGATTGTTCTATGTTAACCACAGGAGTCCTGTCCCGGTGCCGGCCCGGCGCCGGAGGGAGGATACCCTGCTCCGTCCGCGTCTCGCCAATCACCTCCGTGCACGAGACGTAGTGCCGACTCCTTGCGAAGATATAAGCATGTACTCTTGGACGAGGGCGCTTCTTCGCGTACGCAGGCGACTGTGCGTTTGTCGATCGACTGGACGCGCCGTTATCACTCAGAACGAATGCAGGCAGACGCGGCCATGCACAGATACATGAAGGTTTCCGCGAAGGCGAGCTACGTCAAGAAGCGTGAGGCTGCCTTGAACAGGGGTGGCCTCGACGGGTCGGTGCTCTGGAAGACGTATCACACCTAGGTTGGTCCGTGCTTCCTGTTTACCGTGCTCTCCTTCTCGTGAGTCCCTGCGGCTTGAAGAGGTGTTATGCGACCTCCGCGCACATCTGTTGACTGCCGGCCTGAAGTATTGCAACAGCAAGATGAGCTGAACGTGATCTTGTAATACGCACCATAAACCGCTGAGACTTCGGTTCGCTTGCTATAGACGGCTGGGTACTCGGTCGCACAACTCCAAATAACCTGACGCACTCATGGTAAGCTAGAAGCCCACCAGAAGCCACACTTCATAGTGCTAAGTGGAGTCGAAGCCTGCACGCCGCGATCCGAGGTCATCTGCGAACTCCCGTTCATTGTGTGAGGGAAGCAGAAGCCACCGCGGAGAGGATCACATAACCCTCGGATTATACGAGGAGAATATATGCGGGGTCCAAGCCCACACAAACGCTGCGCTTTGGAGTTGTTCAACCGAGCGAGGGCACAAACGTCGACTGTGCCGGGAGAAGAGCAATATGGGGCAAGGGCGCAGAGCACGCCATCGCGGAGTGTGAGGGCGTCGCGCAGAGCTCGAGCAGGACACACACGACGCCTGAGCCCGCCCTCCGAAAGCGTATTAGCGTTAGTCTTGCTGACAGGTACTCCAGAGCCCTCTGCCCCTGTGACCGCGCCCGTGCTTATCTCACTCTCGCTGTGGTCTGACGCGACGTAACAAGGGCAGAGATAGCACGTCCGAAAGAGGCGCGCGGATCGTCACGGGCCACAACTGTGCTCACGCGCGCGAGGGAAGATGAGCGCGCACCCTACGCCCGTTCGCTGCGTTCTAACGGGTCAACGGATGAGGAAGCGAGCGAGGTCTGAATGCGTGATCGCCGCGCGTGCTAGAACATGACGAGCTGGCTCTGGATCCTAAGTTTTCTGTTTTCTGCGTAAGAGAAGTTGGAAGGGAGGAAGAGCGCTCGAACTTTGTCGAGGACGGAGACGACGGCGGGCGTGCGCACATCGCATCATGATGACATCCCAAACGATAGCGACCGCTTGGCCGCTGGTGACCGGAAGGAAAAGGCAATCGAGTCAGGCGATAGCCCTGGGAGACCCTGTGGCTGGAGCGCCCAGTTTAAGGCAATGATTGTGCAGGGCCACGACGCGGTCATGCGACTCTGCGAGCGGAAGGTTGAGAAATTCTGTACGCAGGACGGAAGTTCTTCATGGGCGCAACGTGCCGCGGCCGGGTGTGAGAGTGGTGTCATTGAATTCGGACACACGGAGTGTACGCGGGAGGATTTAGAGTAAATTGCAGTGCGAGGAAGAGGGGTGTAATGTAGTTCGAGACAGCGAACGGCGCGAGACACGGACAAACGACATTGTCGCAACGCTCAATAATACCTCCTCGCGAGTCCGTCCTTTGTGTCATCGTACGGGTTATCCCTCCTAAGAATAGGCATCAAGCCCATCATCTTCGCTCTCCTAACCGCTTTGGCCATCCGCCTCTGCGAGCGCCACGTCAAGCCGGTCATTGCGCGTTTCCGGATACGTCCCATGTCGGTGACAAAGTGTGCGAGCATACGCGCGTTGGTGGATTCGTGCAGGGGGTCAATGTTGAGCTGCACAAAGGCGTCGCGAGCCTCGGATGCTGCGCGGCCCGGTCCGAAGGGGTCGGGTTTACGAGGGAGTTTCTGCCATGACTTGTCCTTGAAGTCGGAGAGACGGACAAAGTTGGTGGGACGTAAATGTCTGGGCATGTCTGGATGAACTGTAGTAATGTAGTGTTAGATATCAATACGTGGTTGTTAGGAATGTAGGGAGGATACGGACCCGAGTAGGCGGCGACTTGCTGCTCCTCGCGTGTCGGCGCGTTTTCGAGCAGTTCAGCCGTCTGGTCGATATCCTCCGCTGCCATGGGCTGAGCCGACGGCAGCGGTTTGGCCAGCAAGTTAGCCTTGCGTGCCGCTCTGGAGTTCCTGATAGCGGGGGCGAAGAGGGCCCTTGTGAGTTTGAGCATGGTGATGGCCGTCGGCGAGTGAAGTTGAATAAAGGGATCCAAGCGCGTGTTGTCTCCGACCACGCCTGAACCCGGCCGTCCCACTCTCACCACCCAGCCCTCTTCGCCGTACTTTTGGAGGAAACAGTCGCAATAAATACAGGGCGGGCGCCAACCGAGCCGGTTATTCGATCGCGTGTCTGTCCCAACGTCTGGAGGTCGCACCGCCGCCTAGGCGCCGACCGTAGGCATGGCCCACCCCAAGCCCCATCCTCAGCCCCTCGTCTTCTCGCCCTCTCCTCCCTCGGCCCCGTCGCCCGCAGGCACCCCGGCACCGCAGCAGGCGTCCAACACGGTGTCCATGCCGTTCGTGCGCCGTCACGTTACCCGGCGGCTTAAGGCGGCCAAGCACGAGTGCGACAAGGAGCTCCAGCGAGTGACCAACTCCATATCCGCGTTCTTCGAGGACAGAGTGCTGCCCCAGGAGGACGACCGCGGGCGGGCGAGAGGAAACCACGAGGCACAAGAGGCATTCAATGATGGCGGCCAGTCCACGCCCCAGGACGACGGCTCGAGCGATGGCTGGGACGCAGAGAGCGCCCACAGCCGCCACCGTGCGTATCGTGTTCTACAGCTACCATACAGTATATCTGACAGCTACACATAGCATCCACGTCGTCGCCTGCCCCGATCCGGCGAGCGCCCACCATCTCCTGGGACTCTGCCGCCAGTTCGCCCTCGACCGGCACGTGCGAATCTGGCAGCGCCAACTCCCCGCGCAAGAACCAGGCGGTCGGCTGGTCTCAGGGAGGCCTCGCATCGCGCCGCCTCTCCCGCTCCCTGCACATGCCCATGCGCCCCTCCCGCTCGGCCGCGCCCAACTCCCGGTCCACTTCCCGATCTCGCTCGCCTCTGCCACTCACGACTGCCAATGCAACTCAGCATTCTTCTTTCTCCGATGCGTCTGCCAAGAGTACGAGACGGCAGAGCAGGGTTATGGACGAATTGGACCCCATAATGCTCAACCTCTACGAGCTCATCAGGACCGCGACAGAAGTCATCGACATGTCCGTGGCTCAGTTAACCGCCGAGGAACACATCTGCGATGCCATCGTCGCCCGCATACAGAAGATCGGCAAGGCGTGGGACGACAATCCCGACTGGCACGGCAGGAGCTGGTACGTCCAGGTCCTCCTCGCCGTCGCCTCACTCTCTCGCGTCGTCGAGTGGTGGACCGCGGAGAAGCACTTCTGGAACTTTGACGACGATGACGACGAAGAGACGGACGAGAGTCTATTGTTCGTCATGAAACCCGAACAGCCGAGTCCAGAAGCGAAGGAGACGCTGCCTCTGCCGCAGGACGTGCATCGCATGAGCCGCGTGTCGAGCCAGGGCAAGCGCTCGAGAGATGGCAACACTCACCCGGAGCCTAGCCGGGCCAGCTCAATGAAGACAGTCGAGAAGGCTGATACCGCCGAAAGCGCCGGCGTACTGGCCACGGAGAGGCTCAGGTTGCAGGCGGAGAACGCTCAGAACCGCAACATTGTTCTCGAGCTCGAGCTAGACGGGGACCGCGTCATCTGGATCAACTACGCCTGGTTCGTGGTTGTTGGGTAAGTTTCACCACACAATCAATCATTGTTCTTCAAACTCATAATCTACAATTCAAACGATAGCACGGACCCCGAACGCATGCAAGGCCGCCTCATCAGCACGATGCTCGCCGAAGAAGACACCACCGTCTTCCGCGAAGCAACGCAGCGCCTGCAAGAAGACGACAGCCACACGGTCGAAGTTCGCTTCCACCTCCGCGTTGAACCCGAAGGCACCGACTCGCCCCGTACGCCCAGCACACCGCTCTTCCAGCCCATGGAGGGCAAGGGCATGCTCATGATCCGCGAAGACGGCGCGCAGACGCATACGATGTGGGTCATCAAGCCCATCGGCGCGCCCGCGCCCGCAGAGCCTCCTTCGCCACCCGAGATGCTCACGGATCAACCGAGCATCGCCGATCCCGACAAGACCGCGGGCGAAGTCTCGCAGCAGGACAACGAGAACGAGGAGGGCGCTGATATCGAGCTCAGCGCTGAGCCGCCCACACCCCTCGCGTTCGCCCGGCCCATCAATATGACGCCCATCCTGTGCCGCATCTGCGAGCAGAACATCGCGCAGTGGTACTTCGAGAAGCACAACGAGACGTGCAGCGAGACGCACAGGCTCGAGGCGGAGATCGGAGAGTGTAACGAGAGCATCGGCGAACTCCGGACGGTCATACGTGATCTCGGTCAAGCGCTCGAACGCGCTTCTCCGGGCGCGCAAGCGCCGGAGTACCGCGGTTTGCCGATTCTCAGCCCGAGCTCGAGTCCGGGCACCAGCTCGCCGCTGCAGATTTTCAAGATCCATAAGATGCAGAAGTACGGCGTCAAGAAGCTGCAGAGGCGCTTGCTCGAGCAGTTGGAGGATATTCTTCAGGTTGCGGCGGAGGTTGCGGTGCCGGCGTTGAAGGAGGAAGAGCAGAAGGAGCCGATTGAGCGTCAGCGGTTGTTGAGCCCCAGCTCTGAGCGCAAGATTTCGCAGATTCGTAATTGGACACGGCCCAGTACGAGCGATAATGGGCTCGGGCAGCTTGTGGCGGACGCGGAGAGGGTGATGAGGCAGAAGATCGATACTGTCGTACGACTACAGAATACGATCAGGTATAGCGAGAAGGTGCGGCAGGAGTGGGAGGAACGTGTGGGGTTGGCGTTGGATGAGGAGGAAGGGTCGGGCAGCAGTTCATCGAGTGGGGAGTGTTCGGATGGGGAGGAGGGCGAGAAGACGACTGAGGGCGAGGGGAAGGAGGGGAAGGAGAGCGTCGATGGACATAGCAGTACGACTTCCGAGTATGCGTTTGGCGCACAGAGCTCGGCGCCTAGCTCGGACCCGACGCCCAACGCTTCGGCGCTTCCCATTCCCATCGCGGTGCCGAGCGCCCAGGTCCCGGTTCCACGCGCATTGCTCAGCACGACACCACCGTATGCGTCGATGCCGCCCCCGCCTCCGCCTGCACCGCCGATGCCAGCGCCTGCGCCGCCTTTGGCGTATCAGCGTAGCGCGATGACACGGTCAAGCACGCCGAGCAGCGTGAGCTCCCCATTAGCGCTGGCGGCGCCTATTGTCGCGAGGGACGACGATGAGGATGATGTTCCATTCATGCTCGACGCGGGCTCTAGCCCCGGTGTCCCGCTTCCACCGCCTATGGCGCTTAGCTCGAGCATTGCCAGTCTTGCTTTGGGTAGCATGCCGCCGCCGCCTCCACCGCCGCATCTCCCGCCACCGCCACACCCACATGCGCCGTCTGTATCACCGCAGATCGCTTCTACGCCCTCCAGCCAACATTCGTCGCCGAGCATCCCGTCTGCGCCTGCCCCTGTCATGCGATCTGTTCGTTCGCGTCGTTCGGGTAACAGTCTTGCGCCCACTACGAGCGGCACGCCACCGCTCTCGCCGCTTAGCTCGCCGCTTGATCTACCGACGCCCGGCAGCACCACCTCTCGCCGCGCTCACAGGCGGCATAGCACGATCAACCCCGTCATGTCCACTGCCGGCTTACCACCCGGTAGCGCCACAGGTGCACCTTTATCTCCTCGAGCGCCCGTCAACCCGCGCAGCACGCCGACGACCATCAAAGACTTCGAGATCATCAAGCCCATCTCAAAGGGCGCCTTCGGCTCCGTCTTCCTCGCGCGCAAAAAGAACACCGGAGACTACTTCGCGATCAAGGTCCTCCGCAAAGCCGACATGATAGCCAAGAATCAGGTCACGAACGTCAAGGCCGAGCGCATGATTCTTATGAAGCAGGCCGAGAGCCCGTTCGTGGCGAAGCTGTTCTTTACGTTCCAGAGCAGGGATAATCTGTATCTGGTCATGGAGTACTTGAATGGTGGGGACTGTGCGGCGTTGGTGAAGACTATTGGGAGTTTGCCGGAGGAGTGGGCGAGGCGGTATGTGGCGGAGACTGTGCTTGCGCTGGAGCATTTGCATGCGAAGGGGATTATGCATCGGTGCGCAAACTTGTTCTGTGTAGGTTTGTATCGCGGATGCTAATGAGTCCGTGAACAGTGATATGAAGCCGGACAATCTACTTGTTGACAACATGGGTCATATCAAGCTCACCGACTTCGGTCTCTCCAAGATCGGTTTACTGGGCCGTCAAACACGCGCGGAGCCAACAGGCGCTGCACTATCATTATCCGGCGACCGCTCGCGAGCGCGCACGCGATACAGCCCGCACAGCCGCCCTCCAAGTATGGACAGCGCATACCTGAGCTCGCCCTTGATCCCAGCCGAGCTGATCGGCGGAGGTTCGTACTTCAACCAACAACCCGCCCCGCACTACCGTCAGGGCTACCCGCACATTTCGGGCTCGAGTTCATATTTGTCTCCAGCTGCATCCGAGCGCGGGGATGATCCCGCTGAAGGCTCTGGACCTGCAAGTGGTAGCGGGAGTGGGAGTGGTGCTGAGCCGTTTTTTGCGCCCCGCAGACCTGGGACGGTCGCTACGGATAGCCCGCTGCAGAGCTTTGCGAGCGAGTTGACGAGCGATTTGAGGAGCCATGTTGCGCCGGGCGGTGGAACGCCGCCTGGGGAGCATAAGTTCGTTGGTACACCTGATTATCTGGCGCCGGAGACTATACTTGGTCTGAGTGGTGACGACTCGACCGTCGATTGGGTACGTCTATTCATTGCTTTGCTTCACACACATCCTGATACTTCCATTAGTGGGCTCTCGGTGTGATCACGTACGAGTTCCTCTACGGCGCGCCACCCTTCCACGACGAGACACCCGAGAAGGTCTTCGAGAATATTCTCAGCGGGCATATCGACTGGATGGAGGAATACGTCGACTACGATCCTCGCGCGCGCGACTTCATGGCGCGTCTTATGACGCTCGACCCTGCTCGTCGACTCGGTGCACATGGTGCTGGCGAGGTCAAGGCGCACCCCTGGTTCGAGGGTATTGACTGGGACACGCTATACACGTCGAATCCGGCGTTCGTGCCCAAACTCGAGGGCGTCACCGATACGACGTACTTCGACGCCCGAGGCGCACAGCTCACGCTCCTCTCGGACGACGATGTGCCGGTGCCGACCGAGGATGCCGACGCAGGCGCCGTGGCCGCCGCGGCTCAAGCGGTGAAAGAGCCTGCGCCGGCGGGCACACCCCAAGACGACGAGTTCGGGAACTTCGCGTTCAAGAATCTTCCGGTGCTCAAGCAGGCGAACGACGAGGTTATCCGTAAACTCCGCACGGACCAGATGGCGCCCATTACGCATACGCTCAGCGATGGTGCTGCTCACGGTCATCATCGTAAGCGGAGTACGAGTGCGCGGAAGAAGCCGCCGGCTAGCGTTGTTACTGCACTTGATGCTCAGGGGAGACCGATCATGACTAATCCACCGAGTCCGGCTACGAGTACGAGTAGCATTGCCAGCTCGCCAAGTCGAGGACCTGGGACGCCTGCGCTTGCTCATGCGCATGGACATACCCATTCGCGCAAGCCGAGTGAGTTGGGTGGAGGCGGTGGTGTGGCTGAGCGCTTCAAACACTCGCATATGGAGTCCGATCTGGCGAGGAGAAACAGTATGCCTAGTCGGCTCCGTACTGCAAGCGTCAGCAGTAGCTTGGGCGTCAGCGAGGGCAGCACTACTGGCTCGTATGATCCGCGCGAGATGGGCAGTATCGCGAGTCCGCCGAGTAGTGTTGCCAGCCGCGAGCCGGAGAGGGACCGGGAGTTGAAGGAGAAAGAGAGGGAGAAGGAGCATGAGCCTAATGATAGGGCTGTCACTGTGCTGCTTGCTGAGGATAACCCGATCACGGCGAAGATCCTCGAGACACTGCTTATCCGTCTGGGGTGTCGCTGTGTGGTGGTTGCGGATGGTGCTGAAGCTGTCGGCGTCGCGCTTGGTGACATCAGTATGTCCCTTTATCCCATGATGTAGGGTTGTGGAACTGACCTCAACGCGCAGAGTTCGATTGTATCCTGATGGACCTGCACATGCCTGTCGTCGACGGCGAGAACGCGGCGCGGTACATCAAGAGCACAAACAACAAGAACACCTCGACGCCAATCGTGGCCGTGAGCGCGTATAGCGGCACTGACAACAACGAGGCACCGTCGCTGTTCGCCGCAAGCCTTGCTAAGCCCGTCGCGAAAAGTGATCTCCTCGCCGCCATGCGCGCGCTAGGGTTCAAAACGTCCGCGCCGGCGGGCAAGGGCGACAAGAACGCGCGTGTCGTCACTGGGCGATGACCGTCCCCTCCGCCATCATCATTCCTCTCGCCCTCCCCTCTGCCTGTCCTGCTCGATACGACTACTGCTTCCGTCTTCTCGCCGAAGCTATGACTGATTGATCTTTCGTTCTTACCTCTGAATCACGCCGTGTTTCTGTTTTCGATAATGTCTCCCCGTCTCCGTCCCGCAAGTTCTGCCCGTTCTCTGTCCATAACACTCATCTGCTCGCACTTCTCACTCACATCTGTCTTCATCCATCCATATGCCCCATCCATATTCTCTCTCAAGATCCCTCGTACGACCCCCTCTGTTTTATCTGTCTCGTTACTTTTCCGTCACGCATCATCACTATCCTCTCTTCCCCCAACTTTACGCCCGTCGCCCTTTTCATTCGCCACACCTCATTCATGTGTTTTCCATAGCTTGCATTGAATCTGCCGACAGGTCATTATTCTTGTTGAGGCTACCCATATTTGGACATGGATTGCTCTGGCAGACTGGCATTCTGAGATGAAGTTCGGGTGCACAAAGCGCGGATGCAACATGAAGGATGGACTGTGTGTGAAGGGCAGCGCAGCCCTACAGCACGTTGCAACGCACGTAATCGTGTAGCACGATCTCATCCGCAAATGGAGGACCCGTTGCCGTTTCCTCCCAGTGTACACCCACGCTGACTACAGGGCGCCTACTACGCATGGTATAAGAATGCGACAACTGGCGTAGCCCCGCTGCAAGCAGCGCCCCGACCATCCCGATTCCCGAGCGCTTCTGTCCAGAACTTTATATTCACCACCGATATCCTCTACTTATCTACATGTGTACGTTTTCCCATCAGTAACGTTGTACTCAAGGCCTGAAGCATGGATTATAGCCTGGATCGCAGCATTTGGAGCAGCTAGTGCTGGAGTATTAGCTGTGAAACCTGTACTCGCTCTCATCGGATTCACGAAGGCAGGTGTAGCGGCCCGTGAGTACTGTGCGCTCCCTTGTTCGGGTGCTTTCTTTTGACACTGTGATACCGTAGACACTACTGCCGCTGTCTGGCAGGCATCCATAGGGAATGTAGTCCTAGGATCAGCATTCGCTACCATGCAATCGTTGGGAGCTGGTGCGATGCTGAGTTGGACGGGGCCGGTAGGCCTCGCTGGGCTCGGGCTATCGTCGCTAGTCTTCTGGCTTAGAGGATGATAGTGACATCTTCCCAATCCACTATCCCTAAACATGATTCGCTATGTGAAGCCAGAATGTTGTACCATGGATGGGTGCTAGTACACGGTCATCTATCCTATTCCTTCTTCAGTCTACGGCATTCTTCACGGTGTCCTCCTTGCTTCCAGTCACTACGATCAACAGTCAGCGGGCAGACCATCGCAATGCAATGAAGTCAACAAACCGTGTTTGGCAATCCTTTGAGCAGTATCTGGTCTCATGGCACCCCTTACAGGTGGAGAGTGGACTCGGTGAAGGCGTGGTGTGGAAAGCGCACGCACGCCACGAACATATGCGCGCTTGATATGACGCGCGCCGGTCGCGCTCTGTGATCTCGTCGATGCCAAGCGCCTTACCCAGAGACCTCCAGGCGTCAAGAAGTGTAATGAAGGTATTTGCATACGGTGATTTCGCCTTGATGACCCGGTGTAGGTCTGGCACGACGCAATACCAGGTGCTGGTGCCCTCCGTTTGTGCGGCCGCATCTTTACGGAGACTGGCAATGATATCAGACGGGAGCCCACCCTCATTCAAGGCAACAACCAAGGAATCCGTCGCCTGGCTGAGGGAAGAGGTAAGGCTGGACAGATCTAGCAGTACGCGTTGAGCTATAGCAGCATCCCATCATAGGTGACAGGAACCCACTGTCTTCCATCGGCACGGAGTTTTTCCGACTCAGTCGCAATTCGTCCGCTTCAAGCGCCATATCTATCGTCTGTAAGAAGATACTCCAGACAGCTTGAATGGCATTCGCGGGAAGGATCGACGACTGCGCGATATGGGCGTGGACAGCAAGGAAGATGATCCTAAACGACGTCAGTTCGCCTACTTGGATAATAGAACAATGTGCTTCACTTGATGTGTTCGCAAGCTGCATGTATCGCATGTATTTTCTTGGCTAAGGTCACTCCGGGAGCCTGACCCTGGCCTTGAGACTCGGCGTATTTGAGCCGAATCTTCTGGCGCTCGAAAGCCATGGCCATGGCTGGCAGGACGGCAGTATTCGACAGAAGTGGGGACGACATGTAAACATTATGGAGCAGCGTGACGAGTTTGATACAAGCAAGAAGGTGGGTGCCTGTCATCAAGAAGGACCACTTGAGTGTATTTTCGGTGGCGCGAATGGACCGGTCTACGCCCACATTCTCGAAGATATCGCGTACAGATGCCTGCATAGTCGGACTGGATCCGTAATAGTCCCACAGAATCACCGGTGCGTGATGCTGTGAGCGCAATTGAAGGATGTCCTTCTCCGTCATAGCTTCATTGCCATGCAGTTGCGCCCAGACAAAGAATGCGACCTGCGATAGTTCTTTCGAGCCTTTGGGATTGAGTGCAAGCCTAAGATGTAGTGAGATCACGGTAGATAAGGGGAAGTCAAAGACGTACTGCATCTCCAGATCCCGAACACTGAACGCCAGCAGTTCTATTTGTTCAAGCAACGCCAGTCTGAACCTGACGTCATCGCTTTCAGCCAGATGCGATCGGTTCTCCCATAAACCTATCCAGGCCTTTTGCATCTTGCTCCAAAACACATCAGGGAATCCAAGTGCTGCGAGCTTGGAACGTGTTTGGCCAGCGCCGCCAAACCCTGTGGTACGAGCGGCTGACAACCACACATCGAAGTGTCCAAGTATCATTCCACAGATACTCGACGAGAACCCCTATTCGAGTGTCATGTCCAATGAGCGAGCCTCCGTACAAAGCTCGCGGGATTGGCGCTACTCACGAGATAATGTCTGAGAAAGTCAGGCTCTGCCATGATATCGACCAGAAAGGGCACTATATTGCTACCCATGATCGCGCGCCGCAATTCAAGCGTATCTCCAAAGGCTTCAAACAGGCGAACGTTCAAGACGTCAGCGAGCTTTACAACCTCGTCATCTTTGGACAGTGGACCAGGCGCGCGATTCTGAAAAGTCGTTCGAAAACGGTCGATCGCTGCCGTCGGCCCATCGACCAGAGCTCGCTCGTATTGGCGTTGGTTGGTAGTCCACCCCGCACGTTGACTTTGAGCAGTTTCTTTTGGGTCCATCTAGGTATACCAGTTGGAACGGGATCAATGGTAGCAAGGGACAGGCGTGATGGTAGTTCAGCGCAAAGCGCACTTCGGCCACGCGCTCACGCGGTTGCCATGCCGGCTGAATGTCGGCCAGCGCCGCACCCTCGTGAACTTGGCTAGAGTCTCCATCCCTGCCAGCCACACATCTCCTAATACTGGAACGTGATATAGGTTACAGAATAGGTAGGCAGCCAGCATTCAATAGCTTAAGAGACGGCTATGCGGCTGCTATCTATGCCTTCAGTCGGCGACATTTCACACGATGTCCTCCTTGCTTCCAGTCACTATTGAAGTATCCTTCAGCCGACATCTGTAGCGCGTCGAGAGATAAGCATACCTCTTCTGACACGCGGCAGAGCAGTAACGGGTCTCGTGGCATCCCTTGCAGACCATAAGAGGCTTAGGTGCTGGCACAATGGAGTTGATGCACGCTCGCCATGAGCAAGTACACGCCGCTTGCCAAACTCGCTCTTTCTCCTCGTCTAAACCCAATGCCGTCCCCCACTCCATCCACATGTCCAATAATCGAGTTACCGATGGCACAGTGATGGTACCGCTTGGGAACCTACCCCGTGTGGTCGCGATGAAGCCGTACCACATAGACGCTCCTTCAAGGCGACGGTCGACGAGGCGATCGACCGTGGTCTTGGGAAAACCCCCTCCGAGCCCGCTATCCTTGCTACCGCGAGCGCCATCTATCCAGATTCGCATCCCATCGTGCAGGGAAGTCTCAAATGATTGCAGATCTATACAGCCTTCAGCGTGTTTCTCTCAAAAAGAGGAGACGAAGATGAGACTCACAAGGGGCCAAGGTCGCCACATCCTCATTCCTCGAGTCTACGTCCATGTGTTCGTTCAAGTGTATCTTGATGCTGGTCTCCATGAGGGCAGTGACACATTCCAGCATCAGACCCCAGACAAATCCGAGATCGATTAGCGACGGGGAAATACCACCGGTTCGAAGAGCTGTACCAATGATACTGTAAGTTGAATTGAGTATCTTACTAGCCTCTTTAGTTGTGTGCGACATACGACATATGGTTCCAAGCGATTTCGTATGTTTGTAGCGCAGGCCTGTCGGTCTCGGGATCGTCACCGTTGACTGAATGGGGCATCATCGGTTTGAGCATTGCCTTCATCGTTGGCTGAACGGGCATCTGGAGATATACTTCTCTGAATGACGCCTCCCCTGAATCATGATAGAGCTCAGAGCAGACTGAAAGACAATCTCTCAGACGTAGAAATCCATTCGCGAGCCTCGCTTGCATCATGCCCTCGAGGATAGCGCGGAGGAGAGGGCCGGCGCCAACGTCTTGCATGATCTCCGCGAGGGCTTGGTCATACTTCGACAATGCGTCAGCGTCCCCGCTTGTCCGATGGTGGCGACGCATGGCAAACATATAAGACAGGAGCGCCAATGTACCCTCACAACTTCCCGTATAGATTCTACGGAAGTAATCCTCTGCCTTGCCAACGATGTTTATGTGGGACAGGACGAAGAATAACACCGCAGTCTTCACCAATGCGGTAGATATGTCGGGTTTGCTACGCAATCTAAAGATCGATTCTTATGAGCCTTTCATCGAAGAAATGTAGTCATACTCTGGAGTCACCTTCCCATGATGGCTGACTGCAATTTCATGGTATGGAGAGTGCACAGTATGCCTTGAAGCTCGGCGAGTATCACACCTGTATTCCGGTCACGTAGGCCAGAGATGAAGGCCCTGTCGTTCCAGAAGGTGGTGCATGCCGACTCAAGTTTGTGCCAGAAAGTAGCAGCCGAGTCAATGGACATCAAGGTCATTTTTGGCGGGAAGCGGTTCTCGTTTTTGTCGAGCAAGTCGAGGAGCCAGGCGCGGAATAGGATCTGGGTGCATCTGGCGACAGACAGCGCGAAAAGCTATCCAATACGCTATGAGCGTGAAGGAGATATAAGTTTAGCTATCAGCACGTACTGAAGAATGCCTCATGAAGGCCGGATCGTTCATCATGTCGGCAAAGAGGAGTAAGATCTCGCTCTCGAAACAAGCCCGCTTGAGTTCTGGCTCTATCGCTAGAGCGATGGTGTCTGGATCGTCAGACACAGGCTTCGGCATGTCCAGAAACGTTGCTATTAGATCCCGCACGCATGTAAGTATTTCATCGCCCTGCGAGATCGGGCCAGGGTTACGCGTTCGATAGAGCGTGCGAATATGCTCGAGAGCCGACGTCGGCCCCTCGCGTATTTTGTGCATGAATGGAAAGCCGGGTGCATAGAACGTTGGCATCGAGTGCATTGAAGGTCGAGTAAGTATGCCGGAGATGGTGGTGGTGAACCGAAGGTTTGAGCGGTGAGTCCTTTATTGAGCACAAGGTGAGGCGCGTGGCCGGATGTTGTCGCATGTAGAAATGATGGTCTCTCATGAGACCTCCCTTGGTCTATTTTACACAGCAGCCCCAGCCTTCTATCCTCAGAATACGGTATGATGAGACGTAGACTGGATTGCTCATGACGATTCGAGAAGAGGCTGTGTTGAGCTCGCGCGCGTCAACCATAGCAGTCACAGGCCGGGCGGCAAATCCCGACGCGATTTCCCACACACAGCACATCCGCCATTTAGGGTCTGTTCGGCAACCTGATTTTGCGTTTCCGTCATGATTTCCGCAGCCGCACCTAGGACCATGATTGGTGGAGAGGCCGTCGAAAGTTCGAGAGCCTCGATATTCTTGCCTTCTAAGGCAATAAGTTTGACCAAAATCCTCCGTCATGACGGAAGATCAGGTTGCCGAACAGACCCTTAGATTCAGCTTGGACTTGGCACTGGTAGCGTACACCCTTCGCAGGTCGGGGCATCGAATGTAGCGTTGACAAATCTGAGCCACTCTCATGACCATTCAACGGCCATAGGCCCTCGCATCCCTCGCAGTGCGACAAACAAGGCTCTACGTACTCACTACTACAAGTTTAATGCCATCCTGCACATTTATTGCCTAGTTTCTGGACTCTCATCAGGGTGGCCATACATGTCGATGGCGTTGACAATGATCTCAGTGGCCGAAGGTAAAGCACGAAAGAAGATGAACGATGAAGACGAGAACCCAATCGAATCAGCGTAAAGAGTAGTAACATCCAAGCATCCATGATCGCAACATGAATATCATTATCCGAAGTCCCAAGCCAGTGCGCTTCCATTCAGGCTACAGCTAACCGGGAGTCTCCTTCTCCCATCCCCCTCCTCTCCAGAGACTCACGCCTCCTGAAGGTCAACATTCGCGCACCCCGCGAGCGTGCGCTGACCCGCCGACTTGAAGCTGATCAGAATATCGCTTCCCTCCCTCTGCAGCACACTAGCCGGGCAAGCCGTAAACGCGCCGTTCTCATACGCGAGCTTCCCATCAACAAGCCCAACGCCCTCCGTCCCCGCGGCCGTCGAGAACGTGACAACATTCGTGCTCGGAACCGTCGCGGTCCCGCCGGGCGTGACATGGATGAAGAACGGCTCGCCCGTGACGTCCGTCTCAACGGTCGTGTTGGAGTGGAACGTCGCGCCCGAGCCCGGCGCAACGAGGTAGGCGAAGCCCGTGTCGTCCGCGACGGTCACTTCTTGGCCTTCGAGCGAGGGCGTGAGGTCAAAGTCGGTGACGTGCGTTTTGAGCTTGAAGACGGTTGCGGAGGCTGAGGTGGCGGCGATGGCGAGGAGGGTGAGGGTCTTGAGCGAGGCGTGCATCTTTGATGAGATGGTAAGAGTGGTGAAGAGAGGTTGGTAGTGGAGCGGTTTGGTTTGGGTTGGGTTGGGTGGGCTGGTTTGCTGCTCTGGTTGAACGTAAAGTCTTGGGTTATATACGCGACGCCGCTACTGTGTGCTGCCGGGTGAGCGCATGTTGATCCATAGCTCAAAGCATCGCAGTACGGACGTAGATGTCCGAGCCAAGCTCGAGAAGCGGACCAAAGCTGCGTGCAGTCAAGTTTGAGGGAGGTCAAAGAGGAAATCGGTCGGCACGACGATCATTCATGGACACAGCGCCGTGATGCAAGAAGCGGTTCTGCGCGGTCTATTAAGCATATGAACGGTGATCTCGTGTAGACTGGAGCGGAAGAGATGAAACAGAGCCGGAGTTGATACACCGCGGACGGCGTGGAGGTGGTGGTTATGAACGGAGAGCAGGCGTGGTGAGACCGTCTGGTATTGAGCTGGAGAGACAACCCCGGACACGACGCGCTCTGCCGGCGCATTGCACCATATTACAAAGGTCAAACGTCAGGGAATGACTCTCGTTGGTATGGTACGAATGACACAAGGCTCGTCGTACATTGAGTAAGACAGATACCATGCACCGATCACTAGTCACGTGCAAGCCGGAAAAGTCCCACAGCGTACTGTTACCTGATTGAGGGAGTTCTGCCGACGCATTTCTCTGCGCAAGGGCCTTGCGAGTGGGGCTGCGAACGAAATCTCGTACGCAGGTGCTCCCTGGCTGCAAAACATCGACGATCAATAGCGTGAGAGTGGTGGTTTGTGCGTGGTACCTGCCTTACATCGCGACCAGAGCAAACACAGGCGGCCTCCGGAGTCCGACGGCTCCGGTGATCTGGCGGAAGAAGCCGCAGGGCTCCGTGAACGAGATCCTGTTCTTGCGCCTATCTTGCGCGGGTACATGATTTCGTAGCTCCAATTCAATAGCATAGCATGACTGGAACGAGCAGGTCTTGGCACGGCCCGAGGAGGTGAAGGCGGAAAATAGGGTGGTGATGGTGGTGGTCGCGGTCAACCACAAGCGCGCGCAGCGAGCGCCGCTGAGGTCGATGCACTGAGGCTTCACCTCGATGTAAGAGCTCGATCGTACTATATTTGCTTCACGTCAATGTAGGGAATGCAAGAGAGCCTCTGGTTTGATTATGATGCAAGTAGATGAAATGAGATGAGACGAGAAAGTATGCAAGTAAACCACAGCAGAATGGCCGAGCGAGACGAAAACAAGTACAAGGGGGGATAATGCAAAGCAGGACATGAGAGATCGCAACGACAGATCCGACGGACGACAGCTCTACAACAGATCAACAACAGCGCACACATCATCGACGCATATAGTCCCAGCATTACATCCCCGACGCAGCACACTCTCGAACACACAAACAGAACCCAACGCGGATGGATCAGGAGTCGGACGGACCGGCCAACGCGCCCATGAGCGAGTAGTTCGGCGCGTTCCTGGCGACCTGCGCCCCCCTCTCGTCCAAGAAGCCCGCCTCCTCGTCCTCGCTCTCGTACCCGAGCATCTCATACCGACTCCAATCGGCGTTGTCCGCCTCGTCGTCGGCAAATTCGAGCGCCTCAAGCGCTAGCGGATCTTCGCGCTGCATGCGCGCCATCCATCGTCGGGAGACCATCCAGCGCGATACGCCGGACGGGGGTAGAGCTTTCTCGCGGGGTTCGCCTTCTTTGCGGAGTCGCCGTCCGACACCGCGTCGTGGTCGCATGTCGACGTATCGGTGGTCTTCCGCATCGAGAGCGCCATAGAACCTCAACAGTCGACTCGACCTCCACGGCCGTCCACGAAGTACGAGCGTCTTGGAGTCGTCCCCGCCGGTACCGGCACCGGCGCCGACACGGGCAGTGGGGGCACCAGCGTCTTCCGCATCCGATTCTTCAGACGACATACAGTCTACCTGCATCGCCCCGTCGAACCTCCGATCGCTGAACTCCGCCTTGCGCTTCCGTGCGTCCTGCCTGCCCGTCAGCTTCGTCTTTTTCCTCCCCACACGCCGCGCACGCTGGGACTTGCCGGCTTCGCGCAGCCTGACCTTCTCCTTCTCGGCCGCGTCGTTCTGCTGCTTCCACTTGCCGCGCACGGTCGTGTACGCCGAGTCGAAGATCGACGCGATCGAGTTGTGCATGATATCACTAGACGGAACTTCGGGGTATAGCTCGGAGGCGCGGGCGCGGATGTCGGACAGGACGCGCGTCTTCATCGCCTGGTTGTGTTTCGACTGCTTGATCGTCTTGGCCCAGTTGAACCGGACGGGCTCGTTCGGCGGTATAGGCGTGCCCTCGGGATGCGGTTCCGGCAAGAACGAATCCTCGGGGATATTCATGACGAGCCACATATGCTTCCGCATGGCCGTTTGCACCGTATGCGGTCTCTTATCATGATGATCGCGCTTCTTCGTCGGCCGGGTATCTTTGGGCTCGTCGTCCGACAGTCGCTTCTGGCCCCGAGTCGATGGCGGTGCGGAGGGCGGTGGGGGTTGATGGGGTGGTGCGGATGGAATGGTGGGCTGCCCTGTAGGCTGTGGGCTGCTGATGCGGGAGGGGAAGGAGGATGTAGTGGGAGAGTAGGCGAAGGGTGCTTGTGGGAACAGGCTCGGGGACGCCGGGGCGTCATATGCCGAAACCTTGTCGAGAGTGACGGCTGAGGAGCTCGCGACGGGCTGGGCGAGTGACGATTGCGTAGGCGGGCGGTATACGGCAGGGGACGTTGGCCGTGCGGGCGTGGACGCGGCGGGTGTGGGCATCGCATTTGCGAACATGGGCGATGTGGAGGGCAGGGAGCGTGGCGAGGGCAGGCCGTGGTTGGACGCGGGCGGGGCCATCCGGGCCGACTTGAGCATGTTGTGCTCCTTGAAGAGCGCGTCGATGCGGTCGTTGGCCTCGCGCGCCTCACTCTGCGCCTCGTTGGCGAGGTCCTCCGCGCGCCGGACCGTGTCCTCCGCGCTCTGCGCCCTCGCCTCGAGCGTCGCCAGCCGGGACTCGGCCCGAGCACAGCGGTCCTCGAGCACGGTGTTCCTCGCCTCGAGCCTGTCGTTCTTCTCCTCCAGCACCGCCGCGTGCTCCTCCAGCCGGGCACAGCGCTCGTCGGCCCGCTTCCCGTGCTCGGCCATCTCCTCCATCCGCTGCTCCAGCTCCCCCCGCCACACCCCGTCGCTCTGGTTGCGATGCTGCAGGGCGCGCTCGAGCTGTGCTTGGGCGGCGCTCTGCTGGGCTTCTAGCGCGGAGAGGAACGTAGCTTGGAGCCCGCGCAGCTCGTTGGCGCAGTCTGTCAGCCGTCGCTCGAGCTTCTCCCGCGCAACTCTCTCCGCCTCCAGCGCTGACTCCAGCGAGCTCACGCTCGACTGCAGCGGCGCGATATCTGCCTGGCTGAGTGGGTTCCTGGCTCAATTGTCAGTGACGGCCGAGCGTGTGAATGACGGTGGTGATGGACAACGCACTGCTGATAGCCCACGTACACGGGCTCCGCCCCGTACATCTGCGCCTGCTCGTCGTACACAGGCTGGGGCTGGTTGTAGACGCCATCGTGCTGCTGTGGTTGCTCGAGCTGCGGCGGTGGCTCGGCCTGGAGGGGCTGGGTGTGGTAGTAGTACCCGTCTTGGGTCCTGTACTGGACATAGTACGGATTGTGGCTGATGGCCGAGGGATCGAGCGCGCCGGACAGTTCGGAGCTGCTCATTGGGGAGATGGTACCATGCAGAGCACGGCAATAGATTTCGCTGATGGTGGCGGGAGTCCAAACCAGACCGCAACACTCTTCCGTTTACAAACGTCTGCGCCCACGAGGCGTGTGGCTGATAGGCGCCAAGTGATCTTCCCACGCACACGCCAGACGCGTCGACGCTCGAGAACGCGTAAGCGAGACGCGTCGCGTTCAAGTCTCGACCACCACCTGCTCTCTCACATTTACACAATGGATTTCCCCGGTGCAAGTGCTCTCGGAGGCGGCCAGCCCAATGCCGCGGAGGTGACTGTGCCCGATACGTAGGTCAAATATGTCCGCGTCATATGGCAGACGTTCTGAACCGTATGCAGCGGCGAGGTCATTCACATCTCCTCCCTCGCCCTCCTCAAGGTGCATATCCAGATCCGTATAAACGCACGCCGCAACTCCCCGCTGAATCTCCGAATGAACAGATGTTGAAGCACGGTCGCGCGGGTGTGCCGATGGAAGTCATGGGCCTCATGCTCGGCGAATTCGTGGACGAGTACACGGTACAGGTGATCGACGTATTCGCCATGCCCCAATCGGGCACGACGGTCTCCGTAGAGTCTGTAGACTATGTCTTCCAGACTAAGATGGTCGATATGCTCAAGCAGACCGGTCGGCCAGAGATGGTTGTCGGCTGGTACCACTCCCACCCTGGCTTTGGATGCTGGTTGAGTAGCGTCGACATCAACACCCAACAAGTATGCTTTTGCATTGATCGCATTATGTTAACTCAGTACTAATGACTGCCCTTGTATAGTCCTTTGAGTCTCTCAACTCGCGCTCAGTAGCCGTCGTCGTCGACCCAATCCAATCCGTAAAAGGCAAAGTCGTCATCGACGCCTTCCGCCTCATCAACCCGCACACCGTCGTCGCCGGCACTGAGCCCCGCCAAACGACATCCAACATCGGCCACATTCAAAAACCGTCCATTCAGGCTCTGATTCATGGCTTGAACAGGCACTATTACTCGCTCGCAGTCAACTACCGCAAGACGGAGCTGGAACAGGCTATGCTTATGAACTTGCATAAGCGAAACTGGACCGAGGGGTTGAAGTTGAGGGATTTCGAGGTGCATAAGGGCGATAACGAGAAGTCCGTCAAGGTTCGACACGTTTCTCACTTCGCACTGTCGAGTTCTCAAACTGACGCTTTATATTTGTATAGGCAATGCTCACCCTGTCCGAAGCGTACAACAAGTCCGTACAAGAAGAGAGCACGCTCAGTGCCGACCAGCTCAAGACGAGGCACGTCGGCAAGCAGGATCCCAAGCGTCATCTGGAGGAGGCTGTCGAAAAGGCAATGGGTGACCAGGTTGTGCAGAACCTTGGTACCATGTTGCTCGCGGAGCTATAGAGCCCTTTGTGTTGTACGCTAGGGGTTGTATTTGTATGATTCCTCTTGAACTCTTGAATTGGTTGAAGTGAGGATACGAGAAGGATACCACGAAAGCGCTGCACACGAAGCAAGTGGCGTATCAGCTTGTTACTGGACCACGTTTTCTCTCGATCTTAGTTCGAGGAGTCAAGCGTGACATACCTGTTGCTCATCCTTCCTCGAGCTACGATTAGGTTAGCCGTACGCGAGCGACGACAGGGTGTCCTGCGTGCTTGTTGACTTTGCGTCCAGATGAGCTTGAGATGAGCTGCCCACTGGGCTCGGAGCTTCGGATCGAGCATCCGAACAGGTCTTTTGCGGCAATTGCTTGAAGTCGCCGCTTGTCTGCTCTCCACCACGACCGTCGCATCTCCCTGTTTTGCTCTGTCATAACATTGTCGCAATCTATGCATGCGATTAAAGTGAGATCTAGACGTCCCGAGGGTCATTCGCGTCGTCCCTGCAACCCGGAAGTAGTCAAGATCAGCCCGTATAGCCCGACGGGCCCTGCGTCGCCATACGTCTCGTCTGTTTCACTACCTCACTCGACGAACGCTTTAGAGCGTCCGGCGAACCTGCGCTCACCGTCGCGAAAGATGCCAGGCTGCCATACCGCCGCGGCGCGCTTAACTCCCGCAGAAGAGCGGACCTCAAACTTTCGAAGTCCCGCATGGGGTGGCGATAGTAACGAGCCGGAAGCTACGTGCAGAGTTGACGACGCTCACGCCGGAGCCCGTCCTGTGAGAACTCGCGGCAGGGGAGTAGTGGCTCAGCGACTGTCTTGGAGAAACATGGCGTCGATAGACGACGAGCGTGTATGATTTACAGGTCCGAATACGGACTTGCACGACTGACTGGCCTAAGTACGGGATGTGTGATTTTTCCCTTCCGGTCGACAGCCCTATAAGTGGATGCCATGCCACGCTCTCTCCAAGGCTTGTGTGCTCTTGTACACGTATGGTCCTCATTGTGCGTCACCTACATATACGGGTAGGTATCGCAATATCGGGCGATACACAAGGGCGCGCAGCTCCAAGTACATGTACATATCCAGCAGTCTGTCCGAGCTGTCCCACCAAAGTGGACATCTCCCTCGGGCTTCTTCGGTGCACCCCGAGGTCGGTATAAAGAGAGAAGAGAGAAGTGATATATATGATCGATCTGTGATCATGCATGAGTGATGGGTGCGCGGGGACGCTGTGAATCAGAGATTATAAACGTTCGGCGTAAGTCCGGACCGGTGCAATGCGGTGGTAACGCCGCGCGTTAATTGATCTCGCACACGTGGAATGGCGGAGATAGGCCCATGCAACTGTCAGCAACTATTCGTTTGCGTCTTCGTCTACGACAGCCATCTGGCCGCGCTCGGGCCCTTCTTGACACCACGATACACACATGGAGAGCATCTCGAACTCCCCGTCATCGGACAGTGGTTCTCCTTTGAGAACGCAAGGGCAAGGCGCTAGCACCGACACTTCGCCGAGCAACTCTAACTCTGGCCCGACGCCAGCGGCATCCACCTCCGGGCCGCCATCGGGTGCAGACGATGTATCCCCGCTCGGAGACGGCGAAGAGACGCAACGTGAATTGACATCTGTGCAACGCGTAAAGTTGAAGAGGAATCGGCTTATCCTGTAAGTCCGAACCAGTGTCTTTTATAGGGGTTGAACTGACCCACGCGTGTGTCGGTGATAGGAGCTGCCAACGTGAGTTGTTGTCGGCCCGTAGTTGCTGTTGGGGTATCGGCTCACGTATCCTTTAGCTTGTCATAAGCGGAAACAGCAGGTAAGCCGATATCGTATCCGCTACGTTCGGCGTTAAGATTCTATGAATGGTAGTGTGACCGCGGTCATCCCTGCTTTCGGTGGTAAGAGTCATCCATATACCCATACGTAGATCAGTGTGCTCATCCCGACTGTTCCAGTGTGAAGCGTGGTACTATCGCCGAATGTGTGTACGAGCAGCCTCCTCAGTTGAGTAAGCGCAAGTGAGTATTACTTCGTGCCCTGCATTCTGGCGCATACCCTTACCACATGATCCGCTAGGAATCATGGCGATGGCGACCCAGAGTCAGACAGCCAACACGGCGACTCGTTCACGAACCTCGACTCCCTTACCAGCCCAGCTCGCTCCGCTAGTCACCATGCCGAGCCATCTCCCTCAGGCTACAGGCAGTACACGCACGACACTGGCCCTACAGATGATTCGTTCCAAGCCAGCTTCGAGACTTTGATCGCTGCTCACAGCACGAGTTCGCCGGTAACGCCGTTCGACTCTGCGACGACCAGCTCTGTGCAAGAAGCGGCCGCGGCTCTTGGACAGCTCGCGCAGTCTGGTGCGCCCCCGCCGATGACCTGCAACCCGACGAGCAATGTCGGACTGGAGACGGGCATACCGCGAGTAACGATGCCTGGGAACGCGTTCGTGGATATGTTACGGGTGCGTTGACTATGTTATTCGTCGCTTCTATCAACGTTAACGTGTTTGCCACCAGCTCCCTGGTGTTGCAGCTTTTCGTACGATGATGACCGTCTCGGAATGGGCGAAAGACTTTCCCAACCCCAATCTTCAGCAATACCTGTCAGTGCTTCTTCCCTTCTTATCACCCATGTTACTGAATCGAGTTGAAGGTACAACTACTACTTCGACAAGTCTTCGCTTCATTGGTACTGGCCGTTCGTGCACCGACCTTGTTTTGAGCAATTGTTCCAACACAATCTACAAAAGAACGTACCTCTTGACCTCGAATTCCTCACTTTAACCGCTATCGTCATGGCTCTCGCCCTCCAGTTTCTTCCAGAGACTGATGACGACGTAAGTACTTAGATCAACATCGCCATCCGTCTACACTCACACGCATCATGTAGGCATTCATATTTGCAGACCATCCTGTGGATCGGCACAAGCTCAAAGAGCGCATGCACGCGTTTGCGGATATGTCGTTGCATGGGTGGACGGAGTATCCGGATGCGTCTTTTCAGCGCGTACAAGCACATGCTCTATACTCTATGTACGAATGGGTAGGTCAAGCTGCTAGCTCTCTGCTCTTCCTCGCTTACACCTTGCAGCACGCCGGTAACGCCGGTATTGCATACTTCGACTGTGGTGCGCTGCCTTCACGTTCATATCGCACAAGTGTTGACTCCGCTTGAAGGACTGGCAATCCGCATGGCTCAAACATGTGCGTCTTCCTCCTCCTAAGCAATCTGCTCCCGCGTCGCTAAGCATACTCTGTTTAGTATCAATGAATCGTGACCCAATCAAGCACTGGGGAATACCAGCATATCCTGCTGAGGTTAAACGGCGACTATGGTGTACGTATGGCGTAAGTTAACCACGTCGTCAAGCCTGACACTCCCCTATAGGGCTTCTTGTCATCCTCGATAGATGGCACTGTATCCATTTCAATCGGCCATACATGATCATGGAACATCACATGGACGTCGAATACCCGTCTAACCTTGACCAGAGCGATATCATCGACGTCCCGGAACTCATCCCCAAGCCCTTGGAATTCGCAACGGATTACCGTACGCCCTGTTGGCTTCATCTTCGAACTTCCGCTGATATGAATCAGTTTTCCACATCGTTCATGCTCGATACGGCAGGCTTATTGGGCGTGTGTATGACAACTGCTTCAGCTTGACCCTGCCGACATACAAAGACGTTCTGGACCTGGAGGAGCAGGTTAGGAAGTTTGAGCTTGATGTCCCCGCCTCCTTGCGTTATCAGACCACGAGTGACGATAGGTTGCGCCCGTATCTCTCGTTCCAGGTGAGCGCCATCATGGTCATGCAGATCGACGATCGCTCACTCTGGGATTGTCTAGAACAAGATGTTGACACTGGAACTCGGGTGTATGCGCACTTACATGCTCGCCCCATTCCTCTTCGTACACCCGGTCTCTCCCGACGACATGCTACACCAGAATCAGGAAGAACGCAAGCTTGCCGACTTCCATAGGCACGCGAAGACGGTGTGCATCATGTTTGCGTAAGCCCCTCTCTATCTACAAACGCACCCTGGATGTGGATTGACACTTGGCAGGAAACGCATGCTCGCGCTACTCAACATGTTCTACGACCAAGCCGATCCGTCACAACTCATATACCCATCCATCTCCGTCATGGCGTATACTGCGTCCATAGTCTTGATCATCGCGATGGTCATCGAGCCGAGCAACCCGGAGAACGATGAACTGGACGAATGGATCACGCTCGCCGAAGACCTCTTGAAGCTCTTCAAAACCCGGAATGTCCTGGCAAAACGCGCCCTACCACTGCTCCACGTAATCCGGCGTCGTAGCCTCATGACGCGGTGCATCAGTCAACCACCACGAGGTCCTGTCGTAGACGGGAGCTACCAGTGTTCTATCGGCCGGCCGGACCCGGTCTTCACTTCTTCAGAGCGGTTGCAGCGTGCGACGAGGGTGCTTTCTCACCCAGCGCCGTCTGTTACGGATCTCCTCGGCCCGACATTGAGTAACGACCATATCTGGGCCGGCTTGCGACCTGGCGTATATGCTTCGCATATGCCTGGAGTCGAGTCTCTCAGCGGGTCTGTTGATCCTCAACAACTCGACGATTTCTTTGATAGCTGTACCGCTATGCAGTCTCGTAGTCCGCCTGTTCTTTCCGCTTAATGTATCGCTTAGCCAACTATCTCACAGCCTATCTGGACGTACACTCTGTATTTTTACATTTCAAAGACATGAAGCTGCTTGCACCCATAGACTCGCTTGTCAGAACTCCGCCTTCACTCGGGAGACAGCCCAAGGCGTGCCCGCAGAGTAGAAGTCCATCGGGTATGTCCCTTTGGACTCGCCGCTCTCGTCCATCCACCCCACCGCTTTGCCTACTGCAACAGCCGTCTCGTATGGCGTGAGCAAGGGACGCTCAAACGCGTAACCCCAGTCGATTGAAAGACGCGGACATGACGTCTGCACGAATGTCGAGATGTGAGGATTGAAGAGCGCGAGTTTCGCTGGTGAAAGTTCAGAGAGCAGGATGGGCATGTACGGTATTGAAGTGCGCGAGGAGGCCAGTTGTTTGGTGATTGCCTGAGAGAAAATGGGTACAAATGCGATACGAGGTACGACTTGTACATACTTGTAGTTGCTTGAAGCTGCCTTGACGCCCCAGCGTCCCAAGGATGACACCCCAGAGAGGGCTCTCCTCCGTAGAGGCCGATACAAGTGAGTCGATGCTCTTCCGCGCAATCTGCACTGCGTCGTTACGAATGGAACGCATCTCTTGGTGTCCGTACCGCTCCCGTGTAAGCTTCTTCGAGTACGGATCATAGCGGAACGCGGGGATGTCGGGGTTTTGAATCATGACCGACTCGAGATGGAAGCGCCCATCACCCAAGTATCTACGGTGGTAGGCGTGAGTATATGCGTGCCATATTGGAGAGTAAACATACATTAGTGCGTCCACATCACCTATAGGAGGAGCAGTGCAGCCCAACAGCTCTCCTGGGGATAGAGGCTTTGAGCGTGGGATAGTAGCATCGTATACGCCCGTCCAAAGTTTCGGTTGACCATCAACCGGCGCAGGCTCCTCAGTGCTCCCTTCGAGTAGACCGGAAGGCGCCAAAAACGGATTCGGATTAGAGTACTCAGAAGTCAGATCTTCCTTGAGCTGCTGTAGAGCAGCCACGAACTGGATTGTTGAGACGAGAGCAAGACGAGTTCGCGTAGGAGGTGCTGAGTCAGTAGATTGTGTCACGACGGACGACTGCTCAGACGTTGCTGAGCCTTCTATTCGTAGGTGATTAAGGCGACCGATGATGGTACCCGCGGGCAGTTTCGCATCCGATTCTTCGGAGGCGAGCAGAGACTCGTGGAAGATGGACCTGTCATCAGGAAAGTTGAGGCGAACAGTCTGCGCCAGGTGTTGGGAGTCGACACCAATTTCTACGAAGACATATAACGTCTTGATCATGGTCTGGTCCATAGGCACTGTATGATATTCGTGAGCATGTCCATCAGCACGAAGTAACGATAGGTTCACCTAAGCAACTATGCCCGTAGTGTATGAGCATGTCGCAGCCTAATGCTACGGCCGTGTAGTCATCTATACAGCATGCGCCGTAGGTGACATCTCCCATTATGACTGTCAAAGCATCGGTGAAGCTGGTGCGAGCCTATCAGATTCGGCGCATTCGGATGCTTCTTGAATTCACACACACCGCTCTATGATGTCTGCGATCGTGCATGCAAACATCTGTAGACCTTCGGGCAGCTGGAGAGCAACCACAGTCGCGTTGTTCTTCTTGACATGGTGTATTGTCTTATGGATTTCGAAGGAGTAATTGGACGGAAGTTGCTTGATCGCGGCGTTAAGCTGAGGGTCGGCGAGGATCTCTTGAGGGATCTGGTTCGCTACAGTCGTAGAGACACCGGTCCTGGGCACCTTGGTCGATTTCGTGCCGACAAAACGTTTCTTCGGCTTCTTCGTGCCGGGGTCAGACGACGTGGAAGCGGGTGCGGAAGGCTGCATGGCGGTTCGATGCGGAGGTGCAAAACGCGAGGCTCGTAAAAGTAAGCGTGAGATCGCGATCGGGAGCCCCTGAGCCGCGTCACACGTCCAAACGCGGTCGCGCACTGTAGCAGTCGCGCAGCGCGCGCGCGTTCGCGCATTCACACCTCCTTGCCTTACGCGACCATGTCCTCGCGCCCGCCCCAGTCGCCAATGGCGGCTCAGGTGCCGGGGTGCTCTATGCGTGGCTCCTGCGGCTCGAATGGAATATTCGGAAAGCCGCTACCATGTCCGTTCGACGGCCCACCAGTGGTGGTACGATGTCTTGAGCTCGTGTACCAGCGACGAAGCTAACAATGCACATATAGCCTGGAGAGAATGAACGTGACCAGCTCGTCTCAATATGTGGAGAGGAGTTTGCCGACGGCGAAGTGTGCTGCAACTCTGAGCAGCTCGAGCAGCTGCAGGACAACCTCGCGAAGGCGGAGACTTTGATATCATCATGTCCTGCTTGCCGAAACAACTTCCGGTCCTTCTTCTGCCAATTCACCTGTTCTCCAAATCAGTCTTCCTTCGTCAATGTCACGCGTACACAAACGACTTCAAGCGGTCAAACCGCCGTCAAGTCGCTCGACTTCTACGTCTCCGAGAACTACGGATCCGGGTTCTTCGATAGCTGCAAGGGCGTGCAGGTTGGATCGGCGAATGTATACGCCATGGATCTGATTGGAGGTGGCGCGAAGAACTATACATCCTTCTTCGACTTTCTGGGCAAGGAGAACCCCTCCATGGGTAGCCCATTTCAGATTGACTTCCCTCGATCCGCGCCTCCAGGCATCACCCCATTAGACGCTCAGGCCAGAAGCTGTGCAGACACAGACATTGGCAGTCGATGCGCTTGCGTCGATTGCCCCGACGTGTGTCCTTCCCTTCCGCCTGTGGATACCACAGGTACATGCCGCGTCGGTGTTATCTCGTGTTTATCCTTCGTCCTCATCCTCGCCTACGCTCTATGTGTTGCCTCTTTCATCACTGGCTACTCCCTGCAGACGTTCTTTCGACGGCGCAACAAACATGGACGTATCTTTCTCTCCACCGACGAAACCACTGCCACCCCGCTATCCCCTACCTCGCGAACGCGGAATCTCGTGGGCGCCTCATCTCTGGCATCCACCAACGGCAGCTCATGGGAGCCACCAGCCAGGGCTGTTACGCTCCTTGACCCTATTGAGACCGTGCAGCCTCGGCAGTATAGGTTAAACGCTTGGCTCCGTCGCACCTTCTACAAGTCCGGTCTCTGGATCGCCACCCATCCATGGCTGACCTTTGCAGTCATGTTCACCATCATGGGTCTCTTCAACATTGGTTGGAAGGACTTCTCGGTGGAGAAGGATCCCGTCCGCCTGTGGGTTGGTCCCAACTCAGAGAGCAAGCTGCAGAAGGACTATTTCGACGAACATTTCGGGCCCTTCTTCCGACCTGAGCAGATCTTTGTCCATTCAGCCCCAACGAGCGACGGTCTTCAGAATCCGCCCGTCATGACTTGGGATCATCTGAAGTATTGGTTCAAGGTCGAGTCCGAGATCCGCTCCCTGAAGTCGTCTCCGAACAACTACACCTTGCCCGACGTCTGCTTCAAGCCCCTTGGCCCCAAAGGCGCTTGCGTCTTCCAGTCCGTGACGGCTTGGTTCGACAACGACATCGACAATACGAGCGAGGACGAGTGGGAGGATCGCATTGAGCAGTGCGCGAGCCGCCCGGTCGAGTGCCTGCCCGACTTCATGCAGCCCCTCGGTCCGAAATATGTCCTTGGTGGCGTTCCCAACGGCGACCAATACGTCGACGCTGAGGCGCTTGTCGTCACCATCGTCGTGAACGACTCGCTCGACTTGGAGGTGCGGGAGAAGGCGATGGAGTGGGAGCGTACGCTGCGGGCTTACCTGGTCGACTTGATGGAGAGGGCGCCGAAGGAGGCTGGCTTGGAACTATCCTTCTCCACCGGTGTATCACTTGAGGAGGAGATCAACAAGAGCACAAACATGGATGTCAAGATCGTCGTCTTATCATACCTCGCTATGTTCCTCTACGTCTCCCTCACCCTCGGCAACAACTCCCTCGCACGCGACGAGCCGGGCATCCTGTCATCCCTGCATAGTTGGGCTACGAACTTCCCACGCCTCTTCTCCAGCGCGTCATCGTCCACACTGTCCATCGACTCGCGCAATACACCTCGAGTGTTCCCTCGAATACCTCGCAAGCTCTTCATAGGCTCTCGCGTCATGCTAGGACTCTTCGCCATATCTATCGTCATCCTTTCGGTCGCGTCTTCCGTCGGTTTCTTCAGCGGGGTGGGTGTCAAGGTGACGCTCATTATCGCCGAGGTCATTCCCTTCCTCGTACTCGCCGTGGGCGTGGACAATGTCTTCATTCTCGTGAACGAGCTCGATCGGCAGAACATGTTACATGGACCCAACGCCGCTGCGCCCTCCGATAACGCGGCATCCATCAACGGCTTGATGACTTCGCCCACTCGTCGACAGACAGACCTTTCCCAGGATATGTCTGTCGATGCAGCGTCCATGCCGTTATACCTCCCAACCGAAGAGCGGATCGCACGTACGGTAGCGAAGATGGGCCCTTCCATCCTGCTCAGCACGATCACGGAAACAATCGCATTCTTACTTGGTGCTCTCGTGCCGATGCCCGCTGTGCGAAACTTCGCGCTGTACGCTGCTGGTAGTGTGTTCTTCAACGCGCTACTTCAAGTCACGGTCTTCGTCGCCGCCCTTAATCTCGATCTTCGCCGAATGGAGGTATGCCGATTCACGATGATCTGTAGAATTGTTACTAATCAATCACTAGTCGAATCGCGTTGACTGCTTCCCATTCATCCGTCTACCCTCGCGCATTCGCTTATTGGAGGCACCAGCGGCCACAGCTGCCGGTCTTGGTGCTCTTGCGAGGGGCATTCGCAAGTACTATGCTCCCTTTATCTTGCGATCGCCAGTGAAGAATCTTGTCATGTTGGTGTTCGGCGGTATCTTCATTCTTTCTGTGATATCAATACAGCATCTCAAGCTCGGTCTCGGTGAGTTTATACAGTACAATATGATGCGCACCGCTGACGATTGTACTTAGACCAGCGATTGGCTCTACCTGGCGAGTCTTACCTGATTCGCTGGTTCGACGATATAAACTCGTATCTCGACATCGGCCCTCCATTGTACTTCGTGACCCACGACGTGAACGTGACTGCGCGCGAGGGTCAGCAGGCGCTTTGCGGCCGTTTTACGACGTGCGAGCAACTGTCCATCGCAAATCTTCTTGAGGTCGAGCGCAATCGCACAGACGTATCTTACCTCTCGCAACCCACCTCTTCGTGGATCGACGACTTCCTTTCATGGCTCAACCCTCAGTTCGAGTCGTGCTGCCGCGTGAAGAAACGGGATCCCACGCAGTTCTGCACGCCACGCGACCGCGACCGCTTATGTCAGCCATGCTTCCAGGACCGTGAGCCTGCGTGGAACACGACGATGAACGGTCTACCCGAGGGCGATGAATTCGTGTACTATCTTCGCCAGTGGCTTGCCACTCCTCCCTCGGAAGACTGCCCTCTCGCCGGCGCGGCTGCTTACGGGGACGCTCTGTCCCTAGACGAGACGGGCGTGACTGCCTCCCACTTCCGCACTTTCCTGGAGCCGCTCAAGACCCAAGAAGACTTCAACGGTGCTTTCGCTGCCGCGCACCGTATTGCAGACGAGATGAGCGAAGCGACCGGCGCGAAGGTGTTCCCTTACTCCCTTTTCTTCGTCTTCTTCGATCAGTACGCGCACATCGTGGCCATCACGCAAGAGGTGCTCGGGCTCGGACTAGCGTCCGTCCTCGTCGTCACGTCGATCTTCCTCGGGTCCTGGAGGACGGGTACCATTGTAACTGCAGTCGTCGCGTTGACCGTCGTCAACGTGATGGGCGTGATGGCTGTATGGGGCATATACCTCAATGCACTTAGCTTGGTCAACCTCGTTATCTCGCTGGGTATTGCCGTGGAGTTCTGCGCACATGTCGCGAGGGCGTTCATGACTTCTGGATCTGGGTTACCGGATGATCACCCCGCGGGTCAGAAAGAGAGGGACGAAAGAATGTGGACCGCGCTTGTTGACGTTGGCCCCTCGGTAGGTCGAATCCATTAGCGCATGGAAGATCTTGCTGACCCTCCTTGTACAGGTCCTTTCGGGCATCACCTTCACCAAGCTTATTGGGATGTGTGTGCTCGCCCTCACGCACTCACAGCTTCTTAAGGTCAGTCGTCGCGATCCAGTATCGGCGAGCTTGACTAACCTTCTCGTAGATCTACTACTTCCGCATGTGGCTTACACTCATCATCTCCGGCGCACTTCACGGACTCGTACTTCTCCCTGTCATCCTCAGTCTGGCAGGCGGCCCAGGCTTCCCCTTACAAGAGGCTGATGAAGAGTGGATGTCAAACGCCATTCGTAATGATTATGAACATCCGTGAGTAGATTGTAGCCGATTACCCTTTTCTCCGCAATATTCATGTGCCTGTGCAGGCCTTTCCTCGCCGACGATACGTCTTACCATAGCGATTAAGTTACGCATCTCCTGTCCTATAGTCATACAAGTCCCTCTGTTGGCATAATATACGGTGCCGTCTCCCTCGACGTCTGGTGTTGACAGCCGTCCGGTGTGCCGGAACGTAAACTCCTCATATCGGTGAACCCATACATCGCATTCAATGATCACGGGACGACAGATGATACTCTTGCACACAGGGTTACACCTCATAACTTATGAGTCCAACTCACGGCAGCCACGGCATATTAATCGGAGATTCCTGAGGATCATCTCGTGAACATGAATCAGTTCCCGTCGTTGCGGCACTATACGTGTCAATCAGCACTTGCTGAGTGAAGACTGAGCGAAGATAGTACTCACACAGACCGAGATGACATCGCTGCCACAGGAGCCCGAGTTGGGATCCTGACGGCAAGCGTACTCCAGGCCTGTAAGACGGTGTCAGCGCTTAGGTTGCAAGATGCTATATCGCCCGTGGACGTCTTACCCGTGACAGAGCTATGATAGCCAGTGAAGAGAATGGGATCGCCGCTGCACGTAAATATACCTTGGGTGCACGGATTGCCGGAAGTTTGCCTACCAATGAATGTCAGATTGATACGCCACGGACAATTATGGATGTCACTCGCAGCCCGTCAACAGGGTTGCAACTATCGTCATACACAGTCCCTGATAATTGTGAGCGATGGATGTCCAAGGGTCTGAGAGGCATGCGACTTACAGGCCGAGAGGCCATTGTCGAGGGGGTGCTGGTTGCCGATGCCGTAGTTGTAACCAGGACAGATGGCGGAGGCGTGGCCAGCAGCGGCAATGGCGAAAGCCAAGATGGTAGAGGTCTTCATCGTAGTGATAGAGAGTGGGGTTGAGACGTTGGGGTTGAAGAGCTTGGAAGGTTGTTGTTGCGTTACTGTTGCATTTCCGATGCCTTCGACGAGCTTATATACGGCTTCTAGTCCATCAATCAAATTCTCATAGTAGGAGCCGAGCTACATTCGACTATCGTATAAAGAAAGTCGTTTACACGAGTGGCGTCCAGGGGTGTATAGGCGATTTCCAAGGCATTCATGAGCTTGTCTGCGGGTCAGATGGATCGCGACCTGTGCAACCCGCCAATGTGTCACGCATAGGAGGCAATGCATACTCTCCCATCAGATGACAGCCAGGAGCCAACGAAACCGATCCTCATACCCGCTGAAAGGAGGACTCAGCCACACGACACACTTTACAAAAGCGCGGGTATCAATCTTGGGCGTGCTACATACCCTGCCTTATTGAAGATGTTCAGCAGAGGCTGAATACTGTACAGCGGATATCAACACAGCTTGTAGACAGCGCAACCGACCCTGAGTAGAGCACATGTCTTGACAAGTGCATGACAACCGTGACATTGCTGCACAGTCTTGTGTAGACTCCAGTAGGGACAATACGTAGGTCGTCCTCCCCTGTCAGACTTCTGGGAATGTAGCACAACGAAGCGTCTTACGAGAGCTCTTTGGCGCACGTATGAAGGCGTGAATCAACGACGCAGCCTTGGCAAAAGGCATATGCTAATGCGGGTTTGGAGCCACGTCGATGCTCGGCGCTCAGCGCCCACGCATACAGCACCGGATAGCATATTTGACTGGCTCGCGGTCACGGATACTCATCGCCAACATTCATCGTGGTACAATACAGTGTAGGCGGCGAGCCAGCGGACAGCGGGTCGCGGGACGCGGGTGCGGCGGTTGTCGTCGTCAAGGTGATGTCACAAGACGCCCTCGAGTCGGGGTGCGGTATGCAGACGCCTGGGATACAACATTCAATTTCTTCGTTTGACAAGCCTTGAGCGAGGTATAAGTAGGTAGCCGGATACGCGAGAAGTAGCTGCAGATAACCCATGAATAGCGTGCTAATACTGCTAGAATGATTGCAACAGTCGATTCATCTGAGTTCCGAGGCCCGTCGAGTTGACCTCGTCCGACCTGGCTCTGCCTTCAGTACTGAGCAATCAATTGCCGTCATTGCGGCACTACAAGAACCTGGTCAGCAGATGAGTAAGATGATGATGAGCTATACTCACGCAGACTGAAATGACATCGTTGCCGCACTTGCCAGAGCTTGAATCTGTACGGCAAGCATAGTGCAGACCTGTAGTGCGATACCAAGTCAGTGCTCCTCCGAGCCATAGAACCTCGTTACAGCTTACCCGTGAAAGTGTTGGTGTAACTATTGAAGTGAACGGGAGGGGGGCTGCACCCAAAGGTACCGGAGGTGCAAGGGTTTCCGGTCGTCGTACTACATATCAGGGCTGGAGTCAGATGACGACTCGATGATCTATATGAGATCAGGATTACAGGGAGTCAACAGCCTTGCATCCGTCATCGTAAACAGTCCCTAGACAGAATCAGCAGCGGTCAAGGGATCGATTCGATGCTCTAGTACTCACAGCGCGAAACACCGCCACCCAAGTTCTGCTGGTTTCCGACACCGTAGTTGAAGCCAGCACAGATAGCAGACGCCTGGCCGGCAGCGGCGACAATGAAAGCGACAAGGATGAAGGTCTTCATATTGGAAATCAGTGGAATGGTGGGTTGGGACTACTGTCAGATGTCGTAACGATGAGATGGGCAGAGTTTGCTGGCTATTCGCATATCTGTCCGACGAGCCTTTATACGAGAGACAATTACACCCTAGCACAGGGCTCCCAGCGACGCGAGGAGGTACTGCGGCTTGAGTAGGCCGTAGAACAGTGCGCCAGGCGGCGTCCAAGACAACCTCATAGTGGTCCATGGACCAAATACATTGAAAAAGCGATCCGGAAATTATTTCCGCGCGCGGCTCCTTCACGTTCTCGATGCGGGCCACGGAATGATGGATCGAGGTATTATTGATCAGGCATGGGTTTTCCCTGCTCCGTCTCAGGCAGTAAGTTTAAGCATACATCGCCGCGGTCACATCTTACAACCCGATATGAAGGATCACGCTGTGCGCACTATGATGCGCGGCTCATCGCGCCTAGAGCAGGTATGAAACCGTCCAGCGCGAGGTCTTGCCAGCTCTTGGCCCGCTCAGGCTAACTCACATGATACGCACATCCGTACAGGGCTGTACCAATCCTGAAACGAAAGATCAACTGACTGTGCAGCACCGATCGCTAGGGCTGTAGAACTCACGCACCTTACATCCGAAACTTCCTTGAGAACAGCCGTCCCACAAAGGGCGCGTTGGCGGTCGACCGTTGCAGTCCTTTGGGGAGGACTTCCGAAGGGCTTCGGCTGACACCGTCGGTCATGGAATTGAACTTCAGGCTCTGCCATCTAGGCGCAGTTGCGGTAGATCAAGTCATTCCGGCTTGCGCAATAGTTCCTGTCAAGAGTCTCCCTTGATTTTCAGGAGTGAATGGGGTGCAGATACGGCGGTATGAAGGTCCACAGATCAGTGCATGGTGGAAGGAGGCAACCTCAAAGGCCGGGCCAAACGTAGTGACGGCACGCGGCGGTGATGAGATAAGATAAGATGGTATCTCTGCCGCGCATGTCAAGCGCCGAGCGCGTCAGTACACCCAGAGCGTTCGGGATCACGCGCTCATGTCGATGGAATTTGTGGTGGCAGTCTTCCAGAACGGATACTTAGAGCTCTGACTTGAGAGCACATAAACGAGCTTGTACACATATACCCAATGATCATATCTCTTGAACCCAGTGAAAGTAAGTACAAACAGCAGTCGACACACTTCTCGCCGCACTAGCTTAACTTCTCTCTCTCTACCTAATTGCCGTCGTTGCGACACTAAGAGCCAGAAGTCAGCGAGGACATCCGTATCGGAGCTCAAGACACGTACGCAAACCGAAATCACGTCGCTACCGCATTTGCCCGAGTTTGGATCGGTGCGGCATACATATTTCAGTCCTGCAGGGTGTATGATAGTGAGCTCACGCGCTTCGCAGTAGGAAGTTTTCGGGGGATCTTACCGGTGAACGTATTCGTGTAATGGTTGAATATGATAGGCGGGGGACTGCATCCGAAAATACCCTGATCGCAAGGGTTCTTGTTGGTAGTCCTACGATGAACGTCTTTCAACCGCCACTCGGCGCAGAAGAGCCGGACAACACTCACAGCGAGTCTGCGGCACTGCAATCATCGTTGTAGACAGTCCCTGCAGAACATTAGCATCCGCTATGACCGGCCGCGAAGAATGAGGCTCCACGTACAGCGCGAGACACCTCCTCCCAGAGATTGCTGATTGCCGATACCGTAGTTGAATCCTGGGCAGATGGCGGAAACCTGGCCTGCGACGGCAGCGACCAGAGCGACGAAGGTGGAAGTCTTCATGATGAATAGTTCGAGAATGGTAGAGCCGCTAAGGTTTCTGGAGACTGCAGCATTTCCCGGCGAGGTTTATATAACCCAAGCAGCACGGTCCATCGCACGCGCGAACACGATTCAGTAGGAAAGTACGGCTCGTTCTTGCCGCAAACCTGGAGGCCATTGCCCGCTCCGGTCAGCAGGAGAGTGGCCCAGCACTCCCAAATGTATTGTAAAGCAAGATGGTCAATCGCTTCAACAGCGAGCCCAGCCTAGCAGTCAGTCAAATGACGGTGATGTGTTGGTAAACTCAATGGCTTGCATGTAACCACGGTTAGTTCGGCATCAGGGCGAACTTGATCTCAGCGCGGAAATCAACATCGTGGCATCCACACCTGCTGCCTTCGTGGTAAAGATCATTCTTTTGAACCATATTTCTCCGTGAAACGTGCGTCGGTCATGCCGTGTACCGTTCACCATTTCATTCGAGGACAGGAATTAGAGCGGAAGTCGTGGCCTCGTGAAGCTTGGCTTGTTCCGCCGAATATTTCGTGATACTACCGGAGTTCGTGCACCGAAATAGATATTCAGTCTCGATAGCCGAGACTATATGCCCTACTGGAGTTGTCACCCCGACATCAAGTAACCTGTTCACGACCATGCGTTGTGCGGCTGTATGCGGTTCTCTGAGGCTGTAGGCTGATCCCAGTGGGGTGATGAAAGGCAGCCTACAAAGACGTCCCTGGCAGGGCAGCGGAATCACCGGAGGCCCGTCTATACGGGGAATCAGAGTCGGCGTGCACCGTGCTACCTACGGACGCGAGTACGAGCTTCAGCTTCCTTATCCCGCCAGTACTTGAGTTCGGTGTCTGCGCGAGGATGCGCAGGCGCGGGCCGGAACTCTTTCTGCGAGTCGTTGTACGTAAGTTTAGGTTGTACGCAGCCAAGCACCGAAAACCCACATTCAGACCCTGAAGGAGTTCCTCGTACAGCCTCGATTGTGCGCGCGCTCTAGCAGATACATCTCCAAGCTTCTCCGTATGCGTCTCAATGAGCTTCGTGAGCTCCTGCCTGAGTCGAAGCAAGCTGTGCGGTGTGCGCATTAGCGCTCGTACGTTATATGGAGAAGACGCTTACTTCGAGAATATCATCGTCTCTTCATTCTGCTCCGTGAGGATGACGAAGGACATGAACATGACCACGTATCGCTTGCATATCTGTGAATAGATTAGTATTGTTCGAGGACGAGAGAATGGACATTGTCACCAGCAGCACATTCGCGTCAGTCAGCTTGGGCCGGCTACTAAAGCTCAAGTACCCTCCGCCACCCGCGCCCTCCGCGAGCTTCTTCAATGCATCGGCCATCTCGCCCATTGCGCGCTGGAATAGTGGCCACATCTGCAGACGCACACCGAAAAGTATGTTCTCTAGTGGTGCGCAGCCTCGCTTCTGCGTCTCAGCCATGACACCCTCGACGAGACGAATCATCGTCAGCAACGGCACAACAGGCGGCACGGGTTCAAGAGCGGCTTTGATGAATGTTTGAGTGTTGTCAAGCGCGGGATCGAAGATCGTCTTCCACAGAGCTGCCAACGCTGCGACGTCCTCTTTCTTCCGCTGACTACCTGCAGGTACCATCGGGTGCGAAGAAGCGCGTGGGGTGTGTTCAAGGTAGTCCGTTCCAGCTGCAGAGACGCTGTCATCGAAGTCTGTGGGCGCGTTGAGCGTTGGAGAGAAGAGAGCGCTCCCAGGTGTTGCAGGAAGCTGAGGCTCGGTTCGGGATACGGGAGGCGGCGGTGAGAAGAACGTTTCTAGAAATGCGTATTCTGCCGTGGCATTGTCCATGAGTACAAGTAGTGCCGATCTGAGTAGCGATTCGACCGGTTCTGTCTAATAATGCGTCAATACTGCTCAGACGCCGAAGAGAGCGAGAGATATGCATACATATGTCTTGTTATCCGCCATCAGCATGAGCGTGACGCCTGCCCCTTCCATATGCGCGAAGCCTAGTCGCGTCGCATCAATAGAAGGTGGCGCTCCTCCCTCAAGATTAGACGTGATGCCGCCATCCTTCTCAATGGTCCTGGCCTTCCAGAGGAGGTCAGAACTGGTTCATGAAGTATAACGATGGCAAATCGCACCTTCACATACCCCAAGCTACGCATATATCTCCTAAAACCAGTCTCATAGTACGTGCGTGCTGCAGCAACATAGGCTCTCTGGATCTCGGTCGCAACGGGCGGCGCTTGCCGCTGTAAGAAGACGTAAAGCGGATGGTACTTCGTGAGTACCGCTCCGTGTAGGACGTGCATGTTCGTAGTCATGCTTTGTCGTATAGGCGCTAGATGCGCGAGGAAGAACGCGCGAAGTTTTGTCGTTGCCTGTCTGAATGTGTCAGTGCTATTCACTGCAATCTGCGACATAGATACGTACAACGATGCGCACACCCTCAGCGACATTGGACAAGTCCCGCGCAGCACGGACACGTTCACGCGCGTTCAATGCTTCCAAGCGTGCTTCAAGATCTGCTATTGGCACAAGCCATGCCTCAGAGACGTCTGTGTCCAGTATGGCCGCGACGAGAGGAGGAGGGAGCGTGAGTTCGGATATGAGGTTTGACAGTGGCTTCTCAATTCTCTGGGCTCATGATCAAGTTCAGAACGGGATTCGTCTACACAGAGTTAATGGCGCACCTTGCGGCTCTTGAGTCTATTCTCTATGTCTTTACTGCGTGCTTGCAGGTCTGATATTTGCCCGGATACCGACGACAGGTCGTTCTGGAATGTGGATAGAAAGGTTTCGAGCGTATCCAAAAGGCCAACGCTTGTTTCCACCTGGTCGTGTAGGTCTACAAATTCACGAGCTCGAGCCCGAACTGGACAATCAGTTGGTGTCAGTGGCTACACACGAAGCATACGAACGTAAGCTCACAAGTGACAGACTCGGGTACAGACATCCTATATTCAACTCGCGTGTAGACAACTCGGCTTGAGCGCAAAGTGTTTCGAGTCCTAAGTTGAGTTATCGGAGCCGTGCGTTCGAGTGCTGGACCGGAACCGGTGAAGATGATGAGAGTCGGGGGATAGTCGCGTACACGTAAGCTCAGGACGCGGTCCGCTCAGACACGGTACGGTCGTGCGAACACGAGTTCCTTTCTGACCACCATCATCTTCTGTCTACCATGGCCGAAGAGCCTGCGACTTCTCCTATCTATAGGCTTAATGAAGATACCCTGATAGAGCTATTCAAGATAGTTGCGTGGGATGACCCACCCGGGTATCTGCATCCTTACCCGTCGCGTGTCTGGCACCTCAGCCGGCTTCATTTAGGATGGACGCGCGTGTCGCACGTCTGTCACCTGTGGCGTCGTGTCATCATATATGGCTTGCCTTCTCTCTGGGCGCAAGTTGTACTCGTTTTCCCACGAGAGGAGGCCTACACAACTATGCTCAGCCGTGCCCAGGACCTTCCAATCGTCTTATCCGTACACCGCAGCATCGAACAGAGCGCATTGCGCGCCGCTACATTCGCCTTTGTTCGCGCACACTGTGGTCGCGCAAGACTACTTGACTTTCCTGTCCTCAATCCCCCAGAAGATTGGAGTGACTTGTTCAATTCAGATGTGCTGCCACACTTGCGAGAACTCCGACTACGAGAACTCACCCACCTCGGGGATTTAGGGCTTTCCGAGTTGAACATCCGAGCACCCAGTCTCCTCACGGCAGTGATTGGCAAGCTGCGGTATCCTATAGTCGCACTTCATGCTGCTCAACTCGTTCACCTCGATGTCGTCCATTGTGAGATGTTCACGTTGCAGCATCTATATGATACGCTCTCCAAGACGCCTAGCCTGGAGTTTCTCCGGGCGACGACACTTCCTGCACTATGGGTCGATGATTTGCCGACGCCGGATGAATGTCACCTCGACTTACCACGGCTTCGCAGAGTGCATCTACTTGGGAGACAAAGCAACTTCCTACCGCTGCTTCGTGCACTGTCGCCAGTGGCACACATTCAGCAGGTTGAGCTGGACCGCTTCATCGACGTGGAACGCGAGGAGCTACATGAGGCGCTCAATGTACTTCGACCAGCAGACTTGGTAGAAGGGTGCTCTCTTAACTCACTATACATCCACCACGGCCGCTTCCAGACTTGCGCTTTCGACATGCAGGAGTATGATCGCGACAGACACTCCACTTTTGAGCCTCCCAAACGAGCCTTATGGTTCTCCGTATCACTACTATCGGAAACGCGTGCCGAGCAGGCTCGGCTCCTTCCTCGCTTTTGCGCCACGCTCCGATTGTCCGATATAGAGCATCTGGTCATTCAGCGGGGCATACCAGATAACCCGGATCTATGGGCCAACTTGTCATCAGTCTCGAGCATCACATTCATGATGGTGGCTACCGTGGAGGAACCGAAGGTTGCACGCGCTCTCGCCCTTCTCGGCGAGGCATCAGCGAGGGACAGCGCGTTGCTCTTCCCTCACCTTCACACTCTCACACTCTGTGACTGCGAATACTGCGACCCATTCGACAAGATAGACGCGAAGTGCCTTCAAGGATGGTGGGAGCATATCATCGATGGATTGACGATTCGCCGCAACAACGGTGTTCCGATCCGCAAACTCGTCATTTGCACACTCTACGGGACTACGAACGATCCCAGAATTGAAATTGACGACGAAGGCATGAAGCGCGCTTCGGCGCTGGTGGAGGACCTTGTGGACCAGAGGAGATTGGACAAATGATCAATGTCTCTCAGTCATCAGCGGAAAGGAAATGTGAACAGAGGATGTACTGTCATTCTTGGCTGTAGTGGAAGCGGATGTTAAATGAATGGCTTGCGCCATCGCAGTGGTGGAGGCCTTGTAGACGACTGGACTATGTTGTAGTAGCGGCCAGTGAGACGGGCCCGATCCGGGCACCGAAGCCTCTTGAATCGAGGATCCGACGGGCATCATCAGTATGCTTGTGTCGCCTGAAGCGGCCTCATCGTCTTTCTTACGATATCTTGAGCAAGTTGACTGTGCGCCTATGCAGTATATATGTGATGGAAGTCGGACGATGGTGGTCTGGACAAAGCGTCGCTGGCCCCAGTGTCCTCGTATTGGCCGAATTTCGTCGCTCACTCTGACGGCAAACGTGATTCTTTGACGTCCGACATCGACCATTCATATAGAGTTGATACACCGGCATCCAGTTCTTCTTTCCTGACTAACTTCGGACAGCACAAGATCGAGTGCCCACAAAAATACGGTGATCATAATCGTGACCCGCCCATCGAACGCGACGGCGTCACATCGGAAGTGCATATACAACGACCGCAAAAAACGCAGGCCACGACGAACTCAAGAGAGAGGGAGGGAGGGATGGCGGTAGGGGTAGACGGTGTGCGAGTAGTAGTACGGATGATGCGGGGGATATCAGGGAATGCGGGATAGATGATGAGGGTGAGAGGGGTACGAGGGGGTTAATAGAGGGTAGGTATGGCGAGTACTTCGTACAAGGCGGTATACGTATGCTAAACGCATTGACGCACGAGTAACGACGGCGAGTGTGAGAGAAGGACCGGTAGGGAGTAGGAGGGTGATTGGGGTGGAGGGATCAGGAGAGAGTCAGGCGTGCAGCGGGTAGTGAGGACCAAAACCGAGACAACGACGAGAGAGACAGATGCTGATGATGGATGAGATGTAGAGAGAGAGGAAAAAGAGGATTTTTTTGGATCGTTATAGGGGGGTCGTTTTCTGTATGTTTTTGTGGAGTTTCGTGGGTGGACGCGCCCGGCGATGGATGTGGATGAGCGCACGAGCAGGCGAGCAAGCGAATGAAACCGACAAGGGAACTATAGCAGAACAAAAGAGGAAAACAAAGGTAGAACCGGATGATGCGAAGGGGTAAGAACAGGGGGTGAGTAGGAAGGGTAAAGGTAAGAAAGTGGGGTAAAAGCGGTGGGCGTGACGAGCACAGCCCTATATGCGTGGATTAAGAGGCGCTATACGTGAGACGAGACAACAACACATGGGGCGACAGGCGTGAAATGTCCGGGAGACGCGCGCGGCGTGTGCGACGTGCGTGGATGGAACATGGGCTTCGATGGCGTCGAGGAGCCTTGGGGTAGTCCATCCTCCAACCGTGAGCGGAAGGAGTCGGCGCGCGAGGGCCCGTACGTGCCGGGTCCGCGCGCGGATAAGTTACAGCCGAGGCGATGATGGTCGAGCTGTCGGCGCGCGGACGGGATGGATAAGTCGACAGATATATGCGCGCGGCGACCAGATGCGAGAGAAGGCGAGATTCAAGAAAAGCAGGCACAATGTACAAGGGTTGGGATGGGCATGGGCGAGACGAAGCGAGCGCAGGCCGACCCGTCTAAGCAGCGGCGCCAGGGCGCGCTGGAAGGTCGACGGTTATTCATGAATACGATGCGAGTTGTGGCGAGAGAATCGAGGCGAATCGACGAGAGATGAGAAAAAGTATCCGGCATTAGTAGCTCGAGTGTGGGCTGGCGATGGTATGATGTGAGGGGCCGATAGCGAGTCGAAGCTGAAGCGGGAGTCTATGTGTAGCGGCCGGCATGGGGCGACGACCGCCTCAAACACCCACACGGATCCACGGGGCCTGCTGGTGGTGGAAGAGTGCGGTGGCAGGCTGCACGAGCCTGGACCAGGCAGCCTCGTACGCCGGACGTTGGGTCGGGGCAGCAGACCAGTACGAGTCTTGCTGAGTCTGGTACTGCGACTTGGCCGTCATGCGCATGTCGCTGTAGGCGTAGCCCGTCGACGGTCCGTAGAAGCTCTGCGAAGCCGAGCGTCCGTGTCCAGCTGGCACATCATATTGACCGGCGCCGGCGGACATCGACATCGAGCGCCCGTGCATACCGCCGTACGACGTCTGAATGTGCGGCAGTTGCATCTTCGGAACAGCAGGAGGCTCGATCTTGTTCTGCGCCCATGATGCTGTGGAGCCGTAGGAGGGCGCGAACGTAGTCGGCGGCTGCATGGGCGGCGGCGCAGGCGGTGCCATCGGCGGCTGGGGCGCAAAGTGCCTGTTCATCTCGGGCTTCATGCCTCTCGACAGCGGCTCATCAGCGTCTGGACTCCAGCGCGCGGGCGGCGGCAGGGCACGTTCCATGCTCCAATCATCGGCAGGACGCGGAGCGCTAGGCAGAGCGAAGCGCGCATCGCGGTCCGAACCGGCGCGGCTGACGCGGCGCTTCGGCATGTACTCCTCGCGAAGGGGTCCATCTTCGTCCAGATCGATGTCCAACTCGAGCGAAGTGGTCTCCATCAGATGCTTGCGCTCTTCCGTCTCAATGAAGACTGGCTGGGGATGCTCCAGTTTGCAGCTACGGTCTTCGCACGCATGCGGCTGGCCGCTCCGAACGGCGACATCGATGAGCTGTTCGACTGTGCGCCGGATGATAGCACGAGGATCATTGCCCGGACGGGAAATGGGTTGAGGCGGGCCGATGGGAGACGATGTCGATTGATAGGACAGAACGTGATCAAGCCATTGGGACCAAGCCACCTTGGGTACGGACAGATCGTGCTTGAAAACCTTGAGCGCGGCCGTTTCGAGGGTGTTCAAGGCCTGGATGGGAACACCGGAGATGGAGTGCCTGCGAACATGTGGGTCAGAATACGGAAACATATGATCATCAGAGAAGCGTGACTCACCAAGTCTTGTTGGAAAACGTGTGGTCGTCCAGCCACTTGTTGGCCAGCATGCAGCCAAGGAGGACGAGCCGGAAAGCCACGTTATTCTCAAACACCTCGCGTTCGACAATACCGTAGTGGTGGTTCATGCCGAGGAGAGCGCTGCGGAAGTCGACCTCGGTCTGCTGGCGAATACCGCCGTCGACAACGGGGCCGAAGCTGACAGGCAGACGAACAATGTACCAAACAGCGAGTATGATCGCGGAAGGCTGGAGCAGCGTCGACATGAGCAATGACCGGATCGAAGTCGCCAGATGCGACGGCGGTAGTGCCGAGTAACGCAACTCATGCTGACCGCTGCAAGATGAATCAGGATCGGTGCCGAAAATAAGCGCGGAATTAAAAACGTACTGAGGAGAGTAGTGAGGCGCCAGGCTGATGCCGACGGTGCACGCTTTCCAGACGTAGTCGGCCATCCAATCCGCAAGCGGGTCGGCAACAGCCTTGTAGGTCAGGGTAGCCGAAGGCGCAGCGGGCTCAGGAGCTGGAGCAGATTCCTGCTGCTCGTAGAAAGGCGCCGGCGCTGGCTGCGGGTAGTTGGTCTCGAACTGCGGAGCATAGGACCAGTTCGCGGGCTGCACGGCCCCCTGCGGGGCGAACGACTGCTGCTGCTGCTGGTCTGCTGCGGTGGCGCGGTCCACGTACTCGGCAAAGGGCGTCACAGGGCGACGGGGGCTGAAGCCGGTGCCACGAACGCGCTCGCGAGGAACGGTTGTGGGGAGGAAGCCATCGGTATAGGGGACAGAATCGATGTCCCGGCTAAGGCCCGAGAAGCGGTCCGGGGCATCCAGGTCCATGATGTGTTCGTCTGTACCTGAGCTATGGCCGCTCCACTGGCTCTCGACGTCGTAGTCGAGCTGATCGCACTCGCGAATGTATTCGAAATCGATCTCGTCCGCGTCTTCGTCGATGACCAACTGCTGATGCGGGGGCGGCACGCACGCTTGCGCGCGCTGGCCTTTAATGGCACCTGCGTCGTTGAACGCGGGCGCCAACCCAGAGCGAAAACCCTGCTGCGGATATTCGTCCTCCTCCCAGATCCTGCGAGGCTTGTTCCTACGCCAGTCGGGAAGAGAAGATATCCATTCCTCGCGCGAGCCAAAGGCGGCCGGCGGCCCCTGAGGCGGGAGAGAGTGCGAGTGCGTCAACGCGAAAGAATTTGTGCTCGCGCCAGATTGGGCTCTCTGGTGCTGCTTGATGACTGCGTGGGCAGTTGGCTTGGAAAAGCTGGGGACGGGAACTGGCATTCGCGGCGGCGGTGAGCGCGACTCGTTAGACCTCGGATCGCCAGAAAAAAATTCAGCGAGTTCGCGGTCTCTCGTGTCGAGCTCTTTGGGTAGTCGTAAAAAGAGTCGTGAAAGCGAGAATAAAGCCGGAGAGAGAGAGCAAAGCGAGACTGGAGATGAGGCTGGGGCTACGCGCAGCGAAGGCGTGCCTTTTTGGATGGGATATTCTCCAGGCTCTGGTGTTGTAGAGATTCTGGGAGAAAGAGGGAGGAGGGGAGGGAGTGAAGCGGAGGGGAAAAGCAGCAGTCCAACGCTCGTTCTTTGACGAACGAGTGATGAGGGCGGGAAGCAACCAAACCAGAAACCCGCAATTGACACCAAATTCACCCCGGCAAGTTTTCGCACGCACCACCCGATGTCCCCTTGTCCACAGCACAAAGCCCGAACCACCCTCGAACATTCTCGTACGCCTTTAGTTCTCAGTGTACTCGCCAACTGTACCCTGATCACTGGTACCAGTATTGAGAAAATCATATGCAGAGCAAATAATCCAGGAACGTCCCGCTCCAGCTGGCACCCATAAGCGCCCACGTCACGGTACTTACACCGTAACCGCGCCCGTGTCGCTGCGCGGCGCACGGTTAGCGTGAACGCGCGCGTCCACCACAGCCCCTCCCTCGCCGTAGCCCGCACAACGCAGCTATGGTAAGTTCATCGTGATTCTGACATAGATCACGCTCCGGCTCAGTACAGCTCAGAGCGAGCTAGACTCGATTACGCTCGGCCAACTACGGGCCATGGTCGGCTCCGCGCCTAAACCTCGAGCAAGTTACACCACTTTAATCGCGCCGTTTCCGCGCGCTTATCATACAATATATTCGTACAGCAATCGTACTATGACTTCAAGTACGACGATGAGGATACTATGCTCAACGAGATCGAGGAATTCTACTCCTACGTCGAGATGCCCCAGGTGGCGGAGAACATGAAGGCCTGGGAAGGCTCTTTCCAGGGAGGTGAGCTTCCAACCCACATCCTCCGCCGGTATGGTATGCGCAGCCCGTTCAAGCCGAGTCATTCTTGCATACAGAATGGATCAAGGCCTCTCAATCTAAACGCCGCGCACACGTAGAACTGCTGCTCGAAAGCCTCGAGCACAAAGACGTCGGCATTCGCTTCACCAACGCCCGCCGGCTCTTGTACGTCTTACAGGGTACGTCAACCTTGCGTACACGCGCCTATGATCACACATACACTAACCCTTTCACGTCCGTAGGCACGTTTGGTGAGACCACCTCTCAAGAGCACCAGCTGCATTGGATCTTTGAGAACGCCAAACTTGTCCGGGCCGCGAACGGCGTGAGCAACATCGTGGAAGCGTTCAAGATCGCCAGCGCCAAGCATGACTTTCTCAGGTATGTTTCGCCTCTTTCCAATCCACATCGGTTGTTCCCTCACTACTAAGCCCTTCGCAGCCTGCTCTCCGACGCCGACCTTGCGCACATCCATCTCACGCAAGATGAGCGTGCGGAGGTACTCGAGGAGATCACTACGGAGATATCCGTCTACCTCGGCATGTTGTATCACCTCATAGAGGTGTTCAAGGGTTACGACGACTTCGCCGAAGAACTCAGTCAGTCATCTCATTAGCGCCCTGTGTCACAAGGACGCACGCTGACCGCATGTTCAGTGAGTCTCGACCCGCCGCTCCCCATCTACTTCTTCAACGTCGTGGGCGGTTTACGCGACAAGAGCGCCAAAGGGTACCCAGTCAAGAAGGTCTGTTCTTTCGGACTCTATCCGCACGAAACCGTTCCCATGATATCAGCCTGCGAACGTGTTTTCTTACTCCGCTTTTAGCTGCTCCTTGTCCTGTGGAAGACTTTCCTAGCGTGCTGCGGTGGCGTACGCGATCTCGCGAGGGTCAAGAAGCTAACGCGCGAGCTTTCCGGTCTCCCAGAAGTGCCCGATGGTGGTTCGTACCCACTTTCGCCCCTTCTTCCTTATCCTATCGATGACGATAATCCCCAACTAATCCCAATGTGGTACGTGCAGCTATCAACATCAAATCTTCGCCGCTCGACATCGAGACCTTCCACCAAGAGACGTCAGTCAAGTTCCCGACTTTCTCCGCACCGGTCGTACACAACAAGACTGTGTCCACGCAAGATGCTCCGATTCCGACTTCCAAGTTGGCGGAAGCGTACACCCCTATTCCCGTTCGCCATCATTACAATCACGAAGAATCCGACCCTTCCCTGCCACCTCCGCACCAGTACCAACCCGGCGTCGGAGGTGGACCTGGCTCGAACTTTCGGCCCGGTATGCCACAGCCGGGTACACCCGCACCTACGCCACCGCCCTCGCCTAAACCAAAGAAACAACAGTATCAGACCGATCCGACGCGTCCGTTCTTGTTCCCTTTCTCACGTACTCGTGGGCGGGGAGGTGGAATGATGCTTGTTCCATATGCGATCGAAGAGGCGGATAGGCTATACCATCGGCACATGTATGTCTCTGCTGCGCTATGGCAGATGTGGCGTACCAGGGAGGAATGCATGACAGCGGACAGTGGGCTTGAGAGGTTGCCTGGTATGGATGACGTCTCAGAGAGACTCAGTAGGATGAGCACTGCAACCGGCCATGCTGTATGCGCCATTGTACTTTCATCTGAAGCAGCTTGCGCTCATACACGTTCTGTACAAAGGTCCATAACGCGCTCGCGGACGAAGAAGCACCGACTAGCCCCGAGATCGCAATTCTGGACGCGAAGATTGCCGAAGTTGACGAGGCGATCAAGCAGGGTAACGGCGACAAGCGACTGCTCAAGCAGCGCAGAGAAGACTTCCTGCGTCTAAAGCGCGTGGAACTCATCTACGTTCGTATTATCATACACTCAGCCAACGACATCCTGATCATGCAATGTTCAGGCAGCTGTGCTTCCGGCCATGGGCAACACCGTGCTCGTTCTGCTCAAGCTGCTGCTTGCGATCGTATCTGCGTCATCTCCTGGTGGCCAGCCACCACCGTCTTCAGCTGGAAACGCATTCCCTCCTGGCGTGTCTTCTCGTAAGTTATATGCGTTCGTCGGACTTACAGTACATCAAATACTTACGACAATCAATAGCGCAAGAACCGCATGGAGTCGGCCCTCCGCTCACGCTAGAAGAGACCGATATTGTGCGCCACCGCGAGATCACGACGAAAGCCGTGTCGGCTATCCTACTTCTCACACTGAAGTGGTTCAAGGTTTCTCGTGCGTACTAGTCTAGCTATGACCTCCAAAACCAGCTAATGCATGGGTAGATGTCATGAAGTTCCATCATCTGGGACAACACCTGCTTGACACGAACTGCTTGCTACTCGTCATGAAGATGTTCGGCATGCAAGATGTAGCCAACACCGTCGTCGCAAGACACGAGGCGCCAGACCACAAGTACGCAATTCAAAGTCAGCTGGAACCTGGTCGGCACTGACGGAACTTCTAGCTTCTTCCGCTTCTGTCTAATCAATCTCTCGAAGAACCCGCAACCTCAACGCGGTCCTCCCAGTCAAGACGACTACATGTCCGTCTCGCCTCGTCGCACTATCACGCGCACAACCACGCTACCGAATGGCAATACCCACGAAGAGGAGATCGACATGCTCACGGAGTTTTCGTGGCGCAACTTCTTCGCCACGATCAACTTTGCAAAGATCATGCAGAAACTCAGCAAGAACCGATCGCATCGGATACGGATGCTTGTGCAGTACAAGAGCACGGTACGTCCGACACATGCCTTTGATGTTATCTGGCAAGGTGTTGACGGTATGTCACAGGCTATCTTGAAGCGGATACTGAAAGTGCAACATCCGGTACTTCAGCTTCATATCCTGAAGCTCATCAAGAGTCAAGTGCCGTATAGCGGGCGGAGATGGAGGCAGAGTGCGTCATACAGATCATATCTCGTCTCCTGCGTTACTGATCTATTGATATAGCGAATATGCAGGTCATCACTTCGATCTATCTGAACTGTCGACCAGACCTTCGCGATGAGTGGCTTACGCCCTACGAAGGTGATGATACGGGCGAGTCCCAAGAACACGCTCTACGGCAGCTCGTCAAGTTCTGTGAGTACAATCCATGATCTGTTGCATCATGATCACTTACGCCGCATAGACAACACGAAGCTGTACGGCCAACAGGGCGGCCACCCACAGCCGCCCGCGCACAGACGCTCAGTCAGCATGTCGCACCACATCGACAACCTCCATCCGGGCGCCGAACTCAACTCCGGTATACTCCGCCCTGTAGGAAGCACCCCCAATATCCCTGAAGCGGACGTCTTCCCACCTTTACGCGCCCAAGTACCCGACCCGAACATATTCCTACCGTATATCACCGAAGACATCGCGTTCGAAGAGGAGTACGAAGAGTACTTATCCGACCTTGGATGGTCTGACTCTGGATCGGATGTTGGAGATGGTGATGCTGGACAGAGCGCGTGGCATCGTTTGCCGGAGCTCGCAAGCCACATTGCGGATGATATCAGTGACTCGGAGAGTATTGTTGAGATCGGCGATATTGGAGATGTCGGACGTGAGGAGCTTGACAAGGAGCGTCAGAGTCGCGACGCGAACCGCAACGACTGGGAGGTGAGTTCACATCTTAGACTGGTTTTCTCGCTCAGCATATGCTGATGATGCTTCCATAGCACATGAGCCCAAAGACGATGGCGGCGTTGACCAAGTCACCGGCTGGACCTGGCGCCCGCCGTTCATCCTCAAGCGAGCGCTTACGGCCTGTCTTGCCTTTCGGTCTTGACGACGCTACGCTCTCGGAAGACTTCAATGTGGAAGAGGAGGTTGAAGAGGAACTGGGGCCGATGCCGAGAGAGCAGCCGTTCTCGGGCAGTGGTGGTGGAGTGGACGAGGTCGAATACGCGTATGGGTATGTCACCATCCTGAACGATTCTCTGTTTCAACTGTGTGCTAAACCCCTCGTAGTGTTTGATGCAAAACGGATCTTAGTCACATTGATGTTATAGAGGATATGCTAGTACTTGATTGAATATATCGCGGTTACTCCGTGTCTCATACGTCCACTACAATGACTAATTCGCTCACCCCTGCTGCCCGGTGTTCGGTCCGATGATGTGCCGACGGGGGCCGATCCTCAGACGAACGATCGACGCTGGGTTCTGTAGTCGTCGAGTCGACCTCATCGACTGTCAATAGTACTTGACGTTCCATGATAAACAGTCAGAAGGCGTCAACCAAACTGTTTCTGTGTTCTCCTCACATACTTAGTAAGCCAAGTGCTATTTGTCAATGTCCAAGCACGTGGCCAGATATGGCTGCCCGCGTGGCACCAGCAGCGGGCCCTACGGTCAGGGTGCGGGTTTCTTAGAACCATCATCATCGATCCATCTCTGCTTCATGCCCGCACAGCCAAGCTCTGCAATAGTCAAGCTTCATGCGGATATCCTAGTGTATCTTTTCACAATAATTGCGCATGTTGATCCTCCTGGGTTACATTCGCTCGATGAGTACCGTCCTAGGGAGTTTTTCAATCACAAGCGCAAACCTTTACGCCTTGGATGGACACGCCTGACCCACGTCTGCTCACTATGGCGCAAGATCTTGATATACGATCTTCCATCCCTCTGGGCTGAGATTGTACTCGCATTTCCATGTGAGAATGCCTACGCCGTCATACTTGATCGCGCACGAAGCCTTCCCATCACCCTCCGCCTGCATCGTGACGCACAACATAGCGCCAAAGCATCCCGTGCAACTACGTGCGACTTCATCCGCACTCACTGCGAGCGTGCTCAGGTTCTGGACCTCGCCGTATTCCATCCTCCGGAAGACTGGAGTGACCTATTCAATCACCGCGTATTGCCACGTCTACGACGTCTGCGCCTCGGAGAAGACGCTCATTCGCGCGACCCGGACAATCCAGCTCTGCACATCCAAGCGCCAGTTTTATTGTATGCCCAGATCCATGGGGGGCATTATCCTTCAATTGCGTTGCAAACTCCTCTGCTCGTTCATCTCGATGTCATGCTTTCAGACTCATTCACAATGCGACATCTACTAGATATCCTGCTCCAAACTCCATTGCTTGAAGATCTTCGGATACAGTCCATACTATGGCTTGATGGGCCCCATTGGTCTGCGACTGATGATGACCGACGACTTTCTCTTCCGCGCCTTGACAAGTTGGGTGTTACTGGATGCATGGAAGACTTTCTTCCCGCCATGCGCCTCTTCTCGCGCTCAGCGTCCATTAGACAGCTGAACGTGCATGATGTCGGCCAATCCGAATGTGCCAAGCTGCAGGAGGCCCTTGACATGCTTATGCCAAGCCTGGCTGCAGGGGAGTCTTCCTTTAATTCCCTTTACATCAGTTTCCTGGGCACTTTTCAGATCTGCGCGTTCAACTGGCAGGAACGTGAACATAGTGACGAGCTGCATCGCCTCTTCATACCCCCTCGCCACGCTGTTTATTTTCGAGCCCAACTCTACTGGGATATTCCAGCACGAGCTCAGCTGGCTTCTCAATTCTGTGCGGCTCTTGCGCCCGCTAAGATCGAATCTCTCACGATCGAGTGTTCGTGGGGCGAGTCGCGAGCTTCAGCGATGTGGACCAAATTTTCATCCGTAACCGCCATCACATTCATCATCCATGCCAGTGGAGACTCGACACCAGGGGACATGCACGCGATCGACATCATCAGGGAGATACCGACCTTGGGCAATGAAGCACCCCTCTTCCCTCGTCTCTACTCCCTCAGAATATGTGTTTGCGGGTACAAGAAGAATGGAAAAATAGACCCCAATGACTACTATTCGGGCTGGTGGAACAATGTTATTGGCGCATTGGTAGCGCGTTCCCAGACCGGCAAGCCTATTCGTCGACTGATTGTCTGTGAAGCAGAGGACGATCGTGGGATCGACACGGGTTTCAACGGAAGAGAGCGCGCCGCTGCGTTGGTAGAAGAGCTTGTGTATAAGTGAAGGAGAGATGCGATCTGAAGTTGATGAATTGAATTGCATATGTAGTTGCCATACCTCTCGACGTCATGAACATCCAATGTGATGGATCATACAGTGGCGAGACTGCGTCAGTCACGTTTCTAGTCCACGGTCGTGCACCGAGCAAAGGCAATGGGTAGACCCTAAGAAATCCTTACACGAGCAACTTCACAGTCCATTTCGCGGTCTCTTGTTCTCCTTTTAGTTTATGGCCATGTGGAAGAAAGCTAGCATGGCCAGCCGACTAGCCAGCCGACGAAGGTCAAACTCAACATCAACTACTGGCGGCAAAGTGCGAAGCCTGAAGCGTTGCGCGATCGCCGACTTCAAAATCGCACAATCATCCAACCCAAGTGATGATCTGAAGACGATGTTGGCCATGCATGCTCATCCGCGGAATGAGCAAGCCGTTACAGACATGCATACGCCGGATACAACATGGTCAATATTGATATCTCAAAACGCCACATCACTGCATTTCTCGGTGAGCGCCCCCGTGCTCTGAAATTCAACCCTTTTCTCGTCCTCGCCTTCGCTCACGACGATGTCAAACGTCGTGTTCAAGCTATCGCCCTCCAGCTGTCCCTTGACTTCCACAATGGTCCAATCGCCAACATCCTGTGGCTCTGCATCTGTGGCCTCCTCCCATCTCTCCACTACCAACGCCGAGACTGCAACCCCCTGCCTCGCCACCTTCTTCACAACATCAACACCCACTGTCGTCCCTTCCGTAGCAAAAACTTCTGTCCGCACAGCGGCCTTGATCGTGACATCCCGTACCACACTGCTCTCATCCTGTCCCGCCGGCACGGACTTGCATGACTGCTTGTCCAGATACATGACCGCGTCATCGAGTGGGTAACCATCTCTGCTGCCTGCGTTGTCGTACGTGACAGCTTCGCCCGTACTCTTGCGGGTGACCGTCACGTTGAAGCCCTTGATGGACGACGTGGCGGGGAGTACGACGTCGAACTCGTGCCAGGCAAAGACCTCATCGGGGGAGAAGAGCCCGGAGCTGGTACCGAGCTGGAAGGTGGCGCGCGTGGTGGCAATGGTTGTGTTCAGAGACGAACCGTCGTCGGTGGATCGAGCCGGGACGTATGTCAGATGCACAACTTGGTCATCGTAGGTGTCAAAGTCGGTGAGCACCCGGATGCGACCGCTCAATGCGATGTGCGATGCGTTAACAAGGGAGAACGAGACGATGTATGGCTTGATGGGGACGGGATCGAGCGGACCCGACAGTGTGACTGTGGCGGGTACAGTGTCTATCATGCGCGCGAGGATGGATGCGCATTGGGCCTGAAAGATAGCGGGTTCGGCAAGCGAGGACATAGTGGCGTTTCGATCAGCGTTGAACACCCGAGCATCGCTATTCGTGGTAGTGTTTGCACCGGCCGCAAGTGGATTGCTCGTGTTGCCATCGAGGTACTCAGTCACGACAGCGTTATCGAAGGACTCAAAAGAGTCGTCGTTTTCGAAGTGCACGAAGTTGGTCTCCGACGAGTTGAAGGTGATCTCAGGGAAGTCCTTCCCATGAACGCCGCCAAGGGTATGGCCGCAGGCGACCATAGTGATCATCTCACTGACATTGAAGCCTGCTTGAGCGAAGGTCTGTATGTGCGTGTCGATGTCTTGATCAGGCTTAGGGACGCCCAGTGGCCCAGCCTCGGTGGCATCGACCCGACCAACACGGAAGGGGATCTTCGGACCGCCGCAACTACCAACGGCGACAACAGTGGCTAGAGCGACGAGGTCAGCAGCAGAGGCCCTGATGTTGTAATAGTTGTTGGTAAACCCGAATGTGCCGTTGAAGGCGTCTCCGACGTTCTCATCACGTTCGGTTTCGAACATGATTGACGCGTCCAGTCCGCCAGTACCAGCGGCGACGTCGTGAGTAGCCATGTCATGGTAAGCCGTGCGGACCCATTCCGCCGCTGTCTGGCGGCCTGCTCCAGCAGAAGAGAAGTCGCAAGGAGTGACACCTAACAGAAGTATGAGATCCAATCCATGCATAGTATCAAGGAACGTGAGAACAGTACCATCGCGGAAGCCATTGCGGATATATCCGGACTGAAGATACCTCAAATCCTCCAGATAGTCGTACTTCGACGGCCATACATACTCGGCCGTGGATGACAAGGCCTGGAGCAGTCCGAGACCCACAAAAGCAACAGCGCCACTCCGCATCTCGACAGAACCAGGCGGAGAAGAACGAGCGGTAAACCGAGCGATGCCAGTGGACGGCGCCGTCAAACGTATAGGGCGGACATATAAAGTCTGCCAGTCTTGTCCGGAAGCTCAGTTGACCCTACAGAGCCCGTCTCGACGCGGGCGACGCGGGACGGATAGACGGTCGCGGGCCGTGTGGTGTGCTTCTGAGGCTCTTGGCGACATGGTGCATTGCGCAAGATGAAGGGATCAAGGCGAAGGGCGGGCTCATGACGGGCGGAAAGAAGAGATGCCCTCGCACTCGCAACAAGATAAGAGCTTCGTCCACGCCAATAAAGTTGATTCGAGCTCAAGTGTATCCTACACTCCACAGTCCTATGCGCTCCCGAAAGCGACTCATACAGTACAGGCCGCCCTGCGAAGAGAAGAAGAGACGACCACGACATGTGGCGGACGGCCCGGAGCCGTTGCCAAGACAATCCCCGCCAGCTCTCACGCCGGAGGGTCTTCACCGTACCGCGTCGCGCCGTGCACACGAGCATATCTTGAGATTTACAGCTGTCATCTAGTGTATCAATTCGTGACGTCGTCGACTAAGGGTATTGTACAGCAATTTGATTTGGCAAGATATAACATCAGGTACTTCCGTCGCGAGAGATCTCCATAAGAAGCTGGTGCATCGCCTACTTGCGCACAACGATGAACGGCACCTGCAAGAGAACAGTGGTCAGTACACGACAAGAGTGGGGGCGAGAAAAAAACACAGACCTCGACGTCCTCGCCTTCCTCGTCCATAGCCATGACCTCAACGATGAAGTGCTTCTGGTGCGAAGGTACAGGCTTCTTGCTAACGAACTCGACAAGATCGCTGAACTTCATCGGCAACCTCTCCTCGCTCTGCGTACACCATCATCAGCATCGGTACATTCACACAAATCACACCGACGTACCTTCTTCTTGCCAATGAACGAGCTCCACAGCATGCTCACGCCCTGCGACACCATCGCAATATCCAGTCCATGTTTCGAGCGGAAGAAATCGATGATCTCCTTGAGCGGCGGGTTGCCCTCGAACGAGAACCGATCCCACAACGTCCACTCGTTCTCGCCGTACTTCTTCTTCGCCGCCGCGATCGGCTCGGAGAACCCGAAGAACGGTAAAGCGAGGTTGACGAACCCGTTCTTGAAGTCCTCGAGCTTCTTCTTACCGTCGATGATCTTGTACAGCTCGAGACACACGAGCCCAACGACGAGCGAGGTCGTAGTGGCGATAGCCGGGATGATCTTCCCAGCGATCTGCTTCGTCGTATGCCTATCCGCCGGCGCGATGCTGTAGTTCTCAGCGCGCAAGTTGGACGCGGCAGTGATGAAGTCAATGTGGTGGTTCGTGTCGTCGTCCTTCTCGAACTCGACGGGCGTGAGGCGGAAGCCAGCGAAGGTAGACGGAGCCGGGAGCTTCTTGGCGAGCTCTGCGGGGTCCGTGTCATCGTTCTGCTTCTCCACGGGATCGTTGTCGTTGATCTGGACCTTGACGCCGCTCTTGGGTTGGAACTCGGGCACGACGACCGCGTCGGCGATCTTCTTGAAGATGTTCGGGTCCGTCTCGCCGCGGAGGCCGTAGTTGAACGCGTGCAAGTTGGCGGCAGCGATGATGTAGGCGAGGTGCGTGGGCTATTCAGCAGTTGGTCAATACACGTACAAAGCGCTAACATGGGCGCGCTTACGTCACTCGAGTTGAACACAAGCGGCTCAGGTGCACGCTTCGGCCCACTCCAGAAAGGCTGCCCCGAACTCGTCACGGCGTCCTTCGGCAGGCTATATAGTAGCTGACGGATCGAGTAGTTGTACTTCTCCTCAAACTGCATACGCGCCCAGACGATGCACTCCTCGAACGTCAACGGCTTGTCGGTAACAAGGTACGAGATGATTTGCTCGATCTGCTCCTTCTGTTGACCGGAATACTTGAGAGCGTTCTCGAGGAAGTTCGGCTCGGAGAGGTACTGGTTGACGGATTGCGCGGGCTTGACGAAGAGGTTGTCGAACTCTTGCCGACTCCACTATACACACAGTCAGCGTCACCCAGCTTGATGAACATGAAAAGGCGTACCTCGATCGTGTGGTTGATCTGGTTCGGGAAGTTCTTGACCGTGCAAGATGGCGTCTCCTTCTCCGGCGGGTCTTGAGAGGATGCGTACGACTCGGTAAGGTGTGGTACGATGACCTGAACATTGCCCTTCGTTCCGAGGGTACCGGACTCAAGCAGGGGCTTCTCGTAGAACACGCAGCGTTGGTCCATGTACAAACGAGCCTTGACGTTGTCAAGCGCGTTCGTGACGCCGTCGATGCCCGCGAAGAACTCGTCACCGTAGATACCTATACAAGACCGAACATCAGTTGTGGCACTGTGAAGATAATGACGACAACGTACCTTCAGTGTCCGGACCAACTGGCTCCTGCTTGCACAAAATATGCCCCTTCAGATCCGGGTTCATATTCGCCACAGCCTCCGCCGCAACCTCACTCTTAAACTTGCCCAGATCCTTCGCGCGGAACAAGAACTGACGGTTCAAGTTACTCTTCTCGATCGTGTCCAAGTCCGTAACATGAACGACGCCCTTCGCGCCCGCACCAAGACCCATCATACTCCAGTTCTTCAGCATCTCGCACCCAATGGCACCCGAACCGACGAGGAACTGGCGGTGGTTCATGATCTGCTCCTGGAACTTCTTGCCGAATACCACGATCTGACCGTCGTAGCGCGAGCCGAGGGGTTGGCATTCTTCCTCAGTGGGAAGCGCAGCGGGAAGAGACTCTAGCGAGTCGAAGTAGAAGTGTTGGACTGTGGGGTGGAACTTGGCCGAGCAAGCCTTGAGAACTTCTTGCGCAACGAAGCCACCCGTTACGGCGACCATGGGCGAGAGGTTACCCTGCGCTTGGTACGCGAGCTCCGTCAACACCTTCTCGTCCGCGTCCGCGTCGATCTTCTTCGCGAGCGCGACGAATGCTTGAGCATCGGCGGCGTTGCGAGGGGAGGGGAAGCGTTGCTTCTCCTTCGAGAACTGCCAGAGTGCTTGGAAGCCTGCGTGGAGTGTAGCGGGGCGGTCAAATTTGGCGAAGTCCGTGATGAAGAACTCAGGCTCCTTCAATGATTCACGTAGCGATTTCTGAACGGGATGTGAGTAATGTTGCACGGTATACATCAAGTGAGAGGAGCGTACGAAGTTGATGATCTTGGGCATCTTGACCTGGGTGAAGATACCGCCAGACTTGTAGTCGCCCAAATTGCTCGTGTCACCAATCGAGAAGGTGTATGGACCCTTGACGGTAATCTTGCGCGGCTCGCAGCCGTTCAGCTCCTCCATGCCCTTCACCTCGTTGAAAGTGACGAAGTCACCATCCTCGAGACCGTGGCGCGTCTCGTCCAGACAGGTAACGAGACCCTCGCTATCCTTGTCCACAGAGACGATCATGCCGGTCAAGGGTTGCTCGCCGGTAGGGTCGACACATGTGAACTTGGGACCGAAGTCATTGAAGGCAGAGCTGCGCTCAAGTCAGAACATGCATGTGTACAGCAAAGATTCGCGCGCACGAGAATAGACCGCGCGTCTCCGCGCTGATGAAGTAGACGCCGTTATCATGCGTCCAGTCGTTGATCTCGAGCTGCTTCTCGAGCGGCTGATTGACCAGGACGACAACCTGTTTTATCACATGAGCATCTGATCCCACATAAACATCCAAATAGAGTCATACCTGGAAATTCTTGATCTGCTCTACGGTAATGGGTTGTCCAGACGAGCCGCCGAGGTTCTTCACGGGTACGTAGGCGTTCAGTTCTGCCAAGCGAGGAACGGCAGCATCTGCGCGCGACTTTCCGACATCGCCTTCTTGCAAGAAGAACTAAACGGACAATCAGATCCTAGTATCTGGATGCCGCGCGTGTGGGAAACGCACCTGTGTGCTCAAGTCCTGAAGGCGGACCGGCTCAGGGTCGTAGATAGTGACGGACTTGACACCGGCAAGAACAATATTCTTGGCTATATATGACTCAGCGCCTGAAGATACTAGGACACGCTTGTAGACATACCGATCTCAACGCCCAAGCCCTCCAAGCCAACGATGAGAACGTTGGAGGCGGCCATGCGCTTCATAGCTACATCACATTAGGAGATCAGCTTTCTCGACGCGTTTTCTGCTTCTACCAAACCATACCTGCATGACCGAGCACGTATCTGGACGGGCAAAGTCAGCGATACGCCCGCATAGCAACTCAAATAGAAACAGTGGCGTACAACTGGCGTGAATAGAGGCCCTCATCAATCGTAGCCTCGTCAATATCCATCGGCGTCCCAGCCGTGTGCGCCGCTGCCATATTATTCGATGACAGAAGCGATATAGTGGTGGTGGTACAAGGGAGAGTTCGGACAAGAGTTGGAGATCGCCGAAGAGTCGACGTCGCGATGATCAAGCGCGAGGCGCGCGCGCGACGCGTCAGGCTCCGTCAGCCCACGCGCACTTTTCCAGGCAGAATCGCGTCGAAGGCCAGAGAGCTGTGGCGCGCTCGGGTAAGCGTGTACAGGATTATAAAGTGCGAGTACTACAGTATGTACAATAGTGGCGTCATCCGAGTAGCATGTACGTAGGCTATACAGGGTTTACTTGCGGTAGAAGTTACGCTTAAAGTTGAACCAGAGCGATAGACACCCTCTGTCAAAGCTGCTCCTGAACCCGCGCTTATGCGAGTACTCCCACTCGCGATTAACGATTCTGAACGCAATATCCTCGTACGGCGGGCCCGCGTTGAAGTGTAACAAGACCGTGTCTTCGTTGCCAGGCTCTTTGACGATCTTGTACGTCGGCGCTTTGGACTTGTCGATGAGGTCCGGGTAAAATATGTTGAACTTGTATCCCTGGACGACCTTTGGCGGCGGATTATCCGTGCTGCGAAGGTATGAGCTTATGGGCACACAGTGTGAGCAACGGAGAAGACATACTCGTAATGCGTCTGGTTGTACTTATTCCACTCGTAGCCCGTATGCACGCGATTGAAGTACCTCGGCTTACGCGGGCGGTACTTGTCCTCCCAATTATAGGATGTCGGGTTCGCGATGTTCTCCTCCATATTGAAGAGTTCTTCTTCCTCGTCCATATCACGCTCTGCCTCTGCGCGGTATAGAGCTTCGGACGCCAAATCAGCATTGCTTGAGGCTTCCATAGGCTCTTCTGGTGCTTCGACCGGGGCAGGCTGAGCGGCTTTGGCGATGAAGCGGGACCCTGTCACTGCGCGCCGCTGGGCAAACTATCATAGATGTCAGCCTTGTAAGCATAGATGGGAGAAAACGAGACATACTAGATCACGTCGATCGTCCGCTTCAAGGACGATATCGACTTGCCGCTCATCGTATGGGAGCGAAGTGATGTTGATCAACGGAGGACTCATTGAGCGGTCGTAAGGTATAGGCGCATCTTCCACAGATTCAGCCACAGGCGCCACCTTCACGCCGCGCGACGCGTTCGTAGCCACACCCTCGAGTAGCTCTTCCTGTGCTTGAAGTGCTTCGTCGCGTTGGCGTTTGCGAAGGTGCTCTAGTCTGTTGCGGACCACGACTTCGTGGAAGCTCGTCAGCTTTGCCTGCATATCGTCGTCAACACATGGGCAGCACACGGGTAACAAAAGTGGTGCGTACTTTGGACTTCCAGACGAGTAGCTTCTTCAGCAACCCTTCCCAATAATCCGTGTCGATAGGCTCGCCACTGGATAGCTTGGCTTGTACCTGCCGTTGCAGCGTAACAAGGTGATCATATGATTTGCCTTTCAGCAAAGCAGTCACTTCTGCCTCTACTGCGGCAGCTGCCTCTCGCCCGAGACGCACGTCCGACTTGAGACGCTCAATCCTGTCCTTGCAGACAACCATCATATTCTGAGTGCCGTTTAGTGAACATCGTGAGCATCAAATTAAGAGAACGTACAGTCCAGAACTCCAGGTTGAGATTCGAAGTCTCCAGCTGAAGATACCTCTGGATATCCTCATGAAGTTCGTCGACTTGGTCGGCCGTCAAGTTCTGTAACAGTCATCAGCCGCGATACCGCTGGCATAGCAAACTCAAACGCACATCAAAGATATTATACGGCTCATCCAAGTCAATCTCCAAGCTCGCGGCCTCCGCGTCCTCGTCGTCCTCGTCATCATCGATAGGATTCGCATAGCGCAAGTTGAGCGCAAGAAAGTCGATAGCCTTCGCCCTCTTTTCCTTGATCCTAATAGCAGCGCGCCTTCTCTCCTGCTCAAGCTGAAAGTCGCCGTCCTTGGCAATCCACTCGGCCATCTGCGCGCTCTCGGCCAACCTCTGCATCCGCACGTCCTCCTCCTCCCTCAACCGAGCCTCAGCCTCCCTCTCCGCTCGCCGCCTATTCAACCTGTCTAACTCTTCCTTGGCCTCTTGCCGACGAATAGCATCGCGCCGTGCAGCTTCATCGGCAGAAAGACCTGACTTCTTCTCCTTTTCGGATTTCTTGTGCCATCGGAACTGCTGGCCGAGATTGGCGTCGTGGAAGGGGTTGTCCGTCGCGGAGTATACGCTGAGTTCTGCGACTTGACGTGCTTCTTCTTCTTGCTTCAACCGCTTCTTCTCGGCCTTGCGAGCTTTGCGCTCTTCGGACTTGTCACGTTTGCGCCTATGCCCATTTAGCATATGTGTATTGATTAAGTTGCATGAATACACGCACTTCTTGTCTTTCTTGCCATCGTCTCTGTCCCTGCTCCTACTCCTCTCCCTTCTCCGCGAGGACCGGTCCTCACGCTCCGGAGACCGCGTCCTATGCCGTTTACGCTCGCGCTCGTCGTCATGATCATCCCTTCTACGCGAACGCGAGTCATATTCTCGCTCGCGGTCACGACGCTGGGGAGAGCGGCTTCGAGAGCGGTCACGAGCCATTTCCAATACAAGCAACTGAAATGCGCGAACCGAGTGATACCAACCAAAGGCGGGCAGACGAGAGCAAGAAGTGAACGCCACTTCCGCCGGCCATCAAGGGGACCTGCTCGGTTTCGCACGCCGTCTTTGTGACTATACGCGACTTGCTCCCGACCTCGACTCGATGCTCCGGCGGTCATGCTCCGTCGCTGTCGTACATTCTGCACGACACCGCTATGGAATATCTGTGAGGAGGCGTAGACTGGTCACTCAGGCGCAGGTCGAGTACGCGCCGCGCGAATCGGAACCGGATGTCTCACCTTCGCGATCACCACTGGCCACGCCTCGGGAGGTAATCCCGTTTATGTTATGCGCAAGCTCCATGTATTGAACTGGTGACTACATAGCTTGTAAAATATCTGGACGAGTATGTTGTAGGACAAGAATATGCGAAGAAGACGCTGTCCGTCGCGTACGTCCAGCAGATCAATACCCATATGAGTTCGATCCATGCTAAGGCTGGGCTAGCGTGTACAACCACTACAACCGCGTGCGCGCAAACATTGAAGCGTTGGAAGCGCAGCATGAGCTTGAATGGGAGCAAGCGCAAGATAATGGCGAGTACCGTGCTCGTCAGGATCTTGTGGCGCAAGCTGACTGACGTACACAGCTGAGGCAACTGTGATACCAGCCAAGATTCGACCACATCCCCGAAGACTACCACTACCCACCTTACCTCATCATCCCTTCATGCCTGCGCCATTGGTTGAAAAGAGCAATGTTCTTGTCATGTCAGTCTAGAACCCTATCCGACATGCGTACTGCGTTTCTGATGTGCTCCATGCAGAGGGCCCACAGGTTCCGGTGCGCATGCATATCATATCTATCCTGATGCAACCATTCACCGGCCCGTATAGGTAAGACGTTGCTTGTACGGACACTGGCTAGGGTATTGGATGTACCGTTCTCGGTCAGCGATGCGACCTCATTCACTCAGGTAAGCATGCAACCGGAACATGATATCCAGCCCGCATTGACGAATGCCAGGCAGGATGTCAGTACCCCCCTTTTGTACCAACAGCCCGTATTGACCGCTCCCAGACGTCGGCGAAGACGTAGACACCTGCATCCACCGCCTCCTCCAAGCAGCCAATAACGACCCTTCACGAGCCAGCACCGGCATAGTCTACATTGATGAAGTCGATAAGATTGCGCGAAGAAGTAGCGGCGGTATGGAGGGCTCGCGCGATGTGGGCGGTGAAGGTGTGCAGCAGGCTTTGTTGAGAATGATGGAGGGGAGTGTGGTAAATGTACCGAGTAAACCGCTCGGAGGCGATTTGACTGCTAGTGAAGGGAGGAGTAAACCTGGACGTGCTCGTAAGCAGAGCTTCAACTAACTCATCTCCTTACATACTCAATATGCCGGACAACAGCCAAACCAGAAACACATCAAATCGACACGTCGAACATCCTCTTCATCCTCAGTGGCGCATTCGAAGGTCTGCCCAAGATCATCAACAGCCGGATGGCCAAGGGCGTGAGCCAGCCTCTCACTGCCCCATACACGCCGTTCTGATTGTGGCACTGCAGTCCATTGGCTTTACAGCGAACTTGAAGCCCGACACTAATGACAAGCATAACGACTTCATGCCCTTCTTTACGCCCAACAGAGGCGTTGCGCCAAACGTTCTCGAATCCGTCCAACCGACTGATCTCGTCAAGTTCGGGTACGCGATTCACTCCTCTCGAGATATCGCCGCATCGCAACTGACATACACTGTGCCAGCTTCATACCAGAATTCATATCCCGCCTCCCAACAATAACCACTCTTTCACCTCTAACTCCTCACGACTTGCGGCGCATCCTGACAGACGTCCGCGGATCACTCGTATCGCAGTACTGCGCCTTGTTCAACTACTCAGGCGTCGAGATCAAGTTCACGAGTAGCGCATTAGATGAGATCTGTAAGAAGGCCGCTGAACGCGGCGGTGGCGCGAGAGGATTGCGTGGGATCATGGAGTCCTTGCTTCTTGATGCGATGTACGAGACACCAGGATCAGTTAGTCCTGTCTCTTTCCTCCACTGCGTATCATGCGTGACTGAACTTCTGATTAGGATATTCGTTTCGTACTGATCGATGGTAGTGTCGTGCGGGGTGAACAGCCAGCGATGTACTGGACGGAACGCGAAGGCGGCGCGTTTTGGGCAAGATGGCAAGCGGAGGAGGCCGAGGAGTAGAGCATGATCGCAGTCATGCTAGGATATTACCATCGGAATGCATCGTTGTATTTTGTATACTGCTCCATCATCATGACCATCGGACCCGAATCGATTCGACCGGCGAAGCGTATCGTGCGTCGAGAGAAAGAAAAGGCAGCATGGGTATGGAAGAAAGAGAACAACAAAACAACATCTGAATCCGGATTGCGGTGCGGCTTCCGTTTCGTCAATACTTCTACACTATGTAGTAGGGAGTGAGATTTGAATACAAGGGGGGATGATGGTTAATTGCTGTGGGCATCAAAACTGCAAGCACCGTGATCGTGAGGGCGAAACGAATCTAGGCGGTGGCCTCTTCCTTCTTCTCCTCAGCAGCGGCGGGAGTCTCTTCCTTCTTCTCCTCTGCTGCGGGCTCGGCAGGAGCGGTGGCCTCCTCGGCCTTGGTCTCCTCAGCCGCCTCCTTCGCCGGCTCAGTCTCGCCAGTGAGCTTGGCGTTGTTGGTCTGAGCCTCCTCGAACTTGGCCTTGAACTGGCCGGCGTCTACAAGCTAGATCAGTACTTAAGACTAAAAGATCGCGTAATGCGTCAACATACTCTCAGAGTTGGCGAAGCGGATCGCGAGCGTCTCGGACGTGGCGGGAGTCTCGGAGTAGTCGGCGGCGACCTTCCAGACCCAGCTACGATCGGATCCGATGTTGGGCTGCAGCTTCATCTCGGACGAGACTTGGGTGCAGGGTCAGAACACACAAGTACGGGCACAGGGTTCAAACCACAAAGTACGTACTGAGGTGGTTCGCGCAGACCTTGAGGGTCTTGTCGCGGCGCATGACGAGGCGGACCTTGGTCGTCTGCTTGTGCTGCAACAGACGGACCTCGCCCGTCCCGCGCTCCTTCCACTCGTTCGAGCCAGAGTCGAAGCGGAACAGTTTTGCGCGCCTGTTTACATGTTATATGGGTCTGATCGACGAGGATCGCAGGATATAATACGCACATCTTGAAGATCGCCTCTTCGTCCTCCTCGTTCGTCTTGGTCTCGACCTGCTCCGTCAGCTGGATGACCGGCTCGAAATGCGGGTCCTGCTCCTCCTACACAACATTAGATCGCGTTAGAAGATCGACATCGCGTATATATAATGTATGTGATTGTGGCATACAGCGGGCGCGAGCGGGTTCTCGGTGTCAGCCATTGTGAGTGTAGTTGGTGGCACTGGGGGCGAGATGAGAGGGAAAGGGAGGAAAGATGAGATGAAAACAACAACGCGCCGCGAGGACGCGGTGGTGTCGCCCCCCACGTGTTGTTCGATCACACGCCAGTCAAGGTCGAAGGTTCGGACTCAGACGCGTCCAGCCATGGTCTCTTTTCGCTCCTTCGCTTTCTCGTGCTATACCATTGCTTTATTCGCACCATTATGTCTGGCGCATCTGATAGAGGTGCCTGCGGGGAAGAAGGAGTGTTTCTTTGAGGATCTACATGTGAACGACAAGGTGCGTAGCAGCGTATGCTGGCGCGCGTACATGAGCTAATCCCAAGTATAGATGACTGTCACGTATCAAGTTGGAGGTGGAGGACATTTAGACATCGACTTTTGGGTGCGTGACCCATGTGTATCTTTCCAGTTGTGAACCTAATTTCTGTACAGCTCTCCGACCCAGACCAACTCGCAATGCAGAAGCAACTCAAGCAATCACAAGGGACCATGTCAATAACCGCAACAAAAGACGGCCGCCATGAATACTGCTTCTCCAACCAGATGAGCTCGATAGCGGATAAGATCGTCAGGTACGCCTCACCCCGCATAACGACACGCAACGGAAGGAAACTCATGCTTCCGGTGCAGCTTCAACGTTCACGGTGTCATTTACGTGGACGAGGACGGTGAGATTTGTCTCCGTATTTGATTATTGTCTCTGGAGGCTCATCGGCTGGCGCTACAGAAATTGTGGCACCAATAGAGCGAGAAATCCGACTACTCGCCAATGGTCTTACAGCTGTCAAGGACGAGCAAGAGTATATCGTCGTCCGCGAGCGCACACACCGAAACACGGCCGAGTCGACAAACTCGCGCGTCAAATGGTGGTCCATTATGCAGACGCTTGTGCTCTTCTCGGTTGTGGCATGGCAGATATACTACTTGAAGGTGCGTTCTTCGGCATCTGTATGCACGCATGCGTGGGAGCTGACTTTCGGCCGTCAGTCTTTCTTCGAGGTAAAACGGGTAATATAGTTGTACTATTTGCGCGTGTGCCTGGTGCAATGTGCGCTTAATATCATGGACTTCTTTGGACCTACTGCGATGTTGCTCGCCACCGGCCGTTCTTGTTGAGCGTGGGCACATAGCCGGATTCCATCTGATTGGGTGTTGGTTTTCGACCCATTGACACGTATCTGCACAGGCTTAGTCATTGACCGGTCATATATGTAGCCGGTATGCAGTCCGAGAGAGCAGATTCGTCACTTTCTGACATCCACGCTACTACCCGAGCCCCCGCACTTCCACATCTTGTTCGTTCTGACCTCGCTTTCGCTGTCGAATATGTTCTCACACCGCCGCAGCACAATAGATGTTCTCTCGCCTCTTCAACGCACTTTCAGGCGATTCTGCAAGCTACCCCTCCGTGCTTCTCAGATTGGAAGCGCCGAATAGAGTCTTCATTCTGCACGTCATACCTGAGAGCAGCAAAGTTGAACGCATCGACACAACGTTCTCGAAGAAGATTCGCTACGGCAATGCGAAAGTACGGTCCAGCGAACAGATCGGCACCGTTAGGCTCGACAAGCCTGGTGGGGATGACACAGCCTACAAGTTCATGGAGGACCTCACCGCACGAGTGAAGAAACTTTGCGATGAGAACGCAGGTGGCTTCGAGGTGGTTGATCGTATGGTGAAGGAGGTGCTGCGCCCGGCAGCCGTTGAGGCCCTCCGCGACAGGGAAGCATCGACGACACTGTCGAGAGACGGGTCATCCGCGCATACACTTACCCTCGTCTATGTCGACCGGCAGAAGGCCGAGGGGATACTAGTTGGTTATGAGCCTTCCAGCATTGGCGGTAACCTGTGACTCTATGTGGTATCCAGATTATTCGTTGCTATCGGATTGTAGCAGACTAGATGATATAGACAAACGCATGAACATACTACAAGAGCTAAACAAGAGCGAGAGGCAGAGATGAGGACAGCTATGAGATGCGACAGAATCAAAACTATCAGTGGTCAGTCATAACGGTCGTCAGTGGTGGTGTACATATGAAGTCCGGGTATAACAGGGACTGGCTGCGGCTAGACATGGGTTTGTATACAACAATCAAACTCTCGACAACGAACGATAGCGCTCTATTTCCATGTGGCTTTGGGCCTCGCCGATCCACCTGCGCGGAAACTGGTCTCTCCCATGCTAACGTCTCCGACAGACGTATTCGCAGCGCTTGGCGCGTTGGCAGCTTTCAACCGCGCACTCGCCATTCCCCTCGACGCCAGTGCGAGGAGGGACATCCTCTTCGCCCTCTTCGCAGGTGACTTCGGACCCTGGTCCAGCACGACTCGACGGGGTGCATGCGACGTGCTGCGACTCAACGGCGCGCTCGACGAGGTCTCCGCGCGGTTCTGTGGTGAGAGCTGAGGAATCTGGCTAGAGCGTCGACGGGCCTTGCCCGCAACACCGACCCCGACATTCGACCGTCTCCTGCTGTGACCAGGCTTGTAGGACGTGGCAACGGATCGGGGAGTCGCTTGTCCGGCCTGTCGACGCGGACTCGAGTGGTTCTGCCGCTCCTGCGCACCCTTCGGCATGCGCAGCTTGCTCCCACTAGCGCTCCCGCCGCTCTCAGAGTCCGACTGTTGAGCATTCGCGTTGAATCCGGCTGGTGAAAGAGGTGTGCCACGGCGCCGACGTGGCGACGCGCTCTCGTTCTCGTCGTCTTCTGCCAGACTGCTGAGGTTTGAAACACCTCGAGAACGCAATGTATCTGAGCGTAGGCCATTGCGGCCGCCGATGCTGAGGCGGTTTCCGGATGTTGAACCACCAGGTCGGAAGGGTACTTCGCGTAGGCTGTAGTTGGCGCTGTCGTCCGTCTTCTCATCTTCCCAGTCACTGTCAGAGATAGACGGTGGGACGCGTTGCGTGAAGGGGTTCTCCGGCTCGTCTGCGGCGGTAACGGAGATTGATGGCGCGCGTGAAGGGCCGGCGCCTCCGTCATCGATCTCTCCGCCAACTTCGTCCCGCCATTGGACGCCCTTTTTCTCCTTGCCCTTGTCTGATGGACGACGATATGGAGCGCTGCCCGAGACACTAGGACGAGAGCGGCGAGGAGAACGAACGGATGTCGGAGCCTTCTTCGCAGGAGAGCCAACACCCAAAGCACCGTATGAAGAAGAACGGCGGGAGGCCCTGGCCTTGGATGGTCCCAGAACATCGCCAGGTGCAGATGATACACGAGGCGCATGCGAGACGGCGCTCGGTGGTGGAGCATGGTGGCCAGTGAAGCCCTGCAGACTTGCCGCACCAGTAGCCATGTTCGCATAGGTTGCAACGCTGTGGTTCACGAACGACACGAAGTCCCTGTCATTCTGACCAGCAAGATCTTGCAGCTTCGCGGCGATGGCGCGAACGGAAGTTTCGAGGCCATCGGGCCCTTCGCTCAGGGCCGCTTGTATTGAGCTACCCGCATTCCCAAGGACAACAGTGTAGCGCCCGACGAGGCCCATGAGGTGCACGAACATCCTCGCCTGACTCTCCATTGCGTCCTTAATCGCATCGCGCTCTGCCTCCGCCCTGAACTTCTCCAACTCCATACGCCTGTACTCGACGTCCAATCGAACATTGTCCACGCTGATCTCGTCGAGGCGGTCGCTCCTGCGCTCGGAGACCGCCCGTAACACGGCGTCGAACATGGCACGTGAGTTGTTTGAGCGCTGGATGCGGTTGTTGAGCATGCTGTCTGGCCGTATAGCAGACTCTTCGGGTACGGCGAGAGCTCGGAGCAAGTCGCGCTCGGCTTGTTCGTCGACGGAGAGCGTCGCGCGTCTGTCCAAATCGTCCAGGCGAGCGCGAATAGCCTGCAATTTCAATCGCGCGGCCGAGAGCTGACCAGCACATCCTGCGCCATCCAAGATAGGCGCGTGCATCTGGAGTGCCTTCGTCTTCAGGTCGGTCTTGGCCCTGTCGACCTCAGCTTGCGCCTCCTGCTTCTTGCGCCTCGCGATCTCCGCTTCTTGTCCGAGCTTGCCAGCCAGTTTGGCCTTGAGCTCCGCGACCTCGGCATTGAGCTTCGTGATAGCTTCGACGTATTGCCCGACGTGACGGTTAACGTTGAGCACGTTGCGAGTGACGACGCGTGTTTTGATCTTTGTCGCGCGTTCTGCGTAGATAAGGGTGTTGTGTGTGTCGTCAAAGTGTAGAGATGTTGGCGCGACGCAGACGATCATGACGGTCTTGCAGTTGCCGCCGAGCGAGAACTTGAGCAATCGGGTGAGCTTGCTGTTCCTGTAAGGGACGTGTCGAATAGCACCGCCACTCTCGCAGAGGGCGTTGATGCAGTTGCCGAGCGCGAGCAGTGACTTGTTGATGTTTGCACCCTCGACCATACGCTGGCCCATGTTGGATGTGGCAGCAGCGCGCTCGCTACCCGCCAAGTCGATGATGGAGAGAGTGCCCATCGTGCGTTGTTCGGTGAGTGAGGCCGTACGGGGTGCTTGGGTGACGTGCACTTGCAAAACAGCGTGCGAGCGGGAGGAGGTCTCGTTTGCATGCGTAGGCGATTGCGTCCTGCGCGTATTGCCCAGCATCACGATCTCCTTAACCTCGTCCGCAGATGTCGGGCGTAGTTCGGTCAGCCCGACGACCTTGACTGATTTGTCCTCGCGGATCTGCAGGCCACCGCGTGGTGTAGGCATGCCGGGTTCGGCGAGTAGGTCACGGATCTCCTCGTTGTATATCTCGAGGAACGTTACGGAAACGTCGACATCGTATTCCGCTCGGCGATCCTCGATTCGTTGGAAGAGGTCCGACATAGTGAGGTAGATGGTGCCAGGGTCAGCCGGTGTCCCGCTGATAGTGTGTGTTTTGCCACAGCCAGTGGCCTACGAGGTGACACAATGAGATGGATGTGCGAAGAGTATATAGCAGAGAGGACGCACGCCATAAGCGAATACTGTTGCATTAAATCCGTCAAGTAAGTTGTTCAGTAGTGGCCGCGCAGTGCCGTCGTATACGTCCTGTTGCGAGGCGTCGTATCGGAATACGCGATCAAACATGAAGCGCTTGTCCTTGTAGCGTTTCGAGCCCGGTGGTACGAAGCCACGCTCGACGAACGCCCGTGCTTGATCCGTTTCCACGGGGTCGAACGTCAAGATGCGGTCGTCGACGACTTGGACAATCTCGCGGACGCTAGACATAGACGCCGCAGGGCGTATTGGTGCAGAAAGCGTTCCATCTCCGCGGATGGTGGTGTCGTAAACCGGTTCGGGAAGCCGGGTTGCCTCATACGCGGATGGTGGGCGGACGCGAACTATGATCCGTATGAGTTCAAGTTTCGGCGCCACAAGCGCTCAAAAGCAAAAACATACCCGCAACAGTAATAGAGCCGGCAGATACCATGGTGTGGAGTGGTCTACCGGCAGAGGAGAGGGTGTGGATGGTGAAGGAGAGAAGGAAGGAACTGCAACCACGAGGCGTCGCGTTCTGAAAGCAACGAACTCGAACCTCACGTGGGCGCGTCTGATCAATATCCCGCTCCGACGCGCGCGAATGACTTTTGCCCTTGTCGCGTCGACCGCCATGTCTGTCAACGAGATCGCCGTCGTATCGCCTGCCGACTTTCATGTACACTTGAGGCAGGGGTCTCTGTCTGAACTCGTCACGCCTCATGTGCGCAAGGGCGGATTCAGACTGGCCTATGTCATGGTGCTTCGTACCGCTATCTAGTCGCCTCTCGCCGAGGCTGACGATGTGTACATCCAGCCGAATCTGACGCCCCCCATCACCACTACGGACCAAGCCCTAGAGTACAAGAAGAAGCTTCAGGCCATTGACTCCGATGTTGAATATATGATGACTCTGTACCTATCGCCCAAACTTACACCGGACGAGATTCGCAAGGCTCATGAGGCGGGAATTGCCGGTCAGCAATCAACTGCCCTCCTCGCTCTTCTCTAGGTCATTAAATGAGTGCCGAAGGTGTCAAGTCATACCCTAAGGGTGTGACTACGAACTCTGACGGTGGCATCGAATCATATGAGATTTACTATCCCGTTTTCGAGGCCATGGAAGAGGTCGATATGGTCCTGAACCTACACGGCGAGGTCCCTTCAGACGCGGCGGCGGTGAGTGGCGATCCCAACTTACCATGAGATGCCTAATGAAAATGACATAGAACATCCATGTCCTCAACGCCGAACCGACCTTCCTTCCGCATCTGAAGAAACTACATGAGCGGTTCCCGCGGTTGCGCATCGTCCTGGAGCACGCTACGACCCGGGCGGCCGTCGAAGCTGTGAAGTCGCTTGGCGATACAGTTGCTTGTACTATCACTGCACACCATCTCGCGCTTACCGTGGATGACTGGGCCGGTCAATCGTTCCACTTCTGCAAGCCTGTTGCAAAATACCCAGATGACCGTGAAGCCTTACGAGAGATTATCCGCGAAGGCGAGCGAGCTTTGCCCCTTTATGAATGAGCAACGTTGACTGATGCGACGCAGGCCATCCACGGTTTTTCCTTGGCTCAGACTCTGCGCCACACCCAGCCCACAAGAAAGCCATCGCGGCGCCTGATCATGGCTGTGCCGCCGGCGTCTACACATCAGCAGTCCTGCTTCCTCTGACGGCACACCTCTTAGAGTCCTTCGGCGCCCTCGACAAGCTTGAAGGCTTCGTGTCTACATTCGGACGTCGGTTCTATAAGCGTGAAATCACGTCTTCCGAAGAAAAAGTCAAGCTCAGGAGGGCGGCGCAGACTGTACGGGCCGACTTTGTATCTGGGGATGATAGGGTCGTGCCTTTCTGGGCCGGAAGAGAACTGGATTGGAGTATTGTATGAGCTGACCAGTAAGTACCTGTACAAATAAAGTGCCCGAATGGCCAAAGCTACCGAACATGAGATATCGTGGAAGTTGAAGAGGTTGAGGGGCTGGCCGGTAAACGGGGCCACGAGACGCGTGCACACACAACTTCGCCTCGACCACCATCTACAGCCCCATCATCTATGATCCGACTCGTTTCTCCCCCGAACACATACTCTCCCACTATTCGAATTTGCCTGCATTAGGTGTTTACTTCGGGCACTTCGGTAGCGCTCGCATTACCGCATCAGCATTCTCTGGGCTTCAGCCGCTACAATATATGCAACTGAATGTAGACGTCTCGGCAAACTACGACCCTGGACAACATGACGGTCCCGAACGCAGTATAGCTTTACGCCCTGCGCCTCGCGTTGCACGTCGGTAAATGTGACAAAGGAATACGGCGTCGACGATCCGCCTCGTTGCGTACTCTGCCACGCGAGATCGCGCTCAGGTTGTGAGAACTATGATTATGTGCTCGGCCTTTTAGCTCTTGACAAAGGAGCGTATACGCCCCTCATCTCTACCCCCCCGCGCGTTTCAATGTCTTCCGGCCCTTCTGTAGTCGCACTCGGTCAACTACTTCAGCTGTGTAGTCGCCACCTCGACGTGATGCAATTGCTGGTCTCCAATCCTGCTGCTCTTGATACCCTGTCCAAGCATCCAGAGAAGGCGTTGGCTGCTCTCACTGAGCTCGATGGAGTCGAAGAAGAGGATGTACGCCTGTCATTCATGCAGACCTCTTAACATATGGCGTGCTGACTCGCGGATAGATTCCCTACGGTCTGAACTCGATGGGCACCCCCAACATGCTCGCACGCGTCCAACACCTGAAAGCCCTGGACATCTCATACGAGCCAAGCGATACCATGTACGCCCAACACGTGCTCAACCGCACCCTAAGCGGCATCATGGTCCGCACGCGGATCGTCTGCCAGAGCGAACAAGCGCAAAGGACCGGCTGCGCCACCCTATTAATGATGCGCGGACCGCACCAACCTTACATGCCCGACACAGCAGGCGCGCTTGGTGTCTTTTTGAGTGCCGTACAGCGTTCAGAAGATTGGCCGGTCTTCGAGAACGTGTTCGTGTCGCAGACAAGGGATCATGGGAGGAACAACCTCCACGCCGATGATTGGTTGTATGCCGGTCGTTACGAACTTGTGGAGAGTCAAGCGCTTCGTGATGCCGAGATTAAGGATCTGCCCGCTGAGGTTCGTACATTGAGGACACTCATAGTTCTTCTCTTCGTTGACGGTCGCGCGATTGCAGAGTTTGGAATACTGGGTCATCCACATCCACCGCGTGAAGGGCGCTCAACTCGATCGCTTACGTGCTCGCATCTATCTATCTGTTGTAGACCATTTGACGACCATCACCGAAGTGGACATATCTCGTTGCATCGCCGAGCACGATAGCGACATAGTCATAACCGCGATTCGTCCGAGCGATATCAAAGATGCTCTCCTAGACGGTACCATCGTGAGCCTCATCCTGACTACGTTCGTTGCCCCGGCGCTAATGAAGCACAGGCGCTTCAAGCCTTTACCATGAGACCCGTCGGCTACGATGTTGGCGTCCCAATGCTTCTGAAACAGACGCGCGAACGCATACAAGCCGAGCAAGAGGCTGACGACCCTGAGATCGAAATCATCTCTGGTCCAATTCGCGGCACCAAGCGCAAAACACCACCCACATCCGTCGAGTCTCCCCGTTCTCGCCCTGGACCTGGCTCTGGACCATCTACACCTACAGCTACGCCGATGTGGCGAGGTGGGATCGATAATGGTTCGCTGGTTCCTCCCATGACACGACCAAGAAGGAGTACGGTCAACGCCGTGAACTATCGCGAACTTGACTCGCCGGATCCGGAAGGTGATCGTGAGCCGGTACGCGTTGCGGGCCCGAGTTGGACTGGGAGTCAGTTGAGACGGGTGGTACAGTGAGTTTATCCACAATACGATCTTGTTCGGCCGCAAAAAGGCCTCGGACTTCTTGTTGTGAGCGTCGCGGGCGGGAGGACCGTCGCCTTTATCCGGTTGGTTTGCGCTACGAAATGTATAGTAGTGTACTCGCAACGCTTGCTACATTCCCTACTGTAACCTATATCGACGAATGTACGGATGAGGGTGACCGTAGTTGCGAGCTGGATGCGTCTGTAGACACGTAGCGTGGTAAACGCCGAGGCCACACCGATCGGTCACGCTGGTTCGATATCCGTGTGATGCGCGCAAGCCAATTCCAAGTCCGTGAACCTGTGCTCCCACTACACCATCCCGGGCCGGCATGCACATTGCTTTGATACCTCGACGACATCACGAACTCTCTTCAGTATCCTAGCCATCATACTACCCACTAAGGTGCGTTGACGTGTCGTGGACAATACAAGCAGTCATTGTGCTCAATCCGACCCCATCACAGGACTGGACTGTTGTTCTTAAGCTTCGTTTCGCTGTCTATCTGCTCTTTCCACCACGTTTTCGTTTCTGTCAAAGCAGCCCGCGTCGAGCCCTGCCCAGGCGATGGGGAAAAGCACCGCCAGAAAAGGCAAAGGCAAAGCTTTACCGCAACCAGTCGAGGAACCTCTACGTGCGTTCTACCTCCTCAACTCCTAATACACACACCAATCTTGATCTGGCTCTTCATATAGAATCTATACCGGAGACACCGCAAGAGGAGAAAGCGGCGGCATGGGGCGTACCCGCGATTGACGCCAACGCAGACAGCGGAGGAGGCGGATGGGCCCATGACGAGAATAATAATGCGGGATGGGGTGAGGCTGGTGCTGGCGCCGACGATGGCGGTATCCCGGGCGCATGGGACACTGAGCCTGCAGAACATGCCCATCAACAGTCGCCAATGTCCATGAATACGCCGAGGACACTCGCAGCGTCCCCGCGCTCGTACGCGGACGCGAAATTGGATGGTCGGCCTCCATCGTTACAGGGTCCGCCTATGGGCTTACAGGGTCCGCCCATGGGCTTACAGCAGCCACCGATGGGTCTACAACAACCGCCCGAAGTCGACTGGGGATATCCCACGAAACCCCCGCCTGCGCCGGCGCCTCCACCAGCACCTACACTCCGTCCGAGCCGACAAAGCTCGAAGAACTCCAAACGCGCTCAGGCTCAACCTCCGCGTAGCTCGTACAAAGCTCAAGCGACGCACGCTGCTCCCGCATACACCACTCAGACGTCATATTCAACTACAGGATACGGCGCTGCGCCAGCGACAACAGCGTACGGCGTCGCACCCGGGACCGGCCGCGGCGGCGCAGGCTTTGGAACCTGGCAAAACTGGGCTGCTGAAGTGGGCATGCAACCGCCCCAACAACAGCAGTCCCAGCACGTGAAGTTCGCGAGTCATTCGACGCATATCCCGAGCTCTGTACCGAGTGCGACGATGCAGCAGGCGTATAAATCTGGGTGGAAGACGTCTGGTGCGGGGAAGTATGGGCGTCATGGAACACAGGCTGCTCCGGCTGCTAATAGTGGCTGGGCTACGACTGGCGGGGGAGCTGCTACAGGGTGGGATACGGGTGCGCAGACTCACGGGCAGGCATGGGGCGCACAGGATCAGGGATGGGGAGGGAATGAACAAAGCGCGTGGGATGAGGGTCACGGTGGAGGGTGGGAACAGGGCCAAAACGACGAGTGGGGGGACGAAGGCTGGGATGAAGGCGGCGGCGATCAGTGGGATAATGGTGGTGGTGGATGGGATAATGGCGGCCACGACGCGGGAGGATGGGGACAGGAGGCCGACGAAGGATGGCAGGACTGGCCAGCGGATAATGGGAAAGCGTGGGCGGATACGGCTGAGCCAGCACAAGCGCCGCCTCAGTCGGGGCACAATGATGGGTGGAGAAATTGGGGGAAGAACGCAAATGGCGCGCAGGCGACGCAAAGTTGGGGAGGGCAGCGCGCGTCGGGGCAGCAGTATTGGTCACCTACACCAGCCGGGATGGACGATCGACCGATATCGCATACTATGGCATATGCCACCGGCAGCCCTACAAAGACACACAAGCATCATTCTTATGATGGCGGCCAAGGCCGGCAGTCTATTACTATTCCGCCCGGCTGGACATTGGCGCATAGAGGCATGGATCTGTATAAGGCGCACAAGTTCAAGTTGACGGAGAACGGAGAGACACTTGTTGCGTTGGATTTGCCGCTGTTCAATCGCGGCAGGATGGCGAAGGAGAGATTGAGGTGGATGTTTCCGCCTGATAAGGATAAGAGAGTTAGTGTCACATTGAGGTGGATTAAGGACGTCGAGCATGGATTGGGCGCATTTGCTGTGCGTATCAATGCTCTGTCGGGGTTCATGCGAAAGTACTCATATCGATCTTGCAGCTTGATGTTTACCTTATGCGTCAAGAGCGCGGTGCTCTCATTGTCAACGCTGCGACTTTCGATCCACCGGCCCCGGAATTCGACTGGCTCTCGTACCATGACGCCAAAGAAACGCTCGACAAGCGGATCCAAGAGTCCATCGTCACATACGACCCAACGAAACACGCCATCATAATGGTCTTCCTCCCTAGTCCGTCAGGAAACAGTGCAGCCGTCTGGCGAAGAAGAATTGAAGTACCCAAAGGCGCTCGATCACATCGCAAAGGAGAGATCAGGAGTAAACCGAAGGTCGTAGTGGAGAAAACGGTGTTCGTTGACGAGCTCACGTACGTTGCCGCTCCTGGTAAACAAGGCAGAAAGAGCGGCTCACGCAGCGCGAACAGAAAACCGGAGGATCTGAAGAGGCAAAAGAAGGAGAAGAATAAGAAGAAGGGCATCTGGAAGCGCCTCTTTGGCGGGATCAAGATCGTCTGGTAGGACGACCCTATCACCTTTTATATGCGCATGCGATACCTCGCACTCAACCCTCAACTACCACATCTGCGAAACCTCGACCCTCGTACCGCCACCTGACCTATCCAGTCTACCTCTACCGGTATCTATGCTCGCATCTCCCTACGCTCTGTGTACAACATCCCAACCTATCACTCTTGCGTTGCACCTGCTATCACTATCCGATACCCTCCAGTCCAAGCTTGCTTCGTAACTTACCCTTGCTGCCCGTTTATGTTTACTTAAGTACTCTACGACCTGCGCTCTATGCTCTTACGATGTCGCCTCGTACATATATGCTCTTGCTCAATGTATCGCTTTCTCTATTATGATGGTCGATCCACAAGACGCCGGCTGCCGGAAGCAGACGCGTCGTCGCGGTGCCACAGCTGTAGGCGCGAGTAGCTGACAAAGGGTTCGTGCTCGTGCTTATCAGAACTAGCTTCTATAGATACAGTCCGGATGCTGGTGTCTTCTTTACTCCCGACACTCATCATGGCGTCCAAGCGACCGCAAGCCGCGACAGACCCAACGGTCCAGCCGCCCGTATCAACCGCGGGACAAGTCGAGCTTGCAGCGGCCCGCGCCATAAGCTCGCTCGACCCCGCCCCCGCCCCCGCGCAACCCGAATCTCGCCTCACACCCGAAGTCCGGCTCGTGGTATTCACAAGCCTAGTCTTTCCAGTCGCTTTGATCCCCTTCTTGATGCTTCGCCGGAGTCTACACGGTCTACATGTCAAGACCGATTCGGTACAAGGCAACATCATCGGCCTGCACAGGAAACTGAAAGACACGTTGTACGATCTAAGCTGGAGGAGGGAGGAACATGCTAAATTGGGAGCGACGGTGACGGAAATGCAGAGTACTATTGCAAGCTTGAGGGAACAGATGCATAAGGAGCAACTGGAGAGGGTTGAGAGGGAGAAGGAGTGGGAGATGAGGATGCAGAGGCTTGCGATGTCTGATGCAGAGTCCAGGTGGGGATATATTATTTGTATGGTAAAGTAACATCGGCTGACGACCGTGCAGGGCGCAGCTCGCACGGCTGCGTAAGCTTGGGGCGTCTATGGGCGACGTGGCAGCGTTCATGCACGAGGTCGAGATCCAGAATCTGACGCTCCGGCCGCATGATGGTCGTGGAATCGAGCGCTTGAGGCGTGTTGCGGCTGAGGTATCTGAGGGGAGTAACGCAGACGTTCCCCGTCCCGAGTAATGGCCGAATAAGATTGCATGGAATGTACTGTAGCGTTGTAACGTAGTCGCTAAGATTACAGAAGGATGTAATGTATGTCGTAGATGGGCGTCTAAAGCGAGGGGCGGTGTGACCGTTGTCGTCCTCGTGTTCGACTTGCTTTCCGCGTCGCGTTGCCTTCGCACACGCCCACCGTTCTTCCTGCCAATCCTCCATTTCTACCGCCTACCCTCACAACCGAGCCATTCTCGCATCCCGGGGCCATGCATAAAGCCCGTCTCTGAGTCCCCCGTTCATCACTAGTACGACCCAGCCGGCAGGACTTCTTCAACTATTTCCCTGTAATCTCGCATGTCCGATGTGCAGACGACTGTGACTGAGCCGGCTGGCCCGCTCAAGCTGGACGAGGAGGCTCTGAGGGTGTTGGAAGCGCATAGCAGTGTAGACTCGGTTGGGGAGGGAACTAAGGAGAATGGGGAGGGCAAAGAAGAGGAGGCTTTGGAGAGCCATGAGGTCATTGAGCTACAGGCGTTCAGCGAGCGCAAGGACTGGATCGTCGACAAAATAAAGGCTAGTATATGCTAGTATATGCCAATGTGTAATATAATGCTAATGAACGAGTGCAGCTCCTGGAGAGCATGCCCCCTCTGGACCTATTCGTCGGTCTCGACGCCGTCCGCGAGTCTGCGCTCGAAGTACCTGGTCTGCCTACACGCGAAGAGCTCAAGCAGTGGCTGGTGGAACACGACAAGATCGAGAAGGAGACGGAGATATTCGACTCGGGCGAGCTTACAAAGTTCAAGAAGATCACCAAGGGTGCGGCTTCCAATTACACGCTTTAGGATTAGTGTTCTGAGTTGACGACTTGTATTTTGAACAGCCGCGGCAAAGCGTAACTTGTCTCCTCAGGACACGGACCTCATCGAGATTACGCTCACGACCATCTTCGAATTCGACAAGCTCCTACATCTCCTGCGTGATCGTTCCGAACAGCTCGACCTCCTAGGCGTGCGTCTGACTTGGGAGGAGCACCGTATTGGTGCATGGTCCGACCGCGCACGCATCCTAGACGACCTCGAAGCCTTCTTGACGACCCGAGCGAAATGGTCCCCTTCAGTCTACGAGTCCGTTCCTCCAGCATCAGACCCATCATCTCCTTCCCGCCGCGGTTCCATCACGTCTCTCAAGTCCAACTCTTCATCAAACTTAGCTTCCTCGGGGTTCAGCCGTGCTGCAAGATATACACTTGCTGAGAACCTGTCCAGAGAGGCTGCCGGTTTCTCCAGTCGAATCACGTCGTTGCGCCACAGTCGGATCGCCGGTGCTGGGAAGGCGCTGGACAAGCTCATTGATAACAGTCGGAAGCCCGTGCCAGAGGTGCTTCTCGATGAACAGGATAAGCTGGAGGAGCGCGGTATAGCGGAGATGGAGAATGTTGGCAAGTTCGTGATGGACGTGGTCACGCAGTGGCGAAAGTATGTTCCTATTCATCTTCATTCCAATTGACCATGCTGAAAATATATCGCAGAGCGGACGAGTTCTACGTCGAGACGCTCAAGGATCAGGCCGCTGCCCAGCAACTGCTCGACGAGATTGACGCCGCGAAAGTCGGACATCCCGCCCAGCGCTTAGACGCCACATTTACGTCCAAAGCCGGCGCCATCTCCAAACGGTTGCACGCCCGGGACATCACGTCCTCCCCCGTCTCCCTCTTTCCCCGCCCGCGGCATGCTCTCTTCCCGAAGCAAACGGAGACGAATAAGGCCGTGACAGACGTGCTGGACACTGAACTTGCTGTTGGACGCGACGTTGCGAAGAAGGCCGAGGATGCTGCTGCGGAGTATCACCGGGCTTTCGAGGCCGTGAAACTCGTTGAGGCCATCACGACTTCAGCAACGTCACTTGCCGCGCGATGCGATGCGATCCTGTCACGTCTCGCCGGCGGCGTCGAGAACGTAGGAGACGGCGACGGGTCACCGGTTAATCTCGACTCCATAGCGTGCCTCCAACCTACGGCCCATTCAGCTTATCTCGCTTTGCTACCATCTCTCCTCCGTGACCTGGATGAAGCAGAGTCCGCCGTGCGCGAGCTCCTCCCCAAAGGACGAGCGGCCATGCTCGGCTTGAACGACATCGCCGTAGACCTCGACTTCAAGGCCGAAGCCGTTGCCTCTCTCGATCGTCTTTCCGCCGTTGTCTCCGCAGCACGCTCAGCTCGTGACAACGCTGAAAGCGGCGTTCAGTCTTTACGCGAAGTGCGTAAGATCTGGGCGGCAGCTGAAGGTGTATTGCAAGACCTCTCAAGCTTGAAATCCGATGCAGAAGAAGCTGTGGACCGTGGACGATGGAGACCTCAACCGAACGTACTTGCCACACCCGAGAGCATTGTGTCACCTCTACCCTCTATCGTCCCAGCCGACCAGCTCTTGTCCCTCTTAGCAACACTCCGCACACGTCTCGCCGAAACCGTTCAAACCCCCATCCACTCCCTCTCATTACCCGTCACGCCAACGCTGAACGACTACCTCACCCATCGCGCAACATGTCTCTCCGAAGCCCTCGATCAGATCGAGCGTACGGCGGGCGCGGCAGCGTCTGTCGAGAAGCAGGCATCGGCGTTACGAACTTTATACGAGGACGCGAATGTTGTTCAAGAGCACATCGGCGTATTGAGGGAGAGGTACAGGGAGCACTGCGACGATACGCTCTCCGGCGCGATGTATAACCCGAGCGAGTGGGACGTCACAGACGAGCAGCTCTCCGAAGAGCTTTCCGCATGCGAAGCGGCCGTTCACAGGCTCGTAGAGAGTGTACCATCGCGCGTCCCGTTCGTCGCGGGTAGTCCTTCGCCAGCTACATCACCGAGGAGAAGAAGGCAGACGAGTACGGGCGATATCACGCTTGACTCGCTTCCGTCATTGTTACCGCTCGAGATGCCGGTCAACCTTACACATGTGGACGACGATGCGCGCGCAGGGTGCAATACGCTCACGGCGAGGTTGCATGGGGACATCGACGCTGTGAAGCGCTCAGCGGTTCATTCGCAGCTCGCGAGACGCGCGAGGGATCTGGACGAGAGTCTCGGGCCTATCCGATCCTTGTTGCTCGATGCACAAGACGCCTCGAAGGATCTGCAAAGTCGACTCGATGCAGTGGAGTTCTTGCCTGAATCTGGGCCGGCGTTCGGCGAGGTCGCGGAGAGAGCTGCGCGGACGCAGAAGGAATGGGCTCCTTCTATCTCGCAGACGCTCGAGCTTGTACAGCATAACCTCTCATCGCTCATTGTGTTGAGGGAGAGAGATGAGGATCCGTCCAGCTATAACATCGTCGATGCAAGATCGAGAGTGGTGGAGGAAATGCAGGCCGAGTTCGACGCGTGGGTTAAGCGCACGAGCGAGGTGCATGAGAGGGCTATTGCTGAGCAAGGCAAAGCCGAGGAGGCATTGAGGAGAAAGAGGGAGGAGGAGGAAGCTGAGCGGGTCAGGGTTGAGGAGGAGAGGCGGAGATTGGAGGCGGAGGAACGTGCGAGGGTGGAGGCGGAGGAGGCGAAGCGGCTGGAAGAGGAGAGGTTGGCGGAGGAGGAACGTGTGAGGAGAGAGAGGGAAGAGAAGGAGCGGTTGGAGAGGGAGGAAGCGGAGAGGCTGGCGCGTGAGGCGGAGGAGAGGAGGCGGAAGGCGGAGGAGGAGGAGAGGAGACGTCTCGAGGACGAGCAGGCGCGATTGGCGTCTGAGAGGCGGCAACGCGAAGAGGAGGAGCGATTGCAACGTGAGGAGGACGAGCGTCTGGCGCGCGAGGCGCGAGAACTGGCGGAGAAGGAGGAGGCGGAAAGGCGAGAGAGGGAGCTTCGCGAGCAGCAAGAACGAGAAACAGCGGAGAAGAGGCGACGAGAGGAAGAGATGGAACGGAGGTTGCAGGAGGAGGTTGGGAAGCGGATGAAGGCGGCCGAGGAGAAACGTCAAGGCGAGGAGGCCGAGCGCAGACGGCGACGATCAGAGGAGATCCAACGGACTGCATCTCTGAACGAGGCTGATGAAGATGCATTGCGCGAAGCTGAGGAGATCTTTGGATCGCCCAGTCGCTCTGCACCTCCGTCCGAAGAGATGATCTCGCTATCCCGTCTCATCCATGGACTGCGCGAGCGATTGAAGGAGCTCGGTATCAACTCCTTGGTCCGGCCGCACAAGTCGTCAAGGCATTCTTCATTGCCGTCGAAGGGCCGTACTGCTCTGGTGGCAGCACAATTCGCCGAGCTATCCGCTGAAGTTGCCGCTCTTCCCGCATCTGCCGACCATGTATCCGTAGAAGCGGAGTTGCGATCCCTACGCGGCGACATCCTCGCTACAGAGGGTCTCCTCCAACGCCTTGTCAACCTCGCCGAACTCGGCCGCTCAATACAGGAGTGTGACTCTGCTCTGAGTGATCTGCTCGAACATGTCGATAGCTTCCCTGGTCTCCCAATGGGCCCGTTGTCCTCGAGCCATACGTCGTCTATGATGCTCACTCCCGAAGAGCAACTATCAGCGCGAATGGCGTTTACGGGTTCGCTCGTGGATGAGATGGACGACCACTTCGCCAAGGTCGCCGACGATTTCCGTGCTGCTGCAGAACAGTCAAGGATATCGCAAACGTGGTTGGAGCTTGAGGCCATGGCCACCGATCGAGTGCAAGGTCGGAAGTCTAGACCGCCCAGCACTGTAAGCTCTGGTAGGAGCAGTCGAGCATCTATTGATAGCTATCGCCCTGCAATCAAGAAGAAGACCAGTCACTATTCGACGCTTTCCGTGGGCGGCTCATCCCGTGCTTCTGGACAGTTCTTGACACCTGGACCCGCGCATCCTTCGGCTTCAAGGAGATCTGTATCCAACAGGGAAAGCACGCAAAGTCGGTCGGCCAGCCGCGTCTCCACACTTTCGTCCAGATCTACTTCTGGACCAATGCATCCGCCTTCGCCATCCACGAACCTGTTCAGTTCGACCTATGCCTCAAGACAACGTACGACAAGTGTTTCCTCGAACGCTGGAACGCCATCCAAGCCGCCATCAAGACCTCGGGCGCAGACCGGCCAACGAGGACGAAGTGTCGTGTCCCCTACGCCTTCTGATGCCTCTTCCGGCTCACGCTCCTTCAACCCTCTTTCGCGCTCGACAAACTCCTCACGGCCGGGTTCAACATTCGGCCGTGCCCCTCGCTTGTCTTTCTCGAATACACCACGCTCCCCGCCTCCTGCCAAGGCACCGCGTCCACGCAAGGCATACGTAGCCAATCCGAAGAACAAGCTCGACGTTGCCGTCGGCGAAGTCGTCAATAATCTGCCCGTCCATGTCGATATTGACATCGAAGTCGCCGAAGGATCCGACTGGCAAGACCAGAGCGGAAAGTACTGGATCGGTACTGAAGACCCGAAGCTATGCTTCTGCCGTATCTTGAGATCGCAGACTGTCATGGTGAGGGTAGGTGGAGGGTGGCAAGAGTTATCAAAGTGCGTTTCCCCTTATATGCGGTGTGGTTGTGGTTTTGGTACTCACATCAGATTACTAGGTTCATCCAGAATCATTTCGCCGACAGCTTCCGCTTGCTTCCCGAACAAACAGCACATATAGGCTCGCGAGAGGAGAAGTGGATATCTTCGACTACCCTACTTGAGGCGCAGGAGCCTAATCTGACTCCACCGCGTGCACCCAAGACGCCCGAGCCGAACGGCGTGCCGTCTTTCGTATTCCAAACACCTGGAGCGAAGAGTCCGCATTCTCTCAAGAGCTCGCCGTCACCTGGGTCGCCGCTTACGCCCTTACAATTCATGCGTCGTGCGGACCATGAAGGTGCACGACCCGGTACACCATCGAAAGCGCCAGTCGTGCGTCAACGGCTACATTCGACACTGGGCACCCCACGACCCGCTCAAGCTCCCGTATGGAAGCCATGAACCGTCAAGTATATACATGTTTTCAACGACCTCTTCCATTCTATCTGACTCGGATTCGGATGCACGAACTAGAAACTCCATACGTACCACCACGAACTATCATCTACTACCACCTTATAGTATTTGTTCTGACTGACTCGGATCAGGACTCGGGCTGCACCACTTTTTTAACGCATTTCTTGATTGCTCGACCTCGTATGAACTTTTTTGATTCTTGATTGTTATGTCGTCGTGTCTCGCTATCGTCGCTGTACTTGATTTTTATCGTACTACAATATGGAGGCCTATCTGGTCATCAAAACCTGTGTGATCAAACGAATACATGAGTAGGCTCGGATAGTAGTACACTGGCAAACAAGAGATGCATGAGACCCTATCTGTCTGTGGACGACATGGTATGACAGTTCACAGCACTACGCGTCGTACTTGACTCGCGCCCGAACTCGGACCTGCTGTCCGGGTTGGTTCAAAATCACATTCGGAGTCGGACTCTCGGTAGTTGATTGCGACGTTTGTAGCACTCCTTTTCGGACGAGGTGTACGGGACGCGCACGACCCCATACCGCGCTCGCGCCACGAGCTCGATGTCGACGGGCCTGGACCAGGACGTGGGGATTCAGCATAAGTAGGCGGTGTCTTGCGTTTGGTACCGCGGGTGGGACCAGAGATGATCTCGATGCCGGAGTCTTCGGCGTCTTGCTCGGCTTGTATGCGTTTGCTTGTTTGCTCCAGAAGCATCGGAATGCCCACGTCGTATCCTACAGGCCGCATGGCAAAAGCCTGAAGTCTCTACTCCGAACGTGAGACAATGTGCCGGTAGGATATCTCTGAGAGCTTACAATGGTGCCGTCTAAGAGCGCTTCCCTAATATCTGTCAATCGAATAGCAGCTATGACAACATCCTCGGCATGTTCGCTGATACAGCGAGAGATATCCTCCTCTGTGATGTTGTTCATGTGGTCGACGACGGAAAGATAGACGCGCGCACGTAGACGAGCAAGATAGTCCCCTTGTCTGCGATTGATATGGACGGCCCAGTATTCGAATGTCTAAGCTCGGGTCAGCAACCAAGCCACTATGCATGCTCAACCTGATGTCATTCACCTCATCAGGCAACAGAGCCACCTCATGAACATCGAGGGAACGGCTATCTATGAGCTCATACCGGCCAGCATAGAGCCAATCATCCGCATGCGTATGAGAGCGCCTCGCTCCAAAGTCCTTTGTCTGCGAAACGAACAAGTTCTCAAAGGGCGGCCAGTCCTCGAGGCGTGGCGTAGCGCTCAGGAATACCCCAAGAGAACCAGCGCAATCAGGCATGTATGGTTGATGAGGACCTCGCATGAATAGGATAGTAGTGTAACCAGTCTTCGGGACGTTCTCGCTGGTACAGATCACGCGCACGCGGTTCAGTTGTCCGCTGAAGGTGCGGTAGATGGCATCGTGAGCGTGCAGGGTATCGCAGGGTCGGTATGGAATCTCTAGGACGTTGAGATCGCGAACGCGAGCGAGCATGTCGGGCGTGCCCATGGAACTGAGGCCGTATGGTACCTGTTGCGTAGATGAGCAGATTGACAACAGTCTCATATAACAGGAGACGTACTTCAGTTTCCTCAATGTCCTGAGAAGTATCAAGCCTAGTCAGAGCAGCCATAGCGCGCTCCGGATACTTGGACAAGCTTTCCAGGGCGGCCGGGTTCGAGACGAGCAATTGCACCACATCAGGGTGTCGTTTGCACAGTTCTAAGATCTGACCAAGTGCGAAGACAGACGGTCCCATAGACATTCGAGGTGGCTGGCGGTCGCGCTGAAGATGATGCTAGGGTACGGTCCTTTGTACATCCCTATAAAGGCCAAGTGCACGTTCACGATTCTCACAACTTGACCGCGATCTCGCGTGGAGAGGGCGTAGCGCGGTACGCAATGAGGCAGACCATGAAGACTAGGTTCCTTTGTAACAAGCGTTCGGTCCACGGCGCGTTGGACGAGCAGAAAGGGCAGGTGCATTTCATCGCGAACAGTCACGGAACCTGGGACGGCGATGATGGCCGTTTGGGACAACTGCCCAACTCTTGCTACGCGCGACTCTCATCCTACCACCATCTTATTGATCTTGTCGCTAAGACCGTGCTCCGAGTCACAGTCCTACTTCAGGTCGACGGTTCGATGATGCAAAGAAGTGTGGCATATTGTATTGCAATGAAAACACAGCGAATGGGTATCATACGGCAGATGTATTACAAGAACGCCAGCGCCAGCTACATCCTATGCGGGTATCGTTTGTGATTGTAGTTGATATAGGATCTAGAAAGGAAAGCCCGAAGGAACTCCAACAGTACTGTTCTGCTCCCCACCCGTAACATTCAACCCGAACGGAAGCTTGCCCTCGACCGGAAGCCGATTAGGCAGCGTAAAGTTGAACTGCCTCTTCTCGGCGTTCGAGTCCTGCTCGTCGCCCTCGTCGCCCCAAAATACGAATGGGAATCCGCCGCTGGTATCGGTGTCGGTGTCGTTTGCGTTGTCTGTGGTGTTGCCGTTCTCGGGGAAGAGGCCGATAGGAATTTTGGTCCAGAGTGGGAGATGGGCGTTGCGGGTGAAGTTGAATACGCCGTCGTCGATATCGTCGTCAGAGTTCGAGGCATCGTCATCATCGCGCTTGAACTTGAATGGGAAGCCCGAAGGCAAGCCGACGGTGGTATTTTGCGCGCCAGGCGTAAGGGTGATGTCGAAGGGGATAATGCCCTCGACGGGCAATTGGTTGGGCAAGGTGGCGTTGAACTGGCGGGCTTCGAGACTGCGTTTGAATGGGAAGCCAGCAGGAAGGCCGACCGTGGTGTTTTGCGCCCCAGGCGTGAGAGTGATGTCGAAAGGCAGTACGCCTTGAACGGGAAGCTGGTTGGGCAGAGTGGTGTTGAACTGGGGTACACGCGCCGCCAGTGCGGGAGATGCATCGCCACGCTTCACACTGTAGGGAGCGTCAAAATCCAGGCCACGCAGAGAGTGGGAAAAGAAACGTACGAAGCAGGAGCGGCAGAGACGGACAGGCCAGCTGCGAGCATGGCGAGTGTGGAGAGCTGAGTGGATAACATCGTCGAGATGGTAGAGTTTTGAGAGTGGGGGTGAAGGTGGTTGAGATGTGTAGATGAGTGTTGATTGAAGACCGGCTTGAGGAAATGAGTGTGGTACGGCCAGCCATTATATAGGCTGCGTTCAATCCCCCTAGAATGGTAGCCGATACCCGAAACAGCTCTTTCCGAAACACCTTACTGGGGGCTCTAGGAGTGCACGAAGGACAGGGGCCACAGTCACTCCTAACTAAGCACTTCGCAGCCGAGACGCCACCATACACGCAGACTTATACCACGTATGCACAATCAGTCATTGGCAAGAATAGAGAAAGCATTATACTTGGCGATCGTCTCTTACGAGCCTGATTGAGGGTGAAAAAGTTGGGCAATGCCGCAGTGGGTCCCACATCACGCGGTTATGAGCTTTTTTGCGGTTGATTGCATGGAGAGCGATGCATGGGGTGCTCATGAGCGTATGGCATACAGAGGAATGACACAGCAAGGGATGAAATACAGAACAGGGACTACCACAACCTCCTCGAAGAATCGGACGCTCATGCGGCCTTGACGGCGAACTTGCGGAGGGGGAAGTGGATGTTCTTCTTGTGCTGCTTCTCCGTGATCGCCGACTTCTCCGACTATGGGATAGATGAGTATATTTTATGTGTGAATGGGAAGAGGTGGACGGACCTTTGTCAGCCGCCTGCGAATGGCACGGGTGCGCTTGGCGCGGAGGTCGAGGGGAAGGTACTTCTTGCCCTTGTAGAAGTCACGCAGGTTCTGGCGCTGCTTTTGGTTCGTCACAGTCAGAACGCGGGCGATCGACTTGCGGACACCGTTGCTATTACAGCATGTTAATATCTGGAAATATAATATATTCAAAGACGACGCACATCTTCGTCAGCTTGGACGCCGAGCCACCAGCGATCTTCTGGACGCGCAGGTCAAGGAGCTCGTTCTTCAGCTCAACGAGCTGCTTCGCGAGGTCGTTCTTCGACCTGTTATCCGACCATCAGCCCTCTATTCCTACGCCAATATTCGTCCACTGCACGCACTTGGACTGGAGCTCGTACGCCTTGACCTTGCCGGGCATGATGGAAGTCTGCAAATAACCAGTCAAAATTCTATATTCATCGCAGGATCAAAACCTCCCCGTCCCATTCAAGTGGTAGAACGGTCGGGCAGCAGGACGGCGTACCTTGAAGGGGATGGGGTCTTCGGCGACGGCTAGTTGACAATCCACAAATGGGCGGGCTCGGAAAATGCCGGCGCTGTGATCTAACCCTAGCATGTGGTTTGAAGCTGGCACGGTCATGTGCCTTCAACGTCAATTCTCCGTCGCGACAACTCAGACGCGGCAGTCGCACCGCTACGGCAACGCCGTCGCACGTCGCATTGCGCGGGGACGCCGCCAAAAATACTGAAAGGTGCTGAGGACAGGAGGTGCACAGTGAAGTACGCCGCAGATCAATTCTGACTCTGAAGCCGCCCAACCCGAACAGCGCCCGAGAGATGAAGTACTTCGTAGGTTGAGGGAAAATGCGAAGCAGTATAAGATCATATAGTACATGGATATAATTTCATCTCTTTCATACTGCAAGTCTTCATTGGGAGAACATTTGCTAATCCCACTATGCAGCACTCTGTAGTGAAG